TTGACGTCACAAACAAACACTCTTAAGCCTGTTTTCCACCAGCCACGTATCGTAGCAAAACGTAACATGGCGCATGCGTGCTTGTGTATATTGACCATCAAATTCATAGTTAAATCCAAGTCACATATTTTAACCGTGTTAGGATTAATATATTATATATATTCTCTGATGATGGCTTTGGAATAAAGTCGAAACACGGTGCCATCCAGTAAACTGCTATAGTGGCGAGAATCTCTCGTACATACGCAGTTTTAAGAGATTTGACTCGTCTCCAATTCCTGTGGGTTTGGTAGCTCAACAGGTAGAGCGGCGGACTAGTATCCCGCAGGTGCGAGATCAAATCTCGTCCAAGTCACATGTTTGTCATGTGCATATTAAACCGGGTTGGGAATAATACTTTACGATACCTGGCTAGTGGAAACAGGCTTTATTTTGTACAAACCTTGTGTACTTCATAAGCGTTTCCACTGGCTTCAAGTCAAATTCTTACCAAGATGTTGACGTACGGTGTATTTATTTGCGACAGAAACGAAGAAGTTCCATTGAAAAGTCAATGCGTTCGATCCTTTTTAAAAGGCCAAGTTGTTGGTTTTCGATCAACATTGACGTATGTGAATCATACAGAAAATCCTCTCGAAGTGTTTTTTCGTACGCCTGTGGACGATTCCTTTGCTGTAGTAGGTTTGGAGGCTTGCATTGATGGCAAAAAAATCCGTGCTGAAATACAAGAAAAGGAGAAAGCTCGAGAGAAGCACAAAGAAGCAGTATCGAGTGGACGAACAGCCGCTTTTGGAGAGGAGAAACAAGGAGATATATTTAGTTTGGTTTTAGGCAATCTTCCCCCGAAAGAAATGGCTGTTTTGGAATTAACTATGGTTGGTGAACTGAATGTTGAAGCTGGTGGTGCTGTGAGATTTGTTTTACCTAAAGTGCTCAAACCTCGTTACACACCGACAGGAAGCAATAACCCTCTGGCACCCGAAGTATCTTCCGATAGTGGGGCAACTGCAAAACAAGGGACTGGACCCGATTCTTACCAGTTCAGCCTTGAAATAGTTGATGCACCAAACATTGATAAGGTGACATCACCATCACACAAGATTTTTGCTGACAATGACGGCGAAAAGATCAAAGTGACTTTAACGGAAGTAAAACAAACTGATATTGTCATTTTAGTGCAACCAAAAGAGATAAACAAGCCATTAATTATTGTTGAGCCAGGTTTATTAAATGGTGAAAACAATTTTCAAAAATCTTCAGCAATCATGGTGAGCTTCATCCCTGAATTCAAGGGTGAAAATAATTGTCTTCAAGCAGCTTGTGAATTTGTGTTTGTAATTGATCGAAGTGGTAGTATGGCTGGATCCTACATCAAAGATGCAGCTGAAACACTTCTACTCTTTCTTAAAAGTATTCCTGAAGGATGTTATTTCAATATAATAGGTTTTGGCAGCACATATGTTCACCTATTTCCAGAAAGTGTTCCATACAATCAAAAAAATTTGGAAACAGCTGTAAAACATGCAGAGAATCTTCAAGCTGATTTGGGTGGTACTGAGCTATTTGATCCACTTAAACAAATATTTAGTCATGCACCAAAAAAAGGTTTGCCAAGGCAGGTGTTTGTGCTAACTGATGGAAGTATACGTAATACTAACTCTGTCATTCAACTTGTTAAGAAAAACTCCATTAACTCCAGGTAAATCATTATTAAACAACTATTGGTACCTTTTTGTTACGCATAATTATTTATAAGAAAATATTCTTTTTCTATAGATGTTTTTCTTTTGGTATTGGCTCTGGTGCATCAACAACTTTAGTGAAAGGCATTGCACAAGCTGGCAAAGGTGCTGCTGAGTTCATTGTATCTGGAGAGAGGATGCAACCTAAGGTACATGTACATCAGCTTTCATATAAAGTATTGGAAATAATTAGAAAAATTATTTTTCAGGTGATAAGATCACTGAAGAAAGCCATGCAACCAGCTGTGACAGATGTTCAAATTTCTGTCTCGGCTTCCAACAATATAACAGTAAATGTAGTTCCAAAAAGAAAGGCTTCCACGTATTTTTGTTGGTGAACGTCTCATTGTATATGCAATTCTTCATGACAAGTCACCATCCTCATCACCTCAAGAAGGAAAAATACTCCTTACTGGTGATTTACTTGGAGCTAAAGTAGAGCATAAGATGAAGTTTCCAATCAAACCAGCAGTGAAAAAAGAGACTGCTTCCCAAGTGTCAACTATTCACCACCTTGCAGCCAAGAAGTTGATAAAAGAATTGGAGTTGGATGGTGGAAAAAAGGCAGAGATGATCCAGCTAAGTTGTGACTCCAATGTTATATCATCACAAACTGCATTTATTGCTGTTGATCAAGATAGAAAACAAGCAGTTAAAGGAAGTTTGCACAGTTGGGATTTAATTCCTCAGGAGGAGAAACTGTGGAGAGTCCGGTGGAGACTCCGTGGAAGAGTCTAGGGGCTCGTGCCAGTGCACGTAGAAGTGCCAGAAGATGTTTTGAACGTTCAAGTGACATACTTTTAGATCAACTCCTGTGTGTTCTAAATTAGAAACTATGAGTCAAGTTTATCTCCAGAAGAAATATTAAGACCGAGAAAAAAAATGACTCGATATAAACCTCCAGAACCAACATTATTACCGACAATGACTATATATAAACCTCCAGAACCAACATTATTACCGACAATGACTATATATAAACCTCCAGAACCAACATTATTACAATGACTATATATAAACCTCCAGAACCAACATTATTACCGACACCGACTATATATAAACCTCCAGAACCAACATTATTACCGACAATGACTATATATAAACCTCCAGAACCAACATTATTACCGACAATGACTATATATAAACCTCCAGAACCAACATTATTACGACACCGACTATATATAAACCTCCAGAACCAACATTATTACCGACACCGACTATATATAAACCTCCAGAACCAACATTATTACCGACAATGACTATATATAAACCTCCAGAACCAACATTATTACCGACAATGACTATATATAAACCTCCAGAACCAACATTATTACCGACAATGACTATATATAAACCTCCAGAACCAACATTATTACCGACAATGACTATATATAAACCTCCAGAACCAACATTATTACGGACACCGACTATATATAAACCTCCAGAACCAACATTATTACCGACAATGACTATATATAAACCTCCAGAACCAACACTCACTAAAATGTGTGAAAGTGCAACTGCAGGGCAAAGTTTAGTAGGGGCCAATAATTTTTTGGGAGGTGAGTATAAAACATGGTTTTCTATTTCCTGCAAATATTAATAATACTATTGAATAAAAGAAATTATGACAATTTTTTGATGGATAGGTTTTGATGATGATGGTTTAGAATATCAAAGTTTAGGGAATGTCAAACATGACAGTGAGTTTGAAGCACATGATTTTGTATCTTTAGAAGATTATAATGACATGATTAAAGAATTCGTCTACATTTTTTTTCATGAATAGGAGATTCAAGTAATCCACTTTCACAGATAATCAATCTTCAGCTAGCAAATGGTGCATGGGAATTGACATCAGAATTATCAAATATGGTTGGTAAATCAATAACAGATCTAAAAGATGCCTGTCCAGTGTCATGCAATGGAAATATGATGACAATATGGGCAACATGTATTGTTTTCGCATATCTGGACCTTCAATTATCAAGTCTTAAAGATGAATGGGAGTTGGTTGGTATGAAAGCAAAATCTTGGCTTATGATACAAGTTCTACCACAAGGATATTCCTATGAAGATTTGCATGAAAAAGCAAACCAATTTCTTTGTGATAATAACAAACATGAGTAAATGTAACTTTGTGTGACATTGAATCAATACTTGACGATTTTCTTTATAATTTTTATAATTCAGTAAGAGACTACACATGCTTATATTATGGGTTTCATGTAGAAATTACTATAGAGTGGAATGACATTGGTAATCTTTGACAAAAATGTATTGCACTTCTGAGTGTTTTGTCATGTTAAGAAAACAGCATAAAGTTTTTTTGTATACGAAATCACGAAACTACGAGTCTATAAAAAATGTTTTAAAAATAAGACTCAATTTAAGCTCGGAGGAGCAAAATAAATAAAATATAACTTTGAGTACTTTAAGAACATGTCAGTTGAATTTCCATGCCAGTTTTCTGACTTTTGTCACATGTAAGTAAGACAATTTGTTGGTTGAACGCCATCAAACATTTGATGGATTGGTAATATGTCGTACAAAATATTTAAATTTACCTTTCTGCCCCGTCACCACGAGACATATGAAAAACGCTTTGAGATTGAATTGAGTGCAGTTATGAAATATTACACACCTAGTACCACTCGGCAAAACCTGAGAGAAATTCAAAGGAAAAGATTATGCATTGTTGATGAATGATGGACGGGAAAGGCGGGAAAATCAAAAAGTTCAAAAGCTTCAAAGAAAGTACCGAATAAGTAAATATAAGGAACTTTCGACCAGGAGAACTTTTACTAAATGAGCAAAGACGTTTTACCTTCAAAATCCAAATGGAATAGCACTACAAACACATAAAAATTAAAATATTTTCTAAACAGAATGAGAGTTGTTTCACCGTCTTGAGACGACCATGCTTGGAATTCATTTCCGTACTTGATGTAAAGTTTAGTATTGTTGACTATTGTAATAATCGCATCTAAATGGTTGAATGTAAAGGCCATAGATAAAAAATAGATAAAAATCATCTAATACATCATGTTATTGTTAATAACTTACTTACATCTTCATGGGAAGAACTAGCCAATGGCGACTATGTATTAGAACCTTGTTTACAACTAATATCGGTTGGAAAGAATTATTTTCAAAATTCTTCTAAAAGAAATGTTTTACTTCCTCATGAAACCGTTCATTTCATGCATGAAATTTCAATTTCACTTAATTTCATGTATGAAATTCAATAGAGACCTTTTTGTCAAAAGGTAATGTTCAATCAAAACATTCTATCAATTGTAAGTATAATAATCATCATTTTTACAGACAAACAGACGAACGAAGCCAATACAACCTAAACTAAGTTAATTGTTGTTAAAAGTGGCAGGATCAGGATTGCCTGACAAACCCAATCAACATAAAAAAAATAAAAGCAATTACCAAGATACCATTCAAAACCGCAGTCCAACATAGGGGTAAATAGACAAACGTGGAAAGGAGCAGAGTTAACATACTTCCCTGTGTAAAGATGCAATCACGTAGAAATTCACGCAAAATATGTTAATTACACTTTCGTCAGGAGGGACTTAACCAATTCACAACATTAGTTGTGCTAGCTAGGTAAATATTTCGGTTGATAAATGACAATGATTTGAAATTTATGCACCATGACTAAAACTTGCGGGCTGGCAACGTCACTTATCTTCACCCAATATCAGCGACGTAACCTTTTTGTAGAGGTTTCATTCCTCCTAACTTCCTGTAGAAATTATGAAGATTTCATAAAATTTCTACTGCAGGTTTTATTGATCACGACATTTTCTGTTTTACATGGGCTATTTGATCAATACATCATGTGAAATATACTATCAAAAGAACGCAACTAAGACAAACTTTGTTTTTTATTATTACGTAAAAAATCTTTTAAATCATTTTGTAAATGTCAGTGAACATTCTTTCTCACCGTCATACATGACAGTGAGTATGAATCACATAATTTTGTATATTTAGAAGATTATGGGGCCTAAGAGAAAAATTGCGGTGGTTTTTTTGCTTATAAAATGCCATTTTCATCAGATAGACAACAAGTTAAGTCAGTAGATGTTAAGCTGACGTTGTTAACGCTTTTCTTTAAGAAATTCAAGCAGCGATTACTTTATAGTTAATAAAATTGTACCATCATTTGTCAAATGACCTTCTGAAAAACAACAGGTAATTACCTAAAGGATGTCATTATCTTAATGGTGCTCAGTCACGCACATTTTCTGACTAATAAAAACACTGCGAAGTGTGTGATATAAATAAATGCAGAACTCAGAATTGTACAGTAAAGTGATAATTTCTGTTATGTGCTAGTTTAGAGGTTTCGGTAAGCTGTTGAAATGGAAAGGCACAATGTTTGCAGCAGATGACGGCATCAATAAAAAATCAACTCATTTTCAGTTTGTATTCATAAACGAAAGTTTTGATCCAACATCCGCATTCCTTAATTATGTTGGTACTGCACTAAGATCTTTATGGATTAAGCAATATCATGATGGCTTTGGAGAAAAAAGTCCAAACACGGTGCCATCCAGTAAACGGCTATAGTGGCGAGAATCTCTTGTCCATACGCACTTTAAAAAGAGATTTGGCTCGTCTCCAATCCCTGTGGGTTTGGTAGCTCAACAGGTAGAGCAGCGGAGTAGTATCCCGCAGGTGCAAGATCAAATCTCGTCCAAGTCACATGTTTGTCATGTGTGTATTAAACCGGGTTGGGAATAATACATTACGATACCTGGCTAGTGGAAACAGGCTTTATTTTGTACAAAACCTTGTGTACTTCATAAGCGTTTCCACTGGCTTCAAGTCAGATTCTTACCAAGATGTTGACGTACGGTGTATTTATTTGCGACCGAAACGAAGAAGTTCCATTGAAAAGTCAATGCGTTCGATCATTTTTAAAAGGCCAAGTTGTTGGTTTTCGATCAACATTGACGTATGTCAATCATACAGAAAATCCTCTTGAAGTGTTTTTTCGTACGCCTGTGGACGATTCCTTTGCTGTAGTAGGTTTGGAGGCTTGCATTGATGGCAAAAAAATCCGTGCAGAAATACAAGAAAAGGAGAAAGCTCGAGAGAAGTACAAAGAAGCAGTATCGAGTGGACGAACAGCAGCTTTTGGAGAGGAGAAACAAGGAGATATATTTAGTTTGGTTTTAGGCAATCTTCCCCCGAAAGAAATGGCTGTTTTGGAATTAACTATGGTTGGTGAACTGAATGTTGAAGCTGGTGGTGCTGTGAGATTTGTTTTACCTAAAGTGCTCAAACCTCGTTACACACCGACAGGAAGCAATAACCCTCTGGCACCCGAAGTATCTTCCGATAGTGGGGCAACTGCAAAACAAGGGACTGGACCCGATTCTTACCAGTTCAGCCTTGAAATAGATGATGCACCAAACATTGATAAGGTGACATCACCATCACACAAGATTTTGCTGACAATGACGGTGAAAAGATCAAAGTGACTTTAACGGAAGTAAAACAAACTGATATTGTCATTTTAGTGCAACCTAAAGAGATAAACAAGCCATTAATTATTGTTGAACCAGGTTTATCAAATGGTGAAAACAATTTTCAAAAATCTTCAGCAATCATGGTGAGCTTCATCCCAGAATTCAAGGGTGAAAATAATTGTCTTCAAGCAGCTTGTGAATTTGTGTTTGTAATTGATCGAAGTGGTAGTATGGCTGGATCCTACATCAAAGATGCAGCTGAAACACTTCTACTCTTTCTTAAAAGTATTCCTGAAGGATGTTATTTCAATATAATAGGTTTTGGCAGCACATATGTTCACCTATTTCCAGAAAGTGTTCCATACAATCAAAAAAATTTGGAAACAGCTGTAAAACATGCAGAGAATCTTCAAGCTGATTTGGGTGGTACTGAGCTATTTGATCCACTTAAAGAAATATTTAGTCATGCAGCAAAGAAAGGTTTGCCAAGGCAGGTGTTTGTGCTAACTGATGGAAGCATAAGTAATACTGACTCTGTCATTCAACTTGTTGAAAAAAACTCCAACAACTCCAGGTAAATCATCATTAAACAACTATTGGTACCTTTTTGTCACGCATTTAATTATTTATAACAAAATGTTCTTTTTCTGTAGATGTTTTTCTTTTGGTATCGGCTCTGGTGCATCAACAACTTTAGTGAAAGGCATTGCACAAGCTGGCAAAGGTGCTGCTGAGTTCATTGTATCTGGAGAGGATGCAACCTAAGGTACATGTACATCAGCTTTCTTAAAAGTATTGGAAATAATTAGAAAATTATTTTTCAGGTGATAAGATCACTGAAGAAAGCCATGCAACCAGCTGTGACAGATGTTCAAATTTCTGTCTCTGCTTCTAACAATATTACAGTAAATGTAGTTCCAAAAGAAAAGCTTCCACCTATTTTTATTGGTGAATGTCTCATTGTATATGCAATTCTTCATGACAAGTCACCATCCTCTTCACCTCAAGAAGGAAAAATACTCCTTACTGGTGATTTACTTGGAGCTAAAGTAGAGCATAACATGAAGTTTCCAATCAAACCAGCAGTGAAAAAAGAGACTGCTTCCCAAGTGTCAACTATTCACCACCTTGCAGCCAAGAAGTTGATAAAAGAATTGGAGTTGGATGGTGAAAAAAAGGCAGAGATAATCCAGCTAAGTTGTGACTCCAATGTTATATCATCACAAACTGCATTTATTGCTGTTGATCAAGATAGAAAACAAGCAGTTAAAGGAAGTTTGCACAGTTGGGATTTAATTCTTCGGGAAGAGAAACGGCGGAGAGTCCGGTGGAAGAGTCTAGAGGCTGCTGCCAGTGCACGTAGATATGCATGTAGAAGTGGTAAACGTTCAAGTGACATACAACTTAGCTCAGTTCCTATGTGTTCTACATTAGAAACTATGAGTCGAAGTTTACCTCCAGAACCATTATTAAGACCAAAAAGGAAAAGGACTGGATATAAACCTCAAGAACCAACATTATTACCGACACCCACTATATATAAACCTCCAGAATCAACCTTATTACCGACAATGACTATATGTAAACCTCCAGAACAGACATTATTACAGACACCAACTATATATAAACCTCCAGAACCAACCTTATTACCGACTATATATAAACCTCCAGAACCAACATTATTACCGACAATGACTATATATAAACCTCCAATACCAACCTTATTACCGACCGACTATATATAAACCTCCAGAACCAACATTATTACCGACAATGACTATATGTAAACCTCCAGAACCAACATTATTACCGACAATGACTATATATAACCCTCCAGAACCAACATTATTACCGACAATGACTATATGTAAACCTCCAGAACCAACATTATTACCGACAATGACTATATATAAACCTCCAATACCAACATTCACTAAAATGTGTGAAAGTGCAAATGAAACCCTAAGTTTGGAAGGGGCCAATAATTTTTTTGGAGGTGAGTATAAAACATGGTTTTCTATTTCCTGCAAATATTAATAATACTATTGAATAAAAGAAATTATGACAATTTTTTGATGGATAGGTTTTGATGATGATGGTTTAGAATATCAAAGTTTAGGGAATGTCAAACATGACAGTGAGTATGAAGCACATGATTTTGTATCTTTAGAAGATTATAATGACATGATTAAAGAATTCATCTACATTTTTTTTCATGAATAGGAGATTCAAGTAATCCACTTTCACAGATAATCAATCTTCAGCTAGCAAATGGTGCATGGGAATTGACATCAGCAATATCAAATATGGTTGGTAAATCAGTAAAGGATTTAAAGATGCCTGTCCAGTGTCATGCAATGGAAATATGATGACAATATGGGCAACATGTATTGTTTTGGCATATCTGGACCTTCAATTATCAAGTCTTAAAGATGAATGGGAGTTGGTTGGTATGAAAGCAAAATCTTGGCTTATGATACAAGTTCTACCACAAGGATGTTCCTATGAAGATTTGCATGAAAAAGCCAAACAATTTCTTTGTGATAATAACAAACATGAGAAAAGTAACTTTGTGTGACATTGAATCAATACTTGACGATTTTCTTTATAATTTTATAATTCAGTAAAATAGACTACACATGCTTTTTTATGGGTTTCAAGTAGAAATTACTATATAGTGGAATGACATTGGTAATCTTTGACAAAATGTATTGCACTTCTGAGTGTTTTGTCATGTTGAGAAAATAGCATAAAACTAACAAGTTTTTTGTATACGAAATCACGAAACTACGAGTCTATAAAAATGTTTAAAAATATGACTCAATTTAAGCTCGGAGGAGCAAAATAAATAAAATATAACTTTGAGTACTTTAAGAACATGTCAGTTGAATTTCCATGCCAGTTTTCTGACTTTTGTCACATGTAAGTAAGACACTTTGTTGGTTGAACGTCATCAAACATTTGATGGATTGGTAATATGTCGTACAAAATATTTAAATTTACCTTTCTGCCCCGTCACCACGAGAGATATGAAAAACGCTTTGAGATTGAATTGAGTGCAGTTATGAAATATTACACACCTAGTACCACTCGGCAAAACCTGAGAGAAATTCAAAGGAAAAGATTATGCATTGTTGATAAATGATGGACGCGAAAGGCGGGAAAATCAAAGTTCAAAAGCTTCAAAGAAAGTACCGAATAAGTAAATATAAGGAACTTTCGACCAGGAGAACTTTACTAAATGAGCAAAGACGTTTTACCTTCAAAATCCAAATGGAATAGCACTACAAACACATAAAAATTAAAATATTTTCTAAACAGAATGAGAGTTGTTTCACCGTCTTGAGACGACCATGCTTGGAATTCAATGTGTTACTTGATGTAAAGTTTAGTATTGTTGACTATTGTAATAATCGCATAAAAATGGTTGAATGTAAGGGCCATAGATAAAAAATAGATAAAAAATATTTAATACATCATATGTTATTGTTAATAAGTTACTTACATCTTCATGGTAAGAACTAGCCAATGGAGACTATGTATTAGAACCTTGTTTACAACTGCTATCGGTTGGAAAGAATTATTTTCAAAATTCTTGTAAAAGAAATGTTTTACTTCCTCATGAAACCGTTCATTTCATGCATGAAATTTCAATTTCACTTAATTTCATGTATGAAATTTCAACTTTACTTAATTTCATGTATGAAATTCAATAGAGACCTTTTTGTCAAAAGGTAATGTTAAATCAAAACATTCTATCAATAGTAAGTATAATAGTCATCATTTTTTCAGACAAACAGACAAACGAAGCCAATACAACCTAAACTAAGTCAATTGTTGTTAAAAGTGGCAGGATCAGGATTGCCTGACAAACCCAATCAACATAAAAAAAATAAAAGCAATTACCAAGATACCATTCAAAACCGCAGTCCAACATAGGGTAAATAGACAAACGTGAAAAGGAGCAGAGTTAACATATTTCCCTGTGTAAAGATGCAATCACGTAGAAATTCACGAAAAATATGTTAATTTCACTTTCGTCAGGAGGGACGTAACCAATTCACAACATTAGTTGTGCTAGCTAGGTAAATATTTCGGTTGGTAAATGACAATGACAATGATTTGAAATTTACGCACCATGACTAAAACTTGCGGGCTGGCTACGTCACTTATCTTCACCCAATATCAGCAACGTAACCTTTTATAGAAGTTTCATTCCTCCTAACTTCCTGTAGAAATTTTGAAGATTTCATAAAATTTCTACTGCAGGTTTTATTGATCACGATATTTTCTGTCCTACATGGGCTATTTGATCAATGCATCATGTGAAATATACTGTCAAAAGAACGCAACTAAGACATACTTTGTTTTTTATTATTACGTAAAAAATCTTTTAAATCATTTTGTAAATGTCAGTAAACATTCTTTCTCACCGTCAAACATGACAGTGAGTATGAATCACATGATTTTTTATATTTGGAAGATTATGGGGGCTAAGAGAAACAACACGATGGGGTTTTTTGCTTATAAAATGCCTTTTTCATAAGATAGACAACAAGTGGAGTCAGTAGATCTCAAGCTGATGTTGTTAACGCTTTTCTTTAAGAAATTCAAGCAGCGATTACTTTATAGTTAATAAAAATGTGCCATCTTTTTTAAAATGACCTCCTGAGAAAACAACAGGTCATTGCTACAGGATGTCATTATCTTAATGGTGCTCAGTCACGCAGATTTTCTGACTAATAAAAACACTGCGAAGTATGTGATATAAATAAATGTAGAACTCAGAATTGTACAGTAAAGTGATCATTTCTGTTATGTGCTAGTTTAGAGGTTACGGTAAGCTGTTGAAATGGAAAGGCACAACATTCGTAGCAGATGACGGCATCAATATAAAATCAACCCATTTTCAGTTTGTATTCATCAACGAAAGTTTTGATACAACATCCGCATTCCTTAATTATGTTGGTACTGCACTAAGATCTTAATGGATGAAGCAATATCATCCATTTATAGTGTTTTCGTCAGTCGCTATATTGGGGTAAAATCCAATAGGAAGAAAAGAATTTATGTTAAATTAATGGTCTGTTAAGCATCGGCATTTTAATGTACTCCCCCCCAACATGGTCTCTTTGACGTCACAAACAAACACTCTTATTTTGTATAAAACGTTGTGTACTTCATAAGCGTTTCCACTGGCTTCAAGTCAAATTCTTACCAAGATGTTGACGTACGGTGTATTTATTTGCGACAGAAACGAAGAAGTTCCATTGAAAAGTCAATGCGTTCGATCCTTTTTAAAAGGCCAAGTTGTTGGTTTTCGATCAACATTGACGTATGTCAATCATACAGAAAATCCTCTCGAAGTATTTTTTCGTACGCCTGTGGACGATTCCTTTGCTGTAGTAGGTTTGGAGGCTTGCATTGATGGCAAAAAAATCCGTGCTGAAATACAAGAAAAGGAGAAAGCTCGAGAGAAGTACAAAGAAGCAGTATCGAGTGGACGAACAGCAGCTTTTGGAGAGGAGAAACAAGGAGATATATTTAGTTTGGTTTTAGGCAATCTTCCCCCGAAAGAAATGGCTGTTTTGGAATTAACTATGGTTGGTGAACTGAATGTTGAAGCTGGTGGTGCTGTGAGATTTGTTTTACCTAAAGTGCTCAAACCTCGTTACACACCGACAGGAAGCAATAACCCTCTGGCACCCGAAGTATCTTCCGATAGTGGGGCAACTGCAAAACAAGGGACTGGACCCGATTCTTACCAGTTCAGCCTTGAAATAGATGATGCACCAAACATTGATAAGGTGACATCACCATCACACAAGATTTTGCTGACAATGACGGCGAAAAGATCAAAGTGACTTTAACGGAAGTAAAACAAACTGATATTGTCATTTTAGTGCAACCAAAAGAGATAAACAAGCCATTAATTATTGTTGAACCAGGTTTATCAAATGGTGAAAACAATTTTCAAAAATCTTCAGCAATCATGGTGAGCTTCATCCCAGAATTCAAGGGTGAAAATAATTGTCTTCAAGCAGCTTGTGAATTTGTGTTTGTAATTGATCGAAGTGGTAGTATGGCTGGATCCTACATCAAAGATGCAGCTGAAACACTTCTACTCTTTCTTAAAAGTATTCCTGAAGGATGTTATTTCAATATAATAGGTTTTGGCAGCAGATATGTTCACCTATTTCCAGAAAGTGTTCCATACAATCAAAAAAATTTGGAAAAAGCTGTAAAACATGCAGAGAATCTTCAAGCTGATTTGGGTGGTACTGAGCTATTTGATCCACTTAAAGAAATATTTAGTCATGCACCAAAGAAAGGTTTGCCAAGGCAGGTGTTTGTGCTAACTGATGGAAGCATAAGTAATACTGACTCTGTCATTCAACTTGTTAAGAAAAACTCCAACAACTCCAGGTAAATCATTATTAAACAACTATTGGTACCTTTTTGCTACGCATAATTATTTATAACAAAATGTTCTTTTTCCGTAGATGTTTTTCTTTTGGTATTGGCTCTGGTGCATCAACAACTTTAGTGAAAGGCATTGCACAAGCTGGCAAAGGTGCTGCTGAGTTCATTGTATCTGGAGAGAGGATGCAACCTAAGGTACATGTACATCAGCTTTCTTAAAAAGTATTGGAAATAATTAGAAAAATTATTTTTCAGGTGATAAGATCACTGAAGAAAGCCATGCAACCTTCTGTGACAGATGTTCAAATTTCTGTCACTGTTTCCAACAATATAACAGTAAATGTAGTTCCAAAAGAAAAGCTTCCACCTATTTTTATTGGTGAATGTCTCATTGTATATGCAATTCTTCATGACAAGTCACCATCCTCATCACCTCAAGAAGGAAAAATACTCCTTAGTGGTGATTTACTTGGAGCCAAAGTAGAGCATAAGTTGAAGTTTCCAATCAAACCAGCAGTGAAAAAAGAGACTGCTTCACAAGTGTCAACTATTCACCACCTTGCAGCCAAGAAGTTGATAAAAGAATTGGAGTTGGACGGTGGAAAAAAGGCAGAGATAATCCAGCTAAGTTGTGACTCCAATGTTATATCATCACAAACTGCATTTATTGCCATTGATCAAGATAGAAAACAAGCAGTTAAGGGAAGATTGCACAGTTGGGATTTAATTCCTCGGGAAGAGAAACTGTGGAGAGTCCGGTGGAAGAGTCGATGGGCTTGTGCCGGTGCACGTAGAAGTGCCAGAAGTGTTGAAGATTCATATATATCTCGACCAATGAAAATGAGTCGATATAAACCTCCAGAACCAACATTATTACTGACACCGACTTTATGTAAACCTCCAGAACCAACATTATTACCAACAATGACTATATATAAACCTCCAGAACCAACATTATTACCGACACCGACTATATATAAACCTCCAGAACCAACATTATTACCGACACCGACTATATACAAACCTCCAGAACCAACATTATTACCGACAATGACTATATGTAAACCTCCAGAACCAACATTATTACCGACTATATATAAACCTCCAGAACCAACATTATTACCGACAATGACTATATATAAACCTCCAGAACCAACATTCACTAAAATGTGTGAAAGTGCAACTGCAGGCCAAAGTTTAGTAGGGGCCAATAATTTTTTTTGGGGTGAGTATAAAACATGGTTTTCTATTTCCTGCAAATATTAATAATACTATGGAATAAAAGAAATTATGAAAAATTTTTATGGATAGGTTTTCATGATGATGGTTTAGAATATCAAAGTTTAGGGAATGTCAAACATGACAGTGAGTTTGAAGCACATGATTTTGTATCTTTAGAAGATTATAATGACATGATTAAAGAATTCATCTACATTTTTTTTCATGAATAGGAGATTCAAGTAATCCACTTTCACAGATAATCAATCTTCAGCTAGCAAATGGTGCATGGGAATTGACATCAGAATTATCAAATATGGTTGGTAAATCAGTAAAGGATTTAAAAGATGCCTGTCCAGTGTCATTCAATGGAAATATGATGACAATATGGGCAACATGTATTGTTTTGGCATATCTGGACCTTCAATTATCCACTGTTAAAGATGAATGGGAGTTGGTTGGTATGAAAGCAAAATCTTGGCTTATGATGCAAGTTCTACCACAAGGATGTTCCTATGAAGATTTGCATGAAAAAGCAAACCAATTTCTTTGTGATAATTACAAACATGAGAACAAGTAACTTTGTGTGAGATTGAATCAATACTTGACGATTTTCTTTATAATTTTTATAATTCAGTAAAATAGACTACACATGCTTTTGTTATGGGTTTCAAGTAGAAATTACTATATAGTGGAATGACATTGGTAATCTTTGACAAAAATGTATTGCACTTCTGAGTGTGTTGTCATGTTGAGAAAATAGCATAAAACCAACAAGTTTTTTTGTATACGAAATCACGAAACTACGAGTCTATAAAAAATGTTTTAAAAATGACTCAATTTAAGCTCGGAGGAGCAAAATAAATAAAATATAACTTTGAGTACTTTAAGAACATGTCAGTTGAATTTCCCTGCCAGTTTTCTGACTTTTGTCGCATGTAAGTAAGACACTTTGTTGGTTGAACGTCATCAAACATTTGATGGATTGGTAATATGTCGTACAAAATATTTAAATTTACCTTTCTGCCCCGTCACCACGAGAGATATGAAAAACGCTTTGACATTGAATTGAGTGCAGTTATGAAATATTACACACCTAGTACCACTCGGCAAAACCTGAGAGAAATTCAAAGGAAAAGATTATGCATTGTTGATAAATGATGGACGCGAAAGGCGGGAAAATCAAAGTTCAAAAGCTTCAAAGAAAGTACCGAATAAGTAAATATAAGGAACTTTTCGCCAGGAGAACTTTTACTAAATGAGCAAAGACGTTTTACCTTCAAAATCCAAATGGAATAGCACTACAAACACATAAAAATTAAAATATTTTCTAAACAGAATGAGAATTGTTTCACCGTCTTGAAAGGACCATGCTTGGAATTCATCACTATACTTGATGTAAAGTTTAGTATTGTTGACTATTGTAATAATCGCATAAAAATGGTTGAATGTAAGGGCCATAGATAAAAAATAGATAAAAAATATCTAATACATCATATGTTATTGTTCATAACTTACTTACATCTTCATGGTAATAACTAGCCAATGGCGACTATGTATTAGAACCTTGTTTACAACTGCTATCGGTTGGAAAGAATTATTTTCAAAATTCTTGTAAAAGAAATGTTTTGCTTCCTCATGAAACCGTTCATTTCATGTATGAAATTTCAATTTCACTTAATTTCATGTATGAAATTTCAATTTCACTTAATTTCATGCATGAAATTTCAATTTCACTTAATTTCATGTATGAAATTTCAATTTACTTAATTTCATGTATGAAATTCAATAGAGACCTTTTGTCAAAGGTAATGTTCAATCAAAACATTCTATCAATAGTAAGTATAATAGTCATCATTTTTTCAGACAAACAGACGAACGAAGCCAATACAACCTAAACTAAGTTAATTGTTAAAAGTGGCAAGATCAGGATTGCCTGACAAGCCCAATCAACATAAAAAAAATAAAAGCAATTACCAAGATACCATTCAAAACCGCAGTCCAACATAGGGGTAAATAGACAAACGTGAAAAGGAGCAGAGTTAACATATTTCCCTGTATAAAGATGCAATCACGTAGAAATTCACGAAAAATATGTTAATTACACTTTCGTCAGGAGGGACGTAACCAATTCATAACATTAGTTGTGCTAGCTAGGTAAATATTTCGGTTGGTAAATGACAATGACAATGATTTGAAATTTATGCACCATGACTAAAACTTGCGGGCTGGCTACGTCACAAATGTTCACCCAATATCAGCAACGTAACCTTTTTATAGAAGTTTCATTCCTTTTAATTTCCTGTAGAAATTATGAAGATTTCATAAAATTTCTACTGCAGGTTTTATTGATCACGACATTTTCTGTACTACATGGGCTATTTGATCAATAATTCATGTGAAATATACTGTCAAAAGAACGCAACTAAGACAAACTTTGTTTTTTATTATTACGTAAAAAATCTTTTAAATCATTTTGTAAATGTCAGTAAACATTCTTTCTCACCGTCAAACATGACAGTGAGTATGAATCACATGATTTTGTATATTTAGAAGATTATGGGGCTAAGAGAAACAACACGATGGGTGTTTTTGCTTATAAAATGCCATTTTCATAAGATAGACAACAAGTTGAGTCAGTAGATCTTAAGCTGACGTTGTTAACGCTTTTCTTTAAGAATTTCAAGCAGCGATTACTTTATAGTTAATAAAATTGTACCATCGTTTGTCAAATGACCTCCTGAAAAAACAACAGGTACTTACCTAAAGGATGTCATTATCTTAATGGTGCTAAGTCACGCACACTTTCTGACTAATAAAAACACTGCGAAGTATGTAATATAAATAAATGCAGAACTCAGAATTGTACAGTAAAGTGATCATTTCTGTTATGTGCTAATTTAGAGGTTTCGGTAATCTGTTGAAATGGAAAGGCACAACATTTGTAGCAGATGACGGCATCAATAAAAAATCAACTCATTTTCAGTTTGTATTCATCAACGAAAGTTTTGATACAGCATCCGCATTCCTTAATTATGTTGGTACTGCATAAGATCTTAATGAATGAAGCAATATCATCCATTTATAGTGTTTTCGTCAGTCGCTATATTGGGGTAAAATCCAATATGAAGAAAAGAATTTTTATTAATTTAATGCTCTGTTAAGCATCGGCACTTTAATGTACTCCCCCAACATGGCCTCTTTGACGTCACAAACAAACACTCTTATTTTGTACAAAACCTTGTGTACTTCATAAGCGTTTCCACTGGCTTCAAGTCAAATTCTTACCAAGATGTTGACATACGGTGTATTTATTTGCGACAGAAACGAAGAAGTTCCATTGAAAAGTCAATGCGTTCGATCCTTTTTAAAAGGCCAAGTTGTTGGTTTTCGATCAACATTGACGTATGTCAATCATACAGAAAATCCTCTCGAAGTGTTTTTTCGTACGCCTGTAGACGATTCCTTTGCTGTAGTAGGTTTGGAGGCTTGCATTGATGGCAAAAATCCGTGCAGAAATACAAGAAAAGGAGAAAGCTCGAGAGAAGTACAAAGAAGCAGTATCGAGTGGACGAACAGCAGCTTTGGAGAGGAGAAACAAGGAGATATATTTAGTTTGGTTTTAGGCAATCTTCCCCCGAAAGAAATGGCTGTTTTGGAATTAACTATGGTTGGTGAACTGAATGTTGAAGCTGGTGGTGCTGTGAGATTTGTTTTACCTAAAGTGCTCAAACCTCGTTACACACCGACAGGAAGCAATAACCCTCTGGCACCCGAAGTATCTTCCGATAGTGGGGCAACTGCAAAACAAGGGACTGGACCCGATTCTTACCAGTTCAGCCTTGAAATAGATGATGCACCAAACATTGATAAGGTGACATCACCATCACACAAGATTTTTGCTGACAATGACGGCGAAAAGATCAAAGTGATTTTAACGGAAGTAAAACAAACTGATATTGTCATTTTAGTGCAACCTAAAGAGATAAACAAGCCATTAATTATTGTTGAACCAGGTTTATCAAATGGTGAAAACAATTTTCAAAAATCTTCAGCAATCATGGTGAGCTTCATCCCTGAATTCAAGGGTGAAAGTAATTGTCTTCAAGCAGCTTGTGAATTTGTGTTTGTGATTGATCGAAGTGGTAGTATGGCCGGATCCTACATCAAAGATGCAGCTGAAACACTTCTACTCTTTCTTAAAAGTATTCCTGAAGGATGTTATTTCAATATAATAGGTTTTGGCGACACATATGTTCACCTATTTCCAGAAAGTGTTCCATACAATCAAAAAAATTTGGAAAAAGCTGTAAAACATGCAGAGAATCTTCAAGCTGATTTGGGTGGAACTGAGCTATTTGATCCACTTAAAGAAATATTTAGTCATGCACCAAAGAAAGGTTTGCCAAGGCAGGTGTTTGTGCTAACTGATGGAAGCATAGGTAATACTAACTCTGTCATTCAACTTGTTGAAAAAAACTCAAACAACTCCAGGTAAATCATCATTAAATGACTATTGGAACGTTTTTGTCATGCATTTAATTATTTATAAGAAAATGTTCTTTTTCCATAGATGTTTTTCTTTTGGTATCGGCTCTGGTGCATCAACAACTTTAGTGAAAGGCATTGCACAAGCTGGCAAAGGTGCTGCTGAGTTCATTGTATCTGAGAGAGGATGCAACCTAAGGTACATGTACATCAGCTTTCTTAAAAGTATTGGAAATAATTAGAAAATTATTTTTAGGTGATAAGATCACTGAAGAAAGCCATGCAACCTGCTGTGACAGATGTTCAAATTTCTGTCTCTGCTTCAAACAATATAACAGTAAATGTAGTTCCAAAAGAAAGGCTTCCACCTATTTTTATTGGTGAATGTCTTATTGTATATGCAATTCTTCATGACAAGTCACCATCCTCATCACCTCAAGAAGGAAAAATACTCCTTAGTGGTGATTTACTTGGAGCTAAAGTAGAGCATAAGATGAAGTTTCCAATCAAACCAGCAGTGAAAAAAGAGACTGCTTCCCAAGTGTCAACTATTCACCACCTTGCAGCCAAGAAGTTGATAAAAGAATTGGAATTGCATGGTGGAAATAAGGCAGGGATAATCCAGCTAAGTTGTGACTCCAATGTTATATCATCACAAACTGCATTTATTGCCATTGATCAAGATAGAAAACGAGCAGTTAAAGGAAGTTTGCACAGTTGGGATTTAATGCCTCAGGAGGAGGAACAGTTCATGTTGATGAAGGCTTGTGACAGTTTATCTAGCAAGAAAAGTAGTAAAAAAAGGACCGGAAGACTTAAATTATCAATGGGCAGGAGTTCTAAATCAGCTCTTAAGGGTCGAAGTTTATCATACGAGGCTAAATTTAGAGGTGAGTATGAAACATGGTTTTCTATTTGCTGCAAATATTAATGACATTATTGAATAAAAGAAGTCATGAAAAATTTTCTATGGATAGGTTTTGCTGATAATGGTTTAGAACATCAAAGTTTAGGGAATGTTAAACATAACAGTAAGTTTGAAGCAGATGATTTTGTATCTTTAGAAGATTATAATGACATGATTAAAGAATTCGTCTACATTTTTTTTTCATGAATAGGAGATTCAAGTAATCCACTTTCACAGATAATCAATCTTCAGCTAGCAAATGGTGCATGGGAATTGAAGTCAGCAATAGCAAATATGGTTGGTAAATCATTTAAGGATTTAAAAGATGCCTGTCCAGTGCCATGCAATGGAAATATGATGACAATATGGGCAACATGTATTGTTTTGGCATACCTGGACCTTCAATTATCCACTGTTAAAGATGAATGGGAGTTGGTTGGTATGAAAGCAAAATCTTGGCTTATGATGCAAGTTCTACCACAAGGATGTTCCTATGAAGATTTGCATGAAAAAGCAAACCAATTTCTTTGTGATAATAACAAACATGAGAACGAGTAACTTTGTCAGAGATTGAATCAATACTTGACGATTTTCTTTATAGTCTACACATGCTTATATTATGGGTTTCATGTAGAAATTACTATAGAGTGGAATGACATTGGTAATCTTTGACAAAAATGTATCGCACTTCAGAGTGTTTTGTCATGTTAAGAAAACAGCATAAAGTTTTTTTGTATACGAAATCACGAAACTACGAGTCTATAAAAAATGTTTTAAGAATATGACTCAATTTAAGCTCGGAGGAGCAAAATAAATAAAATATAACTTTGAGTACTTTAAGAACATGTCAGTTGAATTTCCCTGCCAGTTTTCTGACTTTTGTCACATGTAAGTAAGACACTTTGTTGGTTGAACGTCATCAAACATTTGATGGATTGGTAATATGTCGTACAAAATATTTAAATTTACCTTTCTGCCCCGTCACCACGAGAGATATGAAAAACGCTTTGAGATTGAATTGAGTGCAGTTATGAAATATTACACACCTAGTACCACTCGGCAAAACCTGAGAGAAATTCAAAGAAAAGATTATGCATTGTTGATAAATGGACGGAAAGGCGGGAAAATCAAAAGTTCAAAAGCTTCAAAGAAAGTACCGAATAAGTAAATATAAGGAACTTTTGACCAGGAGAACTTTTACTAAATGAGCAAAGACGTTTTACCTTCAAAATCCAAATGGAATAGCACTACAAACACATAAAAATTAAAATATTTTCTAAACAGAATGAGAGTTGTTTCACCGTCTTGAGACGACCATGCTTGGAATTCATTTCCGTACTTGATGTAAAGTTTAGTATTGTTGACTATTGTAATAATCGCATCTAAATGGTTGAATGTAAAGGCCATAGATAAAAAATAGATAAAAAACATCTAATACATCATGTTTTTGTTAATAACTTACTTACATCTTCATGGTAAGAACTAGCCAATGGCGACAATGTATTAGAACCTTGTTTACAACTGCTATCGGTTGGAAAGAATTATTTTCAAAATTCTTCTAAAAGAAATGTTTTACTTCCTCATGAAACCGTTCATTTCATGTATGAAATTTCAATTTCACTTAATTTCATGTATGAAATTTCAATTTCACTTAATTTCATGTATGAAATTCAATAGAAACCTTTTTGTCAAAAGGTAATGTTCCATCAAAACATTCTATCAATTGTAAGTATAATAGTCATCATTTTTACAGACAAACAGACGAACGAAGGCAATACAACCTAAACTAAGTTAATTGTTGTTAAAAGTGGCAGGATCAGGATTGCCTGACAAACCCAATCAACATAAAAAAAATAAAAGCAATTACCAAGATACCATTCAAAACCGCAGTCCAAAATAGGGGTAAATAGACAAACGTGAAAAGGAGCAGAGTTAACATACTTCCCTGTGTAAAGATGCAATGACGTAGAATGTCACGCAAAATATGTTAATTACACTTTCGTCAGGAGGGACGTAACCAATTTACAACATTAGTTGTGCTAGCTAGATAAATATTTCGGTTGGTAAATGACAATGATTTGAAATTTATGCACCATGACTAAAACTTGCGGGCTGGCTACGTCACAAATCTTCACCCAATATCAGCAACGTAACCTTTTTGTAGAGGTTTCATTCCTCCTAACTTCCTGTAGAAATTATGAAGATTTCATAAAATTTCTACTGCAGGTTTTATTGATCACGACATTTTCTGTACTACATGGGCTATTTGATCAATACATCATGTGAAATATACTGTCAAAAGAACGCAACTAAAACAAACTTTGTTTTTTATTATTACGTAAAAAATCTTTTAAATCATTTTGTAAATGTCAGTAAACATTCTTTCTCACCGTCAAACATGACAGTGAGTATGAATCACATGATTTTGTATATTTAGAAGATTATGGGGGCTAAGAGAAACAACACGATGGGGTTTTTTGCTTATAAAATGCCATTTTCATAAGATAGACAACAAGTTGAGTCAGTAGATCTTAAGCTGACGTTGTTAACGCTTTTCTTTAAGAATTTCAAGCAGCGATTACTTTATAGTTAATAAAATTGTACCATCGTTTGTCAAATGACCTCCTGAAAAAACAACAGGTAATTACCTAAAGGATGTCATTATCTTAATGGTGCTCAGTCACGCACATTTTCTGACTAATAAAAACACTGCGAAGTATGTAATATAAATAAATGCAGAACTCAGAATTGTACAGTAAAGTGATCATTTCTGTTATGTGCTAATTTAGAGGTTTCGGTAAGCTGTTGAAATGGAAAGGCACAACATTTGTAGCAGATGACGGCATCAATAAAAAATCAACTCATTTTCAGTTTGTATTCATCAACGAAAGTTTTGATACAGCATCCGCATTCCTTAATTATGTGGGTGTTGCACTAAGATCTTTATGGATGAAGCAATATCATCCACTTATAGTGTTTTCGTCAGTCGCTATATTGGGGTAAAATCCAATATGAAGAAAAGAATTTATGTTAATTTAATGCTCTGTTAAGCATCGGCATTTTAATGTACTCCCCCAACATGGCCGTTTTGACGTCACAAACAAACACTCTTATTTTGTACAAAACGTTGTGTACTTCATAAGCGTTTCCACTGGCTTCAAGTCAAATTTTTACCAAGATGTTGACGTACGGTGTATTTATTTGCGACAGAAACGAAGAAGTTCCATTGAAAAGTCAATGCGTTCGATCCTTTTTAAAAGGCCAAGTTGTTGGTTTTCGATCAACATTGACGTATGTCAATCATACAGAAAATCCTCTCGAAGTATTTTTTCGTACGCCTGTAGACGATTCCTTTGCTGTAGTAGGTTTGGAGGCTTGCATTGATGGCAAAAAAATCCGTGCTGAAATACAAGAAAAAGAGAAAGCTCGAGAGAAGTACAAAGAAGCAGTATCGAGTGGACGAACAGCAGCTTTTGGAGAGGAGAAACAAGGAGATATATTTAGTTTGGTTTTAGGCAATCTTCCCCCGAAAGAAATGGCTGTTTTGGAATTAACTATGGTTGGTGAACTGAATGTTGAAGCTGGTGGTGCTGTGAGATTTGTTTTACCTAAAGTGCTCAAACCTCGTTACACACCGACAGGAAGCAATAACCCTCTGGCACCCGAAGTATCTTCCGATAGTGGGGCAACTGCAAAACAAGGGACTGGACCCGATTCTTACCAGTTCAGCCTTGAAATAGATGATGCACCAAACATTGATAAGGTGACATCACCATCACACAAGATTTTTGCTGACAATGATGGTGAAAAGATCAAAGTGACTTTAACGGAAGTAAAACAAACTGATATTGTCATTTTAGTGCAACCAAAAGAGATAAACAAGCCATTAATTATTGTTGAACCAGGTTTATCAAATGGTGAAAACAATTTTCAAAAATCTTCAGCAATCATGGTGAGCTTCATCCCAGAATTCAAGGGGGAAAATAATTGTCTTCAAGCAGCTTGTGAATTTGTGTTTGTAATTGATCGAAGTGGTAGTATGGCTGGATCCTACATCAAAGATGCAGCTGAAACACTTCTACTCTTTCTTAAAAGTATTCCTGAAGGATGTTATTTCAATATAATAGGTTTTGGCAGCACATATGTTCACCTATTTCCAGAAAGTGTTCCATACAATCAAAAATTTGGAAAAGCTGTAAAACATGCAGAGAATCTTCAAGCTGATTTGGGTGGTACTGAGCTATTTGATCCACTTAAAGAAATATTTAGTCATGCACCAAAGAAAGGTTTGCCAAGGCAGGTGTTTGTGCTAACTGATGGAAGCATAAGTAATACTGACTCTGTCATTCAACTTGTTAAGAAAAACTCCAACAACTCCAGGTAAATCATCATTAAACAACTATTGGTACCTTTTGTTATGCATAATTATTTATAACAAAATGTTCTTTTTCGTAGATGTTTTTCTTTTGGTATTGGCTCTGGTGCATCAACAACTTTAGTGAAAGGCATTGCACAAGCTGGCAAAGGTGCTGCTGAGTTCATTGTATCTGGAGAGAGGATGCAACCTAAGGTACATGTACATCAGCTTTCTTAAAAAGTATTGGAAATAATTAGAAAAATTATTTTTCAGGTGATAAGATCACTGAAGAAAGCCATGCAACCTTCTGTGACAGATGTTCAAATTTCTGTCACTGTTTCCAACAATATAACAGTAAATGTAGTTCCAAAAGAAAAGCTTCCACCTATTTTTATTGGTGAATGTCTCATTGTATATGCAATTCTTCATGACAAGTCAACATCCTCATCACCTCAAGAAGGAAAAATACTCCTTAGTGGTGATTTACTTGCAGCTAAAGTAGAGCATAAGATGAATTTTCCAATCAAACCAGCAGTGAAAAAAGAGACTGCTTCCCAAGTGTCAACTATTCACCACCTTGCAGCCAAGAAGTTGATAAAAGAATTGGAGTTGGATGGTGGAAAAAAGGCAGAGATAATCCAGCTAAGTTGTGACTCCAATGTTATATCATCACAAACTGCATTTATTGCCATTGATCAAGATAGAAAACAAGCAGTTAAAGGAAGTTTGCACAGTTGGGATTTAATGCCTCAGGAGGAGGAAGAGTTCATGTTGAAGCCTCCAGTGGCTTGTGGCGGTACACGTAGCAGTGACAGAGGTTTTAAATGTTTAATTCCCATCCCCCCAAGATCAGCTCCTAAGTTTCTAAGTTTATCAAATGACTACCAAAGTGTAGAGGTTGACCAAATTTTGCAAGGTTAGTGCAAAACCCAGCTTTCCATACCTGCTAAAAATATCAATGATATCGAGTTAAAGAATTCATCAACATTTTTTTCATGGATAGATCACAGTGATACTAAAAGCTGTGCAATTGCAGACGGAATTTTAGAAGACACCAAGTTTGGAGGTGAGTATGAAACATTTTTTCTATTTGCTGCAAATATTAATGACATTATTGAATAAAGAAATCATGAAAAATTTTTTATGGATTGGTTTTGATCATGATGGTTTAGAATATTAAAGTTTAGGGAATGTCAAACATAACAGTGAGTTTGAAGCACATGATTTTGTATCTTTAGAAGATTATAATGACATGATTAAAGAATTCATCGACATTTTTTTCATGAATAGGAGATTCAAGTAATCCACTTTCACAGATAATCAATCTTCAGCTAGCAAATGGTGCCTGGGAATTGACGTCAGCAATATCAAATATGGTTGGTAAATCAATAACAGATCTAAAAGATGCCTGTCCAGTGTCATGCAATGGAAATATGATGACAATATGGGCAACATGTATTGTTTTGGCATACCTGGACCTTCAATTATCCACTGTTAAAGATGAATGGGAGTTGGTTGGTATGAAAGCAAAATCTTGGCTTATGATGCAAGTTCTACCACAAGGATGTTCCTATGAAGATTTGCAAGAAAAAGCAAACCAATTTCTTTGTGATAATAACAAACTTAAGTAAAAGTAACTTTGTGTAACATTGAATCAATACTTGACGATTTTCTTTATAATTTTTATAATTCAGTAAAATAGACTACACATGCTTTTGTTATGGGTTTCATGTAGAAATTACTATAGAGTGGAATGACATTGGTAATCTTTGACAAAAATGTATCGCACTTCTGAGTGTTTTGTCATGTTGAGAAAATAGCATAACACTAACAAGTTTTTTTGTATACAAAATCACGAAACAACGAGTCTATAAAAGTTTTAAAAATATGACTCAATTTAAGCTCGGAGGAGCAAAATAAATGAAATATAACTTTGAGTACTTTAAGAACATGTCAGTTGAATTTCCCTGCCAGTTTTCTGACTTTTGTCACATGTAAGTAAGACACTTTGTTGGTTGAACGTCATCAAACATTTGATGGATTGGTAATATGTCGTACAAAATATTTAAATTTACCTTTCTGCCCCGTCACCACGAGAGATATGAAAAACGCTTTGAGATTAAATTGAGTGCAGTTATGAAATATTACACACCTAGTACCACTCGGCAAAACCTGAGAGAAATTCAAAGGAAAAGATTATGCATTGTTGATGAATGGTGGACGGAAAGGCGGGAAAATCAAAAGTTCAAAAGCTTCAAAGAAAATACCGAATAAGTAAATATAAGGAACTTTTGACCAGGAGAACTTTTACTAAATGAGCAAAGACGTTTTACCTTCAAAATCCAAATGGAATAGCACTACAAACACATAAAAATTAAAATATTTTTTAAACAGAATGAGAATTGTTTCACCGTCTTGAAAGGACCATGCTTGGAGTTCATCAGTATACTTGATGTAAAGTTTAGTATTGTTGACTGTTGTAATAATCGCATCTAAATGGTTGAATGTTAGGGCCATAGATAAAAAATAGATAAAAAATATCTAATACATCATATGTTATTGTTAATAACTTACTTACATCTTCATGGTAAGAACTAGCCAATGGCGACTATGTATTAGAACCTTGTTTACAACTGCTATCGGTTGGAAAGAATTATTTTCAAAATTCTTCTAAAAGAAATGTTTTATTTCCTCATGAAACCGTTCATTTCATGTATGAAATTTCAATTTATTTTAATTTCATGTATGAAATTTCAGTTTCACTTAATTTCATGTATGAAATTCAATAGAGACCTTTTGTCAAAGGTAATGTTCCATCAAAACATTCTATCAATTGTAAGTATAATAATCATCATTTTACAGACAAACAGACGAACGAAGCCAATACAACCTAAACTAAGTTAATTGTTGTTAAAAGTGGCAGGATCAGGATTGCCTGACAAACCCAATCAACATAAAAAATAAAAGCAATTACCAAGATACCATACAAAACCGCAGTCCAGCATAGGGTAAATAGACAAACGTGGAAAGGAGCAGAGTTAAAATACTTCCCTGTGTAAAGATGCAATCACGTAGAAATTCACGCAAAATATGTTAATTACACTTTCGTCAGGAGGGACGTAACCAATTCACAACATTATTTGTGCTAGCTAGGTAAATATTTTGGTCGGTAAATGACAATGATTTGAAATTTACGCACCATGACTAAAACTTGCGGGCTGGCAACGTCACTTATCTTCACCCAATATCAGCGACGTAACATTTTTATAGAAGTTTCATTGCTCCTAACTTCCTGTAGAAATTATGAAGATTTCATAAAATTTCTACTGCAGGTTTTATTGATCACGACATTTTCTGTATTACATGGGCTATTTGATCAATACATCATGTGAAATATACTGTCAAAAGAACGCAACTAAGACAAACTTTGTTTTTTATTATTACGTAAAAAATCTTTTAAATCATTTTGTAAACGTCAGTGAACATTTTTTCTCACCGTCATACATGACAGTGAGTATAAATCACATGATTTTGTATATTTGGAAGATTATGGGGGCTAAGAGAAAGATCACGATGGGTTTTTTGCTTATAAAATGCCATTTTCATAAGATAGACAACAAGTTGAGTCAGTAGATCTTAAGCTGATGTTGTTAACGCTTTTCTTTAAGAATCTCAAGCAGCGATTACTTTATAGTTAGTAAAATTGGCCATCAATAATTGATAAAAGTGTGCCATCATTTGTCAATAGCATGAAGTAAGTCATGAAGTATACCAAGTCGTTGGCACTGACATACCATTATGCACATTTAGCAGAAAATAATTCCTAACAAAGCCAATATTTATCTTAATTGAGTAACAAATGTGCTATCTATGTACCATTTCACAATCGAGAAACAATTCCTTGTTCTCGGTAGTTCTAAAGCGGAGCTCTCGACGTTCTCCTTGGTGTTGGTAACATGAAGTATACATGGAGGGGGTGGTTTTTGCTCTACCATCAATTGGTTGGCACCATTTGATACCATCAAACAGCAAGCATTTAAATTGAAAATACCAGTTTGAAAAACTTTAGCAAAAAACGTCAGCTTCATGGTTTGTAGAGGTAGTAAATTTAACTGTCTAGATCTTTTTCCTATCCAATGAAATACCTTGTTATATTGGAAAGAATGACCACTGGAAGGCTTACTAGTCTCTGAATATTTTTCAGAACTTTTTTTAAGAATGGCTTCATCCCTGGAATAAAAATAATTCCATTTGAAAATGTACTACACAAAGATATTTTACGCACCGTCCGACATGACATTATAACATAATTCAGGGTGTTTTTTCGATACGATATCGCAAAAACTATGTACGTAACTATGAGACAAATGTCTCAGTTCAACAACAACAAACAAAATAAATAACAAAATAAGATTGAGAACTTGTCTGTTGAATTTCTAACTGAGTTTTTTCACATGAAAGGACGCTTATTTCTTCAAATATTTGAGTGAACGTCACAATATGTCATCGAAAAATATTTAAAATTTACCTTTCAGCCTCCAGCAATTCGAAAAACGCTTTGAGATTGAGTTGAGTACAGTTATGAAATATTACATTTACTGTCACACGACAAAACCTGAGAGAAATGCAAAGGAAAAGATTATTCATTATCGATGGACGCGAAAGGCGGGAAAATCAAAAAGGTCGAAAGCTCAAGCTAACAACATTGAACATAAAGTATATTTTTACAAGGGAAACCTTTACAGAATAAATAAACGGTTTACCCAAAAAATCCAAAGAGGATAGCAGCTACAAATTCATACAAAAAATATTTTCGATGTAGAGCTTTTACCTTCTTGCAAGAACAACAATGCTTGGACATTCAATGAAATACTTGATGTAAAGTTCAGTATTGCCCTCTGTTTCTTGTTTCGTGGTTGGATTTGAAATAAAGTTAGGACTCGTCAACTAAAATCAAATTAATCTTTTAACACCATTAATGCCATATGCACCAGTTTTCCAATCTTGGTAATAAGTACTTTTAAAACAACGAACAGTAAAAACTGAATTATTTTCAGTTTTTACACTACAAGTCTACTGGTTTTCTCTAAAAACAACGGCACTAACACTCTCACAGTGCACAAAGATGAGATTATCCCCAGCTCACTAAGTTCAAATATATTTTTTGCTAATAATAGCTTGCCATACGAAACATATTTATCTGAGTATTTTTTTTTTTTTGATAAAAGACAAGTCCAAATGAATTAATTATTGCATAAGGATAAAAATCGTCACAATCAATATGAAAATTGTAAGATGGGTTTTCCGGTTGGCATTCCTAAAGATTTAATTAATCTTGAATGAAATGTTAGTGTGATCACTACAACAAATAATATCTTTCCTAAATGACTTTTTAACCAAGTTTTAACAAAAATAAAAAAATAGATTCCCTTATATAAATTGATACATGCCTCCCCCCTCCCCTCCCCCCCTTGCAAAAGCATTCGAAAATACACACATTGACCTTCACTTCATTTTCCCTTTAATGCAAAGAGCCAAGTAGAGCAATATCTTCACCACAGGGATAAACATTTCATTGAAAATTCTACCTGAACAGAAGCAGGAGCTGATATTGATTCTGCTAAGGTAACAACAGCAACTTCGCTTTGACCGTGTATTGAATGTTTGGATAGATGAGAATCAATGAACGATGACTACAAACAAGGAAAAATTGTATTGGAAAATACTTGAATGCACGCAGTACAAACAGGTACGTAGCGAGTGTCGGTGATACGAAATAGATCTTGTATGATTGTTAAGGATTGATTAGATGAAGTATTGAAGAGAGTAAAGTGGGAATTTAAGTATTAATCAAATGGTAACTAGAAGAAGCAAATAAATAACCACAGCTACAACTAAACCATGACGTCATGTATTTATACCAACCTCCCATAACACAACAAGACCCAGGTCAACATTTATTCCACAATTAGCCATGTCCTCAGATTCAATGAGTTCTTTCCAAGGTCTTGATTTGCATAGAAACTCCCAGTGAGGAACGCTTGAAATGTCTGTCTGAGTTTACAAAGGTAAAGATTGCGGGAAAAAAATGATGTGAAATTTTGCAGTTTTCAGTTTGTTGATGCTACACAGCAATGTTCAGCAAAAATACCTCTTTATCAGTAAAGGTAACATGATTTATTGAATAATCTGAAACTAATAAAAAAAGAGAAAATGATTATTGAATAAGCAACACCCCACCCACCAACAAAAAGTTCACGCAATCTAAACATTACCAACCATTTAGTCTTCTCACCGCCTTGAAATAAGTTATGACAGTTTCGCCTCTATTGATGGTTATGACTCCATCTAAGTAATAAACAAAGGGAAGACTATACCCTGTTGAAATCAAACTTTTGTAATACCATTGTTCTGCTTAAGTTAAGTTCAGCATCGATTGAAGCATAAAAATTAAGATCTCATCTAATAAAAGCATAGTTTCAATAGAAGGTACTTATTTTAATACAACCTATAGAACCTTTTTAACAAAACAGCAATATCCAATCGTGTATTAGCGATATTTACCTTTACTGTGATGACTTAAAGGTTTTAAAATCCATTTTTTGCTAATGCACGAAACTTGATAAACTGAGAACGTACGATGCTGCGCTTCAGTCTATTTAAGGCATTGAAATGATACACTTAATAACCACAAATGATAACCACGGTTTAACTATATATGATAACCATGGTTTAACTATATATGATAATCATGGTTTAACTATATATGATAATCATGGTTTAACTATATATGATAATCATGGTTTAACTATATATGATAATCATGGTTTAACTATATATGATAATCATGGTAAAACCATTAATGATAACCATGATATAACCATTAATGATAACCATGGTATAACCATTAATGATAACCATGGTATAACCATTAATGATAACCATAATATAACCATTAATGATAACCATGGTATAACCATTAATGATAACCATGGTATAACCATTAATGATAACCATGGTATAACCATTAATGATAACCATGGTATAACCATTAATGATAACCATGGTATAACCATTAATGATAACCATGGTATAACCATTAATGATAACCATGGTATAACCATTAATGATAACCATGGTATAACCATTTATGATAACCATGGTATAACCATTAATGATAATCATGGTATAACCATTTATGATAACCATGGTATAACCATTAATGATAATCATGGTATAACCATTAATGATAATCATGGTATAACCATTAATGATAACCATAGTATACATGCAGTTCTCTAAATGAAACGACACATGCAAATACAAAAAATTTTAAAATAAACGCCAATGAAAAAACAAGATCTTTGCCGAATCTTAAACTCAAAACAAACCGGGACAAGTTTTCAACTTCCAAAGTAACGACCAACTCATCTTTATCCTCCGTAGTACTAAAAAATATTGATAATTTTATGTGATAACTTTTTCAATCACATTTCAAATCCTACACGACATAAAGAGAGATACGAAAATTCCGACAATTGAAATAAAAGCAAAGAAATAAAAAATGTCCGTTCTTACGTACTCCTTACACTCCGCCGAGTTGTCGATGTCAAGTTTTATTTTACATCTTTTCGCCGTGGCTCGAACAGCGAGGAGTTTTCTGTCTTTATAGAGGACTGGTGACGAACAGTTCTATGACTAAAACAGGTAGCTATTAATTTTTTGTTCTTATTGCAAAAATGAAGTGAAGAATAAAATGAAATGCATATAAAATATACAATTCCACGGAGGATCATTACGTACAACTAAGGATAAACTTTGCATATAAAATATACAAATCCACGGAGGATCATTACGAACACCTAAGGATAAACTTTGCATATAAAATATACAATTCCACGGAGGATCATTACGTACACCTAAGGATAAACTTTGCATATAAAATATACAAATCCACGGAGGATCATTACGAACACCTAAGGATAAACTTTGCATATAAAAATATCAAATCCACGGAGGATCATTACGTACAACTAAGGATAAACTTTGCATATAAAATATACAAATCCACGGAGGATCATTACGTACAACTAAGGATAAACTTACCACAGACTAGGATTCTCTTCAGCTGACTCATAGTAAAACAAAAGCTTCTCTTCAGTCGTGCCAGACTTCTGAGATCCTTGCAGCCACATATGGTATTCTGTTTGATCACCTGGATTCAAGCAATCATTTGGAAGTTTGATTTCTGAGACACGTTTAACACTTCGACAAAGTTGTTTCTTCTGAAATTCTGCAACTTTGACATCTTTGTTGCAATCTGCATCGAACGCAAATAGGTTGTCACTCGTAGACGCCACATGAAGTTTGTGTAACGGAGCTTCGCCTTCATTTGCCACGCATACATTTAACTGATGTAGTTCACCACAAAGCAAAGAGCTTGGAAAACTGGAAAACGTTACCTTAAAGAAATCCAATCTCACATTAGTATGAATATCACGTAGGACTTAAAACAATTTCAAAGCAAGTAACACCTTGAGACGTGGCATAGCTTTCACCACAACAATGTTCAGACGATTGTCTTCACCGTACATTACTGATGAACGCTCAACTTTGCTACCATTCAACCTTGGACCACAAACATTAATGTCAAGCTTTCCAGTGACACGAAATGCGTTCAGTTGATCAGCGGTATCAACAGGAGCATTACCACTCAGACTGTACTTTATTCCAGTAATTTGAACATGTCCAATTTTTCGAGGTGACACACAATAAAGCCTATAGTTGAAACGAGGTACATTCTGATAAATATAATGCGAATATGTGTGCAAATGAAATCTTGAAGATAAATACTGGTTTAGTTTCTTTGTCAGCGATTGTAAATTCTTTAATAACTTCAGCATTCACAAGATCATCATTCATTGCAAACTACACAAAGTCAGATGAAATGAAAGAACTTGAAGATAGAATTAAATTAGCCAAATGAATACCTCATTCCCGACAGGGTCATCCTTATCACTTTCTTCATCGGTAAATGTCCACAGCAACGTCATGTTATACAAGGTCAACGGTATCCGTAGAGAGTTTTAAAACGACTTCAACAGCAATCGTTTCTAAAATGTCGATATAAATTACATTCATTAATATACGAAGGCATGAAAAATACTTTGCTCCAGTTGTTGCCGCTTTACCGTTTATGACGGCACGAGGTTTCAATGCGTTTTTTGTAGTGTTTGTCAAACATGGTGTAAAATGGCGAAAGCTTGACGTCGCCTGCCGTTGATTGACTCTTTCAAACGTCTCCAACTCGATTTTCTCCCAACAAGCAAAATCCACATTCTCTATGTCTTGAAACGAATGCAGTCCAATTTCACGATGCTTTTCAGCATTGTTGTCAACATGAGCCTGCTCAAGCAGCGGTCTCACAGTGCCAACATGTTGGGGGGGAGGTGTGGGTGATGGTTTGTAAGCGAATAATATACGAATAGAGTTCTGGTGAAGAGTAGGAAGCGGTAAAATAGGCAATGATTCTCGGGACGTTTTCTTACTTGATTGCTAAAAAGAAAAATAACATATCACTATAAAGCAAGTGGTTTGAACCCAGGAGTATCGTTACATGTTTGTAAATGTAGATCGTCCAGGTTGGTATAGTCCTGAGAAGGACTGTTTTGTTGTTGTCGACTGACGTTTCGACAACCTTAGCGGTAGTCATCTTCAGAGTCAAATGAGGAGTAAACGTCAGGTTAGCCGTATTTGTTATCTGGTTCTTAAGTCATTGTATTGTGTGTACAGGAAATGTGTCTAACCTGACGTTTACTCCTCATCTGACTCTGAAGATGACTACCGCTAAGGTTGTCGAAACGTCAGTCAACAACAACAAAAACAGTCCTTCCCAGGACTATACCGACCTGGACGATCTACATTTACAAACATGTAACATATCACTATGTTAATGTATATTTGACCTAATACTTGTCAACAAAATGGACATTATTCAGTGTGAGTTTAGTTAATAAAAGTTTCAATTAGCGAGGAAAATGTTCTCACAACATGTTCATACAACTCAATTGACACTAGTTACTTTACAAACTTACTTCTAGATAAATAAATGCACACTCGTGTTGTAATCAAAGCGTAATCACACACTACACGATTTGCCGCAACTTCACGGTAATTTCAATGATAGCAAAGTAAAATATCTGATGCAAATTCTCGCCAATGGATTCAGAAGATACTCACTGCATTAAAATTATCGAGAGTCAGAGGGAACGAAGCTAATTAAACTCATCGAGAGTCGGAGGGAACGAAGCTAATTAAACTCATCGAGAGTCGGAGGGAACGAAGCTAATTAAACTCATCGAGAGTCAGAGGGAACGAAGCTAATTAAACTCATCGAGAGTCGGAGGGAACGAAGCTAATTAAACTCATCGAGAGTCGGAGGGAACGAAGCTAATTAAACTCATCGAGAGTCGGAGGAACGAAGCTAATTAAACTCATCGAGAGTCGGAGGAACAAAGCTAATTAAACTCATCGAGAGTCAGAGGAACGAAGCTAATTAAACTCATCGAGAGTCAGAGGAACGAAGCTAATTAAACTTATCGAGAGTCAGAGGAAACGAAGCTAATTAAACTCATCGAGAGTCAGAGGAACGAAGCTAATTAAACTTATCGAGAGTCAGAGGAACGAAGCTAATTAAACTCATCGAGAGTCAGAGGAACGAAGCTAATTAAACTCATCGAGAGTCAGAGGGAACGAAGCTAATTAAACTTATCGAGAGTCAGAGGAACAAAGCTAATTAAACTCATCGAGAGTCAGAGGAACGAAGCTAATTAAACTCATCGAGAGTCAGAGGAACGAAGCTAATTAAACTCATCGAGAGTCAGAGGAAACGAAGCTAATTAAACTTATCGAGAGTCAGAGGAACGAAGCTAATTAAACTCATCGAGAGTCAGAGGAACGAAGCTAATTAAACTTATCTAGAGTCAGAGGAAACGAAGCTAATTAAACTTATCGAGAGTCAGAGGGAACGAAGCTAATTAAACTCATCGAGAGTCAGAGGAAACGAAGCTAATTAAACTCATCGAGAGTCAGGAAACGAAGCTAATTAAACTCATCGAGAGTCAGAGGAACGAAGCTAATTAAACTCATCGAGAGTCAGAGGAACGAAGCTAATTAAACTTATCGAGAGTCAGAGGAACGAAGCTAATTAAACTTATCGAGAGTCAGAGGGAACGAAGCTAATTAAACTCATCGAGAGTCAGAGGAACGAAGCTATTAAACTCATCGAGAGTCAGAGGAACGAAGCTAATTAAACTCATCGAGAGTCGGAGGAACGAAGCTAATTAAACTCATCGAGAGTCGGAGGAACGAAGCTAATTAAACTTATCGAGAGTCAGAGGGAACGAAGCTAATTAAACTGATCGAGAGTTGGAGGCAACGAAGCTAATTAAACTTATCGAGAGTCGGAGGGAACGAAGCTAATTAAACTCATCGAGAGTCAGAGGAACGAAGCTAATTAAACTCATCGAGAGTCAGAGGGAACGAAGCTAATTAAACTCATCGAGAGTCAGAGGAACGAAGCTAATTAAACTCATCGAGAGTCGGAGGAACGAAGCTAATTAAACTCATCGAGAGTCAGAGGAACGAAGCTAATTAAACTCATCGAGAGTCAGAGGGAACGAAGCTAATTAAACTCATCGAGAGTGGGAGGGAACGAAGCTAATTAAACTCATCGAGAGTCAGAGGGAACGAAGCTAATTAAACTCATCGAGAGTCGGAGGAACGAAGCTAATTAAACTCATCGAGAGTCGGAGGAACGAAGCTAATTAAACTCATCGAGAGTCGGAGGAACAAAGCTAATTAAACTCATCGAGAGTCGGAGGGAACGAAGCTAATTAAACTGATCGAGAGTTGGAGGCAACGAAGCTAATTAAACTCATTGAGAGTCAGAGGGAACGAAGCTAATTAAACTTATCGAGAGTCAGAGGGAACGAAGCTAATTAAACTCATCGAGAGTCAGAGGAACGAAGCTAATTAAACTCATCGAGAGTCAGAGGAACGAAGCTAATTAAAGTCATCGAGAGTCGGAGGAACGAAGCTAATTAAACTCATCGAGAGTCGGAGGAACGAAGCTAATTAAACTTATCGAGAGTCAGAGGAACGAAGCTAATTAAACTGATCGAGAGTTGGAGGCAACGAAGCTAATTAAACTTATCGAGAGTCGGAGGAACGAAGCTAATTAAACTCATCGAGAGTCAGAGGAACGAAGCTAATTAAACTCATCGAGAGTCAGAGGGAACGAAGCTAATTAAACTCATCGAGAGTCAGAGGAACGAAGCTAATTAAACTTATCGAGAGTCAGAGGGAACGAAGCTAATTAAACTCATCGAGTGTCAGAGGGAACGAAGCTAATTAAACTTATCTAGAGTCAGAGGAAACGAAGCTAATTAAACTTATCGAGAGTCAGAGGAACGAAGCTAATTAAACTCATCGAGAGTCAGAGGAAACGAAGCTAATTAAACTCATCGAGAGTCAGAGGAAACGAAGCTAATTAAACTCATCGAGTGTCAGAGGGAACGAAGCTAATTAAACTCATCGAGAGTCAGAGGAACGAAGCTAATTAAACTTATCGAGAGTCAGAGGAACGAAGCTAATTAAACTCATCGAGAGTCAGAGGAACGAAGCTATTAAACTCATCGAGAGTCAGAGGAACGAAGCTAATTAAAGTCATCGAGAGTCGGAGGAACGAAGCTAATTAAACTCATCGAGAGTCGGAGGAACGAAGCTAATTAAACTTATCGAGAGTCAGAGGAACGAAGCTAATTAAACTGATCGAGAGTTGGAGGCAACGAAGCTAATTAAACTTATCGAGAGTCGGAGGAACGAAGCTAATTAAACTCATCGAGAGTCAGAGGAACGAAGCTTATTAAACTCATCGAGAGTCAGAGGAAACGAAGCTAATTAAACTCATCGAGAGTCAGAGGAACGAAGCTAATTAAACTCATCGAGAGTTGGAGGCAGCAGAAGCTAATTAAACTAATCGAGAGTCAGAGGAACGAAGCTTATTAAACTCATCGAGAGTCAGAGGAACGAAGCTAATTAAACTCATCGAGAGTCAGAGGAACGAAGCTAATTAAACTCATCGAGAGTGGGAGGGAACGAAGCTAATTAAACTCATCGAGAGTCAGAGGAACGAAGCTAATTAAACTCATCGAGAGTCGGAGGAACGAAGCTAATTAAACTCATCGAGAGTGGGAGGGAACGAAGCTAATTAAACTCATCGAGAGTCAGAGGAACGAAGCTAATTAAACTCATCGAGAGTCGGAGGGAACGAAGCTAATTAAACTCATCGAGAGTGGGAGGAACGAAGCTAATTAAACTCATCGAGAGTCAGAGGGAACGAAGCTAATTAAACTCATCGAGAGTCGGAGGAACGAAGCTAATTAAACTCATCGAGAGTCAGGGGAACGAAGCTAATTAAACTCATCGAGAGTTGGAGGAACGAAGCTAATTAAACTCATCGAGAGTCGGAGGAACGAAGCTAATTAAACTCATCGAGAGTTGGAGGAACGAAGCTAATTAAACTCATCGAGAGAAGGAACGAAGCTAATTAAACTAATCGAGAGTCGGAGGAACGAAGCTAATTAAACTCATCGAGAGTTGGAGGAACGAAGCTAATTAAACTCATCGAGAGTTGGAGGAACGAAGCTAATTAAACTCATCGAGAGTCAGGGGAACGAAGCTAATTAAACTCATCGAGAGTCGGAGGAACGAAGCTAATTAAACTCATCGAGAGTCGGAGGAACGAAGCTAATTAAACTCATCGAGAGTCAGAGGAACGAAGCTAATTAAACTCATCGAGAGTCGGAGGCAACGAAGCTAATTAAACTCATCGAGAGTCAGAGGGAACGAAGCTTATTAAACTCATCGAGAGTGAGAGGGAAAGAAGCTAATTAAACTCATCGAGAGTGAGAGGGAAAGAAGCTATTAAATAGTCGACCAGTCTTCCTTAAAGAGGATTTCTAAGATAATAGCTAGCTATTGTATGAAAAAAACATCAAGATTTTTCACCTGAAAGACTGAAAGATATTCTTTTAAATATGATACTTGTTGTTCGGGCGATTGAAGACTTTCTCCAACCAAGAGCATTCGGTACGCAGACAATGCTTCATCGATTTGATTAGTATTACACGACTGACGTCCAATTATGAAGTAAATGTGATCCTAAGTTTGAGATAAATGAGGATAGGACGTAGAATAGCAGTCAAGTGTTACGATATAATGGATAAATGGGAGTAAAATTGGATAGCACTAGTAAATAAGTAGTAAGTATCCCATTAGACAGATACCTCTGCCATTCGCCAAGATTTGCTGTTATATACAAACATTGACTGCTTGTAGCATCGTAAGGCGTGCTTTCTCTAAAATCAAAATGATGTAAAAAAAATTTAAATCCTAATCCTAACTCAATCCCTAACATTTAACTTCTAATCTTAATCCTATTGATTGTTTGCTCGTACATCTGTATTTGAAATATTCATATACGTACACATAGCTCGAGCAGCTACTAAGAGTAGCAGAGCAAACATGATCATTTATGTAAAAGACCACTTTACCTGATTAGCCTTGCTGTAACGATGACCAGCTAATATCATATTGAAGGCGTATTTACGAACACGAGATGGCTGAGTTCTTAGAAAGCAATGTGCAGCCTGTTCTAACAGAATGGCACTAAGAAGATCGGATTCCTAGAAAGAAATAACACAATAAACCATATGATATATTCACCAATGTTTTGATCAGACGATTCATGAAAACTTCACTGACTTAAGCACAAAGCATACATCACAAACAAACCTCTCCCGTCATTTTGAGCAGCGCCAACGCAGCCTCCAAATACTTCCCTTTAATTTTAAAGGCTTCGACACCAAAAAGAGTTGCTCTTGTTGCATATTGATGTAGTCGACAGGTATCCAAATACGTCGAGACTGAAGTTTCCATGTAAAGGGAGAGGTATTGTCTTTGACTGTCGCACATAAACGCAGAGATGGATGCCATTTCCTTGGTAAGTTAGGGGGGGGAGGGTGAGTTACAAAATATTTATGAGTTTGATATATGTTGAAACGCCGAGATGGATGCCATATCCTTGGTAGGGGAGGATGAGTTACAAATATTTATGAGTTTGATATATGTTGAAACGCCGAGATGGATGCCATTTCCTTGGTACGTTAGGAGGATGAGTTACAAAATATTTATGAGTTTGATATATGTTGAAACGCCGAAATGGATGCCATTTCCTTGGTACGTTAGGGGGGTGAGTTACAAAATATTTATGAGTTTGATATATGTTGAAACGCCGAGATGGATGCCATTTCCTTGGTACGTTAGGGGGGGGAGGGTGAGTTACAAAATATTTATGAATTTGATATATGTTGAAACGGAGACACAGACATTGTCAGAAATATGTTTAACTGTGATCAGAAATAAAGAGTAGGTTGTAAGGTTTTTTCGTTACTTCCTAACTTCTCTATTTACGTATCACTAGAAAAGTTGCCGTCTGTTGTCGTAAGAAGAAATGTGAACATCGACGTAGCTACCATAATCTACCTAAATCACACATCACAACTAAAAATATTTCACTTCACACTAATTCACAATGACAATACACATTTCCTGTACACACAATACAATGACGTAAGAACCAGATAACAAATACGGCTAACCTGACGTTTACTCCTCATTTGACTCTGAAGATGACTACCGCTAAGGTTGTCGAAACGTCAGTCAACATCAACAAAAACAGTCCTTCTCAGGACTATACCAACCTGGACGATCTACATTTACAAACATAGTCTCTAGTACGTAAAAAAAAGTAAGGAACTCACCAATGCGCCAGCAAAATACAACCACGCGTGATTCGCGTTGAAGTCCCGTTTCGCGGAATGATATGAATTGTACGCCAGTTCGTAGTTTTGAACAAGAAATGCTAGATCACCGAGCTTACGCCATAAAAGTTCTGCTGAATCGTTCTCATAGCTATAAATATATAAATTAATAACATTTTAAGAATTCCACATACGGGACACTAAAGAAGCGTTATCAAACGATGGCGTGGTAATTAAACAATACACACAATAGTCCACATTCCCCCCTCCCCCCCCATAAACTAGAGAAAAAGTCTTGAATAAAATAGTAGTTTCAAAGTGATTTTTCACGATACAGTAAGTGAATATTTTCTTGTACGTTTAAATATTTCTTTGAATCACAGTAAAGGAGTTTGGATGTGATATTTAAAGAGCCTTAATGACGCAGGAATTTACATTAATCGTTGAACTAAAATACATGGAACGCTACCTGTAATACAAAACCCCAATAATTTTTTGAAGCCGTGATTTTACCCCAGACACGCGTGTGTAGTCAATCAATTATTACTCCGCGAGAGAATCTCGAAACACAATAAACACGCGTGTCTGGGGTAAAATCTCGCGTGTCTGGCGTAAGATATGGCTTCAATTATTTGCTTGAGGTAGCGTTCACGTATTTTTGTTAAATGACATTAACAGCGAATAACTATTGTGGGCACATGCAGAAAAATTGAATAGCTTACTGGCCTATGTTGGTAATAAGCTATTCAATATAACTACGAGATAGTTCAGTCTCGTTACCAGGACTTTTTTGTCAGTTTGGAGACAATTGAAAGATCATAGCAATGAAATGGAAGCACTCACATTATACCAGGAATATGACTGGAATTTATTTGTCCAGGAGTTTTGCCACCACTAAACCATTTCTTTGTGACATTAAAAAAAGATTTATGCAAGCCTTTGCGCGCATTTATCTACAACAAAAAACGCACGTCGGTACATCTAAACGTTACATGTGATCACTAGGTGTACTCTCATATCCATACCTGATCATACAAAGACCTCATTGTTTTCTCGATAAATGGGATCAATCCTCGAATGGCCAGCTCATGAATGAAAATTTTTATCCTATCATGATCACTAAGTGTCAGACATGTTCCACGTTGTTCACTGTTACTCTTTGCTCGATTCATTAATGTTCCATAGAGATGTGTTGTACCCTTGTTGATTTCTTCACCATCAACATTATTTTCATACAAATGTTCAGGCTCTTGGTTAATTTCATTCTCAAATGATAATGGACCCATAAATTCTGACTGCATGTTGTTCTTTGAAAAAGACAAGGACGAAACGCAATTTTCATTAAAAGCCAGATTATTTTCTTTTGTTTCTGTTTGACCTTTTGAATCAATTTCATCCTTAACCGTGTCCTATTGACAGAAAAATAATGAAATTGACAGTCGCCTTTCTCGTACAAAACATTAGTGATATGTAGGAAGCCATATTTCTCTAGAAGAGATGCCACATACCACCTACCAATTTCTTTGTGTTTGTTGGTATTTTGAACTGTGACCATGGATCTGGAAGATGTAAACTATTTTGTTCCACACTTCGGGAATTGATCATCAACAAATGACAAATACTTGAACCATAATATGACTTCATACTCTGATATATTCCTTCTGCCCTGTTGATTCAAGAGCATCATATCTTAAAGATGGAGCACACCAACTCTTAAATATTATCATGCTTCTAAAGACCCCCTGAAACCTTGCCATTTTCTAGTCCATGTACTACTTTGTTTACTATTCTTCTTTACAATAACATAAGTCCCAAATATTATTCACAACATAAACCTGATTATCCTGGTTTACCTAACTTTAACATTACACAATGTACCTGTTTAGGAGTATGAAGAAATCAGAATAGTTAACCTTTTACACAAAATTTTACAATTTTCACATACTTATTCTGGACGCCGTTGGTGACATCATGTATCATTAGGTAATATTTAAAAATGTTTGCGGCAAACCATCTAGAATTAGCACCATCTGATGTTTGCTGAATATCTAAAGCTTCACTCAGAGAATGAAAAGCATTTAAAGGATCATCATTGTTTGACGAAACTACAAATAAACCTGATTACTTAGTTAAGAATGAAACAAGTCGCATTTTTTTATGATCAGCTTCTAACGGACTAGCTTAGTGAGTTTTAGTAAAGTTTCTCAAGTCAATGAACATAATAGACTTGCTCTGATTTGGTGAAGACAAATTGATTTCGGCTCCTAATGATTGGGATCATTTTGCAAATCTGAAATCAAAGTTACTGTATTCAAAGTAAAAATTGTCATTAACACCAACTGCTATCATCATTTCTGTGTTGTAACAACCAATATTAAGATAAGTTAATCATAAAAAGGATACAGCCCAAAAAATGACGAATAAATTCATGATTAGATGGTTTGAGAGTTTGAATAAAACAATCACGAAAAGCTTCAAACCATGGCGCGGATGCTAAAAAAATAAGCACATTGTACAATCAAGGATCAATGACATGACTTAAGCTTGCCACTAACTGTGTGATAACAGAATTATGAAACCTTTCTTTTGTTCTTCAACTGACATTGAGTCATTTCTCTCAGGTCCATGATTCCTTGAAACAACGTCAGCTAAAAGTTTATTGACGGCATCTTTTGATGGGGCAGGAGCGGACAGTTCTACAAATCGAAGTTTCCATCCTTTCACTGGGTGGGTTAAGTTCAATGGATCACGAATATGTGCTAAAACAGAAATGACAAACTATCTTTGTAAGTAACTTGTATTTTGGTAATTAGGAGAAACATATCACTAAAAATAACATACATGTTTGTAAATGTCGATCGTCCAGGTTGGTATAGTCCTGAGAAGGACTGTTTTTGTTGTTGTTGACTGACGTTTCGACAACCTTAGCGGTAGTCATCTTCAGAGTCAAAAAGAGTCACTTTGACTTCAGAGTCTTCAGAGTCATTTTGGCTCTGAAGATGACTACCGCTAAGGTTGTCGAAACGTCAGTCAGCAACAACAAAAACAGTCCTTCTCAGGACTATACCAACCCGGACGATCGACATTTACAAGCATGTAACGATACTCCCGGGTTCAAACCATTTACTTTAAAAATAACATGGCTGATAAGCTAGTTATCTAGGCATAAATATTTCAATATTCTTTCCCGAAATTTTTCGTATCACCTAAATAAGTGAGCAACTTTTAGGTAATCAGAGTCTCACTACAACAAACTAAGAGGTAAGTTAGTGAGTGGATACTGAACTTACTGCTCAGTTTCGTTGACTAAGCAACAAAAATTTAGGTAAGATAAGAATTGAATGCAAAAAAATCATATTGAACACGTTTTTATATAATACCTTCGCTAGTCAACTGTGAAAAAGGACGTAAAAGTTCAACAAATTTCAGGTTATTTTTTTGGCAAACAAGCTCGGCATCTTCCGTGCACAACACGGCTATCACAGGACTGTACGCTCCTTGAATAAACTCATATGAGGTTTGCGAGCACCGTGCCATAATTTCTACGCTCTCATTCAAGTTCTTTTATGTTTGAATGCTGTTTTATTTTATCACAGTTCCCCATCGTCTTCTAACTATTGGGAAAATTAAAAAATACGAGCTTCGGCAACCATTATTTTCTTCGTTCCAGTCCTCCAAAGTCCAAAATGTCAAACCGTCGTCGTGTCAATTTGCTTATTCACCTTGACGTTCAATTAGCATTTGGCAATTCTTTATTAAGATGTTTTCGTAGAGATACCAGGCCAGCAAAAACGTAAAGTCTGAGTTGCTGAATGCGTAAAGTTTGAGCTGGGTTGAAGCTAACACCAATGCAATAATCAAACAGTGAATATTCTGAAGAGAGGACATTAAAACAATGGCTTTCACTATCACCACATAACCGGAAAACTCACTATCCTGAGAGATGTGAACATAGCCAAAAAAAGCAGAGCAAGTGGAAATGAAAGTTTCATGTACTTTTCCTTTTTACTAACGAAATATGATTAACAACTATTGTATTTAGAATCCACACATTTACAACAAAAAATATTAAACTAGCTGTCCACACCAACAGCAGAGTATTGTAGCCACGAAATTCAAAAAGATAAGCTGCCAGCAGCCAAAAGGCCTAAAAAACAAATGAAGCAAAAATTAGTAAAAGTGCCCTTTGAAATGATCAACTGTTTGAAGCTATGAATATGAGAAATGCTTATTGCATCCATTAGCAAAGCCAGTTGCTTTTTCTCTCCAAATATTTTTGTTCGTAATGGAAAAACAATAAATAGAATTGATTTTTTAAGGAAATGAATAATAGTTTTGATGAAAAATTTGCATTGTAGAAGTAAAAGATCGAGCTTGCTTTACAACTGATCACATCATTCATAACAAAATTTGTAGATCTAAATGACTACGTATTTGTAGATGACATTTTTAAAAATTACCTGACTTAATCCCCAACTTGATAACATCATTATATACTTCCAGTTTTTTATTTTTACCTGAGGCAGCGCTAGTGGAAATAAGGATAAATACCAAAGGAAGTACTGAAATAAAAAATTGATTTTATCTATGAAAGTATAGGATCTGTTGTGAGATCAAATTAAATTCTCAAATGCTGTCATACAAATATACCTGTGATGTACAAACTTTGTTAAAACTGACAAAGGCAAAAGTCTGCAGAAAGCAACAAAATGGTAGATCTTTGTAGTACTTGATGCCAAAAAGAAAGACAAGAAGGAATTGAGGAAGAAATGCAAGTAAGCTAATAAGCCACGAGAATGGGCTATCCATGGTCAAATATAGCATGTAAAAATAAACTGAGAAATTATGTTTTACATCCTTTCTTGTCAAATGGTAAATGTATGTATGCTCAAGGAACTCGTATCCATATCTAGAAACACAGAATATGATAAGTTAAACTAACCAGTAAGGTGAGTCAATTATCATTTCACCAACTTACATGAAGTACATGCTTCCAGTCATTACAAAAAATACTGATGCAGAAATCAGTCCATATTTCAACTGATGTGGATGAATGACGTATGAAATCATACAGGAAAACCAACCACCATTTCCTCTCTGACGTCTAGTATTTTCCTTTCCTCTTGCGTACCATCCAACTGTTAAATATAGTGGTAATGCATATATTATTGGGTAGATTTTAAAATGAACAGAAATTCCAAAGAATATAGCAGAAACATTTGACCGCTCTTTGAGTACAAAATAAAAAGTGGCAAGAACGAGGAGAGCCAAAACTGACTCAGCATTGCCTCTAGTTGATACTGTTATTGTTAATGGATTAAAGAACCACAACCAAGAGTATTTAACAGCCCTAAATTCAGCGTTTCCTTGACTTTTCAGAATTAAAACGATAAGGTATCCAGCAAGAATATCACAAACCACAAAAACAAGTTTTCCAAAAGCTTTATGAATCGTTATATTTGACACGAGTATCCACGCTAGCAGTGGAGTGTAGCGATAAGTTGCCCTGGCATAGGGAGAATTTCCCATAGTAACATGTCTAGCAGCATCAGTGAACACCTCATAATCAATGTCTGTATACTTTAAGACCATGGTTGCATCCTGCCATTCACCGAAAAACATGAATAAAATCCTCAAAAGGAAAGAAACAATACATGTAGTTTTCAAATCCAAACATATTATAGCCATGTTTATATGACAGATAAAGGAAAAGGAACGTGTTTGTTTGCGGGCTCAAGTACGATCTCGCATGAGAAGGAACCCCAAGATGGCGCAGGAAAGAAAGGAAAGAAAAAAGCTTTCAAAGAATCTTTTAAAAATGAAGGTGATACAAGGATCCGTGTAGTTAAATGCACGAATGCCTTTGGTCATTATCTTACTGTACTAACATATTTCTAGTTCATGCAACGAACGGAAGAAGCAAAATTACGTCAAAAGTTAGAAGAAGAAGAGAAACGAGAGATCGATGAAACACACTGGGTACTTGATAACGAAGAAAGCGCTAAGGATGTGTAAGACGTTGATGTGAAAAGGATTTATTGTATTGTGTGCAAATTTCGTGCAGATTGCTTACTTGTTTAAACGATGTTAATGTTTTGCATTCAACTGACTTTAGGAATGTTTGGGAATACGAGCCAAGCTTTGTTGTTTGCGAAAACCTTCTTCCAACTGGAAGAATGTCATTTAAGAAATTCAATCCCACCATTGAAGTAAGAAATCGTACAAGCCTCTGAAAGTAATTTGCTTATCACTGCTAAGTGATTGATTGGGAATAGCATTTCAACTTATGGCGTTTTTAATTAAACATTTTAGAAGTTATTTAAAGAAATAGTTGCTCAAAAGGAACTAGCTGAATGTGAAGATCGCGAAAGGGAGGAATGTGTTACAGATGAGCAAATGGTTGAAAGGTTTGTTTCCAGTGCACATAAAGTCACGTTTCTTTTAAAAACCTGATTCTTTTTTTTGATCCTTAAATTATTTCAGGTTTAATTCCTTGATTGACACAGTTGACAAGAAATTCAGTGCCAAGAGGAAGCGTCAAAATGTTGCACATGAGAAGAAGCCGGAACAAGCCAGACTATCTAAGAAACAAAAGATGAAATTTAAGAAACCAAAAGAAGATTGATCATATTATCATATTATAACATTTTATGCAATTCACGAGTGACCAGAATTCTCGTACATTGTGGAAGTTTACGATAAAGTACTGAATGAATTGATCAACATCCTTTGTAAATAGACAAAACATTTTATTATAAGTAAACTTGTGAAGAGAGTAACTATCTTTTCGTTATTAATGATTTTTTACAATTTTTCGACAGTTTTGTACAAAAAACTCTTTAAGGTCGCTGACTGCGTAATAAAATTCCTTTTTAAAATTTTTTGCTTCTGCGATGAAAAAATCCGAATGCCATCTTGAAGAGTGTGATCTTTCATTAACTCTTCGATTAACAATTATCAATGCTAATTTGTTGATCGCGCGAATTTCATGACGTCACACAAGCGTTTTTCAAATTACGTCATAAGCAGTTGCGAGGGCTAATGAAATGACCCACACCTAACGTTCTTACTGTTCTGATGGAGGATAAATTGGAAGAACTGGTCGATCTCGTTTCCAGTTTAGGCCAAAGATTAACGACAGTCGAGGCAAAGGTGTCAAAGCTCGGCAGCTTGCATGAACAAGGTTTGGAGTTCATGATAGTTCATAATAGTATTTCACAGTAGTAAATCTTGCCTTCCGCCACAATGGGTGATCAACTCTTCATCGGTTCATTACTGATGTGGGGAATTTGGTACACATTAAGTTTAACGTCGAATTATCCCACTTTTCGTTTCAAGGTAAATCAAGGCTAGCGGAAATCCAAGAGTTCTCTGAAAATATCGTTACGTTACAGGAACGTAAGCTTGCCGAAATGGACTCCAACATGAAAGAACAGAAAAAGCTTGTTTCAGAAATGCGCACAAGTTTACAAAGCCTTCAAAACTCCCGCATCAATCATAAGGAAGTTTTGGTGAGGCATGAAAATCAGACGAAAAAACTCGTTGAACTTGTTAACAGTATAAGCGAGACTCAGAACGAACAAGAAATGGAACGGACACAAATAAGGGATACCGCAGCCAAACGCTTCAGTACATTTGAGCCTAGGGGTCGTCGGACACAACACGAAGAACTGTATTTCCTAGAGCAAGGCCGTATGCCTGGTGGCTCGAGGAGCAGCAGTAGACGTCGTCATACCAGGGCACATACATCTGGGTCAAGCCGAGAGTGGGCTATGTCTGATGATAAATCACGAAGAAAATCCACCTTTCATTAAATTAAATGTCCCAACAAAGCACTTATTTGATACATTTGATTGACACGCTGTGTGTCAATGAAGAACACAACCCTCTATAATGAATAGAACATAATCAATACTGGTGCAGTTGTATACCAACTTATAATTGAAAATGTATAATTTTGTAATGTGCATAATAGAAAATCTCATGTTTATCAATCATATTTACCAAATCTTCACTTAAACAATGAAGTGAAATAAAATATCAAAACAGTCTTCAAGAGGATAGTTTATCATTATCTTCATTCAACTCATGGATGGCAACAATAGCTGACGCAGACTGTGCTCTTCTGTGTCCATGTTTGCCAGCATGACCATTAGGAATATGACCATTACTTACAACATTTCCACCATTGACAATTGATTCTTTTTGTAATGGTAAATCTAAATAATTTGGTATAGATGTGACAACTTCGCTTCTATCTAACATCATCTCAACTTCACTCTCGCGGCAAGCTTTGTTCAAATACTTTCTTGCTTTTCTAATCACATAAACAGATAATCCTATGGTAACAATAACTTGTAGAACCAAAATGACATAGTTGCCGGAATGTTCACTGATCACATCTTCTACTGAACGCAATGTGCTTCCCATGTATGTATTCATGGCTTGAGTGGGAAGCAAGCCAACTAACGAAGCTGATAAACATTTAGTCAAGCTAATATTTGTAATCTAGAAAATGAAAAACAAATTACGATTAAAAAATATTTAATGATTTTTGACAATAGCCAAGTTTAATAGACAAAATACAACAGGCACATCTAGCTAACACAATAGCCCAGCAGGTAGGGTTTCTCTGCCTCATGTAAACGTTTGCCAATTTTTGACTGGCTTTGGCTCTAGGAAAACCCTTTAGCTCGGGTTACCCAATTTCCATGTTAAGAAGCCCTAAGTAATTGGATATCTCATTTAACATAGAATGACCTTGGTTAGGGTAAAGCACAAGGATATCAAATTCCAAAGTGAGCTTTGTTGACTTAAACAACATACGATAAACAAGATAGTTTTAAGTTTGAGTCATTTCAAATTTCATATTTATCACGAGTACATTATTTTATCGACATACAGCATGATTTTGCAAAAAACTGAATCATAATTCTCAAGTGGGAGAGGACAAATATAATCAGTGCCAAAACACACAAAATAAATAAGAGCTGTAGGTTTGACCACCAAATATAATACTCAATATGATCAACAGACTATTTTAAAAAAATCTTTTATTGAAATAAATGAGTCTAATTGAAACAAGAAATTTTACCGAAGCTAAGCACTTACCGCAAAAAGTCCATTTTGCAATCCAAAAGGTAAAGGAGTAAGTCTTGAGAGTGCAATAACACGAAAACCTTTCTTGCCTTCGACAACTCTCACAACAGCTAATAAATTTTCAGAGTCTAAACGCTTTCGGACAAAATCTCTAAGACAAAGTCGACAGACTTGAAATGATACCAATATTCCTATGAACACAGACGAAATTACAACAGCTAGACCTATACAAAATCCATAAAGGTAACCAGCAGCTACGTTAAGTACAATGTAACCCCATGCCATTGGAAATGATACTATAGTGAACATAACAATAAATAGTAGAGCTCCTTGCCATTTCTGCAGGTTTTCAACCCATTCAATGATGTCTTTTAAATGATCACGACAGAATATCACTAAAACTGCTACCAAAATTAATAAGAAAATGAATGATCCTGAGACATGAATGCATCGACTTTCCTGTAGACATGAGCATCGCTTCACACCACCAATGACCTGATCAAACTTTGTAGTTTCACCCAAACATTTCTGTGCCTGGGATTGAATATGCTCTGTGCACTTGTGACCCATTTTCATGGGCACTTTGGGTGTCTTCGAGCTTCTTGAAAAAATTTGTCGCTACCTTTTTAAATCATATCTGGCTAACATAAACATTTTCCTAACAAGTTAAAATTAACGTGAAATCTCCAGTGTTAAAGAAGTCTTTACGATAAAAGATAGGTTTAACCTTGGTCGAAATAAAAGAAACGAACTTTTACGGTCTTCTCAATTTTATGATGTGATGGGATTAAAAGAGACAATCTACGGAACGGCACGCTTTATGGCCACCACCTCCTCCCCCCCGGAAAATATGATATTCAGTATATATTCTGACGCATATTGTTATATTTTGCATGGCACGCCCATAACTAGATGCCTTGAATATTTGATCAAAAAGCCGAAATATTATATTGTGTTACATGACAACAAAATATATTGAAAGGCATTTGAGAAACCATGCATAATACTATTCATTGAACAGATGAAAATACCAGAATTTTTGTCGTAAAATGTCGGGTTAGACCAGCCGTCTTTTTTTAAGCTGTCATTTGGTGATGAACTTCATCCTGTTTTGTGTTCTACTTTCATCCACTGTAGGTAAGGGAAAGAGTTTGTACGATTTTATCTTGTCATTCAGATCTTTTTCAATGATACTTTATTACTAGTAAGACTTCAGAATGCTGCAATGTTATAATACATATTGCTACGTCATGTGTTGCAATTTTAGGATTAGATGCATTCACATTACACGAAATGTTTGCAACGAGATACAGTAGGACGGTGATGGGTAAAATGCTACACGAAAATCTTAAAGCCATAAATAGTGATCCTATTGATATAACTCAGGTAAAACAAATGTATGAATTATGTATTAATAAAAATAACTATTAATAATATGTTTTAAATAATTTTTCTCCTCAGTGGTATGCTGTCAATATGTCTCTGTTCAATCAAGATGTGCTTGAGAAGTTTATTCAATTTGACGTTGATGAAGAGTCTCAAGAGTTTTTAGAAAATTGTAATGATAAAACAAATTATGTGTTTACTCAAATGGCACACACTGTTATTAAAAATGTTCTGCGCTTTTTCATATCTGTTACAACAATTAATGGGTGAGTATAATTCTCATATCCCGGACAGAAACTTGTTTTCAGACAGTGTTTCACTCCATTTGTTTTTATTCTAATAGAATTCTGAACAGAGGCTCAATGTTTGTATTCTCTAATGCCCAGTTTCGAAAGCTGATGAACATCCCTGAAGGATGGAAAGCAACATCATTACTTGACCTTGGTGCAGGTGATGGCAAGGTTACAAAAATGATGGCAAATCATTTTGAAAAGATTTATGCTACTGAACAATCACCTAGCATGAGATGGCGACACGCAAATGAACTACAAGTATTGGAAATTGATGATTGGATGTCAAGAACTTATGATGTCATCAGTTGTTTGAACTTACTAGACAGATGTGACAAACCTTTAACTTTGCTTGAAAACATTCGACAATCATTGAATGAAAACAGAGGTCGATTAATAGTTGCTGTAGTATTGCCATTCAAGCCTTGTGTTGAATCAGGTAATTCATGCTAAATAGACAAATTACTTATGATGAATTTGAAGCCGGTGGTCTTACAGAGAAATTGTATTTTTATATCTCCCAGGCACAAAAATTATCAAACCCAGTGAAAGAATTCCTGTGAAAGGGAAGCACTGGGAAGAGCAGTTGCAAAGTTTTATATATGATGTCTTTATTCCTGCTGGATTCATTGTTGAAGCTGTCTCAAGACTTCCATATCTATGTGAGGGTGATATGCACAAAGATTTTTATGTTTTGAGCGATGCTATATTTGTGTTAAGACCACATTTGTAGATAAGGATGAAATATGAACAGTGTGCGAATTAGTTCAGAAAAAACGATGTGCAATTTTTTTGACAAAAGTGTTTCTTTAAAGGCATAATCAAATCGATATTACGTTAATTATTATATAGCTTAATTGCTAAATTAATATTTTTAAACGCGTGAACAAATTCATATGATTTACGACAGTGTTTTTCGTTAAAACCGCTGATTTTGCACATTGTTTGAAAAAGTGATTTGCAATTGTTTTCATTTCAGCTAAAACAATGTGCAAATTGCACATTGTTAATTCGCACACTGATGAATAAAAACGTATAAAAATATAGGCTCTAAAGTTTGACTATCGTGTAAGAATGTCTTTTGGTTGCCATTACTTGTTGTTGCTTGTGTACAGTAGTGGTACTCACCTTGTTTTATAAATATTTTTTTCATCATTTTTACATTCTTTTTTCTGAACGCAGACCAAATAAATTGAGTTGAATTATAGAATAATACCAATGACTAAAATGGCAATATCTGTTGCTTTTATTTATCATCTTCATCATCAGAACTATTATCTTCAGTTTCTTTTTTACTTGGCAATTTCTTGACAAAAAGAACCTTATCTGTTTGAATGATTTGAATGAAAAGCTGCAAAACAGAATAAATTAAATCATAATTCGCCATTGTCGGCTCCAAAACTCCTTTCTTAACAATTGGAATGAAATTTCCACTTCTATCGATGCCTAACAATGGATGACCTTTATTAGACATTGTCTTGTTTGAGCTTTCAAATGAAACATGTTGAGTTTACAAGAAGAATTTCTGATAAGTTCTCTTGGAATGGCGAGTAGTGATTTCTCTAGTATTTCAATGGCCAAATTCAAACTTGTATTGCTTGAATATTTTTTCCTGTACTGTTCAAGGACGTGAGAAAATGCGAGTTCAAATGCTCCACCTCCTGGAACATAAGACATAAAGCACTGACATCCCGAGGATGTTTGTTTTATACAGCTTTGGAGGCTTCTTAGCATGCTTTTTAATGCCATTGAGTACTGATGACAAAATGACTCATTAGGTGCAAAAAGAATAATTTGCTTGGTGTGAATCTCCTCAGACATCAATTGCACATAGGTATGCAGTCCAACTTGCATTGATTTACATGAAGTAGCCATAGCAATATGCATTGGTAAATCATTCATGTCAAATATTGGGCTCAGATTAAATACTTGGGAAATTTTGGCAATGTCCTCCTCAGGAATCAAGTGAATGGCAGCAATTGAATTCTGATTGCAAGCATTGACAAATGTTTCTCCTAACTTTTTCGGTTAATACTAGTTGTATGTTATGTGAAACAAACACTGAATTATATTGAGCACAAATTCTTGTTTCCAAAGAAGAATTTTCTCAATTTGATTTCTTTCTTGCACTGAAAATATCGATTTCCTAAGGTATCCTCATAATCTATGGCACATTCATATATAACAAACTTAAAAACTTCTCATCTTTTGGTTTTGGTAAAATTTTTACCATAGTAAGAAATTGTCTTGGTAAAAGCACTCCTTGTAAAATTGTAGAACAAGTGAATGGCTTCCCAGGAACCTCCCACACAGCTTCATTAAAGTTATCAAGAACATCTGATATTCTGACTTGTATAAGTTTGAAGCTTTGTAAAGCATTTTCTTCAAATAATAATTGACTTAAAATGTCAACAAGGATTGTACATATATTCGGATTAAATTTTCCATCAATAGTTGTGCGTAGGATAGCCTTCATGAACCAATTAATATTACTTCCATCTTCAAAACAGTGAGCTATAACTCCTGAATCTTTCAAGTCATTGAAAACTCCAGGCAATACAGACAAAGCCAAATACTTCATGCCATGAGAAATAGTGAGTGTTTGTTTAATTGAAGCAACATCTTTACAGCTTCTATACTCGCAACTTCAGAAAGCATTTCTTTGAGCAATAACATGAACTTTTGCTGAAATTTCCCGATTTTACCATGCCATTGTAGCACAGTTTCCCAAAAACATTTCCAAAAGATAAAGATTTGATGATCGCATGTCCGTCATTTGTCATTAACATTTTTCCAGACGTTGTTGAAACTAAACAGTCTAATCCATTTGGACCAAACGACGCTTTCACAACTTGTACTGTCCGATCTAAGAATTCTAAAACATTTTGCACAAATTTCAAATTATCTGCCATTATGCTTTTCAACACAAAGAGTTGTGCACTTGATTCCATTAACCAGCTAGATATTATCTCCGAACGCCGACAAAATTACGACGAGAGTTCTTCGTTTGATGAATCTGTTTGATGGAAGAAAAAAATTTGGAAACATAAACAATGAAAATCATAACATGAGTTCAAGGATCCAGTGATTTGTATTCAAGACGATGATAAAGTGAAAATAATGAAGTCTCGCTCTACAAAAGTATTGGAAACTAAACAAACCATTATTTGATGTACGATTTAATTTTTTGTTTGTCTGCGGCATCAGCCACGACATAAAGACACTTAAATTTCACACGGTGAGTATATTTTTTATTTTTGTATTTGCTGTATAGAAATTGATGATTAAAATTTCCCAATGATTCCCTGCTTAACAGTTTTTCTCGGGATAACGTGATTTCTTGCCAGCACTTTCGTACGCTGCCGCATATGGAGATTTTAAAATTGTTGTATTCGGCGACGACAGTCAATTAAGTATGATATTATCGTGACCTGTCTTATGTTTCAACTGTTAATGAATTTTCCGTTTTAGTTTTTATAAAGCTTAAATATCAGCTGTCAATGAAAATTTCTCATGAAATTGCAAAGTGTTATGGAGACCCTATCCAAGGATGAACTTCTTGAACAAAGTTCTTTAGCAGTTGAACAGGTATATATAATATTGTTTCTTTGACTCTGAGATATTATTAAGTATAGTGATGTGGAGTTGTTTTAGATAAACACGGTTGTAGAAAGAATGAAAAATTGTAGTGTGCCAGGTTATGACCTAGACACGTATGTTTTAATAGATTCAAAAGAAGTTTGCCCAAGGAGAAAATGTCATCAAAGATTGTCAAGAAACTGTTTTTCTGTGTCAATGTGTTGATAATATATTACACCACGGACTAAAGGATGGGTAGAGTAAATTATAAACTCTATAAAGAAACATCCATCAAATAAAAGATTTACATTCATATCTAGAAATAATTTTTCTTCATGGTTTTCAGGTTGATATCTAGGGCTATGGAGTTTACCATTTGGTCAATGTTGGAAAAAATTACCTGTAGTGAAGATCTGCACGAATTAAAATGTAAAATGGCATAAATATGGTAGCAATGAAATCAAATATCATTTTAAGATCATATATTTGTTTCAGCTTACATCTTAAAACTGACAGAGACAAGTGTTATGCTTGGATAAGAATGGCTGTGAATCAAAACTTATTGGGAAGCTACATAGCCACTGTAAGGCAAGACAAATCTTTGCTAAGGTAATCCAGCGCATTTATAGCAATGTAAAGATGAGAGTGGATTAAATGCAGATAGATTTATTTGTTAATGTTTTTGTTTTTTACAAGTAATCATTATCATGAACATGCATTTTTACGAGATCCAATCATGGCAGATACTGTCCAATCCATTCTCAATAATGGAATCACAAACTTCGACTTTGACATGTATGTTATAAATTGATATAAGTTCTATTAGTTGCATGTATCCATTAGTAAATAGTCACGAAGACTTTTTGGTTCTTTTGTAGATCTGTCCGTCCACAGACTTTGTTTGAGCACAACAACATTCAGAACTTGATAACCAGTAAGCTTGGCCATTTTCTTTGAATTTTTTGAACTTACAAAGCAAATCCGCTATTGGTTGTTTTTTGTATACTAGAGCCTCAAACCATTCATGGCTCTTTTCAATATGACATTGGTAAGACTAGAGAAAATGGCTATGACGGTGAAGAAAGTCTTCAACGTACTGCGCATATTGTGCAGAAGAAGAAACAGCGAAGGAAAAAGCTTCAAGTTAAAACAGTTGTGATTGAAGAACAGGAGCATTATGATGATACTGAACTGCCTGAAACTCTCAGAAACATGAATGTCTCTTGATCCTTGTGATGAACACGGAGAAGCGGGAAAAATGACGTCACTTGCTGACAAAGGTTTTGCTACACAGTGCGTAGAGAACTCAGAAACTCAAACTTTGCTTTTAAAAAATACATCATCTAATGAAATTACTGATCATAATGGTGTTGATAATACACAAGTCTGTGATCAAACAAAGGGTTTTATAGGAAAGGACATTGTACAAAGTACTCTTGGTAATAGTGAAAATTACAAGGAGCCAGAGTTATCTGAAAGAATTGAAGCAGCAGTTTCAATAAGTTCCAAGAAAATGTTTGACGCGAACGACTTTCTTTTGGAAGAGTCCGTTGACGAGAACAGTTTTGTTCAAAACAAGTATAATGTTAACGATTGTCCTTTTGAAGATGATGCGAGGACTAAAAACGAATCTACTGATGACAAAAGTCACGAGGTTCACGTGACTCATTCAACAGCAGAAACTGAAACACGCACAAATGATGATGAAAGGACGGAGGAATTTGAACATAAGGGGGGAAAAGATACGGTAGTAGATGTTGAAGGAAAAACATTTAATTCAAAGAACAAAGATACGACTGATGGATGTGAAAAAAGTTCTTTTGAAACTCCTAAATCCATCCATCGGAGTTCTTCTTCAGAGACGAATAACGTCACAGAAGTTTCAAGAAGTGCGAGCTTTTACGACTATCGAGTTCGTAAAGTAGAGAATCCGGAATTAGTGTCTTCATCGTACGGTTCATCGTTTAGCGACTACACAGATGATGATAAAGACTTAAATTTCATTCCCGGCATTCATAGGATGTCCACGAAATCTATTGCGTCATCATTGGAACGAAAGAGCAGTGGGGAAAGCGCGGTGTCATTTGACAAAAATGGTTTTCCGGTGTTTGAATCGTCTCATTTCACAAACTCTGCAAGTTTACAACGTTCAAGTAATGAAGAAAGTACAAACAAGCAAATTGTAGACGAATCGGATATGTTTGAAGATTTGTTGAATGTCGAGGAAGAGCATTTCTCAAATCCAGATGTATGTCGTTCTAATTTTTCTATCAGTTTTTTGATTTTTAGCTGAAAAATAATATGTTTCATGTCTAGCATTGACACTAACATGTCTTTACACTTAATGTAAAAAGTTTCTTGAAAAGAGTTTCGATTCTCATAATTCAATTATGTTACTCCTCGGTGTTTGTGCTAATAATTTACAAAACTTACTGTATTGTTGCAGAATTTTGCCGGTCTTACTGCGAGTGAAGAATTGGAGATTGCCATTGAACATTACAAGAAAATGATCATGAAGAGACAAGAAAAATCTTTGCCAAAAGATGATCTCGTTGATAAGTTGGTCAAGCTTCGTCTGCGCCTACAACAAGAGAAAGTAAGAGAAAGTTTCTGCGTTATAACATTCTTTGATTTCACCAGAATATATTCATTTTACCTTATATTCATTCCATCAACATTAGGATACTCCTCCTGTGGATGATACAAAGTTCCATAAGATTCTCGGTCATCACTTTAGGAAGCAGGAAGGTTTGTCCGGTGTGAAATACTTCTGTGATCAATGCGGCAAAAATATCTGGACCGTATGGCAGCCTCTCTTCACCTGCAAAGGTTTAAAAAATACTTTTTCAACATTTAATGAAACTTTAACATTATTCAATAAAGCAAATGAATTTCGTTGCAGATTGTGGATATCATTGCCATCGCAAGTGTCTTGATCAAATTCAAAGATCTTGTGTCAATAAAAACGTACTCAAATTTTTGTCTATCATAAATTTTTTCTTTTTTTTTTTGGCCCAAAACAGTAGGAACTAAAAAAGGGATCCACATTGTTCGTGAAAACGTCTGTTCTTGACATTGTTTGTCCTTATAAACTTCTAAAACTGTCTAAGAATGATTACTGGATTGTCTTTTTGTTTTATTTTTCTGGGCCTTATATAGATTACAAAAATAAGTTATAAAGCATTTTTGTTATCTTCTATCGAGCAATTGAAGCGATATTACCTTATCTCTTGATCTTTTTCCTATAGCTGTCAACGGCGTCGTACATTTTTGAAATCTGTCCAGACGGCGGTCTCGATGGTCAGCAGTATAAATGCGCAGAATGTCGACGTCCAATAGCTTTTTCGAGTAGGTCGTTGCTTATTTAGTAAAAACTACTTGCGCATTTGTCATTTCGTAGAATTTTAATTTTGTAGAAAAAGATTCCGTTGCAAGAATATGCGATTACACTGGTCAATATTTTTGCGATAGTTGTCATTGGAATGATCATACTATCATTCCTGCAAGGGTTTTACGAAACTGGGATTTCACTCCACGTAAGGTGTGAATAATACATTTTTATAGTAAAGATGAATTGTCATCATATAGTGACGTCACGAGGCATTTAACATCATCAAGACATGTATCATTGAAAAGAAAGTTTGTTTCTAGGTGTGTCTTTGTTTCTAGGTGTGTCTTTGTTTCTAGGTGTGTCTTTGTTTCTAGGTGTGTCGTAGCACGAAACAATTGTTGGAGCTTATGAAAACCAAACCGATGGTGAATATTCAAGAGATAAACCCTCAGTTATTTAGATATGTCGAGGAACTACGGGAGATTGGGGTGAGTTACTGCTTATGACGTAAGGGAGAATGAACCAGGTCTTTTAGTGATGCTTGGTTCGCCTGAAGTTAAAAATAAATGAAATTCTTTTCTTGTTATCCTAAACTTTTCAAGGAGTTATTGGGATGACTTTAATAAGAGGAAGGCGTTGATATCATCTTTACTAGCTTAGTTTGAACGAATAAAAACAAAGCTAAGACTAAATATACGGTTTCTAATCCCAATCAACAACTTACTATAATGCAGCAATACGTGTGGGCGTCTATTAGAGATAGGGCGTTTGTAGAGTGAGGCATCTCATACAAACTCGTGCTCCTGTGATATGGAATGCGTTTATTTGCGGGGTAGAATATACTGATTTTACGTAAAGCAAGCCTATAACAGATGAAAATAATTATAGAAACTTCGTGAAGATATTCTTATAATGAAGAAATATTTTCTCACCTGTCGCGAGGCACTAGAGAGCAAACTTCTCATTCAGGTAGGCTTTCGGCTACGAACTTCTGAAATTAAAGCGTGGAGGGTATATATACATCTCACGGGATTCATTGTTTTTCTCACAGTTAAAAAAGCGTCAACATTTCGTCGACAATGCAGACATGTACTCATTTCAAGACTTGATTGATCTAAATAATGACATTCTCCTGCCCGAAATCTCCAAAATTCACGCCATTTTTCTGGCGCACATTAAAGCTGATTGCGATCTTTTCGAGCCAGAGTTTTATATGTGAACTATGTCAAGATTCCAGTGATGTTATCTTTGCTTTTGATACATGCTGTCAAGTGTTACAAGTGTTCAGCGGTATCACAAGTACGTACATTTAATGACTTATCTATTCACCCTTGTCTTCTGTTAAATGTTCCAAGTGTTCAGCGGTATACCGTAAGTACGTACATTTAATTCACCTTGTCTTCTGTTAAATGTTTCAAGTGTTCAGCGGTATACCGTAAGTACGTACATTTAATGACTTATCTATTCACCCTTGTCTTCTGTTAAATGTTTCAAGTGTTCAGCGGTATACCGTAAGTACGTACATTTAATGATTTATCTATTCACCCTTGTCTTCTGTTAAATGTTCCAAGTGTTCAGCGGTATACCGTAAGTACGTACATTTAATGACTTATCTATTCACCCTTGTCTTCTGTTAAATGTTTCAAGTGTTCAGCGGTATACCGTAAGTACGTACATTTAATGATTTATCTATTCACCCTTGTCTTCTGTTAAATGTTCTAAGTGTCAGCGGTATACCGTAAGTACGTACATTTAATGATTTATCTATTCACCCTTGTCTTCTGTTAAATGTTCCAAGTGTTCAGCGGTATACCGTAAGTACGTACATTTAATGATTTATCTATTCACCCTTGTCTTCGTTAAATGTTCCAAGTGTTCAGCGGTATACCGTAAGTACGTACATTTAATGATTTATCTATTCACCCTTGTCTTCTGTTAAATGTTTCAGTGTTCAGCGGTATACCGTAAGTACGTACATTTAATGACTTATCTATTCACCCTTGTCTTCTGTTAAATGTTTCAAGTGTTCAGCGGTATACCGTAAGTACGTACATTTAATGATTTATCTATTCACCTTGTCTTCTGTTAAATGTTCCAAGTGTTCAGCGGTATACCGTAAGTACGTACATTTAATGATTTATCTATTCACCCTTGTCTTCATTAAACTGATAATTGTAAGCCATTAGGCACGCGTCGAGCTATGTTCAGAAACTCTTAAAACTCCACCTGATTTTTTTTTAAGGATGTGCTTTAGAACAGAAGACTGCCCCAAATGCCGTCGCAGGAAGAAGATCACAGAACAAATGTAGTTAGGGGGAATTTCGCACCGAGAAATAACCTTAAAAGCTAAATTTGATCGATTTAGTTTTCAAAAGTGGGAAAAATTTTGAAAATAAGTTATTTTATGATTTCAAGGCACGTGGTTTTAAATTTTGCACATACGGAAAACGTCAGCTGTGTTAAACATTCAACTCACCCCTTAAACTCCCATCAACTTTCATTCATATTATCTTGATCATCAACTCAAAGGAAATGTCAAAACTGCGATAAATTATAAATCGGTGTACTTTGCTTTTTTGAGCACATAAATAAAATAGCTATGGAATACACGAAGAAATGTTTTATTGCATTAATAACTTTTTATTATTGTTTATTATTTTTTTGCCTGAACCTTAATGGCACCTTCATCCTGATGTACTGTTGCTCCACAATGGCGATAAAAATCTCTCTTTACCAGTCCTACGCGGACATGCTGACGTGATTGTACCTCCAGTGGTGGCCGGTTTCCATACATAGAAGATGAAAGTAAAGGAACGGCTCTTTCTTCTTCCTCTGCTTGCACATCAAGACCCCGTGTGTGTTCCCTGTCATCCCTGTGTATCCTACTGCAGTAACCGTGCTCAATGTGGAACATTCTATCGTATGTTGATTTGTTATTGTTCTAAGATTAAGTTACGGATTGTTTATTAACGAGTTGATGAAAGCAACTTTAGAACGAGACTCACCTTTTTCTTGCGGTTGAAGTATGTTAAATTGTTGGAAAAATTGAGAGCGTTTGATCGATCCACTGGAACATAAATTTCGCTGCAAGCATTTTTCGCCAAAGAGAATTCTTTCTGTAAACGATAGAATTGATCAGGACGAAACACGCTTAAGATCAAATATAAAATGTTCATAGAATTATTTACTTTAATACTCCCTCCACTGTTCTTTAATTTCCTCAGGACTATATTCCTGCATTCCATAGCATGATCTGGTCATACCTTTTTCAGCGTACATTTTCTACTAAAATCTCTACATACGATACACTTTAGCCAATGACGAGAGCGCGTGCGATTTCCACTTGAATGACGTCATATAATTGTAAACCTGTTTTACTAGTTTACAAAACTTCGAGTTCCAATATATTATTAAATTTCACAAAATAACTTAGATATGTATATAGCTACAAATTACGTGAATATAAAAGGGTAAAAATATAACGTATTTGCTAAGAAATATTTTCAATATCTAAATCACTGTCATCGAAATCACTATAATTATTACCACTAAACTTAACACCTTTCTTAGGTACGTTATCAAATGCAACATTGCCACCGAGTCGACCACCTAAAACATTCGTAGAAATTATATGAATTAAAAACAAACTATAGAATGCTTTCTTTTTGCATTTTGTCATTAATAAGTACAACAAACATTTTCTAATGATCGTGCTGTTGTTGAAATATCGAACAACGTTCCCAAGATATTTCGTAAGTAAAGTAAATGGTTTGAACCTGGGAGTATCGTTATATGTTTGTAAATGATGATCGTCCAGGTTAATAAAGTCCATCACAACTAAAAATAAAATATTTCACTTCACACTAATCCACAATGACAATACACATTTCCTGCACATTTCCTGTACACACAATACAATGACGTAAGAACCAGACAACAAATACGGCTAACCTGACGTTCACTCCTCATTTGACTCTGAAGATGACTACCGCTAAGGTTGTCGAAACGTCAGTCAACAACATCAAAAACAGTCCTTCTCAGGACTTTATTAACCTGGACGATCATCATTTACAAACATATATTTCGTAAGTGTTAAGGAGTCGAGTAAAGTACGAAACAGGGCCGTAGCTAGAACGCTAATTGTGGGAGGGGGGGGAAGTTGTGTGACTGAATCAAAGTGATGGCTTTTATTCAGTTGTTTATTTCATAATTTGGTTCCAATGGGTTTCTGATATATACTAATATGAAATGAACAAAGTAGAGGAATTTGGAAATTTTTATTCAGGCATGCTTATATAAAATGTTTATTTGTCACGCTGATATTTGGTTCCAATGGGTTTCATGATATATTTTTTCAGGATGTACTTTGTGGAATTACCTAAATGCATTATTATTATATGTCTCTTAATTAAATTAAATATCGACGACAACTTTTTACTCACCGTTAGATTGTAAGGGTTTCTTCGCAAGTCTAAAATCAAAATGTTGAAAGTGTGAATATCATTAGTGTATACAGTAACAGCTTAAAATCTTTATATTTATTTTTAATAAGGGAAAATTGCACCCGTCAAGACTAGTATGCACTGGACTACCACCGGAGACCAGTGGAAAACTATACGTAAGGGAGTTAAGTCACGTGATTTAGTTTACTGTCGTAAGCCGCGCATGAAAAGCTCGTGACTAGTTGAATCACTGGCTTTAATTTTGACTGGAAGAAGCCTTGCAGTTATATTAATTTCAATGCTGCTATATGATGGAGTAAATGAGTAAGGCAGTATTGAACATACCCTGTCTGTTTTTTATTGCTGTCGGGCTCGGGAGAACTGGATAAAAAATCGCTCTCGTCCTCGAAGTTCTAAAATTCAAAATTGAAAGTTAAATAAAGAACATTTTATTTCTCTTTATATAACTCACAAAAAATCACAACAACAAGCATGAAACTTACATTTACATTGGACGAAGGTAAAACAGCGGAGTTTGGGGTCGAATGAATAAGTGCCACAGCACCTGCAGGTTTTTTAATTTCCGATGATCTCTTTAAGCTTCTCTAAACTGGATGCAAGTTCTTGCACCTAACAACGATGAAACCCACAAAACATGAAAGTGGCAACAAAAGTTAAAAATTGTCACTTCGCGTCCATTTTTTATACCTGAGATGTTTGTGATGGTATATGAACAGAAACCTTCGGAACCATTTTCCGACCATGGGCATCCTCCTCACTTTACAAAATAAAACACGCACACAGGTAATGATGTAGGCAAAACCTAAAACAACAATACACGCTTCATACCTCAAGGCTGAGTCCCAATCGACATCTTCATCAGATCCTTCATCGGTTAACTCGTGCTGCATGTTATCTACTTCGTGTTGTCTGCTTTCCTCTGACACGCTTTCAGAAGGTTCAGTCACCGAGGTCGTAGTGAATGACATATCTGCTTTCGGTGAAGTGGGTTCGGTATAACTGCTACGTCTTTCGTGACAAAGAAACGGACACATATACACACTTATACACACTTATACACACATATACACACATATACACACTACACACAAGCGAATATTTTGTGCGTTCACAAGAGTCCGACTGAACTTACCTTTTCAGCGCGAGCTCAGCAGAATTAATATCCAAGCCTGCTTTAGGAGATGCAAAACCTCTGACAGCATTGATGGCACTTGCTGTAGATTTTAACGAGGGCTTCAAAGTAGGAGAGCGCCGTATGAATGAACCTATAAAACAGAATTTGTCAGTAAACAATCTAAATTAGAAAAAGAGATTAAGCGATGATTGTCACCAATACCTTCAGGTTGATCTTCAGACTTTGCCAACTTTTTTATATTTGATGTTTTCCTCGCCAAGTTATCAACTTCTTCAGCTTTTCGCTTTCGAATTTCCTTGAAATTTCTAAATTTCTAAAACAGCAATTGACATAGTTGAAATTACAAATATGTATCCACCAATCTTTTACTCAATAATATTGTACTTCTTTTGATAAGGAGAAAGTTTTAGTTCGAAAAACGAGAAAGATGTAATAATCACAATAAACTGTGGCGACTTCACTTAATTGGTTTCACAAATGATTTCACATTTATAAAATGTTCATTCACATAGAGCTAGCTTAATGAGATGGCCTTAACCTGTTGTCATCTTAAAGATATAATTTGCACTGATTATAGCGTGTCCCCTAACGTAATACCTTGGCATGGCCTTCCTGTTCTGATCTTAAGGACTTCATTCTAGACTCGAGCTGTTTGCTTGACAACCGCGTAGTCTCAGGTTCAATTCCTCTCTTGCCTAAACCCTGTTCGAACTCCTCTTTACTTCATCCTTGCATTGTTCCAAAGTCTTTGCTTTGTGGTTATATTGTGCTATGTGGAAAATGTGGAAAAATAATCGCACGTTAATCAACGCAGCTAAACTAAATCCTGCAATATTAGAGACTGTACGAATCCGATCTCTTCGGATTATTATAGGTTATATTTATACAACACAAAACTGAAACGAATCGTTGATAAATTAAATCGTAATCTTCAATGAGTGTCTTACTTATGATTGTTGGAAATCTCTCAAAAGGTGTAAATGTTCCTGTCTCTAAGGTTGTTCCCTAAAAATATCAAGGGAATATCTTTACATTTTAGCCAATTCAAAACCACAGGATAAAACTATTTAATGATGTTCGATATAAGGAAACGCACCAATTCCTCTTCAGATTGATCATCCTCACTCCTGTATGAAAAAATATGAAAATAAAAACATTTGGTGAACAAATTTACAGAGCTGTACGATTCTTTCAGTCCTTTCTTCAGCACCGAAACTTCACACACAAAAGAACAAATAGTTTTGGTTTTATTTTTCCGTTCAACTTGCGCAAAGTACATACTCTGATTCAAGAGATAAATTTTCTGGAACCTCACCTCTCCACTATATTAACTAACATCAACAACAACGGAGTACATACTCTGATTCAAGAGATAAATTTTCTGGAACAGCACATCTCCACTATATTAACTAACATCAACAACAACGGAGTACATACTCTGATTCAAGAGATAAAATTTCTGAACTCACCTCTCCACTATATTAACTAACATCAACAACAACGGAGTACATACTCTGATTCAAGAGATAAATTTTCTGGAACCGCACATCTCCATTATATTAACTAACATCAACAACAACGGAGTACATACTCTGATTCAAGAGATAAAATTTCTGGAACCTCACATCTCCACTATATTAATTAACATCAACAACAACGGAGTACATACTCTGATTCAAGAGATAAAATTTCTGGAACCGCATCTCCACTATATTAACTAACATCAACAACAACGGAGTACATACTCTGATTCAAGAGATAAAATTTCTGGAACCTCACCTCCACTATATTAACTAACATCAAAACAACGGAGTACATACTCTGATTCAAGAGACTCTTCAGGTTGCTCAGCTTTTGAAGGAGGAGGAGGAGGAAGGGGCCTTGGCGTTGGCTTTTGTACTTCTTCTACTTTAGTACGATTCCTAAGTTAGTAAATACGATGTTGATAAATTACTAATGATCAAACCAAAATATTTCTCGTTTTACCACCCTTCAACAATCAAACAATCATCTCTCACCAACTCACACAATAAAAAGCTTACATTTCAATGGCTTCAGCAAGATTTTTCTTCGCACTCTCAGTGGCAGTGTTTAAACTAGACACAGATAACTCGTCTGTGTAAAATAATGACACATACATACAAGAACAAAAATCTACATCGAAGATTGATAAAGTGGAAATTGTGGTCAAATATTTTATATTTTAGTTCGATAAAGCTACAAGACTGAAGATTACTGAAGTTACCTGAATCAGACGGTTCATCAACACCTTCAGTTCCTGTATCAGATACTAAAGTTCCAGATCTACTCAAGGCTGACAAATTAAAAGACAACAATACAATTTTCAATCTTGCACTGAAAAAATGACAGCATTAAACTCACGTCTTGTTGGGGAGCCAGCTGGGGTTGTTTTAAGCGCATAAAATTTAATTCCAGTGTTTCGCCATCCAGATAACGTTTCAGTCTTCGCTATAGAGGACTTGATCACATTGGCGCTTCCTTTCTCCAACAAATAGCAGGCGATACTTCCAGCCAGCGGTATTGAAGATACGTAGAACAAGTAATCAGTGCGATATTCATTACTAGGAGGAGATGACTTGGTTGAGATATACTGCCTCCAATAGGGCGAGCCACCAGCCGAGTATACATAGATAGGATAGTTGAATGGTGGGTAAGGCTCTCGACTGGCCTGGAACGAGAACTGATCTGACCAATCACGTGACGATGCCGAGGCTTCCCGACGAAGTTGATAGTCGGTACCATTGAATGCAACATACAACGTCATGAGATCATCTAAAAAGATCATTTATAAAACATCTCAATGCAAGGCGATTACTAGTGGTGCTAGATTTCATAAACTTGCACAAATGATCTGACTTTTTTTGGCTGATATGAACAACTTTATGCTGATTTAACAATTGCGAACAAGACAGTTGACGATGACGTGCAAGTAAAATCTGAACGTCACTGCTACTGCATAAAGATCGACGTATAAAGCGTTTAACTAATGGATGTTTACGATATTCCAACGTCTCTTGAGAGTGAATATTTTTTACAGCTGTATAGTATGTTTATACTTTCTTTGCAATAAAAACACCGCATGTTAATGAGTAATCCACAAGAAGTGGGGGAAAAAACAAACTTTATTCGATCGGTCCATGTATTAAATTATACACATTACTAACTCTCGTCGCTCTCTGCCAGTTGTGATGATTGTTCGACATGTTCACGGGTTAACGCACCTACAAAATAATGAATGAAACTGTGCAAATGAACGAAAGAAACAGTACAAAGTACGAACAAGACAAACCATACCAATTTCATGAGCAGGGCTGGGTGGTTGAGGCGGTTTACCCTGTACAGGAAATAATGAACAAGACATTTGTGATTCAAGATGACGGTGATCAACTTTACTGATACAAACACTTAGGTCTTGTCAGCAATTACGTAGCAGGCACGTTAATCAGATCAAATCTTTATGTCATGAAATATTGGAGGGGAGGGGAGGGAGGGGGTGACATGGACGTAAGAAGATCGATAATTGGAGGGGGGGGGGCTCGTGTTCATTTATGAATGTTATAATCCGTGTGCAAAACAAGAGATTTTAAGGCAACTTAACACGGCAAATCGTGTAGATATAAATATGAGCCACTGGCAGTTATTAATCTTCTTACGCCAACGGGGAGAAAGATTGTGTTGCTAAGTTACCCGTGGAAAGTGCTTGACTCTTTCTCGCTCAATAATCTTCTAAAAAATATAAAAAAGAAAGAAACTACAATTGATGAAATAAGGTATGATTGTCATACGTTCAAAGGCTTTATTACGCTATCGCTATAGCACTCTCAATACCACGCATGGTGAAAATGTTCAGAACTAAGAGAAATAGATTTTTTTCCCTACCTACATACTCTATACTTTATAATGATCATCAAGTAAGAAGTATTACTATATGGCAAGTGTCACTTCCGGCTAAATGGCGCGCTTTGATTGGCTCAGAAGCATTTTTGCCTGTCCATTATTTTCCCGTAATCGACCACAGTCCGAAAAGCGTAATTTTATAGTCAAAGGCAATCGCCCTACGATCTCGGTCTGTACAAAAAAACTACGGTCCGATATTTCTTTGTAAAGACCTCAAGCTCGGCTTAAATACTGACCTGATTAAGTCTATTCACTTTCTGTTCAAAACTTATCACCATTTTTCTTTCTCAGCCCTTTCAGCTTCAAGTGCGTCGTTGAATTTCTTCAAAATGGATTCGTACTACATTGAAATAAACGATAATTAATCAATAAATGAAATAAAAACAAACTAAAGTCTCAACTTATGTCCCAAAGAAATTTAATCAAACTATAACAACTAATCTGGATCATACCGTAGCGCATGCTCATTACATAACCAAATCTTACTTTGTCTTTTCAGCTTCGTTATCTTTCTTCATCTTCAATTCCTGTTTTTTGTATTTATCCATTAATTTTTTTATATTTTCCTCCGCATGTGTATGAATTGAAGTCACCTACACATGAAAATTATTGATTGCTAATTTATTATTAATTATACCTACTCTTGCTTTAACAATTGTCTTAGTTTGTGGTCACCACAAGCGTAAGAAAACGGCATCTTATATTTATATTCACTTATTTCTGTTGTATGTCAGCTTTGCGCAGTGGCAGGATCATAGCCGATGAGGTTCATCCGAGGCGTGATTATTGCTGATTGAAAACTTATACCAATACCCCGCTGGACGGCCTGAAATATGGCCGGCTATGCAATTTTTCATGGTCCTTAACTGGACCGATAATACTCGAAATAAAACATAAATGCACGAGCAGTAACTCGGATTTAATATTTCAAAGATGACTAAAATCAGTGTGCAAAAATATCCATGATAAAGGGACAGTCAAATGTAAAGACAACTTTCCCAATAACCTAGGTCAATATTTAAAGTATGTTCGCGAGTTGAGGCAGATCGACTTCCTCGTATCGCAGTAATTGCTGACCTAACTCGGATTAACTCGCAGTAACTCGGATTCTAGAAATACAACGGCGCACATTAAGGGCTTATATTAATTATAAATATTACTATTTTAAACATAAGAAGCAAAACAAGAAGTTAAACTATAGAGTAAATAAGTTTGCATGTGACAGGTTTACGGGAATATTGCGCACGAGAAACTTGACTTAGATTAAATAAAGAAATTGTTTTAGGTGCTAAAATTTAGACATTACAATTTTCACCGAAATCGTGTTTTACATTTGCTTCGCATAATTTTCATTTTAAGTTCCAATGACGGACGTTATTTAACAACATCAGCGAAATAAATGACGTAATACGGATAGAGCTCAAGACGAAGAATAACGAGCTTGTAGATTTCTTTCGCGGCTTTATGAATATAAAAGTGATTTGAAAACATATTGAACGCACACAAAGAGAAAGTTAGTTCTCATAAGAAAAATAAGCTTACTTCTTCATGGAGTTCTTTACGTATATTTTGAATATCATTTTGTTGCTGCTGCTGCTGACGACTTGAAGCATCATGATTTTCATCTTCATCCTGAGCAATAGATATATTGGAATTGAAAACAAGAGACACGAAAGACAAGTGACGTGAAATTGAGTTCAGAATTTCTTGATAGTTTTTCTGTTATAGTCAAGTCACGATGAAAAAACCATCTTTAAAGTAAGTTTACCTGAATTCCACGAACCAATGACACCCTTTCTGATTTTTTTTCCAATTCAAAAATTTTCTGTTGCAAAAAAGATTTTCGACGACATCAGTCACGCAAAAAGTCTTTTGAAAACTCTTGGATAACTCACACCTGCTCTAAGGCTGACTTTTCCTCGTTTAACTCAATCATGACTGAATTCTTGAAATCTCTCATCTCATTCTAAAGAAAAACTTCAAAAGCTATGATGCATGCGTAAAAAAAGAACATTAGCACGAACCATTTGTCTCTGTTTTTCATCTTCCTTCCATTGAGCATATCTTTGTTCTAGTTCTTTGATTTTATTCATTTCTTTGTCTTCCTTCTAAAAAAATACCATTTACCATTACAAATATAAGACTAAAACTTTTTCCCAATAGAGGAGGAGGAGATTAACAAAGAGTCAAATGAGCAAATAACCTCAATCTGCTTTGCATCTTTCTCTTCCTGCAATTGCCGTTCGGTTGACGCTAATCTCTCTTTGATATGCTGCAATTCTTGCACAACTTCATTATTTACTTGAGAGTTCTTAGCTGGAAGCTCAGCATCAGTATTCAACAGCCTACTGTGACGTCTTTGTTGATGGCTAACAAGATACTCATGGCTACTTTGACACATTACATGCTGATGGACTACTCATGGCTCACAAACACTTGGGACAAAAAGGACACTATATATTAGGTACAATGTTGATGGCTAACAAGGTACTCATGGCTCACAAACACTTTGGGACAAAAAGGACACTATATAAAATTAGGGTACAAATGTTGATGGCTAACAAGGTCTTCATTGCTCACAAACACTTTGGGACAAAAAGGACACTATATAAAATTAGGGTACAAATGTTGATGGCTAACAAGGTACTCGTGGCTCACAAACACTTTGGGACAAAAAGGACATTATATGAAAGTAGGGTATAAATTTTATAAGCATGTTAAGAATACAAGCAAATCAACTCAAAAATAAAATTTCCAATGATAGGTGTGTATAACTGTTTAATAGAAATATTATCATCATTAAAGCATTTCACAAATTCAACCTTGTGGATGCCACTCGCCCCAGTTCTCATCATCAATTGATAATCTGCTAACATTTTACGAGCTTTACGATTCTCCTTCTTCAAGTGATTTACCACATTTTCTTTATCTTCCAACTCTTTTTCCTTCTTTTGAAGATCCTATTTTGCAAAAAATGTTTTTGTGAGGTATACCTTCAATTCGATATATGCCATACATCAACTGCATTTCACATAAATTGAAGAGCTCAACTACCTGAGTACACTCAGTCAGTACTCTTTCATTTTCTCCAATTTTTGACTGTAGAAACTGTTGAGAATGCTAAAAAAATGAACCTTTTTTAGGTAATTTTTATAAAGCAATTGAATGCAATTCATCTTGTGATGTAGAAGTTAGCGTACTGTATAAAACTTTATGCATGTAAGAGTTAGTTTTGAAAATTGGTCGCAACAAAAAAATAACCAGAAAAGTCCTGAAAGCCCAAGGAATCACAAACTTACACAAAACTAAAAAACCTAAAATTTTGTAATTCGGTTTACCATTAAATACTCTATGATAAGCTGTGCCAGTTGAAACAGCTTCACAAAATTTGAATCAACAAACTGGGAATCCTAAAAAGAAAAATGATATGTAAGTACAAAGACATTGTCATTTCAAAATGACCATAAACATCAGAAAGTATTACCATTTCTGCTTCAATATCACAAAATGTTATGTTCATAATGTTTTCTTGGAGACATTGAAAATCCAATTCCCTTGCAATTTTGCTCACATCAACAGCAGCTACAGTTGAAATACAAAGACCGAACGACACAGATAGTGCATATACAAATTGTTGCATGCTGAAAGATGGTTAAGGCAAATGAAAGAGGTTGCTTTTAAAAGAATATCTTGCTTTTCTGTATATCTTTTACTGCAACTAATTTTTTTAGCCCCCATTCAACCTGTTGTTTTCAACAAGTACTCTTACTTTAAATGATTAACTATTTATATACAGTAACGGTTTCGATAAATGCTGTTAAATGCATATTTTTCATTCATTCACACCTAATTTCCTCCAGTCCACTTTACTTGTTCTTTTCTTGAACGTGAACACGGTATCTAAAGATAAAAATATTTACAAACACGCGTGTGATATTACATTTAATTATGACTCGTAGTTCTTGGGCACAGTTGCAAAGCAACGGACGCCATTTTATAAAGCGGCTTTGTTTACAAAAAGTCAATGGAAAACTTACTTTTTCGCTGGCCTTCAGACGAAGATGGCTTTCCTGAAAAAGACATACTTCACGAAAAACGTTTTAAAATGTTATTTAAAATGCATTTTTCAATGGAAAAATCTTGTGTTTTATAAGTCCGTAACATAAGTATATAAACTTCGTCAATCAAATACAGGTTGTTATATGAGCTTACATGAAGTTTTTCAACGTAATTCTGACTGATTCTAGGACTGTAGCTTTTTATTATGAGCGTGGTGATTTGATTTTAAATACTGCTGAATTGGTGGAATAAAAGACAAGATTTACTTAAAAAGTACATATAAGAAAATAACCGGTATCCTAGATGATGGACTATAGAAGAGAACGTGGGGAAAATTTGCGCTATGAAGTAAATCTGTATTGATAATAAACAATTTACAATAGATGACTTGCCCTATTTACGTTTGGCTGGCAGGCAAATTAATCCCAAGAGATGTTGTCCATTATTGCTAGTGTTGTTCAAAACCACTCGACCAAGTCTTCCTGCCAGCAAATTGTAAACAAGGCAAATCATCTTTTGTATATTTTACATTAACTTAATGGGTCTGTTTCTCTTAGCTGAGAAGAGTTGTACAATAGCTTGCTCGTACGAAGAAAAATACTTGTCACATCTGAAGGAGATCATCATTGGTATGACTACTTTTTTACTTGATTGTAGAGTAGCAGTCAAGGTCGCAAGCGCCCAAGGGAAGAGGATATTGCTCGTTCAGAGAATACAAGTATAAAAAGAAGTACGATGTTGAACCTGAAGGAAGGCCCAGAAATATCAGCGGAAGAACGTGAACAGATTTTGAAGATGGTTGCGGAAAGCGAGCCAGAGGTATTCATTCAGTGTGTAGTTTTGATGCATCAACAACTTTTGGCAAATTCCCAACTGCTCAATCTCTTTATTTTCACCCTATGTAAAAACTTGACTTGTTTTATGTAGGTTAGGAACAGAAATTTCGAAAATATATTTAGGAGGTTTGTACCCAGTTATCACAAGGCAAATATAAAAAATTTTAGGTTGAAGCATTGGATTCAAGTATGTTGCGGAAGTTACTGGTCTCCTTTGAAAAAAAAGTGAAGAAAAACACAGAGATGAGGATAAAATATGTTGACAATCCTGAGAAGTATGTATTCATTAAATTTAATTATCCATTTCTAAATTCCAGTAACCTTACCTACCCCTCCCTGGGGTCAAGTTTTCCCTGTTGAATGGACAGGGTCACCTGTGAAACTATTTAGCATATTGGCAAACACATTTCTATAAGATGCCTTGCATCTCGTCATATCTCATGTATATTATTTTGATACCAAAGGTGTTTAGAAAAGTTTGACCAAATGTATTACATTTATGCCAAAGATTTTTAGAATCAGAGTTGGACTTACATGATGAAGTTCAAAAGCTCCACGTGATTGCAACAGCCCCAGAACTTTATAACATACTCATTCAACAAAACTCGATGCAAACAATTCTTGGTCTTCTAAGTCATGAAAACTCTGGTATCCTTTAAAAATTATATGAGGTAACTCATAGCAACGTGCTTACTAAGATTATGAACAGGTATACCTTGATAAATCTCAGATATTGGAATAGCAGTTGCTGACCTGTTGCTCGAACTTACTGATGTGGATACTTTAAATGAGAGCGAGGAAAGTTCGGAAGTATTGCTGGATGCTTTGGTGGGTTGATGTTTCTTTCTAAATAATGGCAAAGTTGCAATTCAAATCATGCTTCTAAAGAACTTTATGACCAGAGGCGTAACTGGAACCTTAATTGGTGTGTATATTCATATATTTAGTTGTGCCCTACTGATTTCTTTTGAAATTCAAATTACTTTCAAAGAAATCAGCAGGGCACGACAGAATACATGAATATGCACTCCCCCCCCCTCAATTAACGTTCTAGTTACGCCTCTGTGTATGACATACGTAGAATAAAGTAAATGGTTTGAACCCGGGAGTATCGTTATATGTTTGTAAATGATGATCGTCCAGGTTAATAGAACATACGTAGAATGTTCATATTAACTACACATTTATTTAAATTATCATGCATATCAATCCAGAACCAATCTGACCTCGTTGTCTCTTCTCAATTCAATTTTCCTTCTCTTTACAAAGTCGTAACTTAAACATAGAGCCATACATTTAGCTCGAAGGTCAAATTGTGGCATTATTGGTTCAAAACATGGAAAGACTTGATGAAAATATCAAAGAAGAAGCAGATGGTATCCACAATACTCTTGGCATCATTGAAAATCTTACAGATTTAAAACCTGAAATCTGTGCCACTGCTGGTGAACAGGGCTTAGTTGCATGGTTGATGAAGCGTCTAAGGGTACGTGTTACTTGTATTTTTGTACACGATTATTCCCATTACTACCGTAGCTTTTGTGAGTCACTTTAAAGCACTTTTTCTCGATAGAAAGCACCTGTTTACGACGCAAACAAGTTATACAGTAGTGAAATTTTGTCAATACTTTTACAAAATAATCAAGGTAGAGTGGTTAAAACTGTTTTCTTCTTTTGTTGTCATCGAAACTTCGCGTATCAAGTTTTGTTTATTTATTTTTGTCAAGAAAACCGACAATTATTGGGAGCTGTTAATGGTATTGATGTTCTGCTTCAATGTCTCTCGGTATGTTTAAAAAAAACTCATTCTACTTTTCGTTTGCCTCGATCGTGTCTTTTTTATACATACACACGCTCTCAAGCTTAACAACTCCGTCGTCCTAGTAGCCAACAAAATTGATTCATAAACACTTTTTTTTAGGCTTATAAACCTCGTGATCCTAGTACAGCGAACGAAATTGATTCATAAACACTTTCTTTTTAGGCTTATAAACCTCGTGATCCTAGTACAGCGAACGAAATTGATTCATAAACACTTTCTTTTTAGGCTTATAAACCTCGTGATCCTAGTACAGCGAACGAAATTGATTCATAAACACTTTCTTTTTAGGCTTATAAACCTCGTGATCCTAGTACAGCGAACGAAATTGATTCATAAACACTTTCTTTTTAGGCTTATAAACCTCGTGATCCCAGCACAGCGAACGAAATTGAGTACATGGAGAACTTGTTCAATTGTTTGTGCAGTTCATTGATGGCCGTGGCGAACCGAGAACGCTTTCTCAAAGGGCAAGGCTTGCAGCTTATGATTCTTATGTTGAGGTTACTTTCTTTGATGAATCTCTTGTCGTTATTCTCCTGTAAACATACGAGAAAAAATATGACGTAACGTGGTGTCATGATGATATGACGTAACGTGATGTCATGATGATATGACGTAACGTGACGTCATGATGATATGACGTAACGTGATGTCATGATGATATGACGTAACGTGATGTCATGATGATATGACGTAACGTGATGTCATGGCAAAGACTTATGGCAATCAAAAACGACTCAATTAATATGAAATAAAAACTGTTATCTAATTTAATCGCAAGCGTTCTCATTATATTTCACTAACACTTTTTCTAATAGAGAAAAGAAACTGTCTAGACGAAGTGCATTAAAAGTTCTTGATTACGCTATGCAAGGTGTCGAAGGTGCTGATAACTGCACAAAATTCATTGATGTTCTTGGCCTTAGAAGCCTTTTTGCTTTATTCATGAAGGTATAATGTGCTGCAGAAGCATGTTGCCGTATATTTTTGACAATCACAATTCACTATGAATGCTTTTAGCCTCCAAAAAGCAACAAGAAAGTCGGCTCAAAAGAAGGCGAATACGAAGGTATGTAACGTTCTTGTAATATTGTATGTATTATATGTAATTTGCGACATACCCATATGCACGTTGTGTATACTATTATTATCTACTTGTTGTCACTTTTATCATATATATATGATACAATATGAAATTTGTAAGACAATGTGCCCTCCCGGCTATCACCATAGTAAAATGGTGACTCCTGCACTTGGGACACAGGATGTACGGTTACACATTGTAAGAGTCGGATAGTTGAGTCAATAAAGTGGGCGTGGTATAATTCCTTCTGGTGAACGTCTCATAGTATTTATATTATATTGTATGCAACAGGTCTATTATCTATATAATAGTACATAAAACCATCTTTGAACCTTAAATTTTTTCTTAGAACACGTCATGTCCATATTGGCATCTCTTTTTCGAAATCTGAGTGGAAGTCAACGATCGAGATTAGTTCAAAAATTCGTCGAGGAAGATCACATTAAAGTAAGGATGACATTGAATGGATTGAAAATTATTTCACTTGTGAATTTAAAATTGCTCAAAAGTATTTTGATGCATATAAAGTTCATTCTATCTTTCTTTCTTCTTTTTTTCCAGGTAGACCGACTCATTGAGTTGCATTTTAAATACTTCGAGTTGGTGCAGGATTGCGATAATAAAATTGAAAGACAAAAAAATGTTAGTATCCATGTTTGGACAATTCAAAACTCTCGCTGCCCTGATCATAATAACTGACATATTGAATTTCAGACGATTTTGAGCCAAGGCGATGAAATAGACGAAACAACTGAAGAAGATTTCTATCTTCAAAGACTAGACGCCGGGTTGTTCATACTTCAATTAATAGACACTGTTGTAGTCGAATGTTGTAGTTCTGGTAACGCAGCCGTAAGTACTGTATGAATTTTCTCTTTCTTGTCATTAAGATCATCTTTATATGTTGTGGACACGTTTGTTTACGAAACTTTTCATGTATGTATATATTTTCTTCAGATAAAAACACGCGTGCAAACATTGTTGAACCAACAGGGCGGCAACATGAAGGATATTCGTTCAATTTTACGTGGTGAGATAAAATTATGTATACAAGCTATGAACTACATATGAATTTAATTGAAAGGTTTTTATCATCCGTCTTCAGAGAAAAATATACCATGAATTTACATTAGTGTTCTAAAAAAAGTTTCAAATTATCATCATCGTTCTATTTACATTATATATTTACCATACTATACTAAAAATGATATATTTTTACAAGATCTATAGCAACAAAAGATTGTTTATGCCGTTCTGTTCTACAAAAAATATTATAAGTATTACTATTTTGCAGTTCATGTGTATATTGTTTGGGATTAGGTATTAAAAATTTGCATGGATAATCAGGTTCCGCTATATCAACTGTATTAATGTATGAACTATAAAACAATCATTTTCGTACAACTGGAGACTCGTCAAAATAGTACATCATATATATGATGATGACGAGTTTCGAGGAGTTGATGGTGAACTATACTAAATATTTATGTTTGTTTAGAATATGCTGCTAGCTTTGGAGACGAGAAAGGTAAAGATCGCGAGGAGCTGGAAAAAAGACGCATTCTCTCTTTAGTTGATCGATTTTGAAATTTTGTTTTTACTGGAATTTGGAATTGTGCAAGAGCAAAGACGATGAGCTTTTATCTTTGAAGGATAAACTTTTTCCATGGAACATTCATTCTTTATGGAACATTGCATTCCAAAATGTAAATAATCTTTAGAAAATAACTTAATGTACCGGATGTGTGTTTGTTTTACGCATAAATTATAACTATATATAATTGAACTCCGCATTATTTCCAACAGGTGTCTATGAGCAATAAAATATGCGAGAAAGGGGACCCCAAGTAGAAATCTGTCATTTTTTCCTGCCTGATGTAATGTCACTGCAATTCCCATGTCCATAAATTCGAAATATTTTTTTGTGTAGTTGTTGTTTTATAAACACATTACACGTTTTTTGTTTGATTTACTTTGGTATTTAAATTTTGTAGCTACATATAGAGGGAGCTGTTTTACTCCATTTAATTTAGAGTATTAATAATTAATGGCGAAGGGACGCGAGATATCAATCATGTTTTTGGCATGAAGCTTACGATGTGTAATTATCAACAAATGAATATAACATACACTGGTCTGGTATTTCTAATTGAAATCTGGATCCCACGAAAACCGATTTGAAATTATTTTTGAAGTGTATTTTTCATTGTTTTTCGGACATTATGTCGTTACCAGAATTTTAATTACGTCCAGAATGCGGCTGAAAGCACAGCTCAGATAACATTCGGCTTGGGGGTGTTTGAAGGACACATAGAAAAACTAATCGTCAAAGACTATTTTTAGCTAACATGAAGTAAACCTACGCAAAAACGACTTTTCCGCCATATACATATTCATCGTAGCTCTAATGAAAGCTCAAGATAGTATTGAAATTTTATCATTGAAAGTTTATCAATATACGAAGGACTAGGGACATGTCAATTCACCATGGGGACGAATAATTCCTCCAGTTGTCTCGGCCACTCCTCCCTCCAGAAAATTTTTTTGACTGTGAACCGTTATCGTGCATAAAAAATAATCCGTACAAACGCTTTAAGCTAATGGATTTTCTTATAGATCAGATGGCAGCGTCTCAGAGGCGCGCATAAGCAATAACAGCATTTGCCACAACACATATACGCATTTTTCTCCGAAGTGTACAAAAAGCTGCAGAACGTAAGAACGTCTGATGAAATAAGGATAAAAGCAGAATACTCAGATGCCCAACTTTCTGATGTAATGTTGTCATTGTGAGTTCGATGAAAGCTATAATGCAAAGGGTAATAGTTTGGGACACAGCCACGTCAAATTAGCATCGAAAGCCGCTACAACCACGGCAACGCGAGTGACACTATGAAAGTTGTACATTGCTGTATTTCAACATCAAAATGAAATCAGACTTCTCGCTGCGTACGCTAGAATCCTCGCGGAGTTGGTAGTATTATTTATGTTGAATGAAAATTTCTGCACAAACTATTCCAAGCAGAGGAGCCTTCAAAGCATACAAGTTGCAAGGGCGGTATTAAATTTACGGTCAGCGAGTTTCCAGGGAGTTTCGACCGTGATGCATAGATAGACATGCCCAAGTCGTTCTTGATAAAGAAAACATCATATAGAGCAAAACAAAAGCTCGACTATATGTTGGACGACAATGTGCAAAGAACCACAGACGGTAAAATTGCAGAAATATACAGACTTCTTTAATGTTGCTTTTCTGTGTAGTAGTGTTAGACTCGACATAAAAAAAGACCCTCCCCTCCAACATATACGTCGATGTTTGAACGTTAAATAGAAGAGGAAGCACAAAACCACAGTCTTCCCTTATCTTCAAATTTTTCAATCGCACTGCAGAAGCAGTCATTTCATGCACAGAGTACGAATAAAAGCTATTTAACGTATGAATTTGCTCAACTTGCACAATGCTTCTGTACGTTGTAATTTTGTCTTTCTAGTTAAACACACGAAATACCTCGAAGGTGAAAGAGTACACGATACGTTTAACGATGAAAATTCAACCAGCAAGACTCCTCAAGAAGAATTGGATTTCGACCTGGACGTAAACACGAGAAGGAATGAAGAAAGCAAATGCAGAATGTCAAAAACCATTAAGAGAGTTTCAAGTGAAGTTCAGGAAAAACGTCCTGTTCATAGTGGATCGAATTTCAACGCAGATCTTACTTGGAGAGACAGTTGCCAGCATCAAGATAACGTTGACTTAATAAACACAGATCAAGTGGTTCGTCTGCAATCACAAGTAAAGGATACGAGAAAAATTGCATATCAAAATAATATGATTACAATGTGCGATATGGAAATTTCTAGTCTTTGTAAAAATTTGAGCTCAAAACAGACAACTGATGTAATAATGACAGAATGCAATGGAGAAACAGTTCGAGAAGAGACAAAAACCAGAGGATCATCTAACCAAACGTTCAAATGCACAATCTGCAAGCGGACTTACGCAACGTCTTCTAATCTCTCACGACACAAGCAAACACATCGTAGTCTTGACAGCAAGCAAGCAAAAGCATGCCCGCACTGTGGGAAACGTTATGTTTCCATGCCAGCCTTAGCAATGCACGTTTTAACGCACAAACGTTCTCACGCGTGTAAGATATGTGGAAAACGTTTTAGTCGTCCGTGGTTATTACAAGGTCATTTACGCTCTCACACTGGGGAACGGCCTTTTCATTGTTCACAATGCAACAAGTCCTTTGCAGACAGGTCCAACTTGCGGGCTCATGAGCAAACACATTCGCCTCTCAAGCAGTATCAATGTGAGCGATGTAATCGTTCCTTCGCCTTAAAATCGTACCTTACGAAGCACAGCGAAGGCATGTGTTTTGCAGTAAGTAATTCATAAATTCAGCGCTTCCCAGGATGCAATGGGTTAACTATATACATATGGGATGGCAACATCGATGTACTACTAAATGGTGCATAATGAATAAAACAGTAAATGATTACGCATTAAAATTTAAATCAATATATTATTTATATATATTATATAGTATTATATATTATATATATAGAACTACATGATTGTCAATTTTAAATGAGTGATTTGAGCAGAAACCTGAAACCAAGAGTCAGTGACGTAGCCAGCCAAAATGTATAGTCATGCTATGAAAATACAATTTCAGTGTTCACTGGACTCACAGCAGCAATAGACTTCTAAAGAAACGGAAGGCCTCGAAGAAGCTCTAATAAAGACTTTTCAGTATCATCTTCCTTTAATTTCTTTAAAATTATAGCTAATAAAGTAGCGCGCAATGCTTCGTTAGCCGCCATGTTTGAGAAAAACTGCGAAAACCATATTTCCTGTCGTAAAGGCCAACGAAATTTGATCGTCTTGCTCGTATCGACAGCGACAGAGTGTCTTTACATCATTACATCATTTTTACATCGCTATGTCGTTATGTCGCTGAGTGGTAACGACCTAGCGACAGCGATAGTGTGTCTTTACATCATTTTTACATCGCTATGTCGTTATGTCGCTGAGTGGTAACGACCTAGCGACAGCGATAGCAGTGTCTTTACATCATTTTACATCGCTTCGTTATGTCGCTGAGTGGTAACGACCAGCGACAGCGATAGTGTCTCTTTACATCATTTTACATCGCTATGTCGTTATATCGCTGAGTGGTAACGACCCAGCGACAGCGATAGTGTGTTCTACATCATTTTTACATCGCTATGTCGTTATATCGCTGAGTGGTAACGACCTAGCGACAGCGATAGTGTGTCTTTACATCATTTTTACATCGCTATGTCGTCATGTCGCTGAGTGGTAACGACCTAGCGACAGCGACAGTGTGTCTTTACATCATTTTTACATCGCTATGTAGTTATGTCGCTGAGTGGTAACGACCTAGCGACAGCGACAGTGTGTCTTTACATCATTTTTACATCGCTATGTCGTTATGTCGCTGAGTGGTAACGACCTAGCGACAGCGACAGTGTGTCTTTACATCATTTTTACATCGCTATGTAGTTATGTCGCTGAGTGGTAACGACCTAGCGCCAGCGATAGTGTGTCTTTACATCATTTTTACATCGCTATGTCGTTATATCGCTGAGTGGTAACGACCTAGCGACAGCGATAGTGTGTCTTTACATCATTTTTACATCGCTATGTAGTTATGTCGCTGAGTGGTAACGACCACAGCGATAGCGGTCTTTACATCCTTTTACATCGCGTCGTTATGTCGCTGACAGTAACGACCCAGCCAGTGCAGGTCTTTACATCATTTTACATCGCTATGTCGTTATGTCGCTGAGTGGTAACGACCTAGCGACAGCGATAGTGTCTTTACATCATTTTACATCGCTATGTCGTTATATCGCTGAGTGGTAACGACCTAGCGACAGCGATAGTATTTACATCATTTTACATCGCTATGTCGTCATGTCGCTGAGTGGTAACGACCAGCGACAGCGACATGTCTTTACATCATTTTACATCGCCATGTAGTTATGTCGCTGAGTGGTAACGACTAGCGACAGCGACAGTGTGTCTTTACATCATTTTACATCGCTATGTCGTTATGTCGCTGAGTGGTAACGACTTAGCGACAGCGACAGTGTGTCTTTACATCATTTTTACATCGCTATGTAGTTATGTCGCTGAGTGGTAACGACCTAGCGCCAGCGATAGTGTCTTTACATCATTTTACATCGCTATGTCGTTATGTCGCTGAGTGGTAACGACCCAGCGACAGCGACAGTGTCTTTACATCATTTTACATCGCTATGTCGTTATGTCGCTGAGTGGTAACGACCCAGCGACAGCGATAGTGTCTTTACATCATTTTACATCGCTATGTCGTTATATCGCTGAGTGGTAACGACCTAGCGACAGCGATAGTGTCTTTACATCATTTTTACATCGCTATGTCGTCATGTCGCTGAGTGGTAACGACTCCAGCGACAGCGACAGTGTGTCTTTACATCATTTTACATCGCTATGTAGTTATGTCGCTGAGTGGTAACGACCCAGCGACAGCGACAGTGTCTTTACATCATTTTACATCGCATGTCGTTATGTCGCTGAGTGGTAACGACTTAGCGACAGCGACAGTGTCTTTACATCATTTTACATCGCTGTAGTTATGTCGCTGAGTGGTAACGACCTAGCGCCAGCGATAGTGTGTCTTTACATCATTTTACATCGCTATGTCGTTATATCGCTGAGTGGTAAACGACCTAGCGACAGCGATAGTGTGTCTTTACATCATTTTACATCGCTATGTAGTTATGTCGCTGAGTGGTAACGACCAGCGCCAGCGATAGTGTCTTTACATCATTTTACATCGCATGTCGTTATGTCGCTGAGTGGTAACGACCTAGCGACAGCGACAGTGTGTCTTTACATCATTTTACATCGCTATGTCGTTATGTCGCTGAGTGGTAACGACCTAGCGACAGCGATAGTGTCTTTACATCATTTTACATCGCTATGTCGTTATATCGCTGAGTGGTAACGACCTAGCGACAGCGATAGTGTGTCTTTACATCATTTTTACATCGCTATGTAGTTATGTCGCTGAGTGGTAACGACCTAGCGCCAGCGATAGTGTGTCTTTACATCATTTTTACATCGCTATGTCGTTATGTCGCTGAGTGGTAACGACCTAGATACAGCGACAGTGTTTCTTTACATCATTTTTACATCGCTATGTCGTTATCTCGCTGAGTGGTAACGACCTAACGACAGCGACAGTGTGTCTTTACATCATTTTTACATCGCTATGTCGTTATGTCGCTGAGTGGTAACGACCTAGCGACAGCGACAGTGTGTCTTTACATCATTTTACATCGCTATGTCGTTATATCGCTGAGTGGTAAACAACCCGACAGCGACAGTGTCTTTACATCATTTTTACATCGCTATGTCGTTATGTCGCTGAGTGGTAACGACCTAGCGACAGCGACAGTGTGTCTTTACATCATTTTTACATCGCTATGTCGTTATATCGCTGAGTGGTAACGACCTAGCGACAGCGACAGTGTGTCTTTACATCATTTTTACATCGCTATGTCGTTATATCGCTGAGTGGTAACGACCTAGCGACAGCGACAGTGTGTCTTTACATCATTTTTACATCGCTATGTCGTTATGTCGCTGAGTGGTAACGACCTAGCGACAGCGATAGTGTGTCTTTACATCATTTTTACATCGCTATGTCGTTATATCGCTGAGTGGTAACGACCTAGCGACAGCGTGTCTGATGGCAACAAAGAAATTTGAATAAAACAAACAAATTTGCGAGTGTCGCCGTGTCTGCCGTTCTTGTTACAGTTGACAATGAATGACAGAAGAATATAAATGTTTTTATTTTATCTTTAATTGTTTTATGTTCTACTTACATAAAATGAAAGTACATTTGTCAGTTCGTCATAAGACAGCTATTTATTGAGATAACTACACACATATACGAGTAAAATTAATGCAAAATGTATTATACAAAATAAATAATAAATCTCTACAATGAGACTATTTTGTCACTATTTTGTCTGATGATTCAATTAAAAAATAAATTACATTTTTTATCATTAATCGCAAATACGGTTAAAAATTTCTAAGTTGGCAAACCACAACAAATTCTGTTTTCTCTTCACCTCATAACCATGCAAAAAAAACGTGAAATTTAAAATAAAGCTGAAAAAATATGTTGCCAACCAACAGAATCAATAAATGTACACAAAAATACATTAAAATGTCATACGTTATGCTAATTCATTCCTATCGTTTAATATAAAAAAGACGAACGTATGTAGAAACACTATTTTTTTTTCATATAAAATTAGTTTTGAAAATCACGTAACTTTTAAATGCCTGCACGTCGAGCTAGTAAATTTTCTCGCCCTGTCTATCAGGTAAAAAATATATAAATTGTATAATGTTGAGACATAGAATGCGAGCTATCGTGGAGAATCAGCTGGGAATAAATGAGTGCTTCATTTGCAAGCACCTCTCCTAGCAAAGTAACCGTTCGGGGCGTTGACGAATTTCCCTAAAATGCGAAAAAAATTTGCACTAGCTACCTTTGAATTATGGAGACTGGCGTAACATATAACATCGAACATTAGACTACGACAAAGATTAGAAATCAAGAAAAATTAAAATTCATCAGACAAATTAAATATCGAATCATATAGAACAGTTAGAAAAACGACAACATTGACAAAGACGTTAAGATTATCGACGTCAAACTATCAAGACCCGAAAATCTTTTCGTGATCAATGTGTAGAAATGGTCTTTTCCTTTTTTTGACGTTTCCTAAAGTTACTATACATACTTGATGGACTTCACTCCTTTATTACTCCTCATCGCACAGGATTCGGAAACGGTCGTTGGCGAAGTATTTCTTTTTGGCGATGATGACGATGACGACGATAGGGATTCATCATCAGATATTACTATGGGTGTTTTTGTATGTTGTGATTTCTTACTTTCAACATTATGAGTTCTTTCTTGATTATGCTTTCTGTTATTTGATTTATCTTGCGAACGCTCTCGTCCAACACTTTCTCTTTCTGAATGCCGCGAGCTCTGAATCCTGCAGTTCTTGGGCACCTCACTGTTGTATTTTTTCATTGTTACATTGTCTTTATTTCGTGCAGTAGTGTTAGGTGTTTCGCGTGTTCTTGGAGAAGAAGACTCAGAGCTCGAGTCAACAGAGTACACAGTGTCAATGTTTTCTCGTGATTTTGATGGCCGCGTCGTGGAATTTTTTTCGCTGTTGCATTCAATAACAGGCCTACATATCCTACTTTGAGTGGTGTTGCCCGTAGCAACGCTTGCGTAGCTACGATTGTTTGTTGGTGCGCAAGGCATCGCAGGTGCGCAAGGCAATCTTAGTAATCTCTCACGTTGCTGGATCGTATCCCGCCTCATTAAAGCTAAACGACCTAAAATGCTACTAAAATACATGAAAACACGAACTGAGTGAAGTCACAAATCTTTCCTAGATTTTACAGTAATTTAAAACGAAGACTGAACTGGGCAAATAAGCACGCTAATATAAGGCATGCTCCCATCCTAATACACTTAAAACTAGAGATGGCTTGAGAGAGCAGGAATTCGTGAAACTTCCACTCAAGAAGATAAATTAAATGGTAAGAACTACTTGAGCAAGTACCTCCGTGTTACTCTGCATTAGTATACGAGAAAAAAGCTTTAGTTTCGTTTGAAAAATACTTCAAAGCGTTTCTTACCCTAGTAACTTGTTTTCGTGTCAGTGAAAAAAAGTAAGTAAAGTACTCGTCCTCTCCACTTCCTTTTAAGGCAAATGACGTCAATTTCTAACGTAGATCACTTACCTGTTTTCGTTACCAGGAATTTTATTCAGCACTCCTTTTGTGAGCTCGTGATAGGCCCATTCAAACAGTCTCTTAACGTCGTTAATACGAAATGAACCTTTACCAATATAATTACCTGTAATATTAATCCAGGCAAGTTTTCAACTGACGAACTCAAAAAAAAAGTATCAGAATATATTCAAAACGCAAATATCTGGCAAAACGTCTCTTAACGTTCAAAAATTTCCCTATCATTACAACTGCATTAATTTAGCAGTAAAGCTCACACTACGAGCGCGAGTTTCGAAAAATTCAAAGGAAAAAACTTTAGTAAGTGATAATTTGCTGCCTGAATACAACACCTTTGGTAAGAGGATCTTCAATACATAAATGTGTTTCATTGGCCAAAGATTTTCCTAAAACCTAATGAAAAAAGAACCCGATCAATAATGCACGGGTACAAAAAAATAAAACGAGAATAAAGAAAAGATAATGTGCAACAAAACCTCTTCCTTGTTGAAATATGATCCATTTCCAACAACCCGAATTCCAACATTATCATAGTTGAATTTCTTCCCATACAATTCAAAAAATTCAATAAGCAATACACCCCAGTTAACAGTGTGATGAGAGCTTTGGAAATTGTCTGTATGCCTCTGTAATGTAATCAAGTTTTGTTCACAATACAAAATCAGCAATAGTAGAACTTTAAAAAGGCACTTTTCAACCAACCTGAAAGAAACTGACAATCATTAAAACAACAGTGTACGAACTTAAACCACCAATAAAGACTTCATTAAGATCACGATTTACAAGTAGCTGTTTGATGACAAATGCAAGACAGGCCAAAGGTGGATACTGCTCCATATAGCTCTACGAAACAAAGGGAAATAGTTTTTATGATAAAGGAAATTGAATTACACGCACATACACATACATGCACACACACATACATACACGCACACACACATACATCACACGTAAAAATACATGTGACATAATCTATGAAGATCATCTTAATGAGAAATTTCACATTCAGTAACATTATTTGTATAGCAAATGCTCAATAAAATGAAACATCAACATTGGGTTGATACCTACAGTGTGCCAATTAGTTCAGAAAAAACAATGTGCAATTTTTTTGACAAAAGTGTTTCTTTATAGGCATAATCAAATCGATATTACGTTAATTATTATATAGCACTAATTGCTAAATTAATATTTTCAAACATGAACAAATTCATATGATTTACGACAGTGTTTTTCGTTAAAACCGCTGATTTTTGCACATTGTTTGAAAAAGTGATGTGCAATTGTTTTCATTTTAGCTAAAACGATGTGCAAATTGCACATTGCACACTGTTAATTTGCACACTGATACCTACCTATGTAAGTGATCAGCGTTTATTATTGCATGCTTTGAAATACAATGAATTAAATTATGCTATAGAAATGATAAATTTAAAAGCATGCCCACCACTATTGTCTGAACATATTCATATAACGCAGCTACATACTGTCAACAATACATGCTTAAATGACATATGAAACTCTCACATTATAATGACTCAGTGGATTATGCAAATATCAATATGCTTTGCTGAAACTTCTCTTGATTAATTCAACAATGTCTCACAACATTTTGCCCATTTAAAATAGTTTCTCCATAGCACTATTTTACCTTTATCAACTCTGCACTTTGAACACCATTGTTCATGTTGAAACTGATATCAATTTTAACCATAGTTTTTGTATCTGTAACTTTAATAATGGGAACCTTAAAATGAGAGCCACGTAAAAAATCACATAAAAACAAAACAAAAAAAAATATATATTGGATTAGAAGGCAACATACAACAATCCTGTTGGGAATATTTATATTTCAGGGCATTTATGGCAAATGAAGCTGTTCAAATACGTTTAGTCTGTTTAGTTAAACATTCTGGTGTTCAATTAAGGTAACCATGGACATGTTTAAGGAAGGGAGCCATTAAATAACTACGGCATGGATGGATGAAATAATTTGTGTTTAACACTTTACTAATCTACGTACATTAGCATATAGTATGATCACACTTACGGATGCCTTGTCCAAAACCCGAATTGAATTGACATCTGCTATTCCCTGCTCTATTAATTCATTTTCTAGGGTACGAAGTGGTAAACATTCCCATTTTCCATGAACAACTAAATCAATATCACTAGATACAGGAAATAAACACAGAGATCAGATAGCTTTACTAAAACATCAAACCAGAAACAGCTTATTCCCTTATAATTTTATTCAGATCATACAGGTGATTTCAATTAAAAAAGATTGTAATAATCCAGAATAAATACATTTTTTCATTGAAAGTTTCATGTGCTGTACACGAATGTACATCTATCTAACAAACATTTCCTTAAAATTTTGTTTACCTTGTTGGAAGATAAAGACCAGTCTGACAACTCCCATAGAGTTCAACCTGCAAGACCAATAAGTTTAGTCCCGCACGCAAAATTTTTATCAAAAAAGTACGGCACAATTTTTTGTTTTTTCTTACTCTAGCTTTTGGCCAAAGTTGTTTTATAACAGCTTCGACCCTCTTGACTACATCCTTTCGAACATCGTCCTCTTCTTGTTTTGGTTTGATGTACTGTAGGAAGTCGTTCATTTCATGATGAAGTCTAAAAAGGATGGAACAGTTTAGTTAAATAGTAATATAAGAAAGAATATAATGCAAATTTGGCTGATAAACAAACCCAATGGGGTCTTGAACATAGTTCGTCGCTTTCCAAGGTGTACAATACAAAGACTCGGCGCAATTATTCGTAGGCGTTTTGTCTGTACAGGGCAATTTTCTCTTCAGTTGTTTACTATCCTGTAGATTTTTGTACAATAATTCTTCTTTGTCTTTCAACGGGATATAACCAACACTTAAGTGTGAGTCATTGGGAACTTCGTTTTCTTTGACATAATTCTGCTTTATCGGATTCCCCACAATGTTGCTCCATGTTCTGTTCGCTTGACCGTCTTGTTCAGGTTGAGACCACTGCATACAAGCCATGATAGTAAAAGGTTGATATTTAATGTTAAAAAAGGCCAAAAAATTACTAGAAAGTGTTTCAAGGGCTCCTGAAAGGGATAGGATAATATTCTGCTTGCTCGCAAATGACCGTCACTGTACTTGAGATTTTATTTGTTACGTCAAACTGGCCAATCAGCGCGCCCAGATACGGGAAGAAAAAAATTACAAGTCAAATTTTGAGAACAGCAAATAATTCCCTATGGAAAGATAAAATATACGTTAAAAATAAAGAATCTCACTATCAAACTATCTATGTACTTCGTCAACAATGACATAGCTTAAGTAGTTTGCCATTAAATAAAAATTGAGTTATGACGTCATACATCCGGCTGGCACGTGAAAAACAGAAAAGTGCACGTGGAGTAATAGTGACATAATAGTGATATAGCTTATACGGCAAACATTGTATTTTTTCTCGGAAAACTTTAAACACAAACGTAAATGGTCGCATTGTTCATTGTACAATAGTTCACTAGCGATCTGAAACAATATGGCAAGAAATTTTTTTACAAAGAGATATGGTGCGCACATTTATAAACTACTATGCGCAAAGCAATATTTAATCTCGTTTTGACACATTAACAGCATTTTTAAACACTAAAGTGAAAATTTCGCTAACATATGTATTTTATTTTAACGGAAAAATAATTTTTGGTGCTCCAGGAAAGTATGGAAGGTATCTCTTTTTCTTGGACTACTTTATCAACGATTTCGCAGCCAAGAGCAGACGCTTTAAGGGACGCTGCAAAGGATTTGAGGAATCTGTTTGTGATAATAAGCGCACAGTGTGAGTTAGTTGTTGCACTAGCCCTCCCAAAATACTGCTGACATGTTCCTTTGTGACAGGATCTTCTGTATCTAAGGCCAACACAGCCTCTTGCAAATACCTACAAGAAAAATGATGATTTCTGATTTTCATAAAAAAATTGATGTTGTTGCAGTTACTGTAAACTTTTGTTAGACGGCACATGAACAGTACATAACTTAACGTTTCAAAAATGAAATTAAAAGACAAAATGATATTTTGGGCAAAATCTTCGGGTAAATGATTGAATCAAATAGGATATAGGACAAAGAACTTTATTCGGTATATGATTTCGTCATTAGGACAAAAAACTTTACTTCGTCCGTAAACCATACTTGACAAAACCTTTTCATCAGGTGACAATGCAAAAGTGGATTAAACGTTTATTATATTTCAATCAATTTCTTTTCTACCTATGGGATTTAAGATCTATCGTGCGCGTGGAACATTACTTTCAAAAACATAACTTTTGGTAAAACGAAGGAATATCAAATACCCATCAAAAAAGGGCTGCAAAATATAATAGACATTCAAGCTTTGAGAAATATAAGAGTTGCTGGCTATCCTTATACAAGAGAAACACAAGCAAAGCCACCAATAGCGAAACTATCTTTAACCTGTGTTTAAGCTCAGTTTCAGAAGACAAATCCACTGAAAGCTGCTGTATGAGGGAAAGAAGAATCGGTTGACTAAGAGGGGATGGATCTTCACGGAATAGATCCTCGGGGTCACATGACTGACAAACCATGATCACGAGACTTAAATCTCCCGCGGTGAGTGCTTCTTGGAATGCGTCAGGAATCTTTTTTTCTTTGATCAACTGTTCAATACGAATCTAAATTTACGACAAAAACGACCATAAATTGTCAAAAAATTTTTTAAAATATGAAAAGTCAAGGAGTGTTTGTAAATGCACCTGTGTATTTCTTTGTTGTGATTGACTCCTACCGTCATTAGATAAGATACTCTGTTCTATTAAAAGGCCAGAGACCTCTTTCTGAATAGTTTCGTGTAGACTTTTATTTAGATCATCTTGAAGTTGAGAGAGTAAGGAACTTTGAAGCCTATAATGAAAAGAAAAATACTATCCACGAATTCTGCAAAAGTTTTTTATTCGCTTAAATATTAAAAAAAGAATTAAGCAGTCTTGACAGCACGACAGGAAGTATACGTCACGACAGGAAGTATACGTCACGGCTGGAAGTATACGTGATCCATTGCACCAATCACTGTCATCAACATACTACCAATAGCTTTATATTTTTCCACAAAACACTATATTAATGGGGTTCATTATCCTACTGCTCGATACCTCTTCATAGATGAAGCCAATTGTGTCTGCATCATTTCCAATAAATTTCCAGACATTGTCGTCGATAATTTTTCAGAAGCAACTTGAAAGTTTTGAACCAATATCTGAAGTTGTTCCACAATGTTGTCTTTTTGCTGTTTCTCGATTTCCTTCCGACTTTCGGCGTAACCTTCAAAGTTTTGAATATCTACAAACGAATGATATACTTGCAAGCTTCATATTCATACAAGTATATCATATAATTTATTTTTCTGTCATTATCACTAACATTCTTGGGTACCACTCTCAAAAGCACTGTTGATCTGTGCGTACATGGCGCGACAGGATTTCTCGAAACCAGGTAACATTGTTTTGTTGAAAAACTCGTTCATGGATGCCAGAAGGGAAACTTGGATAGCATCACCAACTGTCTTTCCAATCGCATCGACGACCGTCTAGAATGTACACATCTTTCCTTATCTATCGACTTTAAAAATACTAGAGCTTTATATATATATATATCTACCAAGAGAACATGGTGCTACACAAGCATGCATGTGGTTATGAAACAGACATACACATAGTTTTTTTTGGACAAAGATTATGCATATTGTTGGTAATGATATAAGTTGATATGTTTTGATGAATTTTATACATCACTATGATTCATATAGATATACATAGATGGTACTTAGATAATCCCCAAATCTAGTGAGTGTAGTCTTTAAGTCGCCCTTTCCAATATCATTTTCACCAACTAGTTATCAATACTATTTATTCATTATGTAATTCAAATTGTAACAATTCCCGAAACTTATAAACAACACAAACTCGACACAAGCACAAGCTAATAGACAAAAGACGAATACTGAGGTACGTACCTTTTCTTTCATTAGGTTTGCAATGGCTTCACGTAGGACTTCATCGGTAGCTGTCAACTTCTGAAAAAATATTACAAAGTCAGCAAGCTGAACAGGCAATCGCAAGATTAAAACATTGATGACAAACTCTTGGAGTCACCTGACTCATTATTGTGTTTAGTTGATCCTGTAACGGAGCCGAGATCTTTTGAAAACCTAAGCAAAATAATCGTTAAGAGCAGTGGAAATATTGTTGCAGAAACGCGCGCACATTTCACAGACCTGAGCTCACGGAACTTCGAATCTCATTCTTCGCGGTCTTTTCTACTTTATTTTGAACAGCGTTCGTGATGGACGTCGTCATTTTTTCGAATCGCTGCTTCTCGCTTGCTAGTTTGTCGCGAGTGAATTTCTCAAACATTTGGTCTACATTTAAAAAAATTACGATCACATTAAGCTTTTGCACAAGGTAAAGTTTCACAAAGCTCCTTCGTCTTAGAATGCAGACTAAACTTTACATTCACCAATCCAAAAAAAAAACAACAAATTTGCTAGACCAATTAAAAGCTGCTTAACAAGTCCTGATGTAAACGAAATCAAATTAGACTGTTCCTCAATACACTACCTTGTTCCGTCTTGTGCTGATCCATAATAGACTCGAGTTTTGATGAAATGACCCCTTCAATGACTGCGATTTCTTCCTTTAAGACTTCAGTCATTTTGTCATTTTGCTGTTGTTGTTGGTTGAATATCAACTCTCTTATTTCTCTGATTTCATCACGTAAGGAATCCAGGGTTTGTTTAGTGTTTCTCATTGGCACCTGATTGTTATAAGTTTCAAGTTTTAAATGTTCACCGAGGCGTATTCTATCAATTTACAGCACCGCTCGCGTATTTGTTAACATATGGTACGCGTATGAAACGCGTATGATACGAGAATGATACATGTATGATACGAGAATGATACATGTATGATACGAGAATGATACATGTATGATACGAGAATGATACATGTATGATACGAGAATGATACATGTATGATACGAGAATGATACATGTATGATACGAGAATGATACATGTATGATACGAGAATGATACATGTATGATACGAGAATGATACATGTATGATACGAGAATGATACATGTATGATACGAGAATGATACATGTATGATACGAGAACGATACGCGTATCATACGCAAAATTATGTTAACAAATACGCGAGCGGTACTGTATATAAGAACATATTATTAGCAATAATTGATACGTACCGTTTGAAGAGGTTCTACGTCGATTTGTTCACTTGGTGTTATACATTCGCTAAAACAAAGAGCAGCGAGTTGATTTATTTCAATTGCCCATCTAACTTAAGAAATTTTAATCCGCGGGTGGATTTACGGAATGGGGAGCGGAAGAGTGCGTGCCCCTACTATCTTTAGCAAAAGCAATAGCGTCATTGTACATGATGGAAAAAATTGACAATATAACACATGGCCACACCACCCACAAGGTAGTTAAAAAATTGTAATCCAAACTGTGGCAACCCTCGCCCTATGAACTCATCCAGGATCCAATCATCTTTTCATTAGATAACGTGACATATAAATGATATCAAAATAAAAATTTATCTGAATACTTTGAATTTTCTGTCACTTTTGCTCCCAACTCTCTCTTTTCCTCTTCAAGTTCAGTGAAGCCGGGCGGAAATTGAGCCTTTGCATCACTCTTTAAACGATAATAAGCCATATCCTCCGTCTTCATTTCATTAAGGTAGGGAGCTTGTTTCAGATCTACAGGCTTTTCCTCCGGGGGGTCAATCTGTTTTTTACTTTCGGGGGGTGAAGAAAACCGATGTGACTCAACAGGAGGCAATTCATCTTCTATGGCAGTGTTGTGACGAACATCGTCGTCAAATTCTGAAATGTGTCCACGCAAAGGTGTGCTGTGGCTTATCCCTGAGTTGTCGTCTTCCGACGGTTGATTCACAGCAGGCTTAAAATGCGAAAACTTGGAAGGATCAGGAGAATCTGGTAGAGAAACTTCAGAAGGTAATTTTTTCTCCAACCATGAACTAACACATCCAGGCTGCTCTTGTAGTGTGACCTCATCACAAGTTTTAAAACTGTAATCGTTCTCAGAGGTCCGAGATTCATTCGTGTGTTCATCGTTTTTATCGCTGGAATTATTGATAGATGTGATTGTTGTGATGCTGCTCGAAGCACTGACCGCTTTTGACGCGTCATCTGGATTGTTCTCAGCAGGTGAAAATTGTTTGGCAGATTTCTGGGTGGCAAAAGCACTTGGTGCAAAAAGCTTTGGAGCCGAATTTTCGCTTTTAGTTTCCAGGTCATCTATTTCGGTAAGACTCGCGTCCAATCCACTCACATCAGATAGCCTGTCTATGACTGTTATACAGAGGAATTTATTTTAAACATGAGGAAAGTAGTCTCTGTTAACAATGAGCCATCTGATAATATGGATTCCCATAAATAGAAGTGAAAATATAAAAGTGGAAACACATATGATCAGATAGCTTCATTCGGTGGTATTTCCCTTTAGTAACATAAAAATGGAAACCAATATTATCAGATGCATCCTTTTGCATTAAATACGTAATGAAAGTAATTTACTTATACTTTATACTTACCTGTTTCAGAATTAGTTACTGACGAAGCAGTAAGACTCGTTTGAGTCACGGGACTGATGGATGCATTTGGATGATATTGTATTGTCAATTCTTGCATTGCTCTAGAAAATAAGGTAAGTACAGAGAGTTTGAGTCACGGGACTGATGGATACATTTGGATGATATTGTATTGTCAATTCTTGCATTGCTCTAGAAAATAAGGTAAGTACTGAGAGTTTGAGTCACGGGACTGATGGATACATTTGGATGATATTGTATTGTCAATTCTTGCATTGCTCTAGAAAATAAGGTAAGTACTGAGAGTTTGAGTCACGGGACTGATGGATACTTTTGGATGATATTGTATTGTCAATTCTTGCATTGCTCTAGAAAATGAGGTAAGTACTGAGAGTTTGAGTCACGGGACTGATGGATACATTTGGATGATATTGTATTGTCAATTCTTGCATTGCTCTAGAAAATAAGGTAAGTACTGAGAGTTTGAGTCACGGGACTTATGGATGCATTTGGATGATATTGTATTGTCAATTCTTGCATTGCTCTAGAAAATAAGGTAAGTACTGAGAGTTTGAGTCACGGGACTTATGGATGCATTTGGATGATATTGTATTGTCAATTCTTGCATTGCTCTAGAAAATAAGGTAAGTACTGAGAATTTTCATTATTTAAATATGATTTTTCAACTTTCAAATAAATAAGGTCTTGGAGAGTGTATTTGCCGTTGTGAATGATAACTATAATTTAGTTCTTACTTAAGCGCTGCTAAAACTCGAAGTTAATCAAGATACGATGCATTTCGATAGTCTCTTCATAAGGTAGCTACTAAATCTGCTCTAACATTGATTTCATCAATCAAAAAATTACATGTCTTAAACAATGTTTGTCCAGCCCCAAACACTTTGCTATCCATTGGGAATAACTTCTGCCAGAAAAAAAAGCCAGAAAGAAAATTCGGCTTTCCACGGAACGAACTTTCCCGCCAAAAGCCTCGTCAATTTACTAAAGTCACAAACCTGATCACTACTTTAACGCCTATCAAAATTACAATAGACACACTGAAAAAAAAGACTATCACTACATACTTTGGATTAATAGCGTAAAGTTTTACTCGAACGGTCGGGATGGGTTTCGATTCCTCGCTCTCGCCATGTAAGTCGTTGTTAAGGTATTTACAATCGTCTTCATCACTATTTTGATCCATGCTATCCTTCACCGATGCCTTCAACATCTTCGCGTCCGAGATGACGAAACTCAACAGCGGTTGCGTAAGTATAAAATGGGCTACCGAGGTGACATGAGCTTTACCATCGTCAATGTTTTGATGTAAAATGAAAATATAAAGCACCTGAAAAATGACATAATACATGACGACAGCACATCATAGCAGAACGAAAGTCATAATGAATGAAGACTACATTAAAAGTCAAACAACAACACTCTATCTCACACATATTAACACAACCGTATGAAAAAATCATGGCTGAATTTTTTCACTAGTTGCTCAGAGATTTGTTGAGTTAAAACATCCTTTTGCTCTTTTTAGCTTACCTTACGATTGATGTCAGACAAGACCAAGTACTGCGCAGATAAATCCAAGCTTGCTTTCAGTTTTAAAGGTGGGGGGTTTTCAAGTCTAAGAGCGACATAAAAATGAACAAATAGTTCAAAATAACGTGAAATTTTGAACAATAAACGGCTTACGTTAGACTTGATGCTGGCAATGTGAACCTAAATGTAAGAACGACACGTGATTGAATATATATGAGAAAAAAATAATTCATTTTCACAAGCATCTTACCTGATTGTCTGTAAACAGGACCACGTGACTGTACACCATATCTTAAGTTCACTGTCATACTGACCTCCAGTTATAAGAAATCTCCAAAATGGACTTCTATGATTAAACATATTTATGACATTTCCAGAACACATCTACATGCAAAGCAATGTGAGTATGCAAAGACAAAGACATACTTATCATCTTGAAGCAAGTGATTATCACAAAAGATCAATGTTGAAAGTGGTTGTCCTTCATGTGGCTGCCACTCATGTAAACAATGTGGTTCATTTGTAGACTGTTGGAAATCCAACTGCCAGAATTTGACACCACCGTCTTCACTTGCTGTTGCTAAAACACTGCCATCCGGAGCAAGTGCAATATCTGTGATGACCTATAATCAATTTTCATTTATCTTACAGTAAAACAACTAGAGCTGACGGTTAACCAAAAAAATCAGTTCTTTTAGAGTTCTTGATTAGTTTATGTTGAGCCCCACTTAGAGCCCTTGTGAAATTTTGATTAATTTTGCATAGAAAACTTACTCAAATAAAATTATTATTAGCTTGTCAACTGCACTGCAAAATGGCAATGTAATTCATGATAGAGATGTGCAAGTTCACAGCACGTTCTGGTTATATTCACTATTGAGTAAGTACATTTGTATCATTCTTCATTGTCTTAAAAAAACAACTGAAACAAAACTAAACCAAGATTTCTTTTCAAAAAAAAAATAAACTCAAACTTGATATACAATTTCTGGTACCCAAAGCTCTAGAAACAATCAAAATTACATAATTGTATTTTTCAATATCAACTTACTTCATTATGCCCTTTATTAACTCTCACCACTCCTTTCTGAATATCATCTGCATTGACTGTATTACCATGAATTCCAATAATTGTATCTATATGAAGTACTTCAGCAATGTTACCAAAGCACACTGCTAGAACTTGTTCAGAGATATTCTCATCATCATCATCGTCGGTTGCAACATTGGGACACCACACAAGACGGTTTCCTGCTAAGCTTTTAGGAATTTCTTTTTTTTCTCGTATCACATGAAGCTTGAGAGAATATCTTAAGAATTGAGAAAAACAACAAAAGGAACTTCATTTTTTACAATAAATGAAGCAAATTGTCGGAAATAACTTGAGTATCACAAAAGATACTTGACTTCATCATTAGATTCGGAAATTGTCCACACAAAAATATCTCCGTTGGAATCAATACAAGCAAGCAGATCCGAGTCATAATGAGCAAATGACACATCATCAATACTTTCATGGAAATCTTTGATCAGTCCTTTTACCACTGTTTTACGATTCAATATCCGTAGCCTAAAACCTTTCTTTCCTGAGCAAGAATTTAAATACACTAGAGTTAGTCATCAACTAATCATGATGGTACCAGTGTGCGAATTAAGGGTGTGCAATGTGCAATTTGCACATCGTTTTAGCTAAAATGAAAACAATTGCATATCACTTTTTCAAACGATGTGCAAAAATCAGCAGTTTTAATGAAAAACACTGTCATAAATCATATGAATTTGTTCACATTTGAAAATATTAATTTAGCAATTAGCGCTATGTAATAATTAACGTAATATCGATTTGATTATGCCTATAAAGAAACACTTTTGTCAAAAAAATTGCACATCGTTTTTTCTGAACTAATTCGCACACTGGATGGTACCCTTAAGAAGCTCGCAATATAAATATTTTATCAATGAAATGAAATTAAAATCGCAAACCTCCAAGAACGTAAGCCAAGTATTTTCGAGAGGCACTGAGAAGTTGCCCATTGCAAAACTTTGATTCCCATTCATAGTTTACTACTGGAGTGACTTTAACCTACACATGGAAAAATATGTACTTACATGTACTAACATGTACTAACATGTACTAACATGTACTAACATGACATGGTTCATGCAAAGACAAATCAGATCATGAAATGAACGTACTCTGTTGCTTCCAGCTGTATGACTTTGCACAACATCAATGAAGTCTGTTTTTATGTGTACTTCATTCGCATATATGCTTACACTTCCTTGCTGTTCCTCTTTTGTGAAATGCCTGTATAGTGATCACTTCATGAGAAATTAAATTAATTTGAAAGATGAAAGCCATAAAAGACATGACTCACACAAATTGACGCACAGGCTCCAAACGAAATGTATCTTGTTCGCCAAAAGAGTCAGTTGAAAAAGAATTATTTGATTGCTGCAAAAAATTCACAATTAAGTTATCTCTTGTAACAAAAGAATCTACCCACTCAGCTTCCTTCACTTACCAAAGGCTCATCTTCGTGGCAATAACTATAAAAAAGTTGAAAAAATGTGAAGAAAGCAGAAGGTTACTCAACTGAACAAAATTTAACACAAACCCTTCAGTCTGTTCATTATTGTCTTGTGGTAACAAAGAAACCAAAGAATTGCCTAATGTTAAATGAAAAAATTCACCATTATAAACTTTACCACTGACATTGAACTACCCTACATCACCAGTGTAAATGATTGGACAGATATTACAATTTAATTACTGTAGCATTTAGTCAATTATAGGGTATATTTTGAAATAGGGTAAGATATACCTACTGAATATGAAAACATAACATAACAATTTTATCACAAGTTTTTTCGTCATAAGGCTAATTTCATTGCATGCACTAAAAATTCAAAGGTTATCTGAGGGGGTGAGGGGGTTGAAGGGGGGAATCAACATGTGACAACACCATAAGTCCATAACACTGCTCGAAAAAGTAGTCGAGTATCTACAGACAAATCTCTTAATGGTGCTAAACCGTGCCCATTAAAAATTTATTTTCAATAGGTACTAATCAAGCAGAGGAGCTTCAATGATCATTCACAGGAATTTTGGTAAAGTTCAGTTTGTTCAGAATAGACTAAAAAAAAGGCAAATGTTCTAACATGCATACACGAGACTAGCATAAAACTTACAAAATATTTTTAATTCTGAACTTATACATAAACAAAAAACTGAAAGTTTTTTAATTTCTATGCAATGATAAAAAACTTTTGCAAAACCCACCTACGTGAATACAGGTACATGTAACACTTACCAGCTTCGGAAGTGGACCTTTCGCCAATATTCAACATTCCCTTCAAAATTCGTGACGCATCCTCGTTGGAATCCATCATTTACAATGCTTTGTCATCAACGTCGTTGTATAGAATTGTGATAACAATAAAGAACTATGACATTACGTTTTTGCTCAAATCGAAAATGATAGCGATTTGCAATTCGAAGAAACCATGCGTGGTTCGAGGAAGCTTGCCAATAAACAGTATAAATCCCATCGTCCAAACGGTGTTTTTTGGAGTATCACGACACAACACGAGAGTAAACGAATCCCAGATTTTAAAATGGCTGAATATTTGAAGTCTGACGGCTACAATGAAATGATCCTTTCACAATTCGTTCCCTGTCAGCTTGTAAAGTGGAAAGTATTTCCCGGTCAAAAAGTCTCCAAGGGCTCAATTCTGGCTTTATACAAGAAGCTTTCATCATCAGTATCGTCTGTAAAATCGGAAATTATTTTGCTGCCCAAACTCAAGTGTCTATCCGGAGGATGTGTAAAGAAACTCTTGGTTGCAGAAGGTGATCTGGTGAAGCCAGGGTTTGTTTCTAAAAAGTCTTTTTGTACAGTAAAAGTTCATGTCATTGAAGGACCAGTTTGCCTATGTTTGACTATTGCATTGTTAACAACATGTTTTAGACAAGTGGTGTTATTGATGAACAACTGTGAACATAAAATAGTAATGAAGGATATGTGTGCAGAATGTGGTGAAGATCTTAGACAGTATGTAATGTCGACATGTTACATGCATGAAATCTGCCAGAGCGGATAATGTTTAATTTGTTTAGAGAGAATGGCATCCCAGGTGATCTAAAGGAACCAGTCACTGCATCTGTTCCATTGGTGCACAATATTCCAGAACTACGAGTTAGCCAAAAGGTTAGATTACAACTCACAGAATTAAGTAGACAGTATAATTATTTTCAAGTTAGTATTTGGTGCTAGTTTGAAAACTGTGTTTTAGGTTTTAGTTTATAGTATTGTCCTTTTCTATAGGCACCTTGGATATGGTGATAGTCGAACTCTGTGCTGCTTAGAGTAGCATGTGTGTTTTGCAGGAAAAAGCATTTCAGCAACTACAGCTTGCATGTTTAAAATGTTAGCAAATGCATTAAGAATCTAGCATCATACATATGCTTGAAAATGGTAATTAATTTCTTGAAGATCTCTAAAATATAATGAACTATTGTTTGTATGAAATACACTTTTAGGAAGCAGAAATCATAGCAACAAAGGATAAAGAAAGCCTGTTAAGAAATGGCAAATTAGTTCTCATTGTTGATTTAGATCAGACATTAATACACACAACTACGGAAAATGTGCCTTCAAGCATTGAGGTTTGAAGCAGGAAGAACATCATAATTGATATCTTTTGTTGATTCATTCTCTGCAAGTTCTTTTTTTGTTGTTGTTAGGACATTTATCATTTCCAACTCTATGGTCAGAGCTGTTGGTATCACACGAAATTTCGACCTGGTTGGCGCAAGTTCCTTGAAAATGTATCGCGATATTTTGAGCTACATATTTTTACAATGGGTTCGAGATTGTATGCGCACACCATAGCACGGTTGCTAGACCCATCAGGTGTGTTCTTTGCTGACAGAATTCGCTCACGTGATGAGAGCTTTGACATGTGCTCTAAGTACCGAGACCTAAGGTTTGCTTGTGTCTTTTCTTTCTTATTTATAGTTGTTTGTACTTTATCATTGAATCTTTTAGGGCTCTGTTTCCATGTGATGATTCCATGGTGTGCATTATTGATGATCGTGAAGATATATGGAATAGTGCACCAAATCTAATAGCTGTGAAACCATACAGATATTTTTCTGGAACTGGGGATATAAATGCTCCTGTTGGATCTGAGCAGAGTATCACACACATATCAGCTTTAGCAATTCATCAAAATGAAAGAGAATTTAATGAAAATTGTACTGAAGACAGCACTGATGGTGTGTTAGAAACCTGTGGTGAACGTGAAGATAGGAAGGATAATATTGAGGTAGACAAAAGTGATTTAGGGACGCATTTGAGTGGAGAAGATGAAAGTAAAATGAATGTAGGCAATAGGAGCAAAATAAATGAAGACAAATGAAGATAAAGGAAAATGGAATGAAAGGATGGAAGAAAGGATGGAATGAAGAGGATGGATGAAATGAAGGAGGATGGATGGAATGAAGAGGATGGAAATGGATGGAAGGATGGATGGAAGATGGAAGAATGGAAGAGATATGGAAGATGGAATGAAGAGGATGGATAAATGATGAAAGGATGGATGAATGAGGAAGGGATGGATCAATGGAAGAGATGGATAAATCGAATGAAAGGATGGGAATGAATGAAGAGGATCAATGAAAGGATGGAGGAAATGAATGAAGAGGATAGGACAAAATTGAGTGAAGAGGCAAAGACAAAACCTAGTGAAGAGGATGGGGGTAAAATGAATGAAGAGGATGTTTCTCAAATGAGAGATGGTTATGATAATGAAGTAGAGACAAGTACTTTCAAAGATGAAGGAAAGCTTAAAGAATATGAAGATAAAAGAAAGGAAGACGCTGTGGAGGAATATTCTGAGAATGATAAACCGGGAAATGTTTCACGAATTTTTGAGAATTCACAACCGGATGTTGTTGATGGCCATCACGTACAAGATCATGACGACTACCTTCTTTATTTAGAAGAAATTTTATGCAGAATACATTCTACTTTTTATAAAATAGTTGAGAAGAATAAACGGATAGATGAACTACAAAACAGAAACGAAGCTGTTTGTGGTGAAGTGACCACCCCAGACTTACGATGTATAGTTCCCAGGCTGCGGCAAAATGTTTTGAAAGGCGCGAATATTGTTTTTACGGGCGTCATACCAACCCATACTCGACCTGAGGAAAGTCAACCTTGGAGAATAGCTAGACAGTTTGGTGCAAATGTCAGTAGGGACCTATTAACTCATAAAAACACCGCTGAACCAAGTGAACGCACGTCTCATGTTATTGCTGCAAGGCCTGGCACTGAAAAAGCCTGCATTGCGCAACGCATGCGCAACGTACGACTGGTAAACCCGAACTGGCTTTGGACGTGCGTAGAACGCTGGGAATGGGTAGAAGAACGGTTATTTCCAGTGGAGTCGAAAAGTGATCATAGTTGTAATACAATTGACGTCTCGAGACGAAATACGGTGATAGTACAATCAGAGAAGGAAAGTTACACTGAACGTGATGAAAAACTGGAAGAAATCACTAAAGAAAATATGAACATAGTTTTCAATCCGTTTTTGAGTTTCTCCAGCGGTGATATGGCGGCAATGGATCAGGAAGTGGAAGATTTAATGAGATCAAGTGACGAAGAAGATGAAACTGAGAAACTTTCTACGCTTGAGTCCTTAAGTTCATCTAGTGAAGACGCAGATGTATGTCTCAATTCGTCGAAAATATCCAGAACTTTTGAAGATGATGGTGTTGATAAGGAAATGAACTTCGCCACAATCAAGCAAAATGAAAACAACAGCCCGCCAACAAAGCGAAAAAAGTTGGACTTTAATGATGGCGAGAGTGATACAGACGAAGGTGACTTTGGTGCTGACGAAGATAGCAGTGAATCAAACAGCGGGGATGACGATGGCATGGCTGCCTTATTAGAAGCTGAACTATTTCATTAGAAATGTACTGGAGTGGTTAATTCGTCAGAGATCTTCATTTTTGACGTTTCAATAAATGCATCACGATGCACACCATTGAGTATAAAGCGAACACAGGACTTGTAAATAGGGGATAGGCACTCTTTTTTCGCCTTTAATGTTAGTCGTATCGACATGTTTATAATCCGTTTTACCATCACAATTACATGTCTTATTGCTTTTTGTTGTACCACATTTTCCATTTTGTGTAGTCATTATCTTTCCAGACGTATATTGTCAAATTTTTCCATTTCCATTCACCCAATGGCATTTGAAAATAGACACGGTATAAACGAACCTGTCTAAAGTTATTCAGAAAATACGACACGTTGACTGATCATGTAACTTGTTTATTATTTGAATCAAACGATAAGACAAACACATTACGGTAATACTAATACTCCCGTCACGTGTATTGTGGTCAACCTGTTATTCTGTTGTTAAAACCTTACAAGATATTTATTGTTTTACGACACAATTTATCTGAAAATATACGCTATTGTAGTTTTTCACTATCTTTCTCAGAAATGAAAAGCAAATCAGAAAAAGCGTGGAGTCTGGGGTGTGGAGTCTGTAACCCTCACTCACGCACAGCAAATGCGCGCTTTACATGATAAAATGTGAACAAATTTATGGTGTTTTGCTCCCCTCCACAACAAACTAAGGCTTTGGAGACTTTTGCAAATGCACTGCGACACAGGGCAGTATGACTTTAAATTTGACAAAAATGAAAGTTTTAAGACGAGTGCCACCTGCGAACTTCAATACGGCAAAATAAAGAAAAATACATAAAATACTGCTCTCTATAATCCTAATTTAAACTAAAATACACACACATTAACATATTATAAGTCGTAAAAATACATAAAGTCGCCAAACAGGCTCTATTTTAGGGAAATGCTCACTAGAGGTAATCGTGTTGCTAGTTACATTCGGATTGGTGACGTATTTTCCTTTGTCAACTGGGCCAATTTGGTTTGACTGTAAGCCGTTACTATGTAAAGAACCAATCAATTCTATGTCAAAGAAAGTCTCACGCTGTCATCTTAGGGTAATGTTTACAGAATTGGGATTGTTTCTGGGGTAGCTAGGGTAGCTTTTTAACCAACCCTCACGTCCCTTTTGCACCTGTTGGTATACTGTGGAAATGCTAATTTTAGATTAATCTATTTTGACGAACCAATCCGTGAGGCCAGAATAAGTTTTTCAGTTAATAAATTATGTTCAAATTTATGAGTTTTTATTGAAAGTGCGATTTGTTTTAATAACTGCCATAAAAAAAAAGTAACAGATGATTTAGTCACGCTGTTTTACCCATTGAAGCAAGTCCAGAAAAAGCTAGCTTTTCGAGGAAGCAAAATGCAGATTCCAAGCTTATTAATAGTTCTGCGTTGATGAGTTAGGAAAGCAAAACATTAACATTCAGGTAATTACTCAATGATTTGTTGAGCTTAGTGAATTATTGTAATCCATCTTAATCTTAAATGATGTCCTCAAACCAAACAAAGTGATGATGCCTTGTCTGACGTTATTTATTTGTAAAACGCTATTCGATCCATTGAAGAACTGAACACAAATATTTCAGAGAGATCGATCAAAGTAGGAGAACACATTTTCACAGTACACTTCAATGTTTTAACTACGATCACCAACGAGAAAATGTGGTAAGTCGTTACTCAAGTCAACTATAACAATGAGATATTCGTAGTTTGGATGAAATGGAATACACTTTTTTTTAACACTAAATATATGTATCACAAATCGATCTAAAAATGTAAGTGGAAACATAAATCTAGCTTTCTATCATCATTAAGTACGATTAATTTCCTCTCAAAGGAATCCAGAGGAAGCTTGCTCTCAGAATGAAACAGAGAAACCAAGAGATAAAGTGATTGTTTTAAATGAAACAGATTTAACAGAAAACATACAAGAACATCATTCTTTGAACGAAGTGAACGATGTCTGCTATGTAAAAGAGAAAACGGGAAGACCTTCAAGTCAGGACAATACAATCTCTCCGACAACACTTGAATCGTTTACACTTGAACAGCGAAAACAGGCCAATGACAAGTCTCTGTTAAGAACACAATGTTTTACGGAAATCATCGAGCACAAAGACAATTGTGCGCGGAAAAATGGAATAATCCTACCTGAACTAAAATCAAACAACAAAACCGCTAATGAAGGCCGATTACAACATAATCATTCACAAAAAGCTGTACTGGATCCTTCAAATAGTCATTAATTACTGTGATATAGTCCAACTAGTGGTCACAACAATATAGAACATTTGATTTTAATAGAAGCTCCATTATCTTTTATAGATCGGGGATCAAATCAAAGTGATACCACCCATTTCCCCAAACATCAAAACAAAACCTCCAGTAGTGGCAAAAGCAACGTCAAGGGACCATAAAAAGTCCAAAGAAGCAAGTTACAACAATTTATCTTCAAGAAGGCGTTCTTTGGCCCTTCCAATAAATTTGGCAGATAAAAGTCCAATATTTTTGCGTCGAAGATCACTGGCTACACCAAATGAAGTAAAAACAGCAGGCCAACGCACGAACAGTCCAGATGACTTTCAGTCAGTGTAGGTTAAACTCACAAATGATTATATCAATTGCAAGAACGTGCAGTAAATCGACGAGTTTTTGTTATATCAGCAGGTATTCATGCAGGAAACCGAATGAAGCAACGGAGAGCAAATACAACGATGTTAAAAACCACATCGACACAACTGGTAAACGGGTTCATCTGTACTTCATACGTCACTGTAATTTATATAAAATGGAAGCAATGTACATTTTTTTCTCTTTACTCGTACAGGCACAAAGAATTCAAAAATTAGAGGTCAGTTGATAAAGTATGGAAAAGGCATCGATAGTAAACAAATGGAAGGCTGCAGCTCATACCTACGTTCGCACGAAGATAATTGTGATCAAGGAATAGAGGGAGAGTTGAAAAGTGCAAACCGAGAAGTCAATTATTACAAAGGTAAATGCAGAGAAAGTCGAAGAATATCCTTCGAGGATTGGCTAACTGACAAAGAACAAGAAAGCTTACGCCTACTACAAAGTTTGCAGTTAGAGAAAATGAAAGCACTCGAAGACGAGACGAAGAAGAAAGAACAGCGTAATGGCGGCAAGACTTACGAAGCATGGCTTGTAGAGAAAAAAAAGATGACGGTGGCTAGCAAAGACAACTTTGTAGACGATAAAGAAGACGAAACTATCAAACAAGAACGACAGGAGATTGCTAGACGCCGTTACGATAAATGGCTGATGGACAAAGAAACAAAAGCTTTGGAAAAAGAACAAGAAATGCTGCGACAAGAAAAATTGAAGACAATCGAAATGCGAAAAAAGTACGAAGAGAGAAAGAGAAAATTGCGCAATTTGAAAATTTGATATCATACGTAAAGATATAAAACTTTGTTGTTGCACTTTTTCCGTTCCCTATTTTATATGCTTATTTATTCGAAACATTTGTGCATTGCGTAGTTTTAGAAAGAAAATTCCCGTAACTATCATTATATAAAAAATACTAATAACAGTTTTTTTAATGTATAATCTCTATGGTGTTTGTGTGGTATCGTTGGACACGTTTTGTCGAGCTCTGACTGGTTGAAATCGTTCATTGAATCTGTCCATACCATTATGGCAAGACTTTAAACAAATAACAAGACAAAGCAAGAGATACAATGAAAATGAAAGATAGGATAGACAACATTTATGACATCCCCCAAAACTTTAAATGCACACGATTTAATTTGGAAGACACGTAAGATAAAGGCAAGCAAACTCGTTAAAAAAATTATCAATCATTTGTTAAGTACTAAAAACGTTAAGTCGAAGGACGAGTTCAAGGCTTCCAGGATTTTGAAGAAATATTCTCACTGTAACAAAAACGAAAACTGACATAAATATTCACGAAAAAGTAAAAAGTATAAAAATCATTACCTATAAACAGGATGGGCGTCTCGATATCGACTGCTATAAAATTAAGGGAAAAAAAGCGTTATAAAAAGAAATTCTCACGTGAAATAAAAACATTTTAAACAAAATTTCATTCTTCACTAACTATGTGTTCGCAGGGATTGGCCTTCTTCCAGTCCAGTCCACGAAATGTTTCTTCATAGTCGAACATAAAAAGAGAGGTATACATAGACCAAGGTTTCTTAAGGGGGGAGGGGAAAGGAGGGAGGGGGAAGGGGGGAGTGGGCACATTTTTTATCTTCAATGACTTAAGTGTCCACCTGTTCTCCGCCTTTTCAGGGAATACTGCCGGGGTAGCCAAGTCGGAAAGGTTGGGAAAGGGGAAAAGTTGCTATATCATTAGCTATCTTTTTATCAATAAAATATGGAAAAAAAGTACCTGCCCCGGAGACATACAAAATGGTGTGTACTGAAATTTATATCTTTTAGAAAACGAGGTTTCATCAGGTTCTGTTGTAAGAGCAAATAAAAGAGAACACGGGTTTGAAATTAAATGGAATGAACAATTGCATTAAAAATGATAATTTCAGATAATAAGAACTCGTGTACTGCACGCTATTTAACTTTGTAAACCTCGACGAAATGCAGGAAAAAGTTCACCGAGTTTGTCTGGATGCATTCTTCTCAAATCGTTTCCAACAGCCAGATTAGAGTACGGTCTTTGGCTTTGCTTACTTTAAAGGAAAATGAGCAATTTTAGCAAATAGTTGTATAGAGAAAAGCGATGTCCAGCATTGCAACAGAAAAAAAAACCTTGTGGAAGAATTTTGTTCTGTTTCTGCGAGAGATGTCAGAGCTTGCGGATTTTTTCCTGTCGATGACTCCGGGTCATTGTCAATGGACTCCGCGATGGTCTAAATTTAAAAGTTATAGCCATCAAAACCTTGTAGTTTCCTTCCTAATATCGAACACTCGTTTCTCCTAGCAACCGCTTCGACGTATAATCTCAAAATATTAACACACACACAATGAAAAAGACACGTCTAAAAAAGTGAACCTGCTCTGAAAGAGGTTTTCTTGTTTTATCAAATAACATAACCGCAGCATGTTGAAAATCGTCTGAAATAAACGAGAAAGAAGGAAAGTATCACAAACACAAACATATGTACAGATATCAGCGAAGGTCAAATCATATATTGCAGATTTTTCATTGTTGCGAGGTTGTTCGAAGGGCGAACTCAATACCTGCAGTAAGGTTTGTTGTAGTTCTACTATGCTCGAATGGCAATTTCTGGGAAACTGTATCCATATCCATACGACGAAATGTCGGCAAACGAGGATGATATAAACCCTCTTTTGCTGATGCTAACATGACAGTTCCTCTGTTTAGTTTAGGTCCATCGGTTGTAGGGTATTTAGCATATGAGCTATAGTACATTTTTATTCCCCTATTCCTTTTACCAAGCCAACAGATAGGATGTTGTTATTTCTATCAAAGCTTTTGTTTTTCAAAATAAACTCAGCGGCAAAAGTAATCCTCTAATTATTTCACAGCACGGGTCACTTATGACGTAACGTTATTAAGATGTCTGAACTCAATAAACGCTTTATTCATTGTCTGACTGAAATAATCATTTGCTTGCGTTTGCAATGTAAGGCATTTTTTCAATATTCTTTTGACAGGAGCAATTGACTTTCAAACATTCTTTCACGGATAAAATCAAGACACGAAAGACACAAGTATCACAAGTTATGCGATCGATAGTTACCATAGAAACGATGGCATGACATAAATATGTTGTTAAATGTTAACTTATTCTTCAACCTTACCTACTGATCTTGATGTAGAAGTTCTGCAATGCTCGATAGGAAGTTTATGTAAAGCATCATCCATGTCTTGTCTTCTGTAACTCGGTGGCTTTGGATGAAGCATGCCTTCTTTTACAGCCACGAGCATTCTTCGAGGTGGTTTATAGTTGTGATCAGTGCCATGGGGTCGGACCGAGTGCCTGGAATACCTGTCCCCTTGTCTATCAAAGCCATACCACCGTTGACCAGGACGGTTTTCGAAACGGGACATCGTGTGAATAGCAGATTGACGATGGCAATTTTGTAAATAACGAGTGGTCACCATTCACATTTGTTGATTCTTTAAAGGTCAAAGGTCTTCATTCCACCCGAAGATTATGACAGGATAAGACTGTGCTGGATAGAAAGAAATCAAAAATAATACAGCAAAATTTTTGTAAAAATTCTAGAATTGCGCTAGTCCGTAATAATCAAAGAAAACCGCGAAAGAAGGCAAGAATGCTAAATTACACATAAAGGCATTCGTTTTTGTAAAAACTTACTAGAAAGTCGTACGATTTTAAGCTCAAGAAATACTTCTGAAACGTTTCTTATAATTGTGGGTGGATTTAAGAGAATATTTTCATTTTTTTGCCATTGAACTGCCTACAATTCGACTGTGATATCCAATTAATGGCTGAATCACGGGCTCAAGACAGTACAGAAACTCGCGCACGGGCGAGTTCACATTCATGATTCATGTTAATAAATACAGTTCATAAGTTTAAAAAAACACATGAAAACCATAGTATTACGTTTTTAAAACGAAGTTTGGGGGTAAGCAATGTATTCATTCATAACCAACGTTAGGTTAGAAAGCAAGAAGGAACTCCACCAGTAGATTGAACACTTATCAATTCATACTTCAATGAACAAATGTTGTCTACATTCATATTTTAATACACAATTCTTGGCTACATTCAATATTCTATTCTAAAATTCTTATTATGACAAATAATTTCTTTAATTCAATTACTTTCAAAAAGTTCAAGTATCCTGTACTTGCAATTATGTATTTAAAATTCCTGATTTAATTTCAGCTTTATCCCACGGATGGCAATAAATTATTGAATTAAAATAATGTGGGACCATATAGCAATGAACTACACCCCCCTATTTCTTAAAATCCAAAATCACAGTAGACTTTTGTGGAACCTTGACAACCACATGATTTCTACATCACAAACACCAATATCGTGTGCATACATCACTATCAAATGTGACATTTGTACCACAAATATTAGGGAAGGAATATGTAGGACATGTAAGGATAACATGATCAATATCTTCTTGCATTGGATCTATCCCGTTGTTGTTCAGGCAACATTGATGTGACTGACCAATTAATATGTTTACTTGAAATGGGTTGATGATTTAATCTTGCAGTTGTTGATGTTGGTGATGTGACATGAGAGGGAGAATGCGATGTTTGGTAAGGGTCATTATCTAAAAAGAGATAAACTTGTAGGTGATTGGTCAAATTATGACCAAACTTGTAGGTCATTGGTCAAGTTATGACCAAACTTGTATGTCATTGGTCAAATTATAACCAAACGTGTATGTCATTGGTCAAGTTATGACCAAACTTGCATGTCATTGGTCAAATTATGAACAAAGAACAAAAAACAAAATATGACTTCCACATACCCCTCTCCCCTTGGTTGGGTGGAGAATCTCGTCCATCAACTATGGATTCCAATAAGTCCTAAAACAAGGTTTTTTTGTCATTAGAAATAGAATCAAGTTGTATTTGAGAAGAAATAGATGTGAATATTACTCACATCTAGCATGCCTGCATCACTATAGTTTCCGCCAGCAAGAATGCTTTGAAACGAACAGAGATTATCCTCAATATACTGAACATGACTTTGCAATTGCTCTCTAAAAAAGAATAGAGCAAGTTAATTCCTGCATAGAGATAATAATAATTCACAAAAATATACACACTTGTTGATTTGTCCGGCAGCCATTGTTGTGGTCGTAGATGTTGTGCTGGGAATGATGCTACTCCGCATGGTTGAGGATGGATTGTAAGACTGGGGTCTAGATTGTTGGTAGCTTTCCTGATAATGACTTGAAGGAAGATGACGAAGGGAGCTGTATGTGTCTTCAGAAAGTGGTTCATTTATGATAGGTCGAACTGCAGAGATGGAAATATGTTCGTATTCTTCCGGATTATCAACTGGTGTTATTTCTGGACCTGATGTTTCTGAAATAAAAAGAGTTTTCGTGAAATAACCATGCTAAATTTCGTAATAAAGATGATTCAGAAATGTGATTGATCTTCTACTTACCAGGGAAACTAGGAGCTGACACATTCATGCTTGTTGGTCTTGGTGGTGACTGAAAAACAGTTTTTTTTAATAACTCAAAAAAATTTACATTTCCACTCAGTTCACTATAAATTACTCACTCTCATGCTATAGGAGCTCTGCTGCTGTGATGGTCCTGGATTATCCATATTTACTCCTGATGAACAAGGTCGTTTGGCATTCAAAGATTCTGGTCCTTGTATCATTAATGGTCGTTTGTTAGTCAGGCCATTATTAGAGTACAGGAGTTTCATTAGAAACCGAATAAGCTGTCAAGAGAAAAACATAATTAAGCAATGGTAAAGTACAGAACAATTGATTACAATAATGCCAAACCTTATTGACCACTTGCTCTTGTTCTTCATGCTTTTGCCTCAAATCAATTAATTCTTGATACAAACTTTGATTTTCCCTACAGGAATATCAGTGTATTACATATGTTTCATCATAATACATCATTATAAGCTTGCAAGAACAAATCAATGAATTACATTTTGACTTGGTCCAGTTTAGAAGACATGTCCAGTTGTTTGTCCTTGATGTGATGAATGTCAGTTAAGACACGATTATATTCTTCTCCTTTTACCTTTTTATCGTCGGGTGCTGACTATAAAAGCGAAAGTCATGAGAGCTGTCTGTCCATTAACGGACAAACATCACAAATAATGGCTACCTTTCTCTTGACATTTTCAAGCAATCTTGGTTGACTTCTGATGAAGTTCACATTTTGAAACTGCCAATCCTCTTTATCAGCTTTTAAACCACCTTGATCAGTACCAACTATCTTACGAAAACCGTCTAAATTCAAAACATTAATAATTTTTTATAAACGAGTAAATGAACAACATTTGTGTATGAATGTTCATTTTACTGCTGTTAGTATGAGCATACTACGTTAAAATTTAACGAGTCGTAAAGTGCTACGTTAAGCGTATAGAAAATTGCAACAAGTCAACTGACTTAGTCCAAAACAACATTATTTCAGTTGACAAAGATATCGCTATAAACGAATGATATCCATTAGAGAAAAAGGCGCTGTTAGAACAAAGAATGTTTATCAACAGAAGGCGATACGATTTTATCGTGTTCAAACAACATCATGCAACAACAACAAAGTATTATGTAGACCAAGAAAAACGCTATAATTTTACAATAGCGAAGTTTATGTACCGTTCTTGTAATAGTTAACTTACACATATTCAATTGCCGCACAAAACTTGCAAAATTGTTATGTTTGAAGTATTTTGGCAAAATTTCCCTAGAGAACGTGACTTGATCATGGACGATAAAGCTTGCCTCATCCTAATAAGAATAAAGTAAAAAACACGTTACTTGTTTGCCTTAATCTGGATATCCAAGTGAGAATTCCAACTGATCAACAAGCTGTACAATAATTTACGTTATGCTGTAAATGTGCATTATGAATTATTACCGAACTCCATGATATCAAATGATCCGATGAAGGATCATCAACCAGCTTCCATAACTTTGCCAAGAACGCTGGTACTCCGGATGAAATTGTAAAGGATCTATTCTCCATCCTCATGTAGAAACTGCAACGACACACACTAACTGATGACTAACCGCCTTCGTTCATGATGCAACCGGGATGCAACAATTATATACTAACTACCCAGGGTGCATTGCGGTCACTAAACCACAAACATCTTCATACGGGTGCATGTAATTATTGTATAAAAAAATTGAAAGCGATGAAATATTGCTCTGATACAAGTAATTGTGTGGTACACTGACTGTACATTGATTCTATTTTAAGATCTATGCGAATTTTTTAAACCAATCAATTTTAATAAACGAAATGGTACCATCATTAATGATTTGAAAATTTTACAACATATAATAATAATGTAACAATTTTTCTTCTGAAAAGATAGATTTGGAAGTTGGAAAACATTAAAAAATCCCTGGAACATTTTGCACACAACTATACAACTCGGGAACGGTTTTTGTCAGATATTTAACTAAAGGCCCTGAACACATACATTTATACTGTCACAAAAAGTCATAAACAAGTAAAAACTGGATAATAATAACAGAGCCGGAATTCAAAAGAGTTGTACATATATGTCGACGTGTAGACGACATGACGAGCCTCCCTGACAACGAATGCAAAATAAACGAACTTTCTAGAAATCTGACGAGAACGTAACGAGGTCTGAACGATCGTAAGCACACGTTCCAGAACATTCGTCGTACGTATTTCCCGTTTCCGACTCGAAGCTAGCATATTCTACGGAGCACCCAAACATTTTTTTTATCTAAACATAATAAATCTCGAAAAATCTTTAAATAACTTACACAAAAACACCCCTTAATCATAAAGAATTTTTCGTTTCATACTTAAAGCATATTTATTGGCATAATTGATAAATTTCCCGTGGTATTGTCTCTGGTCACGAACGTATTTCACCAGAGATAAATAGGCACTGTTGAAAGAAGAAGTCATTTAAAACTTTTAATACACCTACATTTACAATGTCCAATCGAACACAGTCCAATTTAAAGATGATTATCACAGGTACAGTGTAAATATTTGATTCTATACTTCGTTCGTTCTACTGTAACTGTTATTTAAGAAACATAGAATAGAACACAATTGAAAATATGAGAGGTCTACTGAACAACATGTGGTTGGGAGAGTCGTTCAAAGTTATATTGCAAATGGAGATGAACGACTTTATGCTTCTCTTTTATTTTTCAACTGATTTACTTTCGATCGAAATTTTACGATGTAAAATTGACTTCTCCATTACAATAAGCATATGGAGCGAGCGACGTTCTGTGGTTGTGTGTGCCTTCTATAGCTTCCGATAGCCGAACGAATTGCGGCAACTTGTATCGTCGCGAATAAAAGTTAATGTAAAAAGTTAAATCAAGGTAAAATGCATGTACATTTGATGTTACATTCAGAGAATAAAGAACACCTTCAGTATTAAATCATAAATTAAAAAAGCATCAATACTGGTCGATATTCAAAATCAAAGTGTACAGTTTTTTCTCTCAGCTATTCTCCCAAAACTTTTCTTTGAAGTAAATGAACATATATATGTAAGCTATATGATGTGGATTGCTTTTGTATCACCCTACGATGCCCAAAAGTTCTCAATAATCAACATCTTACAAGAACCCTAAATAGATGACCAAATACATTTGACGTCTGCATATTATGCGAATGCTGTTTTGCTTTGCACTAATATAATATTTTTTATCAAACTTTGTTTACGAAAGAAATCATGAACGGCAGGTTTTTCTAAACACAGAAATAAGTTCGTTAATGCTCATAGGCGTTTGTAGTGCATCTTAAGCTTTTATTTTCTCATAAAAGTGTACAAGTGCAGTTTAAATGCTGCTAAGATGCATTGACTTAAAATATAAAGCAATATTTGAACATGAGTACAACTTTTCTTTAATCAATTCCTCTTAAAATACTGCCTGACGTTAGTCTCATTCAGATTGATTAATTTTGTAATTAGAACAACAGGTACTACACTGGTGTCAAATAAAATTCATTAGTTTGTACATGTATAGGAGAGGGATTAAGAATGGAACATTCAATTAAATAAAATTAGAAGTTCAGTTAGAATGAAATAAGTTAGAGATAGATAAGTTAATGAAGTAGTTTGTGCATGGAGTATCAAATAATGTATCTTCTCTTCTGGAGAAAAGTATTAGCTTGCATGTATTTGCATTACACGCATTTCAGTATAAGACATGTTTAAAATTTCCTCCTTTGAATCAGGCAGAGTGCTCCATTTTCATTTCCTAAAATGTGCGTTTGATATACATTACTTCCACGCAGTAAAGAACAACGTAGACAAACAGATTGGAGAATATGTCAATATGATTCTGATAACTTATAATGATTCAGCCAATGTATAAGAGAACGAGCCAATGTATAAGAGAACGATTTAGGTATATACGTGAGTTAAATGACTTATTCAATAATATGAATTAGTAGCTATAGTGTGTATAGTGCTCGCACCTTTTATGTATGAAGCTAAACATACGCACACAGAAAACGAAGTTTATTTGCTCTGCATGGATAGCTTCACCAGCGTGTTGTTCTCGTCATTACGTTATAAGATATTAAATTCATTTGATGAGAATCGCGTGATTCTTCCAACTATATCGAACTTTAATTTTTTTACCACAAAATTTTAAACGAAATAACTTCTTGACCTACACCACACAAATCTGAACTTCCCAAACCCTAACTAAAATTAATTCTTTACCATTTTGCCTTTTTGTCCTACTCGCCTCAGCAGCTACGTAGAACAAAAATCAGTATGATTCTGGTGTAGCGTTAGGAACATTAAAAAAGGTGTATGGTCTGCCGAAGCCTGGTTTCCACACAATCATTTCGATCGTTGTGTCACACAGACTAAACTGGTTTGAATCTTTATCATGTTAAGTTTAAAAGCTTTGTAATTCAAGCATTTGATTTGGATAAACAAAATATCTGTTTATATATTATACATTACTTTTGCTCAATGCTCCTATTTTAGCATCAAAATACCATTTGTTTAAACCATGTAAACGTCGTTTAGAAGAATATACTGCAGCATGGCCTTAACTTCTTTATATTATTCCACATTACCTTTTCTAAATATCTTCCCTAGGTCGACCGTAGAATGGTATGAAACGACAAAGATTAGCTTTGAAACTATCGTATGCTTACTACGTCTTTAAGCATACAAAATATTGAGATAATTTTAACATACATACTTTATGAAGAATCATGAAATCCACGTCTGTATTCTGGTTACATGTTTATCGCACGAGTAAAAACACAAAAGTGGGTAGCTGCAATTTGAAGGCGTAGGAATATATTCTCTACCTGCATGTGTGAATTTTTGTGGTTTCGTTTGACACTCATGCATACATCATCAACTATTAATGTTCACAAACAACACTGAGTCAGTAAAATTGGCGCCAAGATCGCCCATAGTAACGATATACAAAAAACAAATGTACATACACTCTATTTCAAATATTTTCCAAAGAAAAATCAAAGGTTATAGCATCTTGCAAAAAATTGTAAAAAAAGCACATTTTTTACTATACATACTTCGTTGCTATTTTTTTTCATTTAATTATTTTAACCCATTATTTAGGCCGGTTTGTTCGATTACGATTTAGGGCACTCTGTTTCTCATCACCTTTAAGTTAATGCGAAGTCAAACCAACGAGTGACTCAGCACAAACGTAATTCTTGCAGCTACATTCCATTCCATTCCATTCCAATCCATTTCAATATAATATATCGGGGTTATTTTTTATGTACTGATTGAAATCATTGATGTTTTCTTCCTGACAGTTCCCATGTGTACCTACAACATTGGTTCAGCTCACTATAACCGTCGTGTTTATCATAGATAATTGTGTTTGTGTAGACACCACCAGATCAAGGATAGAGTGGTCTTTGTGAGGAGAATACCGGTCATAATAATGTCAAGAGGAACTAGTTGATGCAAGAGAGTGATCGTAGTTTACCAGTTTTCTTCCGATAAGATATCTACAAACAAAATAACGATTTTCTTGTTAACATTTCTGGCAAAATCACAAAAATATGTAATAAGGAAAAAAGGGGGTGAAGGGGCAATGATGTTGTACGATATTGTGCAAGGAGAAAGAAATTTTCGTAATGACTTCCTTAGTTGGAGCATCTCTAAAGATTTCAAGCCTGTTATATTATTCTCTGCTCGAAATTTCTGAAAATGTGATTACGTATAGGAAAACATTTTCCGAAGAATATTGCTTTGAGGAAGCGATCGAACGTCATCAACATGAACACTTATCATCGCCTTCACGATAGGAAATTGTTTGTCGATTGCCAGTGGAGAAAGTGCTTTAATCAAGAACACCTCGTCTGCTTTATTGTGTGACGTATTTTATAAGAGCATATTAGAGTCTGAGTGATTTTGGATTAGTGATATGACATAAAACATAAAGAAGAAAATGCTGGCATTAAAGGCTACCGGTAAACCGAAGTTGTTTTGCTTAAAGTGACAACTATCTAAACTATAAAATTCACAAGCGTTGTCATAAACTGCTGCTGTGAAACGATTATGAAAACAATAAAAAATCGTAAAAACTGCAAATACAACATTACTTTTATCTTACTTCAGACAACGAAAGTTGATCAAATGTGTTTGTCGTAGTTAAATTAAAAGGATCATACTCCACCTATTCTGCTACACATAAACATGTTTCTCTATGGCAAAGTGCATATTTTACTACCACCACGACAAGAATGGATTGTTGGTGAAACTTTGAAGTATTGGTCTGATGTGATAACAGAAGACAAACTTATGGATTTTGAAAGAAGTGTGAAAGCCGAAAGAGATCAATGAATTCAAAACTCTTTGTAGTCTAAAAAAAGATGTCTAGAAATGGTATCCGTAAATATTTCTTTCAAAGCATTATAGAGTTCATAATCTATAAAATTGGTGAAAATTACTTAAATTAGTTGCACAACACAGGATCGTAATCGGATTGAGCACACAATGGAGAAAATATTTGTAATAATTGATGTTGCACACACACAACACAATGATAAAGCATTTTTAAACTCTTCCCAATTTAAAATCACTCCTCACCTATAAATATCTTTCTTTCGTCAATCTGTAGCTATTTTTACATCGTTTCCTTGGAAACATTACGCAAGAGACGATTGACGACGTCAGGAAAGCTTCAAACCGTGAAATCTCTAGTTCTTTACTCATTGCAATTAATTATAAAACCTGTGAAAGTTGAAATTATTGGTACACGCAAGCGAAAATGAATGAAGTTGGTTTAAAATTGCTTCATCAATATTGGGCACTCTCCAAAACACCATTGTTAACAATATTGATATTATGAATGTTTTATAAGTTGATATTCAATTGATATTCATTTAATATTGATATTGTTGGTCAAACTTGGTGCAGAAGTAGTGGAACACGGTTTAATTTCATGTTTCTAGGGTGCAACACATTATTGTTCCAAATTGATTAGATGAAAACCAAGAGGAAAAGCCAACCGGATTGGACATTATTTTTTATAAGTGTGAATGTACGAATGAACCTCTAATTTCCCATAAGATTATATATAAATGTAGTTATCACAAAAACTTTACCAAATTCAATTATGACAGCAAGCTCAAAATGATCCAACAAAGTTATTCTCATGAAAGACGCAATGATTTCAAAAATATAAACACCTCGTTAGTTTTACATATAGAGACGATGAACAGTACCGGTGAACTGTTAAACTGTCAATGAGAAAGGATTTATAAACAGATTGTATCGTGATAATACAAAGACACTCGCATGGGAAGCTCGGAAAACCGCCCATTTTTTTTTAATTGACCAAATTAGTCTATTAAAATAAAATCATATTATACTTCAGGCTATATGAAGAAAAATTCTTGTAATTCCTTCATTTAGAATGGTCCAACATTAATTAACAGCGTGTTATAAAGTAAATCATGATTTCAAAGTCCAATTGAATATTTTCCTTCAAAAAAACCCCCGCCTTAACTAAGTGGGGGACAAATGATGTTAAATTCAAATAACATGGGTCAAGGTTACAGGAACACACCGTATAACAGATACGTAATATGTTCAAGTACCGTGACCAGAAAATATAGTCAATCTTTTGTAAATATTTTAAATTCTGCTAAGTACGTAATACCAGCACGATGCAAACTTACAATGGCCCCTTTCTTTAACCTAACCATCGCAACTCTGTCAACATTCTCTGACTGAAGGAACCCAAGACCTTTAGCAAAGCCTTAAAAGTTTTGCTATGTGATCAACTTAAGCCAGGTTCTCAAACAGTCGTCGGAGTACGTAAGCAGAAAGGACAAAGCACTGTCAAGACGACTGAAAAGATTATATGAAAACCAGTCTTCAGCAACAAAAGGTTACGACTTTGTATACTTATTGTATTTTGTTAGGGTTTTTTTTTGATCAGACGCGAGTCTTTCATGGATTTAAACTACAATTAAAAAGGCCCCTTTTGTCTGTATTGAATCAAGTGGATAACAATATCAGGTAATGTTCAAGCAGTTTGAACTTACTTGTCATTCTTGATGTGTTCATAAAGTCTTTGAAATTGTTTTCCTTGAAATACAAGTCCACCAAACAGCAGCAGCACGGCGAACAGAAATGGATAAACTTGACGAATGAAAAGCAGTTGAATTTGTCGAGATGGAACTAAGAATAAAGAAAGATGGTTATTTATTATAAAAATAAAAAGATTTCTTTGACAAACGTAACAACAATCATAAACAAAAGCATGCAGGGTCACAACGCTAGACCACGTAGAAAATTTGTTTACGTATTTTAAAAAAGCTCTTGAAACAACGTTGCTGAAGGACAAAAGAACCAAAAGGAGTCGACCATTTTACAGAGAGTAATGCCGTTCCATGACTCGAACTGCACAGTGAGTTTGAGGACTTTAGAATACAGCAATACAACATAAATCAACTACACTAAAACCTCTATGTACTTACCAACGAGGGGAACAAAAAGATTCGCAGAAACGTAAGGTATGGTAATCGCCAGCAACAAAACAATTATTACAGGAAGGACTAACTTGCGTAGGATGTACGTCATGTTAAGTTGACGAAGACCATTTTGATAGATCTTATAAAATACATACAAATTAAACACAAGTAGAAACTATCATTTGTTTTATTCTTCAATTCACTTCTTATGTAACCCTTATGATTGAATATTCTTATCTCACCTGATCCAGAACTCCTTTGAGCCACCACTCGGGACCCATCATTGTCATAGCACATATTATTTTCGTATGAAGAACTCCTAGAGCCCAGTCCTAAGGTTGCATAAAAAACGTACACATTACAGTCTACCGCAGAGAGAGCCTCGGTCCAATGAAGGTCAAAAATATATTGTATTTTAACATTAAAAGGATGTTTATACAAAAAAAAACCAGTTTTTTCTTACGTGCGAAGGGAAATACAGAGGCGATTGATCAACTGCAACTCGTAAAGGAGACATAAACACGAGCTCAAATATAAAACCAAGTAAAAATGGAATGACTCCAACAAGGAAGACAGCAAGAACACAACATTTGAGAACCTAAAATAGAGAAAATTGTTCTTTCCTGTAGAATACTACGCACCAAAATGAACTTTAGCATTGTTCTTTAAAAATATATCTTGCTCTTTTTCAAGATAATTTAATTATAATAATAATTTCACTTTGTAATATAATTGTAATTTTGATTATAAAACTCTAATTTTATGATCTGAAATATATTAATTCGCATTAGAAAGAAGCAACAAAACACAGTCTTTGTCGTGGTAACAAATTTAAAAATTGACGCTTAAAACAGACACCGCTCAATTTAGAGACGACGTTGACTTTTGGTAATATTATAAACATCGCATGAATCTGAAGCTCTCATTTAGCAGACGTTGACACCTGATGAGCAGTCTGCCGTAATGCATAATGTCTTTCATCAAACAGTTATTTTGTATTGTTGGTTTAGTGTTCTGGCTTAGGCAGTTCTTTTAAGAACTATTTCGTTAGTATTTGACCATTCACCAAGGTATTTGCTCTTTTTAAGACAATTTTTAAATAACCAACAATAATTGTGCGGTTTTTTGTACCTGATATAAGTAATAGAACAAGATGTGTACTTACCAGCAAAAGCCAAGTTTTCACCTTATCAGCTATACCAGCTACACCAAGCGGTAACCACGAGATAATTATACCAGCTGTCCGACATAACAACCATGTAATGTACAGTCCAAATGTGGCTGTGTAAAGCTCGTGGACACTAACGCCTGGGGCGACCAGATGCATAGCAAAGCGACCAACGGCAACTGAGATAAGATGAGAAAAAAATTTACTCAATTTAACCAAAGGTAAAAAGTATTAATGATTTTAAAACGATGTGTTTTAACTCTTTAACTCGTTGTCTTAATTTTACATAGTACTTAGACCGTAAAACTTGAATTTAAAAGTACTTTAATTACAGTCATACGTTATAGCAGTTTAATGTCATTCATACGGTTAATTAATACATATTATACTATAAATGTGAAATTAGAATGATTAAATACTAAAGATTGAGTTGATATACAGAAAAATCTCATACCTGGTAAAGTTAGAATTACAAAACTTGCAAGAGCAAAAGAAAGACACACAATGACCATGAGCAATGTAATCTACAAGAATGAAAGAAGTAAACGGTTTGAACCCGGAATATCGTTACATGTTTGTAGATGTTGACTCTGAAGATGACTACCGCTAAGGATGTCGAAACGCCAGTCAACATCAACAAAAACAGTCCTTCTCAGGACTCTACTAACCTGGACGATCTACATCTACAAACATGTGATGAAAGAAGAATTGGAAATGACGTAATGCTGAAATACTTCACACTTTCGTTTCATAAAACATGGACTAGAACTCTGTGAGATTTTCAAATTACTCAGAGATAAGAATAGAACATTTAATAATCGTCCATAGAAATGTGATGTTCTATAGTTACTTAGGGAAATTCGTACGCTATACTGTAATCATTATTAGAAGCAAGAACAATAGATGGTTATTCAGTTGTCGATCGTAAAAATCCTCAAAAACTGTTTAATTATTACCTACCCTGAGAGAGAAACGATCGGGTCTAATGTAAGGTTGAATCACGACCCGTCCTCCTTCACGAAATTCGCCGTGTTCGGCGGGAGGAGCAGCCTGATTTGCGTTTGCTTCGACGGGCAGTACAGGCTGATATTCAAGATTGTAATAAACCTGAATTACAAAGGTTGTAAAAATTTCTACCAATTTAAGGAAATCTTGTGGATTTACATGACAAAATTCAGTACTTACAACATTTTCATTGCTATCCAATGAAACGTCTCCCAAAAGATAAGAGCGAAGATTTCTATTAAAAACACATTATTAACATCTTGTCAACAGCGCGAGATTTTTACATAAAAATCTTGGATGGAGTTTTTGTTTTACGCAGAGGTTTTGGAAGCCTTTCCAAGTTGTGGATGTCCAGTGTACATAATGTGATAACGTTCAACAGTTAATCTTGTTATGAATTTTCTTGATAATACTTCTTTTTATTTCTTGATTCGGTTTTGTTTTTTTAAATGCATCATCATGTCAGAAAGAAAGGTGGTCGGTAGTTATTGATTTAAAAATTGGGTACACCAGTAAACACATGCCTTCATATCATAAACGTTGAAGGAAGAATGTAAATAGCGTGTGTCCTTTCTACTCTAGATTTCCTACTGTATGTACACTGAACAAATGATCCATATAAACCCCTCTGTATCCATAATCCAATCAAGATCGAGTACTTGTAAATGTATATGATTTAATGCAGCTAAGGGTAATTATCCCAAAGAGTACATATAAACCCCTCTGTATCCATGATCCAATCAGGATAGAGTACTTGTAAATGTATATGATTTAATGCAGCTAAGTGTAATTATCCCAAAGAGTACATATAAACCCCTCTGTATCCATGATCCAATCAAGATTGAGTACTTGTAAATGTATATGATTTAATGCAGCTAAGGGTAATTATCCCAAAGAGTACATATAAGCCCCTCTGTATCCATGATCCAATCAAGATCGAGTACTTGTAAATGTATATGATTTAATGCAGCTAAGTGTAATTATCCCAAAGAGTACATATAAACCCCTCTGTATCCATGACTTACAATAAGTATGCAGTGAAGACAAGCCAAGCCTTCACAAGTCCTTTCAACCATTGTCGACTTTGTCCTTGCTCGAGTAAGGCTGGCAATATAACTTGAAGAAGCAGTAACTCTAATGACAGCTCACTCATTTGAACTTCGCTGAAAACGAAAAGATTGGAAAGTTATGCTATTGTAGTCCTAAGTGAAAAATAGCTACAAGGCAGCAAGCCATTTGTACAACATGGAAATCAAGTGTGGTATCGGAAATTATGTAAATAAATTATGATTGCTATTTGAGACTAGGAACTTATCGTTAAAGCGGAAAAAGGAACTTGTGATTATTGAGTATTTTAGAAGGGTCAAATTAAGACGGCATCGTCTTTTGTTGATGCCTGTGAACAAGTAAGGAGCATGAATTGGAATTGATGTATAACTTTGACTAGAAAATTAAATTGATGACATTTTAAGAATTGTGTTTGACTGCGCGCTAGCTTTAGATAGTGTACAGTCCCATAGAGAACCGGCGGACGCATAACTGCTTTGTGCTAACTTGCAAAGGAGAAATTTGCAACATGCGGTATTTTTTTTCACCTGGACAAACGAATGCTGTAGGGTAAAAACTTTGGCATCAAGTATTTAATGAATCGAACAGGAAAATAAACCATTAGAAGTACGGTGGTGCCAAATACGACCTGAGATAAAAAATAATTCAATAAATTTACTTCGACAAAAAATATAATCAGGTTTTACCATTGAACTGTAATATTAACTGGAACGCTAACTGCGCCGCCATCTTTGAAGCCAATACTGATGCTAGTTTTTCTGCGTTTTTAGAATTTCCATGGTATTATTTTAACAAATTAACAACGATATACATAAATGACAGCAGCACAAATGGTCATGATAAGTTTACGCAGATAAAAAGGCATCATAGCTGGCTTCAAAATGGCCTCTAGCCTTAGTATTGGAGTTAGCGTTTCAGTTGATATTATAGTTCACTGGGTTTTACTGTATCATGTTTTCTTAACTCACCATGGAAAGAATGAAACGTCTTACATGACGATATAACGGAAGGTGAACCATCTGAAATGAACGTGAAGATTAATATACAGGAATGTGTTTTAATTCATCCACATCATAGACGGTTTAAAAATTTTAAAAACTATCTAAGATGTGGATGAAAACTGGTGTATCATAAAGTGATTTCTCCATCGAAGGTATTCTTTGGTACTGCCGTCAAAAAGTTTTAAATTGACGTTATTTCATTAATTTGGTGTAACAATTGAACCCTAATGAAGTTCTTTAAGCATGATTATGATCGCTTAGTTTATAATAAAGCTATTCAAATGGCTTTAAATGTGTGACAACGTTTTATTGAATGTTTGGGTCCTCTGCTGTTGTTGGCATGAAGAAATGTCGTTTATGTTGTTGGCGTAAATAACACAAGTGCACGTTTATAGCAAAGATAAATGAACAAAAAAAATTCAAACAAAACAAATGAAAAAAATGACCTCTTGAACAGGATGGAAGTCGGGATCATTTAAATTCCTCAAAAACCACAAAACTCCCGGCCTGATCACCTAAAATAACCATTAAACCATAAATGCCTTGTGCGTACGATTTTTACTAACATCAAAACAGACGATTTTATGTTTTAATGCAAGATTTACCTCACGAAGTAAAAGCACAAATGATGCAAAATAGAAAACAAACACCATTCCGACGAGCCAATGAAGAAAAAGAGAGGTTCCTACAGAGAAAATCGTCCATGCGTTGTTTCAAACGAAAAATAAAACATTTTACAGGATGAACAAATACGATTTCTTGAATTATGAACGAAGAAAAGGATTGAAATTTAAATGCTAGATAAAAATGTAGCTACGGTTTTTTACTTTGAGCTAAGTAAAGTATTTTAATCTTGTAATAAAATTAGTAAAAGTACTTGTGATCACATACCAGGAGCGGAATGAAAACCTTCTTGACGATTCTTTAATGTTGTACCAAACAATGGCTAAATATAAATAAGAATAGTTACGATGAATGCATCGATGTTTGAAAAGACCGCAGCCAGGAAACTGTTTAGACCTCATGCAAGCAATCTTTTAAAGAAAAGAAAAATATCGCGGATGAATACACACATTAACATAGGTACAAGTGAATGTATTTTTATCATAAATAAACTAATTTATAAACATCATATGAATGCCTGCTGACGGAATAAAAAAATATTTCATATGTAGAGGCGTGGGCAGCCCGAAGAAAATAAAAAACAAACACAAGAGGACTTGCGTACCAAGGAGCAAATGTCCAACCACCAGCCACAGATTAAAGGAAAAACGCCAATTTCGATCACCATTAGCAGAGATACCTGATACGACAAGAAGAATTTGAATGTTGAAGTTTTATCATGTGTACATATATATATATACATAAAAGATAAAAGTTTCTCCGGATTTTAAATGATTTTTATTGAGCTTTCGACTCGTTGCTTCGAGCCTTCATCAGAAAAGGATATTTATTTACACGTGCTTTTAGCTTGGAGACGTTTCGAGCGTCTAATTAGATTAGTCAATAAAAATTAGCAACGAGTCGAAAGCTCAATAAAAATCATTTAAAATCCGGAGAAACTTTTATCTTTTATGTATTCAATACCTGATTACAAATTTTCAAACATATATATATATATATATATATATATATAGGAAGTTTATAATTTATGATTTTCCGTATAAAACAGTGCTCGATACCCGAGAGCAGAGCGTAAATATGCCCGTTTTTCCCGTATTCGTGATTGCCCTGAAGAGTGAGCAATCACGAAACAGGCTTGTCGGGATGAATCTGTAGTTTTGTGATTTTTCTCAACACCACTACACATATATATATATGTATGTTTCCAATTAAATAACTCGCATGTGAAGAATGGATGGGTTAACAACTATTATAGTAATAAGGCCGAGATTCGATTTGAATTGAAAATGTCTGGTTAGACAGTAAACCACAACTAAGAATAAGAAAGCAACACACCTTTACAATAATATAACATAATCCAAGAATACGCTTTGCTCTATGAAATATAAACATAATAATGGCATTTCAAAAATACAAGAATGGTGACTATTTTTATCGTATAGAACGAATATCTACGTGAGCATACTTTTTCATTTTGAGTAAGGAAACCATGCTCTGTTTATATTGACGTTAAGGAAGAAACTGTTTATCATATTTTATTTTCTCACCCTGAACTTACAATTAAATCATCTCACTAACTAGATTTTACTATTAAGCCTTCGGCAACTAGAAGCAGCAAGGCACTCATGGAGAGAAAAATACGCAGTAGTAGTACAAAAGTAACACAGGAAGATTAAGTAAAAGATTTGATAGCGGCAGTGGATTAAAGGAAACAAACTTAGTAAGGATGGGCATGTTTGGAGAAGAGAATTCCCCGATTCTAAAAATGAAGTGAAGAGGAAGAGAGGACAGCGAAAGAAATGAAGTGAAGAAGAAGAGAGGACAAAAAGAAATGAAGTGAAGAGGAAGAGAGGCATATGAAGGAAGAAGAAGAGAGGACAGGAAAATCAAAGAAATCAGTGAAAGAAATAAATCATCAAATGGAAGAGGAAGAGGAAAATTGCTTGCAATGAAGGAAGAAGAAGAGAGGCAAGAAAAATGAAATTCGAAAAAATGAGATGGAAATCTTTGAAGAAATGAAGTGAATGAAAAGGGAATTACGAAATCGAAAATCGATCAAAATCTGGAAAGATCAAGGACAAAAAGAAATCTTGAAAGGAAGAAAACAGGAACAAATAAAAGACAGGAAATCAAGGAAAGGAAAAGTACAATAAGGATGCTGAGGACAGTGGAAATGAGTACAAGAAATCAGTACAATTGTTGAGAACATGGTACATAATCCATAAATCAAAGGAGATGAACAGTGAGACACAAGTTGCTGGCAAATGTAAAGACCGACATGTTGATGTGATAAGTTGATACACAACCATTTTGTACATTTAAAGTAACTAATCTCAACTACAATAAAAAGGATACGTGACAGAAGACTAGAGTCGCTGCAAGGATAAAATATCCAAGGATAGTTGTTAAAAGCTTCTCTAAATGTGATGATTTAATCTAAAAAACATAACAGATATTAAAAAAAAGCAACAAAGAAAAAGCTCACGATGAATTTCTCCAAAAATAAGGTCTGTCACCTACCACATCATCCAGTGACAACAAGAAGGCTGCAAAATGACCAACATGAAAAGGACAGAAGGCTGTAAATAAAACAGATGACAACATCAGTCATTTCTTTGTTGTTTGAGTGAACGTTTCAAAGTACAAAGACAACATACCGAACACTAATATGAATGAGGTGTTTAAAGACACCACCCAAAATACATGTTCCTGAATAATGAATGTTGTATTGCAATGATAAACATGGAAATTACAAGAAAAGAAAATATCACTTTCATCAATTTATAATGTACCAGTACAACAGCTAAAACTCACAAGAAATAAAAGAGAACCATCCAAACCCAACATCTGTAAAAGAGTTGACAAGGAACAGGGCATTTGTGTACATGAGTTAAACAAGCAATTAAATCTGTTACACAATTCCCATGTACATCTGTAACATACTCATCACCCCCCTGACAAGGAACAGGGCATTTGTGAACATGAGTTAAACAAGCATTTAAACTGTTACACAACCTTTCTCATGTACATCTGTAACATACTCATCACCCCCCTGACAAGGAACAGGGCATTTGTGAACATGAGTTAAACAAGCATTTAAATCTGTTACACAACCTTTCTCATGTACATCTGTAACATACTCATCACCCCCCTGACAAGGAACAGGGCATTTGTGTACATGAGTTAAACAAGCATTTAAATCTGTTACACAACCTTTCCCATGTACATCTGTAACATACTCATCACCCCCCTGACAAGGAACAGGGCATTTGTGTACATGAGTTAAACAAGCATTTAAATCTGTTACACAACCTTTCCATGTACATCTGTAACATACTCATCACCCCCCTGACAAGCAACAGGGCATTTGTGTACATGAGTTAAACAAGCATTTAAATCTGTTACACAACCTTTCCATGTACATCTGTAACATACTCATCACCCCCCTGACAAGGAACAGGGCATTTGTGTACATGAGTTAAACAAGCATTTAAATAATTTACACACCCTTTCCCATGTTAATTCTTCAGCAGCTCTATCCCACTCCACAGGATTCCAATTATTTCCTTCTAAACAGGATGATAAAAATACACATATGTACAGTACAAAGATGAGGGATGACTTCTAAACAAAATAAAGTAAGTTTGAAGAGTTACAACTCACTAGGAAAATTGCAGGAATGGAAAAAAAATATTTTAGTGATAAAGAGATAAATTGTGTAATCAATAATGCACCTTCAGGAATGTTAGGAATATTATGTTCAGCCTGTTCTACTTCCGCTGCTTCAAGTCCACCATCATTTTCTTCCACAGCAACTCCCTGTAAATAAGACAATCAGATCATAACTTCACCTCTTAACGAGTATCAGATGATTTCTTATGCAATTGTGATTAAGATTAAGGTCAATTAAAAAGTGAGCTGTCCAACTTTGCCTTGCAACCTTCATAATCTATCCCCATACCTGGCCATCTTCATCATTAGCTAAATTCTCATTAATAAGTCCATCAACAACAGGTGCATTATCTTCTTGAGGCTCAAGCCATGCTGGCCCACCATTCATAACGATTTGTTCACGTAACCAAACAAGACTGATGAATGCACACATTGTGCATGCAACAACAAAACATCCTTTAATGCAATCGGGGATAAGATTCTCCCTAAAAATAAAGAAATTGTACGATTTTTGCCTTTGAGAGCCTTTCTTCTTGTGCAGTTTGTTAGATGTGTGTAATGATGTCATCATTTACGACATACGTTGATAGCATATCAAGAGGTAGAGTCAGCAACGAACTCATGGTACCAGCAAACAAACAGTGGTAAATACGATCTAACAAGAAAAAGACACTATAAGATGGTGATAGAAGGAAAAAATGCTCGCAAAGAAATAGTTTAAACTTACAAGCGGTAAGGGGAACAACACCAAGCCATGCAAAAGCAACTAACAGATAATGAAACCAAAAACGTATCGCTCTCATGATGGTCCTGGCAAGACCACTGGCAAAGTCTGTTAGAGGTAGCCTTTTGGCATGTCGGGAGAATAAACTAAATTGTAAGCAAGATATGTGTTAGAAATTCGCTATTCGAATTAAAACTAAAATCTCAATTCACATACTTGGCTTGAAAGTAAATCGATGTGCGCATAACTCACAATATCTGAAAATAATGAATAATTTATTGGAATTGAAGTAAAATTATATAATAATAATAGTAGAACAGAACAACAACACATAATTTATGAGCTTACTCTTTTTTACTATGTTTTAGCCATTGAACCAAGCTAAAAAGTGAAATGGAAAATTGAAGTATAAAGTATTGTTTTTTCTCAACTTTATTATCACATTATGCTGTGTTTTGCTTATACAGCAAATATTTTAAGATATTCTACGAAAAAAATATATATTCAATACACTAGAATCAAACGTTCAAACACCTTGATGCTCAAAGTAAAAAACATCATTCGTGAACTTTGATAGAATAAGAATATATTGGTCATATTGCTACGTCAAAAATGAACAAGGATATAGACAAATAAACACATCTACGGGATGAAATATAAACGAGAAATTTTACCATTCTTGATGTATATATTTTATACTTCCAGTACATATGCAAGGGTGATACAGCGGCTTTTCTTTCGTTCCTTCCGCTCGACAAACTCGACATATGTCTGCTGAGAAAGTATAAAGAGAAATAATTAGGCATTCATTTACATGGCTGATACATTAGCAAAGGACTCGATCCTTTCTTAAAAACTAGCTGAAGAATAATTTTTAATTATAAATAAAATACAATGTCCAAAATGAAAGAAAACCCAATCAAAAGAATGGTACTTCTCACCTTCCTCTTTCGATTCCTCCATCTTTGTGAGATGTATTATCTGTTCCTACTTACTCATCTGCAACCCATAGTTACCCAAAATAGTACCTTACATCCGCTAAGCACACTCAAGTGAACAAAAATCAGTATTCCACAAAAAAATTTTTACAAGAAACTTTGCGGAAAACAATTAATAGGTTTCAATGAAATTTTGTACTGCTTTTACCGCTTCTGTTTAAATGAAGAGAATTTCGTAAAATTCGTTTCGCTTTGGCAAATAAGGTTTCACAGCACGAAGTCAGTGACGTCAGAACTGCCATGCAATGTTCTCCTTCATATTCAAAGTTTAGATTAGACTCTAAAGCTTCGGAAGTGGACAAATTTCATCTGTACAATGTCTGCGTTTTTAATGTTTCTGTATTCGTTGATTGTTTGGTGTTTATTGGTGTGTAATGCGCTAACTGACAACAAACCCAGTGCTAAAATGTCCAAAGTTTGGGGACCTGGTTTGATAAGTGGCGTTGTATTACCTGCAAGATATTTTTTTATACATGCTGCAGATAAGAACGGAAATCTGTAAGTTGACATTTGAAAAATTAAAAATGATAAACATCACGTCGTTTTGTATCTTTATCGCCATAAAATCGATGTTAATGGGATTAATTATTGCAATACGCTGTCAATATGATTGGATGCTACGAAATCCGTTGATCAATTATCAGAAAATCGGATCTTAACATGTAAACAACTATAGACAAATCTCGATCAGCGTTTGATTTCTTGTGCAGATGTGCAGAGACAAAATGTCTCTTAATAAGTTCATTTATGACCTAATTGCATTTCTTAGAAAATTATTTTGATCATTGAATTTGAAATTCTTGGATATTATACAGGACTTATTTCTTTGCTCCCACATTTTATTAGTTTGACTGAGTCACCTGGAGAGAATGCATTTGAAGTGGAGTTGCGTAAAAAGAATGGTAGAGTTAGAGCATGGAGGAAAATATTGGATCGTCATGATGGCTCGTACATTGTGTTTTATCGAGCATATGAAAGCATGGATGAGTTATATTTACATGTGCGGTACAATGGTAAAGATGTAGCAGAGTCTCCCTATGTACTGAAAGGTATAGTGCACATATCATAAAAGTAAAAGATAGTGTACAGAAATTCTTTGTACATTCAAGTCTCTTTAAAGTTAGTAACATTGTATGAAACTGCAGCAATTTTTTAACATGGCATTTAGACAAGATTTAATGAGAAAAAAGCAGACTTGATGTTTCTACTAAATAGATTTTTACCACGAGGATTGCAACTGTCCGCAAAGAAACCGCAGTGTTTGGAGCGCTATCATGAACTGCCCTGCGACTTATAAGCAAATTGATGTGGATCTTTCAAGATTTAAAGAAATTGATCTTGACAGAGTGGAAAAGGAAGCTGTTGAGAGATTTGGACAGCATCATGCACTTGTTCATTATGCCATTATCAAAAACAAAGTATAAAATTCAGCTTAAATGGATATGTTTACATTCAATTCTGTAAATTTCTATATCTTCATAAACCGTTTTATTTTCTTCAGCTATATCGCAAGACATATGGTAAACATGTAGGATTTGCGCAGTTTATGGATTCCTGGCTACATTCACTGATGCGTAAGGTACTTCCCTTTTAAATTACCCAATCTAATACTCCTCGATGGTAATCATACAATCATATTCTTTTAACAGGTGAGGTTACCTAACATGGAATTATTTGTGAACCTCGGCGATTGGCCCTTGGAGAAAAGGCATTCAAATCCTCTACCGATCTTTTCGTGGTGTGGATCTAAGGACAGCGAAGATATCGTCATGCCTACCTATGATGTGACGCAGTCAATCACTGAAACATTGGGCAGGTTTGTTTAACAATTTTTATAAAGCATTGGAAATTATTGAATTTATCAATGTGGAACTAGGAGTTTCGCATTTTATGTATCTTTTCAACGCATTGATCATTGTTGTGTCAATTAATTTTGTCTTGTATTGTTTGTACAGGATTTCCTTAAGTATGCAGTCAGTTCAAGGGAACACAGGGCCAAAATGGCAAAATAAGATTCCTAAGGCTTTCTGGCGTGGAAGGGATAGCCGACAGGAAAGGTTGGATTTTGTAGTTATGGCGAGAAAGAACCCCGAGCTCTACGACGTCGCTCTTACGAACTTTTTCTTTTTTCCTTACGATGAAAAGAAATACGGACCGAAAGGACAACATGTCTCCTTTTATGATTTCTTCAAGGTAAAAAATTCAGTGGCTTCTTGTGCATCAACTATCTTCAATAAGGATTCGTTAATTATACAAATCCTGCCACATACAACTTTTTTAAATGCAATTTTCACTATACTATAGCTAATCTAACAATAAAGGTAGCCTATCTTCAATTGTGTTACGTAATAGTTTATCATATATACCTTTTTTAAACGTAATTTTCACTATACTATGGCTACTTTAACAATAAAAGGTAGCCTATCTTCAGTTGTGCTACGTAATAGTTAGTCATATATACCTTTTTAAACGTAATTTCACTATAACTAATCTAACAATAAAGGTAGCCTATCTTCAGTTGTGCTACATATATACCTTTTTAAACGTTATTTTCACTATACTATAACTAATCTAACAATAAAGGTAGCCTATCTTCAGTTGTGCTACGTAATAGTTAATCATATATACCTTTTTTAAACGTAATTTTCACTATACTATAGCTAATCTAACAATAAAGGTAGCCTATCTTCAGTTGTGCTACGTAATAGTTAATCATATATACCTTTTTTAAACGTAATTTTCACTATACTATAGCTAATCTAACAATAAAGGTAGCCTATCTTCAGTTGTGCTACGTAATAGTTAATCATATATACCTTTTTTAAACGTAATTTTCACTATACTATAGCTAATCTAACAATAAAGGTAGCCTATCTTATACGTAATAGTTACTCATATATACCTTTTTAAACGTAATTTTCACTATACTATAACTAATAAAGGTAGCCTATCTTCAGTTGTGCTACGTAATAGTTACTCATATATACCTTTTTTAAACGTAATTTTCACTATACTATAGCTACTTTAACAATAAAAGGTAGCCTATCTTCAGTTGTGCTACGTAATAGTTAATCATATATACCTTTTTTAAATGTAATTTTCACTATACTATAGCTAATCTAACAATAAAGGTAGCCTATCTTCAGTTGTGCTACGTAATAGTTAATCATATATACCTTTTTTAAACGTAATTTTCACTATACTATAGCTAATCTAACAATAAAGGTAGCCTATCTTCAGTTGTGCTACGTTATAGTTAATCATATATACCTTTTTTAAACGTAATTTTCACTATACTATAGCTAATCTAACAATAAAGGTAGCCTATCTTCAGTTGTGCTACGTAATAGTTAATCATATATACCTTTTTTAAACGTAATTTTCACTATACTATAGCTAATCTAACAATAAAGGTAGCCTATCTTCAGTTGTGCTACGTAATAGTTAATCATATATACCTTTTTTAAATGTAATTTTCACTATACTATAACTAATCTAACAATAAAGGTAGCCTATCTTCAGTTGTGCTACGTAATTGTTAATCATATAACATTCCTTTCTCTTCATACGCAGTACAAATACCAAATCACCATAGATGGAACAGTTGCTGCATATAGACTACCCTATTTACTTGCTGGCGATTCTCTTGTCTTGAAAATGGACTCGGACTATTACGAGCATTTCTACAGAGAACTGCAACCATGGGTCCATTACGTTCCTTTCAAAAAAGATCTTAGTGATCTTGCTTCGAGATTACAATGGGCTATAGCGAACGATAAAGAGGTGAGATAGAATGTAACTAATGGAATGTATTATGTGAAAATTGATGTCCGTTACACTTTCCTTGTCTTAGTACAGGCGGAGAAAATTGCTCTAAGAGCACGAGATTATGTTCGTGAAAGATTAACGCCTGAGCATATTTATTGTTATTATCTTATACTGTTTCAGGTTAGTGACAAGAACGATGAAGGGTATTGTAGCTACATCATTGGACCCAAAATCTTCATATTATATGTGTATTTTTCAGAAATTTTCTAAACTTCAAAAAGGGAAACCGAGGAAGAGGGAAGGAATGGAGTATATTGCACAACCAAAAGACGATAACTCTCGTTGCGAATGTAAACGTAAAAAGAAAAAGGTTCGAGTCAATTACAAACTTGAGTGTTTCAAAATGCGTAAATATACTCTCTTGCAGCTTGCTTGAAAATGGCTTTACCATTGCTCTATTGCAGGCAAAGAATCATGAAGAACTGTGAAGAAGTACGCAATAGCTGGTTATTCCAAAGAATTTTGTATAGGAAGTGTTTTTAAATGTGTTTTTGCTTATCTAGCTAAGCCATTGATAATTTTTTTAAACATTTTGGACAGAAAAAATTTCAAATGCATTTATACAAAAATTTTGCACGATTAAATTGAACTCTGAGCATACATACACCATATAAATAAGTCATTTGCATCTGGTTGCACCCTCGAAGAAAGCATTGGGAAAGAGCAGCAAGATCTAGAAAAACAGACTACTGTAGAAAGCTAGGCTTTCTTCTAAACGTTTGCTACGTCGTTGCTTTCAAAGCTTGACGTCTTGCTTCCACCCACGATCTGAACATCCCTCTAAACATTGAAAAACAAATCACTGTTATTGAATGCACACTCCAATGAAATTATTATTCATTAAAGATTATTCTTAAATGTGTGGTTTTGTCTCTATAGTTTCAAACAGGGGGCGCATTTGTGCAAGTGAACCTATCATAGTTTTCAATATAATAAACGCTTTTTCAAATCACTTTGTCATTAAAAACGGTTGCATGTAGTCAAGTGGGGCTAGTTTTTACAAACGCTTCAACACAAAAGACTAATTTAATCAATAAAATGCTTCCAATGCTTCAATTCTTCACTTCAAGTGAAATCAATAGAAATATGAACTATAGACGAAGATAAAAGCCACCTGCAATGGAGCATCACACAATCGTCGCTACAGAACATTGCCCCTCGTTCTTTACTCGTTTTGGCTAAATTGTTGCAATGCGCTCGGATACAAAATTTCTTTGGGATCGGATTGATCAACTTGGCCTTTTTCTATAAGAAGAAACATTTGAATGAGCCCTGAACTTTTTTTTTTGAGGGGGGGGGTTATAGTAGATTCCAGTCCCATTACCTTAACAACTTGGGATGTACTATCGTCGGTACCATTACCCAACTTGTGTTTGTTAACGTGTCCAAATTTAGATGTGCCCGCGGCCTTGGCTGTCGCAAGTTTCGTTTTGTTCATCTCGGCCATCATTGCCAGCGGTTTACCAGTACTTCTCGGGGCGGCTATATTGGGGGGTAAACTAGGACTTGTGGGGGTAGAACTGGTTGGGACGTCTGTTTTGAAGGCAGGGACTAAAAAATAGCGAGGCAAGACATGAGCAACACTTCCCAGGCTCCATAGCTCCTTGATGAAGAAACTTACCAGTGATTGAAGAATCATTTTTTAACTCAACAGGTTTAATTTCCTGCATGATGTTGTTGCCATCAACTTCATCGCGATCCAGTTTTCCGGCATTGTACTCTTCCAAAGCTTTCTTATATTGAGCTCTATCCTCACGCCACGCGACCTGATAAATCTAAACACACGAAGATTATCGACTTTTATCGTGGCAATCTGACCAAAAAGATTTCATTTTAGTACTAAAGTGCAGACAATGATGAAATGTCAATATTTTACAATTCCTCTTACTTTTTTTTCCTTCTGTGGCAATTTCTCCCACATTTCTTTGATGGTTTTCGAAATCTCTGTAAAAGTTACCTGTAAACATACACATGATACTTGTTATGGCACAGAATATACGGACCCAGTCAGTCACGACTCATATATAGTTTGTAAGTAATACCCATGGTTTCACAGAAACGAGGGTAGATTGGATACCTGAGGGTTTTGTTGCCTGAGTATGGGCTGTGTCGCTTGGAAAAACCTTTGAAATGTTGATAGTGGTCTAAAGAAACCAAGATAACATTATCTACGTACATATGTACACTCCCCCCTGTTGATAGTGGTCTAAAGAAACCAAGATAACATCATCTATGTACCAATGTACACTCTCCCCCAAATATTTCAGTGTAAATAACACATTACCCTAAGAATGTTACTAACTTTACAGGGCAGTTCGGATCCTTTTTTTTCCTTCCTCGTTTTTTCTGTTCTGAAAATCCATTGATATCATTGTTATCCTTCACAATCTCTCCAGGTACAAGCATCTGCCCAATTTCCACACTATTCACACTTGATGGTGAATCACTTATATTGTTGTCTTGCGAAGAATTGACAGAATGCGATTGAAATAATTTACCGTGATCTAAAAACGGGAGAAAATATTCTTTAACGATCTCAGTCCTTCATTCAGGATAGTTACTAGCTCAGAGAGGCAATATTATATAATCTTAACACAAACCTGTCATCGAGGATAAAGCAAGATCAGAGGCAACATTGAAAGATTGTGAATGAACATCAACCATAGGAGCAACACTACACTGCGTGTTTTTATTTTTTACTGAGCCTAATACCAATTGAGCAACAGAATCATCGCTTACGAAAACGATTTTAACTGGTTGCGGTTTTGGCGTGTCAATTGGCTGCCCACCTGGCTGCTGCAAGAATATGAGTTTCTTGTCCTTAAGATGAGCTGGTAGACCTTTGAGATTTGAACCCCGTGCCAAAGTGAACACCATCGGCTTATTATTAGTGGAACTAACAGCTGACGGCACCAAACCACCTTGAGATGTTAAAGTAAATGAAGGAAACCCGGCTACGTTAGGGGAACTAGGTGAGTTCTGGAGCCGCACGGACGTGGTACGAGGGAGCTGCATTGAAACAGCTTTAGGTGAGGGGTTGGAACCCAACCCGAGCGCAGGATACTTGAAGCCGGCTGCACTCAAAGATGGTGACGTAATCTTTATTGTGTTCATCCCAGGTGGCCTAGAAATAATATGATCGGCTTCCGTTTTAAAAAGTGAGGTCTGTGCGTTGGTGTCTGGGCCTGGGGACGAAGCAATAAGAGTAAACACAGACTTGCTATCCAGGGGACTGGTAGGTGCTTGACATTTCGTCATTGATTGTTCTTTAGCAACGCTTTGCGGTTGCGTATATGACATCACATTTCTTCCTGAATTACCCGTGATGCGATTTTGATATATAAATCGATTTGTATTAGAGGTGGTTTGAACACTAAGCCTAGGACTATTCAGTGCCTCCATTTCTTCATCTGAGAGAGTGCGCGTCACTTTCGTAATCATAAGACCGTCGTTTTGATAACTAGTAAGTGCTGGTGACTGAACGACTTGGTTACCATTTGTATTTTCAGTCACGCTTATGGTCATGTGACCATTTGAAATATCACCAGTGACCATGGTTTGCAATGGATTTGAGGTGCTGGATGGTTGAAATTGGACCATATGATTTGAATTAATATTTCGATCTAAGGAAGTGGCTGGGGTATTGAGATTATGGGTGGACTTTTCAAACAGTGCTGGTGACTGTTGCGTACCAATGTCTGTGCCGTGGTATAAAGGTGTGTTGTTCTGTGATTGGATATTACCATTGGAGCTTGTCAATCCTTGAGGAAAACTAGACATCGTTCTATTTTGCGAGCTCGTAAAACCTGTTTGAACAAGATTTGGCGAAGAGGCACGTAAAGCGCGCTGCATTTTTATCAAGTCGTCTAGGGCATTAGAACTATTTTGCCAAACAGGTTTTGATGTGGTATTAGTTCTTGAGAAATTTGATATTGATGGTTGTATTATAGTTTGGTTGGGATTCTTTAACATCAAACTTGGATAAGCTTGAGCCATATTTTGGCTAGCGTTTGCTTGATATGTAGTATGAGCAGATAAAATGTTTTGGTTGTGTGAAATTTCAGTTGAATGTGAGCTTGTCACCGCAGGACACTTTGTGGTATTCTGGTTTAACGTATTCACAATACCAGATGGTGACTGAAGCGTACGGTTTGGATGTGACGTAAGGGTTGTTTGTGACAAATTACCACCATATTTGAGACTGCTCAGTTGTATACTTGATGGTATATTTTGTAATGATGATGTAATATTGGTTTGTATACCATTATTTGTTGGAAGAACAGGTATACTTCTCGATGGTTGTTTGGGGTTCACAGAGGATACTGCTTGATGACTAGAGGTGTTAGGTGAGGGACTGTTTTGTAACGAGCTGCTAGGAGAAGGTATATTTGGCGACACAACTGATCTTGATGGTGGATCTGCCTGTCTATTACTGTATGTTATAACTGGAACGTCATCATCAAATGAACCGGATTGTGAAATCCTTTCACTATTTTGCCGATCCATAATCTGATCAACAATTTTATCTAAAGGTCCTTCTATTAAATCTTCTGTTTCATCAAAAGGTGAGACATCATTATTTGTCAGGCAGAGTTGACCTGTCAACGATGGGTTTTCTTGACCAACTAGTGATGAGTGATAATGGAGGATCGTGGAGTTCGTTGAAGCTATTGAAGGGATACTGATGTTCTCAGTGGTAAATGACAGACCATTTGGTGGTGAAATGGTTTGCCTTGTTGCGGGATAGCCATGGTTGTTTGCATTGGACTGATTATTTACTCCTCCATAGTATGAAGAAAAATATGTGTTGGAGCTCTAAAAAGTTTTTGAAAGAATCAAAAACAATTGATCTCATTAATAATTTAATTTCTATGTTTTTATGTTTCGTTGATACCTGTGGACCATCCAGTGTTGTCTGTTGACTAGTTCCCATATTGTTCATGACAGCGGTGGTATTTTGGGGAGTCTTTTCATTGTTGCTTAAGTTGATTTGAGGCAATGTGAATTCAATACCCTACATAATTGAAATGTTTCTCATGTAAGAAGATTTTCTCAATAATTCTATCTATTGGAATGGGAAATATGTTTTAGGTAAGTTCAAAATTGGGTAGGCAATCAAATTTATGGCATAAATCATAACTATGTTTTAAGGCAACGTAACACATGTCTGCTAGTTCTTTAAAGACAACCAAATATTTCAAATTCTTATATTTACGTCAAAACAGGTTGTCAAACTTAATGAAGCATCATAATCGTCATTGCAGCAATCTGATTGGTTTACTCAAGATACGAACACGTAATATAAAATTTTCATAAGACAATTAATATGCCCATTTATGGTAAGCTATAATGGCCGGCGACGGAAGTACAACGAATACTGAAATTTTAAAAGCCAATTTTACAAGCAAAATTCATCATGTAATTTTCCAAATATCTACCAACTAATTTGACAAAATATCTGAAACAAACAAGAGATTGTTAAATAGATTTAACCTCAATAAAGTCACGATATTCAACTTAAAATATATAATAATGTAAGACGCCAAGCTGCACAACACACTCTCACATCCGCTCTTCAACGATACGAAGATTAAGAAAGCAAAACAATTTGTTTTGCTTTAGAACATTCTTTTGTCAAAATATCTGAAATTGAAAAATGAAAATGTCTCTTGACGGAGTTTGTCAGACGATGACCTTATTGTTAAATGCCAAATTTACTTAACCCGGGGTGTTCGTCAAATTTATGCGGTTGTAAATTATTGATGATTCATCGTCGTTTAGTTTAAACCTTGTAATTTCGACACGCAAAATGTCTGGTGAAAAAACAAACCTGCTTAAGTTTGATTCCAAAAGCAATTGCTTTCTTTTTACGCTTAATATTAAGACTGGAAAAAAAGTTAAAAGACATATTGCTTGTACGAATGTTGAGTCAAAAATCGGTTTACAGTTTACATTCTCATATCGACCTTCGTTTCCAATTGGCCTGCTAATCTCACACAATTTTGAATTTCAACTACATATTTGTGAGCTGTATTCAAAAATTTGACACATTGCAATCCAAATGAACAAAAACCCATGGGAATAGACACAAATCTAAATTTCTTTTTAAACTACCTTTACATCGTCTTGCCGTTGTTGACGCATATGGAATTAGCATGATTCGTTATGCTTTTGTTGTATATTTTTGGCATTAAGTCATGAGTCTTCCAAAATAATCAGTCCTTATCAATCAGAAAACTATCTGATCATAAGCCCTGCTATGTGTTTGTTTTTCTGAGACTTTCAAACGAGAAAATTGTTTTGAGAGTGTATTCTGAAAGCTTGGCGTCCGCCTTTGTACTTATCGAGTCCGAGTTTCTAAAACCCCTACGTTGTTCGCATCCAAATACACATTTTGTGTGTTTTCGTCGACAAACAATGGATGAATATTAACCTTGGATGAATAATTTTGTTCATCCCAATTTATGACCTCGTCTATATCAAAGTCACTTGATAAATTTGCTTCTGTATTCGCAGCCATCGACAAATGCAATCCTTCCCCGTCAGTCTTTCATGTTAAAATTTCGCACAATAGGGGATTAGGGTGAGGAAAAGGGTTCTTCGGAAACTCCGGCTTGCAGCGAATAACGACCGGGACTACACGAGCCCCATATATGGCTATGCTCGTACATAATGCCACAAGAGGACAAGATTTCATGAACACGGACGGAAAAGTACTGAAATTCAAAATGAAAAAAAAGCGAAACCTGAGTAGTTAACAGTCAAAAACTCACACAGCAAAAATATGGGGAAAACACACACACAAGAAACAGTTGATCGCAATTTGTTGTTTTTAAATGGTGTTTTGCATTTGGCCAACACAGCAACGTCTAATAAACTCTACTTCATTCTAACTTTTTCTACCATTCATATTTACTTTCATATCATTTTAACCAATGCTCTGTGCTATCACGATTCTTTTCATTACGACGTATAACATTGCCCGTTAGTAGACAAACAACCACACAGTCTTCCGCAAAAACTTGGTTAAAGTCAGCATGGGATACAGGGATCGTGCATTAAAATAATCACTGTATATTAATTATTTCATTAAAGTATCGTCGTGGCATCGTCAGTCATTAGTCACGTGACAACAACCACCACTAATGAGAGAAATGTGATTGAGAAGACCACATAAACAAAGACAATGGTATTATATGGGATAATCACCATGAAAGGATGGTCCCTATTGAATTGTCACTATATATGATTAAAGTGAATTTTGACTCTTTTTGACTCTGAAGATGACTACCGCTAAGATTGTCGAAACGTCGGTCAACAACAACAAAAACAGTCCTTCTCAGGACTATACCAACCTGGACGATCTACATTTACAAACATGTCACTATATATGATTGTTAGATGTTCTGTTAATGAAGGAAATGTTAAGACTTAAAATAAAAATCAGTTACCAGTAAACCCGTGATGTTTATTTTAATCGGTTATGATAAAGTTAAACGTAAAAGTTAAGATTTATAATAAAAATTCCATTTCAAGAATCTTTGCAAGAACCAGTTCCTCCTATTCTGTACGTACGGTAAGTCCTTCGTTGTCTAACTCCATTTTATAAAGTTCTTCATTTCTCGTACCCTGGTTGAAAAAACATTAACTTTTTTTATCTAATGTAAAAAGCCGTTAGTTGATTGTCTAATACCAATGAACAAAATGTAGAATGCAATGAAGACAAGATGTATTGACTGGTATCAAATAGATGGAACTGCAATCTTAAAACTAAATGTATTAATTGCAAGTAAAAAATGAGGTTAACACAGAAAGCTCACCCCCAATCTTTCAATTAATGCTGGGACTTTGTCACAAAAATTTGCCTCTTTTGAAATAGCGTAAAGAAAGCCCCCGCCTCCGGCACCAGTGAGTAAGAATCCTACAAAATTCAAACATGTATAAAAATATAGTGTAAGCGTTGATAGAAAAAGAGAATCTCTTGTTCAAATGAAGGCTTACCATGAATATGAGGCTTGAGAGCATTTATCAAATCCATTACTTGCGGTGGTTCACAGCCTGGTAAAGATGAAAAGTTTTCATCGTCAGAAAAGAGTTAAACTTTTCGACTGAATATATTGTTCAAGAAGTTAAAGACGAAAAGTTTTCATCGTCAGAAAAGAGTTAAACTTTTCGACTAATTATATTGTGCGAGCAGTTTTAATACAATATGCGATCAATAACATACAACAAATTACTTTGTTCAAATATATTGGAGCTGTGCAGAAATCATGCATAAATGATCACAGAATTATTCAGTGAGGATACCGAAGAAGTTTTTTACATACGCAGATGCGAAAATCTTTTAACTTACCAGGCGCAATGATCTTCTTTTGCTCCCAAGAATTATTTAGACATTGAGCGATTTTTTCTAAATCTCCTGAAAAATAAAACATTTATCCAAAGATGCAGCGATAATGTTGCAATTGATAACCAAAAAGAGGCGAGCATAATCGTTCTATCAGTTAACCATAATGGATGATTCTTCCCTATCACCAACTCACCTTCAACACATGCCTTTGCGCAATCTTTGGCGTTGCGTGCAATCCAATCGGCAGTGCTAATCACTTCCGGTTTTCGGGTGTACCAGTTCCGAATGACACCCTAATATAAAGAAAATTGACAAACAAGAAGAGACAAACAGGTGTCACTGACCGATATACCTGCAACATGTTCTTAGCAAGCCTCGGTTTTCCAGTGAACACTAATACAGAATGATCCAAAATACGCTTCATCTTATTGTCGTCTATCTTCAACACCTCTGCTTCCACTTTAAGGGGTAATTTTCCCTCCGACGTTCCAAGCTTGATACCAGGTAGCAATCCGCCAACTTGATCTTGCCAGCCACCACCTGTCGTCATCATTTGCTCCAAATGCAAAACCGCGTGTATTAAGGAGTTCGTGTCATACCCTATGCCAGCAGCACTGAGTAAAGCCGCCATTAAAACACCAGACAAGATGCTACTGGAACCGAGACCAGATCCTTTTGGAAGATTCGACCATGACTGAACTTCAAAACCGCCATTATATTTCTCTTGTAGTTGTTGCTGGAGAGTCTTCTTTGATGTAATATCAATTATATTCGTACAGCAAACTGCAGCTTTAAGTAAAGCACCTATACAACAAGAAAACTTTGCCATTGTTTTATCATATGCAACCAAAACTGACCGTTCGTTGACTGACCTGGAGCGTTAGGTTTGGAGTAGTTTTGAAGATCAGACAGTTTATTGCATGTGATCTTGATCGTATCCGTCTCACTTGCAATGACTAACAACAACTGCAAACTGAACAACACGTGACTCATGTATATTTTGACTATATTTAGATCAAAAACCAAGACCAGCCGACAATTTAAAGAAATATAATATAAAACAACTTCCGAAGAAGCAAGACACCTTGAGATTGCAAAATAAAGTCTGAGGATGACTTTGAAATAAAGTCGAAAATTTACAGTTCACTTCTCGTCTTGTTTTGATGCATATTTTGCAATCTCAAGATGTCTTGCTTCTTCGGAATTTGTTTTATATTATATTGACTAAATATGTTTATGGTAAAATAATGGTAAATGGTTTGAACCTGGGAGTATCGTTACATGTTTGTAAATGTCGATCGTCCAGGTTAGTATAGTCCTGAGAAGGACTGTTTTTGTTGTTGTTGACTGACGTTTCGACAACCTTAGCGGTAGTCATCTTCAGAGTCAAAATGAACTGATGCATATTTTGACTCTGAAGATGACTACCGCTAAGGTTGTCGAAACGCCAGTCAACAACAAAAACAGTCCTTCTCAGGACTATACCAAGCTGGACGATCTACATTTACAAACATGTAAAATAATGGCTTGCATAACATAAGCAACAAGCGATTCAATATGACAAGTAGTGCAAGGCATGGAATGTTATACTATAAAACATAATACTATATTAAATATAATATTGTAACATGATGCATGTACATATTTTACATTATTTTACAATAATGCAAGGCATGTAATATTTCTTACTTACTCGTGAATTTTTCGAACTTTTGCCCCAAGTGGTTTCTGTAAACAAAAGGCAAGAGAAATAAGATTATCAATTGCTCGCGTAACGTAGACTTTCACAATTGATCGTGTTTTCATCTTAATACCTTTCCACGTATTTTTATGGCTATATTGGTGACGGCCCCTCCAAGTTCGTACGTCACGGGCGGAGTATCACTCCATGCACCTGATAGATCAACGCGAGCTGGACTCTCTGCTATAAACCACAGCCCGATCGGAGGTTGAGATTTTAAAGAAAAGTTGATGAACTAGGATAAGAGATGGATATCGTCATGATAGCCTAATGTCCACGATTACGAATACATATGGCACAAAAATTTTACATTCTCTCCCATCCCCCTCCACGCATACCATCTCCCCCCCATACCATCTCCCCCCCATACCTCCTCCCCCCCATACCACCTCCTCCCATACCATACAAGAGTATTTTCACATTAAAAACAGGGAACAAGTAGAAATAATGTCAATCAATTATGTGTGCTTATAAACTCATAAAACCACCACACGTCCAATAAATATTACATTCGAGAAGCAGGCTGAGATATTTCTGTTCACCTATCTGCCAGTCATTACAATAAAACTTATATTCACTGGCAAAGCAAAATTTAGACAAAGCAATACGACTACAAACTTTCTCGTGCCATGCCCTTACACGGTCAAACACCGTACTCGCAGTCATACTCGTACACCTTGCTAAAGCTCTCTATTATAGTTGAGAATCACGCAAAGATATTTCTGTTCACCTGTCTACCGGTCATTACTGCGTGTCTGATCAATATTTGCATGGCTCCTTCGTAATGGCGGGCGGCACGTATAAGTAAATCAGGTCTAGATAAAATAAATAGACAGTTAGATAGATGAATAAATAGACAGATAGATAGATCAATAAATAGATAGATAGAAAAATGAATAAATAGACAGATAGATAGATAAATAAATAGATAGATAGATAGATGAATAAATAGACAGATAGATAGATAGATAGATAGATGAATAAATAGACAGATAGATAGATAGATAGATAGATGAATAAATAGACAGATAGATAGATAGATAGATAGATGAATAAATAGACAGATAGATAGATAGATAGATAGATAGATGAATAAATAGACAGATAGATAGATGAATAAATAGACAGATAGATAGATAGGAATATTTAAAATGCAAATAAACACATCGGATTTAAGAAAAGATGTTCACTGTGTTTGCACGGGCTTACGCAAACCGACGAGACATGCAAGCCTGCGACCAATGGTCGAAGGTTTGCACATGCTAGAGATTTTTTTTGATCATTTACGGTAATGATAAAAACCTTTCCATCCATTTTTTACGTTGATTTGCAAGCTCCATAACACCCTCAGAAATGTTTCCATTCTGAAAGATGACAAAAAAACAATTTCAATGGTTTACTATGTCGCTAAAACTTGAACTGTGTATCATCCATACTTCAAGCATCCTGTAGGCATGCATCCAGTCTTCGTTGGCAGCCGGTCCACTCCGCAGACCAACGTCATTGCCGGCCATTTCACTCAGCACGTCAGCAATACAGGAGAATGTTCTTGCCACACAATCAGCTGATCCTGCATTGCAAGCAACTGGAAAAACACGTTACAGCTGCATGATTATGTAATATAATCCCGCGCATGAAAACCTATATTTAAAGAACCTGTTGGGTTAAAATTTTTCTTTTATATCCTCTAAGTAAAAGAACCTGTAAAGGTTAACATTTCAACTTATTTTATTTATACATAACTCTTCACAATGTAATAAAAATTTAGAAAATAAGAATGTATATTAGAACCAGTTTATGAAATAACCTAGGTTTGTATACGCAAGCTTTTACAACATTTTATCAGAAAAAACAATATCGTCAACATCGTCAATACGTGTAAAAATAGCTGCGTACCTTTATCAAGCTCTTTGAGGAGTTCCAAGCCTATATTTTGTAAAACACAATTCTTAAAGAATGGTAGAAGACAGTTGTTCTTGGCACGCATCAATGTCTCCTTCGTTCTCATTAAACCAACTTCGTAATAAAGACGTCTAGAAACACAGTTAAGATACACATCGTTTCACTATAAGCTTCAATTTTTGTGCGCTAGATGATGAACAAAAAAAGTATGATTTCTGTCATTAAAAACACAATGGTTCGTAGTTACATATATATATAGCAGTACCTTTGCCAACGAAACTCAGCAGATATATCAATTTTATCAAGGATTTCTTTCAACGAAAACCTCCACGAAGAGCGCCAACTTAAACAAAAAATCAAAATGTAATAAGACATACCGTGCTGAAATAAATTAAATGGCAAGATCGTGTTTTTGACTTCACAGTTCAATAAATGGTCTGGTGAAGGATAATTATAAATTAGCGTAGTTTTCTGAAAACAACAATTGATTTTACTATTTTTCAGCAACAATAGAAATTAGCAATAGTATTAATGGTATATTAGCGTAGTTTTAAAAGTTGTTTTATCTAATGAGTAGATTTCTCTGAAAGCAATCACTCACTTTTTGACAACATCTGCAGAAGATGTGACCTTATTTGTTCCACAAAGCCACAACACTTCGGGAAGAATTGTGTTTCTGCTGGCACCAAAAACAGGAAAAAGCTTTGCGTTTAAAAACGACTGTTCGTTCGCCGTCTACAAACGTAGTTAACATTTCTTAATGAAAACAATGTAACACTTCACATCACACATCGCTAATGAAAATTTACCAAATGCGGTGGCCAAAGTTCATTGGCTCGAATTCCGGTTTTTGCAAAGAACTCGTTCCATGATTTATTACAATACGTACTGCGCGAGTCGGAAACTGGTACCTAAGAAAACACCAATGAGTTCGATCATCATCATCATATCTTGTCGCGCCAGGGTGTGGCGCGTGTTGTAGCAATCAGTCGAAATCAGGGACGGCACGTGAAGCCTTGCTACTTGTCCCCCACCAAATTTCCCTCACATGGCTTTGGTCAACCCGGGCTAGGTTTACAGACACATTGCCAAATGTGTCACGAGTCGGGATTGAACCCGCGCCGTCTGGCTTACAGCTCACGCAATTAACCATTCCGTCACCCGCCCCACAATTGAGTCCGATGATACAAGAAGCTCCGCGTTTAGTTTGCTAAATAGTATAGCTAGAAACGTACCTTGAACAAATCATGAACACCATAAACGACCATAATGCGAAGAGATCGCGAGTCCTGTATCTGATATGGAACGATTTTATCTATCGACAATTGAAATGTCTGAACCACAGTGTCTTTCGGTATTTCGCATGTTGATGAAACATCCTAAAAAGAGAAAAAAATTTCCTCGCATAGTTCAAACATGACCTTTCTGCACCAACAGTTGAATACAACTCACATTATTATATCCATTGGTGGGAGATATATCTTCTGGAGAGATACCTGTCAAAATGCATCCTTGACCTACGGATACAGAACCCTGAAAAATAAAAATACAGCTATATCATGCCGTTTGCTCAAGCATATTACAAAAACCAAGTGCTCGAATCGTGCATTCACTTACAGTAAGGCGGCAATGTGATAAAACACAATCTTTTCTTATCTCAACTTCATCTTGTAGGAAACTATTTATCACCACGCTCTCTTCGTTGATTTTACAATCGGGCTGTGAATGTATGTGTGCAAATAAAAATGACAGCGCAAGTGTTTTAGAAAACTGCGTGTTAGTAGTAGCTACCTCAAAAAAACTGTGAACAATCCTGTTGTAAAAAAACGGAAAATTTTTAGGAAGGTTGATGCGTTGTAATGGCCATTCGAGCATTTGTCTCCGGTGGTTCTCTCCAGACGAGGAGATGTAATCAAAAATAGCACCTTGCAACAAAGCTGTAATGAACGACATAATAAGATGAACGATGATCGGTAGAGTGGTCAGCCCGCTTATTTAAGGGCTGTTCACATGAGCCCGGTAACCAGGATTCAGCGAGGCGTAAAATGATTTTGAGTAACTGAAAGGAGTAAAAACTTTAAGCGTAAAACTTACAACCTTTTCTTAAGCGTCATAAGTCATACAAGCGTCATACTTGTAATTTTCAAATCAGACTAAATTATTTGTTGTTTATTTTAAAGGTTTTGTGAATTTGCAAAGTCAGAGCATAGAGAAATTGCTCAAATAAGTTTTTGGTTGTGAAGTATAAAATCTTTTCCATTTGCCAAAATGATTTCACGCTTCACTGAATCCCGGCTACCGGGCTCATGTGAACAGCCCCTTAGTCCTGCTACTCAAATTTACATAGCGCGACTACAACCTGCCGGCTGGCTACGCTTCTGTCAATAATACCTGATAAACTGATATAAATAAAATAAATATTGGCGAGAATTTTTGTTTTTCCCGCTGAAGAAATGATAACTAGTTATACATTTCCAAATACATATTTTTGATTAAGTCAATGGTCAAATTTCCCATTTCGCTTGCATGACTAAAATACCAATTGTATCTCATGTCATCTTCCAAAATACACATCGTGCTTACTTGTCGTCAAAGTGATACCCCTCAGTTGTAGCCATAAGCTCCTGCGCGCTTGTCTCATGAAAAAAACAGACTCTGGGGAAGTTTCGCGACCATTCAAATAACGTCGAGTTTCTGCAATAGATCCTTCAGTGAGATTCTTTCGACCAAAGGACATGCTTCGATCACCACTAACGAAATCTTCTTCCGTCACATTCTTCGCCATCAATAATAAAATATCCCAAACAAATGCCAGCTTTTGGAGGAGATAAAAAATGAGTAAGTGTCTAAGTTTGTAACTTAAAGCGTAGTCAAATAATTGCATCAAAGAAGTAAGATCTTCCTAATATCGTATAAGATCTTATATTTTTTACATCCCAATAGATTTATTCAAGATCTTGACATACGTTAAAGGGTAATTAAAATGTTATGATTATTGTATAAAAATAATTAGGTAATTCACCAATTAATTAGGTAATTCACCAATTAAATAGGTAATTACCCTACAAATTTGACTTCCTTGATCAAGTCCAAGATATGTACAACTGTCCAATGGTGATATATTGACGATAGTTAGAAATTTCGTAGCAACTTCAGTGGAGAAAAACACCAGTACTGGCGCCTACATAAAAAAAGATGTTTCAATGTTATAGAGTCAAATCTTTGCTTACAGATGCTGCTTGCATTTGTGTCACTTTTTCAAAAGAAAATTTCTGCTTGCATTTTATGATTTAGTTTAACATGTAACTGATGGAATAAACTAAACTCTGTAAATATTTAAACTTCTCTTTCTCTTCTATAGATATTTTATTTCTTAGTAAATTTTGTAATTGTTTTTGAACAAAAGCACGCCCCTCGTGGAAATCAACCCAGTTGACAAGGCCAGCGTGTCAAAATAAAGATTTTCATTCATTCATTCTCATAAGTAGACAGTAGCAGATCCAGGCTCAGTCAGGATAAATTACTTAAAATATATATCCATTCTACATATTTTAAAGCATATCCTATTGGGAATATTTTAGCTTCAAATATTCTACAGAAATTTTTTGACCAGCAATCTTGTTATACAATATTTTGAATTAGAAGTGAGCCTCTATAATTTATTTAGATCAACCCTGAATGTGTCATTGTAGGCGGACATCAAAGTTGTGATGCCAAGGGTGTTCACTAACAAGAGGTTGCACTGTATATGTATGTAAAATTGCTATGTAGGTTTGAGGGAATTAAGCTGCTATGTATATAAAGGCAAATTCCACAGAGACAAAAAGAAAATGAGAGGCATAAAGCAAAAATTTTTTCCTAGTTTCCAATGATGTGATGATTTAAGCATTTGCAACTGCATGGAAAGTTTTCTATGTGTCTTGAAAGTAAGAAATAGCAATGATTATCCTAAATTTAGGTCTTTTCTAAAATTGGGGGGGTCTATTACGGTTGACAACCCAAGGCCAAATGCCCAACCTGCCCCACTGTCTTGGCAGGCCTGGCAAATACTTACAATAGGAACCTGTCCATCACTGAGTGTACATTTTTTCAATTCTTCATCGGATGCCAAGTAAAATATGTCCTCAATGACATTCTGTTCCATAAAAATAGCAAACATACACAGTTAAAACACAGTAAAACACCAGTGGAATAGCCAACCCAGAAGTTTGTTCATAATATGCGGTGTTTACTGATAGTAAAAACAACAGATTTCTAAAGAAATGTATAATGCTAATGATGAAAAATTTACATAGGAGCAGCAGCAAATTTGAAGGCTGGCTACAGCACTGCAAAATATTTGAACTAAAAACTAATAAAACAAGTAAATTTACAAAGCATTTTCTTATTCAACGAAGCCAAAAACAGAATCCTGTAGCATTGTCTGAACTTACATTTTCACCAATTTGAATGATGCCATGGTTACGTGCATAATCAACATCAGATGGAATTGAAAATATTCTCACACCAACATGATTTGACCAATCAACAACTTGAGCAAAAAATCAATGAAACAAAGTTAAGAAATAAAAACCATCCCAAATGAGAAATGATGAGTCGCCGTCATTAGCATACTATGGTAATTATAAGCAGACAATATGTCACAAATATAATCACCTGTTCCTGATGGAATACCAAGAATCATATCCGTACTACATGCCCATACACCTGGGGGTGAATTAATCGCCAACTAAATGTTAATAAATTCCACATATAAACTTCAACATACACTTTTCTTCTTCAATTAACATGGTAAATAATCGCATGATTTACAAGTCAGTATTTTTTGATCACTACATGGCAAAGTAGGGAATCTACCAAAATGAATCTTCGTATCAAATCTACCCAAACTTCTTAGATATAGTTCTGCGCTTGTTTAACTATAAGCTCCACCTAGAACTTACTATGTTCGACATCGTAAGTAGAATACTTTCAAGATTTGTGATAAAGTCATCAGGTACAGCTTCATAGTTCTTACACTGTGTGCATGGTAAAACCTTGAATGCCTTTCCAACCGATGAAAATGGATAAGAGCTTCCCTAATTAAAGAGCATTGCACCAACATTACCAAAAACCTAATTTCCACCGAGATCCATTAAATACACATCCTTTATAATACCATTTGCAATATGAGAATTCTTGCATTTTTAAGAACTTGTGATTCAACAACCTGAAATTGGCAATAACACACAATATGAAATTTTCATCAAGTTATTTCAACAGGTGTTTTACTTGTTGATTTCGTACCGTATAACCAGCCCTGGCACTTAAATGTTCAGTTACAACTAGTAATGCATTGAGCATTGCACTTCCACTGCCAATTCCTGGTTTAGGATCATCTATTGCCAGAAGCACAGTGCTTGAGGATATTTTCCCTTTCGACTGATAGAACTCAAGCTCTAAAAAATAGTAACAATGCATTGACATTCATATCAATTGATATGACATGAAGATTTTGGCTTGCTAAGCATATGGAGACAAGACATTACCATTTTCGCAGTCAACACACTGTAGTCAAATTGATAATATCAGTTATCACTTTACAACAAGAAACAAAAGAAAAATATTCAAACACAATGAGACTCTCATTCCGAATGAGTCATTCGGCAAACGTCATAAAGTAGATGCCACATTGTAACGACAAAAAGTTTCACTTCACTATCTTAAAAAGTAACTTTCGCAGGAATTCCGAACACCTACCTACCTTTTTGAACAGGATAAGGTTGGCATGTATCGACACAAGTCACAACAATTGCATCGAACTCCATTACTTTGCAAGCCGACTACCGTACTGTGTCAAAAAAACTCCAATCTATATACACCAAACTACTTTGCAACAAAAAAAAATGCAGCGTGTCTTGTCTTAACACAATTCAAGAAATTATTTGTGTATTGGGTCGTTACCCGATGCCACGAAGCACATCTCATTTTCAACAACCGTAAGTGCTCGATTTCGATTTAGAGCCGCGGCGCTTATTTTATTTTGGCAATCCTGAATGCGGCGCTTATCCGGGAGCAGCGCTGTTTAAATAACTTTCAACTAAAAGCTCACAACAAATATATTTATTGCCCCATTAACACCTTGGATGGTTAGGTATTAGATGGTATGACCACGGGTGACCTGGGCACCAAAACACTGTTCCTTGGGTCGAGATTAGTATTCATGTTCCTGACATCCTTAGCTGACCACCCCCTCTCGACTAACAACTTCACACCGATATGGTGGAAACAACGATAGACATAAATAGACAACAACAACGACAACAGCAACAACAACAACAACAACAACAACAACAACAAACAGAAAAATTGTACTTCACTCAATTTTGCTTTTCTGCTTACTGCCATAAGTTCTCACCATCGCGTTACAAATGGTTATGATTGACCTTGAGTCAACGCCTCATGTACCACCTTCGCTGCCTGCTGTGCTGACGTATGCATCTGTCGTCACCTAGCTGTAAACTTTGCCTATTGCATATCCTCATAGAAAATAACAATTAGACAAAATCTATTTATTTCATACAATAGATACAATACAATATAACTTAATGAAAATAACGTCATATTTAGGTGCGCAACAAAAAACCAATGTATCCTTTAATTACCAAAATTATACTACATCAATATCTGAGCTGCGGCGCTTAACAGAGAGCGGCGCTTAAGAGGGAGCGGCGCAAAAGCGAGCATTTACGGTAATTAAAACAAAGTCAATTCATACTGCCGTAGGAGCACTCAATTTTATTGTTTTCAAGACAAAAATTCGTCAGAGGTAAGTTTGTAACGTATACTTCATATTTTCCAATTATAATTAATGAAGTTGTATGGGGCAGGTCAGCTCGGCGCTAACCCTGTTGCCAGTCACTGAACTGAATGTAAATGGATGGGTAACTCCCGTAAAAATTTGAAAGGCCAGCAATTGAACAAGTCACAATCTTTCCACGCACGGTCCAAAGAAATTTCATCTACGAGATTTTACCATCATTACGTTGGCTGCAAGCATGTACAGGAATGTTTATCTTAAAGGTAGCATTCCAGTTTATGTTTAGTTCAATCATGCCAGCCAGCCACTGCGCCAGGCCTGTGGCCAGGCTGTTAAAAGAAAATTCTTCATTCCTATTCATGTTTCCATAGGTGAAAAGAAAGTTTCCATTTGCGCATGCGTCGGTTACTTTAGACTTCATCACGTGTCATCATATTCTAAATCTAAAATGCTAAGATAAAAACAAAACGTTGAGCTGGCAACAACTGTTTTAAAGTTTTACGTGCGTGTAAGATAACTGATTAAGAATACAATCTTGGACCTTTACGTTGCATTTATACCTTCGAATCAAAGATTCTTCGTTATCTCCACAGTTTTTCAACTCTTGCATAAAGAAACTTGTTCCTAAACATAGCAACAACAATCTAAGGGAGATTAAAAAGTATACGTAAAAATAAATTAATACCTTCATTCTCAGAGAACACCATCCATAGTTTTTTAACAAATTCGCGAATGGCGTCGCTCGCACTGTCCTAAAGGAAAATTTGAAAACATGATCATAACTCACGACCATATAAAACGTATCAAAATTAGGAACAATCAAGGATCAGTAGGTACAACGGATGGCTAAATTGCAATAACCTACTTCTATCAACTCTTCACTACTATCCCAGTCAGAAAATGCTTCATACGAATCGTCAGCGGTCTCCTCGTGACCGAATGGACAACCATCAGCACTGCCATTGGCCAAAGAATCTTGCAAGCGATCAAGGGCGACTGATTCTTGGATCATGCGGCTACAGGTTTCATCTATAAAGATAAGGGAATTATAAGAATGTTTATTGGGCAGATGTTAAGGACAATGATTTTATTATTACCCCCCGCTAAATCCTCGTCACTGTCGTTTTCGAGAAGAGATGATTCTGAAATAGGACTTGTGGGGATATCATTGGATAACAGCTGTAATTCTGACAACAATTGACCATTACTATCTTTCGAGCATTCTTCATCCAAGAAACGACAAAGACCAGGCTCCTGAAACACATCATTCATATATATGAAACATAATAATATTAAATCAGTCCTTCGCGATTATTTTCTTCATATTTTGCTTACGTAGTTCAGTCTAATACTGATGGCTTGAAAAATATTTTTCAAATAAACAGGCTTCTCGACGCACTTAAACATTGTTAGAAATGCTTGAAGAATTTGTTTCAACACTGTTTGATCAATGCTCTGTAAACGAAAGATAAAAACACGAGGTTTTTAGATACAACATAACGTCAATATTTTCACAAATTTGTTCAAGTATGTAAAAGTTTAGAAGAAAAATTTCGCTCTGTCAGTTTGATGCAGTTTGAAATATTGAATTTTCCACATCTTGCATGACGAACACTTCAAAAACAAAATTACATTCGCTCGGATAACTTACTCTTTGCAATATCAAGAAACTTAATTCCCAAATAGCCAGGTCAAAAAACTTGATGGCGTCCACGTTACAATCTCGTTTGTCATCAGGAAGTCCTCGAATAATTTTGTTAATGCTGTAAAATTTTAAAATAAAGCGAGGGTAAAATAGCTCGTGAAAAAAAATGGAGAGAAAGAAATATTTTACCTCAGGATAAGAGATTGAGAAACAGCCGCGTCGTCACAAAATGAATGAACAGAATGAACAAGAACTGGTAGCAACAAAATCTGTAAAAAAAAAAATTAACCGTGCAAGTGTAGAATTACTACATCACACGTTCTTTTGGGAAATATTTTAAACCTGAGAGATTTGTCCGCAGTTTTCAACGAAGTTGGTGATGAAACCATGCAATTCAACGAAGAGAAAACGCTCGACCTAAAACAGCGATGGATACTAAATTGCGATCTTTACAAATGCACACTTGCAACAAAGAAGAAAAATTAAAAACTCAATGGCACGACATTTTGCACAGAAAATGAAAATTAAAAACTCAATGGCACGACATTTTGCACAGAAAATGAAAATTAAAAACTCAATGGCACGACATTTTGCACAGAAAATGAAAATTAAACACTCAATGGCACGACATTTTGCACAGAAAATGAAAATTAAAAACTCAATGGCACGACATTTTGCACAGAAAATGAAAATCAAAAACTCAATGGCACGACATTTTGCACAGAAAATGAAAATCAAAAACTCAATGGCACGACATTTTGCACAGAAAATGAAAATCAACTTGCACGCAACATTTCAAATATTTAAAACTACCTGTCTGGCTCTCTCCGAGTAAGTGAGCCCTTTTGAAGAAAAGCTGCAAAAAAAACGTACGTACGAGTGTAAGAAATGTAATGAGGACCATAAAATGTTTCACAGACATCACTATACCATGAAAATTCATCCGAAGAAAATACAAGTCTTCGGTCCCAGTTCTCGTTATAGGTGCGCATCGCCGGTGCTGCAATGTCAAACACGTAAGTCAATGAAATTATCGAGGAATTGAGGAATACATGTCGTATAGTTGGGTTGTGTTTTTAAGCTTACCGCAAAGACTGTCGGGATGTGCATGCAAAAACAACGCCACAATCACGTCACACACAACGGCATCGGTTAGGTTTTTCTTTCGAAAACGAGAAAAGAAATGACATAAATTATTAAACTACGAGCAACGTGCCAGTTTAAAGATAAATTTACAGAAGACAGAACTATCAGTTGTAACATTCGGTTTGGTCTTCTTAAAAAATTCATCAGAACATTAAAAATCAACCTCTTTCAAGTGTACGTCAAGGGGTAAGAATACTTGTCTCGCAAGAACAACCTCAAGCGAACTGATTGTTATTCTGTCGTAAATAACGACGTTACGCAAGGAGCTCAAAATCTGCAATAACAACAAAAACACATGCATAGTTGAAATGATCAGAGAGAAAATACAGTAAACAAGTAAAACACATGCATGGTTGAAATGATCAGAGAGAAAATACAGTAAGTAAATAAAACACATGCATGGTTCAAATGATCAGAGAGAAAATACAGTAAGTAAATAAAACACATGCATGGTTCAAATGATCAGAGAGAAAATACAGTAAGTAAATAAAACACATGCATGGTTCAAATGATCAGAGAGAAAATACAATAAGTAAATAAAACACATGCATGGTTCAAATGATCAGAGAGAAAATACAGTAAGTAAATAAAACACATGCATGGTTCAAATGATCATAGAGAAAATACAGTAAGCCAATATACGCTTCAATCCAAAGATCATTGAGTGAAGTCTTAAACATAAATTGAAGAAATATAAACCATATTGCCATCATGGCCGTGGTGATAATTGATACTTTACAGGTGCAAGACTTCAACATAATGGATATTTCACCATGCAAGCATGCAAATTTATATTGTTTCCTGATTACCTTTGGTAACCACGCCTGAAGACCATTGTTCACAGAACAAAAAACAGTCATGGCCGAACGACGGCAGCATTCAACATCCTGAAATTTACGATCACGTGATCCATCAAATATGGATTTCGACAACAAGTTTTTTTTATCAAGATAGTGACATAACAGGCAAACCTTCCACGTGGACGGCGGCTGATCCATGAACTGGCGTAATTTTCCCGCATGCGCGATGGAATATTTCAATGCAATGCAACCAGCGAAGAAGTACAAAGGGGTGTCACGTGACAAATACTGTGACCAGAAATCAACAAGTATGGAAATATCAAACCATCGAATTGTCTCCGTTATCAAAGGTAATATCTAAGAATTTGTCGAAAACAAAACAAAACACAACAAACTATAATGGTCAAACATGACTTGGCAGAAATTATGTTGTACCTTCATCATTCCCGTCTTCTACATTGAAAACCGACTGTTTATCATTTTTTTTCCTTTACCTGTTGGCTCATTCGCCGAAGTTCCCATCGACTATCCTCAAGACATTCAATGGTCTGCATAAATATCTGAACAAATACGCCAAATACACAATAATCTACTTAAAAAATCTTACACTAAACTGCCACATGTATTGAAAAATAGAACATTCAAGTATTTAATACCTTGGTAAATATTTCATAAAACAAGTTTGATTTAAGCAGTCGTTGATTCGCTACAGCTTTCGCTAGTCTACAATGTACGAGAAAAATTCCTTGTCACTTAACAATATCTAGAATTTTACACATATTTATTTGTGAAAAAAATGTCCCACCTTCCGTGTAGGTCTCTGGGAGAGGAAAGGCTCGGGCTTTTCACACTTTTAGACTGCAATACACCGCATAATAAAGACAAAAATGAGAAAAATAATCTTCAAGAGTATGCATGTCGAAGGAGCTCACTTGTGAAACATCCATCAGCTTTGCCTTGTTTATCATTGTGTCAGCCTAAAAAATTGATCATATTAAAAATTTTAGCATTGACTTTCAAGTAATAAGAAGCTAAACAAGGTAAGCCTAAAAATTGATCATATTAAAAATTTTTAGCATCGACTTTTACACATAAAAAATCACATAAAAAATTTTAGTATCGACTTTCAAGTAATAAGAAGCTAAACAATGTAAACGGGACGTACGAAGTAAGAGTTATCATGAGCTTTGTTGACGGTTCGTATCTTCTTTGGAGGCAATTTGCCGACTGTAGACTGTCGGAAAAGACGGAGGGGCGACGTCTTGTTAAACGATGTAGTGCGTTTACGGTAACTGAAGGAAATCAGTAATTTATATTTAAAACAAGAAAGAGACCTTCAACAATCACGACATCTCGACATGGTTTTTTCACGTATGTGATCGTGTTTAAAGTGTCTTTTTGACGTATGTGATCGTGTTCAAAGTGTCTTTTTGACGTATGTGATCGTGTTCAAAGTGTCTTTTTGAAGTATGTGATCGTGTTCAAAGTGTCTTTTTGACGTATGAGATCGTGTTCAAAGTGTCTTTTTGACGTATGTGATCGTGTCCAAAGTGTCTTTTTGACGTATGTGATCGTGTTCGAAGTGTCTTTTTGACGTATGAGATCGTGTTCAAAGTGTCTTTTTGACGTATGTGATCGTGTTCAAAGTGTCTTTTTGACGTATGTGATCGTGTTCAAAGTGTCTTTTTGACGTATGTGATCGTGTTCAAAGTATCTTTTTGACGTACGAGATCGTGTTCAAAGTGTCTTTGACGTACGAGATCGTGTTCAAAGTGTCTTTTTGACGTATGAGATCGTGCTCAAAGTGTCTCTTTCATCAATTACCTGCTGTTCGAGTATGTCTCAACCTTAACAAAAAAGGAATTGAAAAATTTGAGATGATGCCGACAGTCACAGGAATAAGTAGGAACGAATAGGAATAAAAATGGATAGAAAAGATCTTGTCTTTTACCTCTTCTTTACGGGTACCAGGCGCACTAGAACGACCGGATATTTTCGGATCTTCTTCCTTCACAAAAAAAAAACAACAAGAAACGCGTGAAAAACTGTTATAAAACAACGTAGGTCACATGTAAACATGACAGCCATAAGTGTTTTCCATTGTACAGCAAACAGAACGTGATCAGCAATAATGAATTTTCTCACTATGATTCAATGGATAACAATGGATATTAATGACGTCTGTGTACATTACCAATACTTCATTGACAGAGCTAGTGGAGGGTAATGAACATGAAGAATCTCGTCCCGTATAACTAGGTATTGACCAATGTTTAGTGAGTCGAGATCTAGGAAGATTTAAAGCAAGATTAAGTAAAATTTAAGCTCTCAATACAGTCTGTTTATTTACAAACATGTAGAGTAAAGTCTTACCTTTTCAACATTGCTTCATCCATCGACATTGATGCATTTCGAGGTGAATACGATAACGCATAAGATGGAAACATGTAGTGTATATGATTAGCGATAAGATATTTCAAGATTAGTTCATAGGCAAACAAACGGCCTTCTCTCCACTCCCAAGTGGAAGCTAGAGTGCTGTTAAAACACATTTCGTTGTCCTCTAAAGATGAAAATAAACACCATCAACAACAAAGACTACCAACAAATTAAACTATAATCACTTCATTTCATGGGCGTCAATCCTGCGATAATCGGCGGGGGGGGCCATATTCCCTCATTCAGTTATGCCAGGCTGATTTCTTTTGAAAATGAAATTGTGTTTTAGCCATGCCAAAAAATTAACACAGGATTGACGCCAATGTTTCATTTTATCGCTAAGTGACTTCACACAACCAAGTTGACCTTTCATCATTTTGCCGACGGACAGGATGCTTGGTCGTTGATATTTTGATGATGATCGAGGCAGGAATTCTTCTCCATTTACGTATTTGAAATAAACAACGTCTCTTCGAAGGTTTTTCTGCGAGAGAAATACGAGAAATCAACTTGCATCGTGTGTGATAAAGAATACAGCCGGTAGTTTATGATGTTTACTTTAGGATGTCTTTTGTCCTCGGCGTCAGTGGCAGTTGATGTCTCCCAATGTTCACAAAGGCATCTTAAAACAAGCTTAAAAGTCTCCGGTGCATCCGTATCTTTCATCACTGAAACAGAGAAGTCCGCAATGATTAGAGAAGAAGCTACTCGTTCATGTTTACATTGTACAGTGCAACCTCCACTTTCATGGCGTGAAAATTACATTGTACAGTGCAACCTCCACTTTCATTTCGTGAAAATTACATTGTACAGTGCAACCTCACTTTCATGGCGTGAAAATTACATTGTACAGTGCAGTCTCCACTTTCATTGCGTGAAAATTACATTGTACAGTGCAGCCTCCACTTTCATTGCGTGAAAATTACATTGTACAGTGCAACCTCCACTTTCATTGCGTGAAAATTACATTGTACAGTGCAACCTCACTTTCATGGCGTGAAAATTACATTGTACAGTGCAGTCTCCACTCTCATTGCGTGAAAATTACATTGTACAGTGCAGCCTCCACTTTCATTGCGTGAAAATTACATTGTACAGTGCAACCTCCACTTTCATGGCGTGAAAAAATGAAACTTTCAATTTGAGATACAAAACATCATGAGTATATGTACCAAGATGTTTGAAGACGATACTGCTGGCTTGCCTGACTGTCGACGCAGGATGCATGAGATAGAGATTAAAAGTTGAGAAATAAAGTAACCAACGCTCCATTAAAAGTTGTACAGGAATACGCTACAAAAATAAAAAATGTTTAGATCGTTTGTTACAGTTACTGTAAAAAGCAGTTTGCAATGAGCGAGTTGCTTCATCAAAACTCGACATAAACTGTTCAATGAAGAGGTTGAAACATTACCTTAATCAAAAACACACTGACTTCCAAAAGGCCTTGAGCTTCGTACGCATCAAGAAATGTAAAGTCATCCCGTAATGCAGCGTGATGAGGCAATTTCTGTGTTAAAAACAATCAGCCATTTGCAAGAAACAAAGGAAGCTAACTATGTAGACAGTTGAAACGGACGTACTTCGTATGATTGCATTTTCATATCGATACCAGTGCCTTTGCAAAGATGAATGATAACTTGCCGAAACGATTTCTGCATGTACTGAAAGGAAAAATAACACGATGGTATGAGTACATATATATGACGTCATGATGACATCATATCAGATGAGGATTAAGAAAGAGCGCAATTTCCATTCATCTCTTTCTTTCGATAAACTATTGATCGCATTTGAAAGATTTTACGTGCTGTATACGAGCAGAAATCTAAACCAAATTCTGTTTTACTCGTCATAATTGAATTGTTCAGCAAAACAAGAAGACAGCGATGCAATTTGATAAACAAGACCAGAATTTTAAACCAATGCATATGCAAAACGGAAGCAGACAAGCTGCTCTCACTACCTGAGCTTCCGAGCGAGACAATATTGAAATAAACGCTTTCGAAGCGTGTTCCCTGATGCTCAACTGAGGATGAGAAAGTAAAGAAAATACAACTGTATATAGAGAGTTGACAATGAACTCTGGAAGTCTTGGTAAACGCTTGCTGCCAAACTAGACAAAATAAACAACATAAAATACTTGCTGTACGTATAGTTTGGCAAAAACAGTGTATTGTACAACGAGCTAAAAAATACGGTATTTGTTTGAAAAACTGTCAACGCAAAATACCTTAATATACATTTGACATTTTGAAGACGACGACACATCAGAATTCATTAAAGATTGATTGTCAACATGAAAACCTTTTATAATTGTCGTCATACCTTAACATAATTTAAATATGTATTTGATCATATTGAGCAACAAACGTTATTTACCTAATATACGTAACACAAATAACATGTATAACATTCGCAACACACGCAACATATATAACACATACAAGTACAACATAGGTATCATGTGTAACGTGTGTAACGTATGTAACATAGTAACATGTGTAACATACGCAACATATATAACACATACAAGTACAACATAGGTATCATGTGTAACATGTGTAACGTATGTAACATACGTAACATGTGTAACATACGCAACATATATAACACATACAAATTACAACATAGGTACATGTGACACGTATGTAACATATGTAACATGTGTAACATACGCAACATGTATAACACATACAAGTACAACATAGGTATCATGTGACGTGTGTAACGTATGTAACATACGTAACATGTAACATACGCAACATACATAACACATACAAGTACAACATAGGTATCATGTAACGTGTAACGTATGTAACATACGTAACAAGTGTAACATACGCAACATGTATAACACATACAAGTACAACATAGGTACCATGTGTAACATACGCAACATGTATAACACATACAAGTACAACATAGGTATCATGCGTAACGTGTGTAACGTATGTAACATACGTAACATGTGTAACATACGCAACATGTATAACACATACAAGTACAACATAGGTATCATGCGTAACGTGTGTAACGTATGTAACATACGTAACATGTGTAACATACGCAACATGTATAACACATACAAATTACAACATAGGCATGTAACATGTGTAACGTATGTAACATATAACACATACGCAACATGTATAAACATACAAATACAACATAGGTGACATGTGTAACGTATGTAACATACGTAACATGTAACATACGCAACATGTATAACATGTAACATGTAACATATGGTACATATGGGACACATACAACATAGGTATCAACACATGTAACATGTGTAACATAACATATATAACAATTACAACATAGGTATCGCGTATGTACCATGTGTAACATACGGTACAACATAGGTATCAACATGTGTAACATGCATGTAACATGGTAATCAACATACGTATACATGTGACATAACGTAACATGTAACATACGCAACATGACACATGAACAACAAGTATACATATGTACACTGGTGTAACATATGCGAACAATATGTAACACATACAATAGGTATCACATGTAACATAACATGTGTAACATACAACACGTTATCATATGTAACACAATGTGTAACATACGCAACATGTATAAATAACGTCACGTAACATATGTAACGTATGTAACAACATGTAACATAACATGTAACAACATACAAATGTAACATGTACGTAAATTGCGTAACATACGTGCAACCCATACATAACATAATAACAGTGCATAACATGCGTTGGCAACCAAAACACCATTAACAACATACATGTCCCAAACATGGGATTGTAAAACACAACATAGTAACAGGTACAACATAGGTATCAACACCCATTTTGGCACATGCCAACGGAACATGTAACATCATGAGATAGGCATGATCATACAACATTACAAAACGCGGTGAACATGATTACAACATAATGTGATGACATACAACAACATATACCATGCGTAACCCATTAACACAACATGTATTCATAGGAGTACAAGATTGTAACATAATATTGTACAAAACATTAACAAACATGCCCCATGGTAACATGTGGATGTATAAACACCAACTTGCCCCAAACCATGCAACATGGACAACATAACCCACCCCTACAACCCGGGAACATGTAACTACATCCAACCATTGTATCACCAACAACCACCATATGAACATACGGAACATAACATAACCCAACCCGTATGTAACATACCATGTGGCAACCCATGTGTAACATGCAACATGTATAACACACCAACATAGGTACAAACACCCATACCACATACCAACCCACATACGTAACATGTGGCAACACACCCAACATAGGCAAATACGCAACATGGAATCCCCAGTATGGTAACATGAACATATTACCAACCAACGTAACATACCATGCAACATGTATATACAATAAACATAGGTATGTTGCAACATGTATAACACATACAAATTACAACATAGGTAATGGTAACGTATGTAACATACAGTGTAACATACAACATATATAACACATATAAATTACAACATAGGTATCATGTGTAACGTGTGTAACGTATGTAACAACATGTGTAACATAAACATGTATAACACATACAAATTACAACATAGGCATGTGTAACATCAACATGTATACATACCAACATACAACATACATATAACACATACAAAACAACATAGGTATCATATGTGTTGTATGTAACATACGTAACAAGTGTAACATACGCAACATGTATAACACATACAAGTACAACATAGGTATCATGTGTAACGTGTGTAACGTATGTAACATACGTAACATGTGTAACATACGCAACATGTATAACACATACAAGTACAACATAGGTACCATGTGTAACATACGCAACATGTATAACACATACAAGTACAACATAGGTACCATGCGTAACGTGTGTAACGTATGTAACATACGTAACATGTGTAACATACGCAACATGTATAACACATACAAGTACAACATAGGTACCATGGGTAACGTGTGTAACGTATGTAACATACGTAACATATGTAACATACGCAACATGTATAACGTGAATAACGTATGTAACACACGTAACATTTGCAACAAAAGTTATATATTTCATATCATATACCCATAATGGCACCCTCTTTGGCCTGCCAAGATGAAGTTTTACTTTTACATATCTGTAAGCAAAAAGGTAGGGAAATTAAAACATAGATGTGACATTAGAAGTTCAATTTTATGATTCATACCTGCTCTAATTCAATAAATACACAATCAAGCTGCGGAATGTTAAAGCATTCAATGATTCTGGAAAGTCGAGATGCACAAGCAATTCTAATGGCTGACCACACATCGGTAAGCCCAGTCACAACCACATTCTATTGTAATTCAAAAATTACAAGATAAAAAAGTATGTGGTTCATTGCAAAGTGGATCATCCCAAACACCCTCCCCTCCCCCATTGGGAAATGAACATAACCATCCCAAACACCCTCCCCTCCCCCATTGGGAAATGACATAACCATCCCAAACACCCTACCCCCCTCCCCCATTGGGAAATGAACACAACCATCCCAAATACCCTCCCCTCCCCCCAATAGGGAAATGAACTTAACCAGTATTATAGATAAAAATAATTGAAAGATAAAATTATTTACTCTTACTTTCACAAGGTCAAATATGCTTGACTCAAACCCTTCTACTGCAACTACTTTCAACCAGTCAAGAATGTGAATCAATGTTTGGTTGCGAACAACAGGATAGTTGGATGCTATAAAGTGTTATATTTATAGTTTTACCAAATTAGAATACTATAAAAAGTAACTGATTCAGGTGTAAGTAATCCCAAACATTCCAGTTTTAGTTAAAAAGATAAACATTTGATTATACATGCTACACACAGTCAAACCTGTATTAAATGGACCTCTATGAAGAAGCCATCCTGTATTAAGCATACACTTTGTAAAGTCCAAAATTTGATTGTATAAAGCTAATTTGTAAAATTAACCCTCAATCGAGCAAACACCTTCATTAAGCAGACACTATTCACTTCCACAAGGGTGTAACAGGTTTTTCTGTATTCGGCAAAGTAGGTTAAATATTTAATGCTCAGCTTCAGTATTTATAACAGAACTACTTCACACATACTATCTTAACTTGTATAGTATCTATCCATACTCAGAAACAAAACATCTTGGAATGAATGAGAATCAAGATACCTTGTTTCTTACAAGAAATTTTAACATTGTGTTGACATCAATTATGAGATTAATATTGTTTGGGATACATACCTTTGAAAGAGCATTGGTCAAGCTTTTAAGCAATTTCTCGGAAAGATATGTTTGGCAAGCATACCTAATAATAAACATATAACATTTCCATACAAACCAACAGTTATTAGGGAGTATAAATTATTGGAAAGATGATGACAGGAATAAATGATTATACTACTTTTGCAAAACATAAGAACAGCACAATTAAACAGCTATTTGATTTTGATACGTGCCATTTCACTACATCATCAAGCAATTCGTTAATTCTTCCTTTGAATTTGCTTTGAATACCCAAAGAGGAAGATCGTCCCATTTTTGAATGTTGACAAGCAAGTTTCGTTGAATTCGTGTCTCCGTGAATAGGTTGCTCTGACCAACCATAGCGTCTTTCAAACAGATAAAACGTGAACCTGTTCAAGTCTTGTTGATCGATGAAAACTTCTTGTGGTTTCACACGAGGAAAGGGATTTGAATTTGCTCCAGTAGTTGGGCTATTTGTCAACCATTGAGTATCCAAATCTTGATCTCCTAGACACATCTGCATCGGACTCAAGGAATTGCAAAATTTTTGAAGAATTTTCACCTCATCTTCAACATTATGAGCATTCTCTATATCTTGCAGAGGATTGAATACATCCATGAGAACAGTGAGCAAGGAATTTTGAATCATTCAATAATTTAGCTACGTATAATTATCCGAAACAAGTTTACAGACTTGAAACGATGAGCCGGGCATTTTGAAAAATGATTTATTATCATCACTGAGTGCCACTGAAAAGCCCAGCATCAATGCACTTGTCTTTATGTAAAAATCACAACATGTAAAACATGCAAGTCTATTTCTTCTTTCATAGTTTCAATATCTATTCTTTTTATGTTTCTCCAATATTTATCCTCAAATAAATAACACCTGTCGCGAACATGACAGTACCCTAATGTTACCCTATTTACCCCCAAGGTTACCATGGGTGCCACTGATCTTATAACAATGAAACAACAGCACATTGCCAGTCCTCGTTATTCTTTGAAGAATTAATTCAGCTTTTTCTCAAAACAATATCAATCCATAACTTTAAGCTTCCGACATCCGAATAAATGCCATATTTCCTAGTCATTGAGCAGCCCACACCCCAACTTGTTATACCAACTAAGGTCCAAGCTCCGAGGATTTCACAAACCAGGGGACCTGAAAGAAAAAGAAAAATCTCAATATTTAACATGGGTGCCTCCACTTACACATCACTATACCTCCTGTGTCCCCAAGACATTCTTGTACAGTGCTGTTCCTCGCTTTTACGCATATAATCCCCTTCTTAATCATATGTGTACCATAATAATCAGCGCATTGCTGTTGATCAACAATGTCCACTTCGTGAAAACTGTATGTTTGAGATATGCACGGACGATAAGATCCTTTATAGGTTCCCCAACCAAGAATAAGGCATTTTCTACCTGGGAAAGACATGACAAATTTTATTCGCACATTTCGAAGTAGCCCAACTTCATCACGTCTAAAAATAATATACAAAACCTCTCAATAAATGCGAAGTGGTGAACTGCAGGTGAGGCAAAGGGACTTGCATAAGGCATGCAGATGTCTGAAGAGTATTTCTGTCATCAAATCGTACAATAGATATATCATATTTTCCAGAGTTCACACCGGACATAGAGTGATGAATTATATTATTGATTCTACTAATAAGACGGCGCGAGCTTGGAAAGAACAACTACAATGGAGAAAAAGAAATTAGTGACCGTGAACTTTGATAAATGAATACAGCAGTAACACCTTTACAGAGTGAATCCATACACGAAACAAACACAAGGTACTGGTAACGACATGACCAGGAGCGATAAGAGTACCACCGCAGACGCATCTGTCCCACAAAATTATTAAGACGTGCCATGGCCATTGTTGGTCGTTTGGAGCTGAGAAATTTCTAAATCCGCAAGTTTCCTCAATTGCTTTTGGATCTGTGGGAAAAAATCGTTCATCAGGAAAAAAGTGAGGAAAAATAAAGATTTAATTAAGTAAATAATCAGGCAACCTTTTTGACAAACAAACGGCAACTTTTTATGACATCCAACTGTTCTATACTTTGTCTCGCCGAAACGTTTTCTTTCGGCTCGCATACAGGTCGGCTCAGTGAATATTCCCGACTTGTTGTACAAAACACCTTTTTCAGAGTAAAGTCTGCCAGAAGGGCAGCTCCTCACTCCAAACCACGCGTGACGTCCACGAGGCAAAATAACGCTTGTTGCATTCGTATTCGTGATCAACCGTGCTTCTACAATTCGACACAGAGTTGAAGCTTCATGCCAGGTGACTTCGGTTGGGTGATAATACAGACACTGTCCTTTAACTAGATTCCAGTCTTTTTGGCATTCGCCATCTTGAAAAAGAGGGCAAAAACTAAGGTTATTTTTTTCGTTTACAGCAAACAATGACCCATAATTTTCCAACGGAGAGTATTAGTCAAATTCAAGTTGCCGTTCACAGGAAATCTCATCAAATTACAAAATGATATCTAGAACTTGATATGTGTTCTAATAGCAGACGCTTCCCACGTCAAACAAGTCAATATCCCAGGGGCCGGCCGAATATAGCTATTCATTGGATAGCAAATTTATTTGAACGTTCAAAAAATCTCTGATGAAAGAAAATCATACGATTTTAACTGTGCAATCACTGAAATAAAACATTGTTTCGAGGATCGCAAAATTTCTTTATCGCAAGAAAAATATAAACACCATTTCTACAAGTTTGAAAATTTTCGCTTTTCGATGGATAACGCTATCTAGGCTTCGTGCAAACGTCCCCAGGCATGTATTAGAGAAAAAAATGGTAATAACATGAAATTGTGCATTGACAAATCACGTGCCTGTATGTTTCTTGACACGGGAATGACACGCCCCAGGTGAGATGACGATTTCTCGCAAAGCAATTTTGGCAGCAGTAAAATTGTAAATGATTGCTTCAAAGAGAACCTAAAACGAATACAGAAATGTTCACGTTAACTAGTAGCAACATGTAAAAAAATTTACTATAAACTCGTAGGTTTGCCAAAACGACGAACGCGAAACATTTCTTTTCTCGCCTGATAAGTTTCACAAGATGAAGGTACGATCGTGACTTGATGAAAACGCCACGATCCGTCATATTCTGCGTCACGTTGAAACATAAGCGTTCGCTTCCCAGCAGCACTTTTGTATACGTTGAACTGTTCGGCTGAAGAACCTTGAAAAAAGATTTTGAATACCACACACCGCTGACCACGTAAGGATGGGCTCTTAAGCGCAGCAGGATATCCACGTCGCAAGCGTTTTACGATTTTGAAAAATCTATCTGCAAAAAAGAGAGAAGATAACTTAAGTGCAGAAGAAATTTCACTTTGTTCAAATAGCAAAGTATCTTGCACATCTAAAAAGAAATGATGATGCAGAAGTTAGAAAAAGGGATATTATTGTTTAAGACAGTAAGAAAGACAATTGGATACCTGCGTGTTGAAGGGGTGGAAAATGCTTGTATTCTTCGGAACCATAGCGAGATACAGTCCACCAGTATTTAGCATAGCTACCGACGCTGTTAAAGCCACACTTATTCCAATGATTCAAATCGCATTTTATTTTGCCGCTTTCTAACAACAACGACAAAAACGTCAGTACGAATTAAACTACAGAAATAAGTTTTATGAAAAGTGAATTCAAAAAAGTAGTCATCATTTATCGACTGCCGTCACATGCAAACTGTGACGACAGCATTACAAATCTAGGATATAAAATGCACCTACCAGAAGGCAACAAAGAGCAAATATTATCGGTCCCTCCAGCAATCCAGAATTGGCCAAAATTTGCATGTCTCCTAGTCGATACAACAAACATGGAATCTTTTCCCGCCAACCATGAAAGATGCGTTCTATAAAAAGATTCATCAACGTGTTACCGTCACACAACCACCGCTGGCTACGTCGACCTGTGGCGCATCGGCTCAAATGCAGCTCTTGCAAACTTGATCCTCCATTTTCCAAACAAGCATTTCTAGTCACGGCAACCAGCTGCTGATCACGTGTCCATTTGAAACGTTGGCTCGTGTCTTCTTTGTTACATTGAGCGTAGGTGAATTTTGATTGGCTTGACATGAGCGTAAGACATTTTTGTAGAGTTGATTCAAAAATTTGAAAAACGTGATCTGTTTAAGAAAAAAATTAATAATCATTACGCCCATTTTACAAGGTTGCATATTAAAACACACTACGTAAAACTACCTTTTTCAGTGGGAAATGGATTGCTAGGGACAACAGGTGCTACAATGGGAACTTGGGTAATATTCTCGATAAAGTCAACATGGAGTGAAGTTCGTCTTAAGACAATGATATCCTGCTTGAAGTTGGAATTTGTTATTGAACCAAAAGCATGTAGAACCCAACTGTCAAGAATATTGTTCATACAAACAACATAACCGTAATGTATTTCACTTTGATTCATTATTGAAGAACTGTTGACACGTAGGCAAATCTATAAAATCACAAATTTACACACCATATTTAACAATTTACACACAATATCGAACAATTCACACACCATATCAAACAATTCACACACCATATTGAACAATTCACACACCATATAAAACAATTCACACACCATATCAAACAATTCACACACCATATCAAACAATTCACACACCATATTAAACAATTCACACATCCTATCGAACAATTCACACACCATATAAAACAATTCACACACCATATCAAACAATTCACACACCATATTAAACAATTCACACATCCTATCGAACAATTCACACACCATATCAAACAATTCACACACCATATCAAACAATTCACACATCATATCAAACAATTCACACAACATATCAAACAATTCACACACCATATCAAACAATTCACACACCATATCGAACATTAGTTACACTTCTCGAGGATCAACACTTCGCAGGCCTATTTACCTCAGTTTTCAAGTCAAAGACCATCGAGAAAGACGATCGTAATTTATGCCTACATAAACCACTTGATAGAATAGTCGCAGCGATTTCAAGGATTTTCTTTTCCTGTGCTACATGCATAAAATAAAGAAATGCAAAAAAAAAATAAAATGCGATGACTGCAAGTGATTCTTACCCAATAAATAACAATTTAAGACTTGATTTTGAAGCTGCAAATTCGATGGAAGGCAAACTTTATGTTCCTGGCCTTCGGTGACGGAACCGTTTACTCGTAACAAACCTTGAAAATTTTAAACATCCAAGCAAGTTCATTTTACTTCATATGTTCAAGTTATTTCATTGTTACAGCAAAACAAAGAAATACCCAAATCTTTGAATAAAGCAACAAAGCTGTCCTTTCTTTTCATTCTTCTTTTCTTGTTAGCTAATCACAGAGAATGCTGGTCAATGAGAATTCGTAATGTGTGAATGGGGGAGGGGAGGGTGGGGGCGGTTGGATGGGAGGTATTAATTGAAATCACATATCAGCGTAATTCATCAGCGAGAAAAACCTACTTCGGGAACTTTTTGCACACTCTTCTGTCGTAAGCAGCCAATCAGAGTCAACTCGAATAGCTGAACAAGAACGTTGTGATTGGCTAACGTAAGGCAAAGCCACCAACCAAGGCCAGGCATAACTCATTGGAAGGTGTGGAACTTCACCAACAAATCCAGGAAAGCCAACTCCGCAAATTTCTATATTACGGAAAAAAATTGTAACTTTACGAAAGCATTAGGTTTTTCGTGAACTTAAAACAATCGAGTCTCGAACAGCCAATGCACATTCTAAACATTTCAACAGCGAGCCATTTAATTAAATACTCAATTATCATAAAGAGCGCTGCATTTAATTTAACTCTATAGAAAAAGGTTGCCACTCAAAAAGAAACTGTATAATTATCTTTAAGACTGTTGCAAGGCAGTTCCGTGTTGATCGAGAGCAGCTGTAGTCGATCCGCTTAGACTGTTGCAAGTCAAATCTCATGTGTAGACTTTAGGATTAAAAAAACGAATCCTCGCGCATGGCGCCTTCCGTCTCTATTGACGATAAACGCATTCATCGTCAAAACCATCTTTTCCTATGCAACCTCTTCGTATTATTTGGCAAGGTTACCTGAAGAATTTGTTGACGATGTCTCGCATACTCCACGAGATAAAGTAATATTATCCAGTGCTATATCCCCACGGTGTCCTTTACCACAGACGCCTTCAAATTCTATCTTCATTATCATAAAAAAACCCAGAATAAATAATTATCTATCCCGTACTTTATTGATCATTTGTCAAAACCTTCTAGGTAGGTGTATCTCACCACAAATCTCGAGCTGCAGGCGACAGTGACACGAGCTAAATGCCAAACTTTACCAAGATTTCCATTCAATGTCAATAGCTGTTTTCGTTTTGTCGAGCCTCTGACTTTCCTCGCGTTAACTTTAAGCTTTCCGACGCCATCACCCCAGGCATGGATGGCAAACTGCAAACAGTAAATGAAAGGAGGGAAAACGGGACTCTTTAATCTCGCCATATCTCCCTGTTTCCTAGGGTGCGACGTCTCAATGTAAATGAAGAAACCTGTGGAATTATGAAAAATAGTTCTGTCGAAATGTTTGCACCAAAAAAGCAATCAATATGCAGCATACCTTTTCCAATCAAATCGCCATTGGGTCCGGTATTGGCACTCGGCGTTCTTGTCCTCCTAATCATCCAATTAAAATCGTCCTTTCTTTTTACGTTGCGAAATCCGCACCAACCATAATCAAAGCTGCAGTCAAATACAACTAAAACAACGTTGTTTCATTCGTATAGATTTTTCAATCTCAAAATCGCACTTAATGAAGGAGAATTTCTCTATTGATCAACACTTTAGAATTGGAACCGTTAAGGGATCGTGTCTAAAACACCACACGAGTACATACGAGTACATACGACTAACATACGAGTACATACGAGTGACATACGACTATATAGGGTTAGGTTTAGGGTTAGGTGTTTTAGTCACGACCCCGTTAAGGTGAACGCATACGCATCAACATATTGTTTTGACGTGCTAAAATTGGATTATGAAGTCGGCATGTCTCATGCAGTACAGTACTACATTTTATCTACGAATTTTATTAAAACAATGATACCCATAAAAAACTCAATAAACGTCTGAAACGTCTCTTCAAAGAAGTTAAACATATTATATAGCGGCAACACAATGAACAAACCTAGAAAATAAATTCTAAAGAAAGTTACCATTAAGCTAAAGGTCGACATTACCGTGACACGATTAGTTATAACATATCACTACTAAACGATCACATAAATATTAGCGTTTCGTTATTACGATCAATTAACACATACGACTTTTTTATCCTATGTAAACATAGCATACCATTACTTCGAGGTTTTCTTAAAAACTTCTCGCCATGAAGTTTCGCGATTTCGTAAATGCCACGAGTCGGTTCATGAGGCGCAATGATTATGCCGTTAATTAGCGTACACGACGCATAAAATAATGTAAATATAAGCCAAGGACGCGCGCTGAAATTGACGCACATTTGTTTTGTTTAAGACGTGAGTAACGATGATCAGAGTTATGGAGTGAAAAGCGCTTTGTTGTTCAATGATAAATGCAATAAGTTTAAAGGAATAATGGAGGATAGTGTTTCAAACAGCTGACTTGATGATTGAAGTAATCAATAGGTGACAGTTGTTATTTTATAAAGTTTATCTAAAGCAATACAAACTATCATGTTGTTGATAAATTTCATCAAAGAATACACACAGTTTACATAAAAACACCTTGGATAAGAATGCAGGTGCTTTCAAGCTTGATTCTTTTTCCCAAGACCAATTTCCACAAAGACAGACGCTTTAACATCATTACGTAAGCATTTGATTCGTGCCATTTTAATACTTCAAATATGTAGAGATGCGTCAATTTCTGATTTTTTCTTCGCTGTCTGGCGAGCAATGTTTGAATTGAGTCGCTTGAGTCTTTCCTTTGAAATACGTAAAAAAATCATTTGGCATGTCAAATTACATAATCTCACAGTTTTTTGGTCTCTTGGACTAAATTTTTCACGCTATAAAATATTTACCTGAGCATTATGCAAAATATTGTTAACAAGGGTAATTCTTCTTCTTGAACCAATTAGTTTCTTTACATATGGTTCAAGATCTACGGGCAAATCTTGGCGTTCGTTAAGCTGCGCTAAATCTTTGGTGGTAAAAATAATAGTTAGAATCTGGCCGAGATTAATAATTTTATTATTGTGTAATTTAACAAATAATTCTAACCTGCACCTAGCTCATCAATTTTTTCTCTCAGTTCAACTTGACTTGCTCTGAAAAATCATAAACATAAATCTACTGTTATCCCTTGGCCAAATCATCCTGTTTATAAAATAATATTACGTTACGGCTATAGCCACCATACTAAAGGATTTGTTTTTAAAACGTAGCATCCAAACCTCACAACGTTAACTTTTTCATCGAGAGCCTCAATTGAAGGCTGCAAAACAAGCATGAGACCTGCAGAAAAAGACGGTATGGAGGTTTTTTCATCTTTGCTAGATGCAGAGGTAGATGTTAATTCTGTATCCGCCATATTGAATTTAAAATTGAGATCAGTGACAAGTGGAGTGGAAAGTTTGGAATCATTGTGGCAGTTGTTTAGTCTCTGTAACTTTGTCTTTTTCTTGTTCAAAAGGTTAAAGAAAAGTGAAAACAACACGTACAAAGAAGATGTTGTAGCTTTCACAATATGTGAGAAATGTTTGGCAACATCAAGGATAAACTCTATAACGTTCAACATGATTTATCAAAAGGGTTAGTTTGTTATCTTCGTCGTTGTTGTGAATTATAAGACTTTTCATTCAACATCAAGATGGCTAGATAACAAGTTTGCGTCATTATGTTCACAGACTAAGAACAATCTCGATTAAAGCGAAATCTGCCAACCAACGAATCGTAAGGTAATTAAAATATTGTTGTTCAGTTTGATGTTCTGAGTTGCAATAAATGTTTTGGCTTTGCTTCCACGTACAGAAAGGCAGCTTTTGCTATTGCTGAGGATGTCAATGTTAAAAGGTATGTATGTTACAACATTGAAATAGATACAAAACACTGTCAGTAACACGTTGTTTTGTTGCTTTTATATTTCTAGCAATGATCAATGTTTCGATTGTAATTTGGAGGCAGGGTCAGATATCTTAGCAAGGTATGCAGTATGTATTATATTAGCCCATCTCTGTGTTGTATCAACTATTGCCTTGTTATCATAGCTTCTATAAGAACTGGGCACACATTCATTGGTATGGAAAGGATTTGGCAGTTGATGCTGATGTATGTGATTGAAATAAATCGATATTTTGATGAATTTTGGATTCGTGTTTAAATTTGACATCAATTAACAGGAAATGGATGCAATTATTTTTGCCCGATTGAAAAAAATGGCAGCTTTGGATCGAGCAATAACATCTTTCCATCAAGAACTTTCATTCCTTCCGGATGTGCTAGAGAAAGTTGACCAAGCTACTGAAAAAATAGGTAAAATATGAGCTACCTTTTTTCCTAGAATGCATTCCTTCAGGGCAGAGTGTCTGTGCAATATTTAACCAGCATTGCTAGACAAATATTGGCTTTGATAATGTGATGCCAAATACTTTATGCAAAGTCAATACTTTATGTAAAGTGGACCCAACCAAATTTGGCCAAGTTCAATAGGTTTAAATGACTATTTTAGAGGAGATGCACAGCGAAATTGACAAATATGAGAAGCTCATCGATGAGTTTGAAGAGGCCTCTGTTCGTAAAATTTTGGAACAAAGAAAGGCGAAGGAAAAAAAGATATTTGAGAGAACTGTTGAGCATTTTGAGTAAGATTTTATCACTAATGGAATCTTATGTTATATTGGATTTATTTGAGTGTAGACAGTGTGCGAATTAGTTCAGAAAAAATGATGTGCAATTTTTTTGACAAAAGTGTTTCTTTAGAGGCATAATCAAATCAATATTAAGTTAATTATATAGCACTAATTCCTAAATTAATATTTTCAAACGTGAACAAATTCATATGATTTATGACAGTGTTTTTCGTTAAAACCACCGATTTTTGCACATCGTTTGAAAAAGTGATGTGCAATTGTTTTCATTTTAGCTGAAACGATGTGCAAATTGCACATTGCACACCGTTAATTCGCACACTGAATGTAGATATGTTGCTTCCAAGTCTGTATATTATCCGTATCCAATTATGAGCTTTCATGTCAAACTAGCAATTTGATTGAATGATAAATAATCAAAGCAGTGGACATTTGGATGAACTTGACAAAATAATGTGAAAGACTAATGTGTAGTTTCAATTTTTAGGTATGAGTACAACAATTTGCAAGGTACATTTCACTTTCATTGATATTAAAGAAAAAACTACCCATTAACCTTTCATAAATGCTAATTTGTACATACCTACAGAGCAGTATAAGGAAAAAAAATCCAAAGATGATGAACAAACCAGGCAAATTGAAAAGCAGGCATCGCTAGAAAGGCAGAAAGTTTATGAAGATGTCTTTCTTCAGGAAATGCAACATTATATACAATATGGAGCCACAGAGAGTAATGCTAAACACACTTTTGGATGTAAAACTATACAAATGCTTATTAAATAGTTTTATAAATTTTGTTTTAGAGGCAATTGCAGGACTTCCGGCATCTCAGTCGTTGGAAGACATAACATTAGATGATGATATTGATTTGGAAGAAGAACTTAAAGCTTTTTTGCAACCTGATGAACCAGATGAAACATTAGATAAAGCAACAAATGATGAAAACATAAGTGAAGCTGGTGACCCAGAGGAGGAAAAAGAGTAAATAATTACACTAATGTAGTTGCTACTATGTAATTATGTGAAATGCTGAAATTTCTTTTATAATTATATTGGGAATGATAGTTTTACTGATACATTTGACATGCTCTCCTCACTTTCTTCATAAAGAGCCTCATTAACATAACTCTCGATGGTGAAAGTTTCATCCATGTCCTGATTCACAAGAAATGCTGACGGCTTACTACATAGAAATGTAAGATAACATTTAGGGATTCATCATTACATATGCAAAGCTAAACTTCCTTTGATGAAGTATAAGAATATCTCGACATAAGACAAATATGTTTACTTACATTGCTGGGAGAGAAGACAATCTTTGGTAATGTTTCCATCTTTCCATGAACTGCTGGGACAGCTTAATCTTCTTTGCATAAGAGCACAAAATGTTGTAAAGCAATGGGTTGTTTCGACAGATATTTAACAGCTGTGTTTGTCCGTCTTTGTCCATGCTCAAATATCCCAAAGCAATGGCTGAATAGCATCTTACCATCTCTGATATTGAGGTTAGCAGTTTAGATAATATTTGCACAGCACCAATGGAAACAAATGCTGCAGGGATGCCTGGTCTTGTGTGTGATAAACCAGCAATGAAATTGCAACAGGATGCTTGAAGTGATTCATCATCTTGCTGAAGAAGCCTGACCAACATATCGATGCCAGTTGCAGAAGTGTTTGCTTGGTCTTCATCAGGAAAAATCCGGAGAGAACCACAACTTGAAAAGCTGTTTTAGCCTGAATTTTCTTGTCGTGTGAGTGTAAAAATGGTTTAAACATGGCAAAGCAAAGATTGCCCGACGATATGATGCGTTTCTGGTTATGAGTGTTGTTAAAGCAAACAAGGCCAAAGCATAGGCAGTCGTCAACCTTACATTCATATCTTTATACAACATTAAAGATATCAATCTTGAGAATTCAAACATATGGACAATCATCGCATTTATTTCATGGTTACCAAGTGCAACACATGCTAATGTATATGCAGCTTCTGCTTGCATAACTGCTCTACTTGAGTCAATGAGGAACCTCACAAGAAATTTGATGCTACCATCTGAGGCTATTGATGTTTGGCCACTTGTGTGAGGTCTAAATCCTTTCTTTATGCAAAGTGCACGTATTGCTCGGAAAATACACAAGACTGTTGTCTCAGGAGTTGAATCCTTGCACAGAAGACGAACTGCAAATTGGGCAGCAGATGAAGAAACTATTTCATCCTGTTTACTGTTGATATCTTCTGCCAACACAACTAACGCCTCTGAAGCAATAAGATTCAATGATGCATTTGTTGTTTTTAGAAATTCTATTAAGATATTTAAGCCTATTTGTTTGGCTATAGTGTACCGACGAGCTGATTCAGATCCTGCAATATCCCATAAGGCTTCAGCAACAAGACGACGCACATCATCTTGGCGTGGACCCTCTCTCAATATCTTAATTAACACTTTGGTGCAACCTTTGTTTTGCAACAACTCCCGAGTAAGGATGCTAGCATTGTTTGCCAAAGATTTGATTGCAGAAACTATGGCCATTTGAAGTTCAAGAGACGAAACTTCAAAAGCACTTGAAGCAGTGTGGGAATACCATCTTCATTGATAAACAAGTTCTGGTTGTGTTCATTTTGTTCTACCAATAATGCCACTAATCTTGCAATCGATGTAAGAACCTTTCTTTTCTTATTTTCTCTCATCAACCTTACCAGTATCGAAAACCCAGCAAATATTGCAAACTGGTCTTGTGTCTTTGGCCATAATTGGCAAAATAAACACAATGCCTTGAAAACATCAAGTATAACAGAATTATCTGTTGCTTTCTTGTCCAGAATATTTATCAATGCAGCCATGCCCTTTTCTGAAATATATGCCGCAGACTTTGCATCATTTGTTGCTAATTGAAAAAGAAGTCTCACTACTTTTGAATAAACATCTCTACTTTCAGATCGAAGGTGTTTGATCAATATGTTGAGGAAAGCATCAGATCGCATGCCCTGGGGAGCCACATGATTGTTGGCAGTTATAAAATTTTCAAGAAATATCAAACAATTCAAGAGGACATCTTCATTACATGAGACTGAGCCAAGTACTTTAAGTACGCCATCTAAAACTTCAACATTTAAGGCTATGTTCAAACGCTCTGGAGTTATGAGACTGCACAAGGACTTCAAGGCGACTAATTGTAATTGTATTTTTTTGGAATTCTCAAGTGCACGAATTAAAGAATGAAACACTTTGACCTTAGGTGAATTGAGTTGCAAGAAGTATTCCATTACATGCAAATGTCCACCAATTGCACAAAGTTCTACTAATCCTAAACCATCAGCATTGACGCTAACCATATTTGCACCTAGTTCAATAAGTAAACAAACCGTTTCCAATTGACCATTACTACAAGCTAGAGAGCGGCGAATTTTTTTTACCATCTCTGGTTAATAGTTCCAGCTGTTCTTTATTTGAGCGCACAAAACGGGAAATACTTTTCACATATCCATTGAAAGCGGCATGGTGAATGTGCGACCAACCATGAGCGTCAAAGTCGTCGTTCATGTTGCAATTATGAAACTGATGTTCCAGTTTTCTCAATAATAAGCACCAACATTTTACATACCATGGACATGTTTAACGCGTCTTAAAAATATATACTCGCGCCAAGACTTTGGCAACAAACACTTCGGTGATGAAAGAGAAAATAGTACTAACACAACGTTGATGCGTTCATATTAAAACACAATATGTTCTCATAGCAACGTCAGGAAATAGCGAATAAATCTGGACATCAGTTCTGGATATTACTAATTGGTTATTAATTAATACAAATTGCCCCAAGAAAGTCATCCGTTTGGAATATTTGTCTGTCATTTTTGGACGACAGTCGTTGGTTAGAAATTTCAATGACGATTGACAAGCGTCTTTGGTGTTGCATTGCGTGATATGTTATCATTAATTTTCATCACTCTCCAAGTATTTACTAAATTACTATTTAGCTGAGTGTTATTATCCAGCTAAAGTTGATCAATGGTGATTTCTGTGAAGCCAACGAAAAAATTGTCCGGTAAAACTCCTTAAGTCGGCATTTGTGTCAAATTTTCGTCTTTAATTTTATGGTACAAAATTTCAATATGGCGGCACGTTTACTTAATTTTAACAAACACTTTCTTATTAAACTCCCAAGTTGTACAGTGCGATTTCTACCACAGAAGACACAAAGAAATGTAGGAGTACGATATTTTATTTTGTCAGCTGGCTGTTTTATTAAATATTTTCGTTTTTATATTCCAGTTTTCATGTATGCAATATAATGATAGAAGACATTTCAAACAATATAGCGATTATGTGGTTAGTCTCACACATTTCTCCTGCTCAAGATTCATGTCAACAATCGAAGACGTAAAAGGAGGTACCATCTCCTCCTTTTTGTTTAGTTTGATTACTGATTAAAGATGTGATCAAAGAAAGTATTATTTCTAGACCATGGCCTGTCAGATCTTGTTCCAAATGTTGTTCAGCAACTGTCTGAGCCCACATTATCGAGTCTCGGCTTGTGTGGAAGAACGCCAGTGGGATTGATACAACATGTATTGGAATTTATTCATGTTGACGTTGGACTCCTTGGTGGACAACAATAGTTGCAACAACACTATTGTTTCGTATTCTCATGATGCCATTGGTTGTTAAAGGCCAAGTGAACGCTGCCAGGCTAAATAATGTCACTCCCGAGTTAAATATTTTGACACAGCGTATGAGAGAAGTTGCTAACTCTCAAGATAGAATGAAGCAAGCAGAAACGTCACGCGAACTACAACAGTTTTTCCGAAAACACAAATGTCATCCTTTCAAGGTAGAATGGTAAAGTGAAGCAAATGTTTTCACTTAAAAACAATGAACTTATCAACTTTCAATTTTTTTAGTCTTTGATCATTCCACTTGTCCAAGGCCCGGTGTTTGTGTCATTTTTTCTTGGCCTAAGACGAATGGCAAACCTTCCTGTTGAATCAATGCAAACTGGTGGTGTACTGTGGTTTACAGATTTAACAATTTCAGATCCATATTTTCTATTACCAGTTCTTTGTAGTGCGTCAATGCTGCTTACAATTGAGGTGATTTTCATCATTACTTGCCATTGTTCGGGTAGTAAATTTCATGTTCTTATAACGAAATTTATCTTTATAGACAGGTGCTGAAGTTGGTGTTAGCAATCCACAATTTAAGAATATCAAACAAGTTTTCAGAGTTATGGCAATTCTTATGATTCCCATGACTGCAAAGTTTCCAGCTGTAAGAATTCACCATTGCTCAGTTAAAATGGCAGTTAGGAAATTTCTTTTCAGTTATGAATGTTTCTTCTAATTTTTTTTGAGGATTTGTGGGCTTTTTTCATTTCACAGGCAGTGTTTGTGTACTGGATGACTTCAAACCTGTTCTCCCTCTGCCAAATGTTATTTCTTCGCATACAAGCTGTGCGAAATTTTTTTGGAATACCCAAAATAGTTAAGCACAATCATTTGCACCCAAATTCTGGTGGATTTTTAAACAACTTTAAAGCTGGTAAGAATTTTTAATATTAGTACTCATAGCTAAAACCCCATAAATTAAAACTATTTTAAAGTGAAAATTATTATTTCGTTAATTCCCCATTCATTGATAGGTTATAAAAATGCCCAAAATCTTGCTGCCATTAAAGAAGGTGAGCAGAGGAGACAGAAATCTTTTGAATTGGCATCTCAACTACCATTGCAGCAAACATATGAAAGTAATCCATTGGCACAGAAAAATGAACATTTGTTTCAAACAGCAAGCAAACAAAGCCAAAAAAGACGGCGAAAAAGGAAAGACAAAGAGAATTTTTCAAATCCCATGTAAGGCTGTTGTATTCAGCACTTCAGAACTAGTGTAAATTGCCTGTCCAGTTCAAAAAATTCTCTTGTAAACCGCAACAGATCCTGCCAACACTAATTGAGGTTTACACATGGAAAATAAACATAAGCAAATCATCTTATTTTTGTTAAAAAACTCTATACTGTAAAAAGGAAAGTCATTCACTCTTTGCCTCAAATGAAAGCACGGATGGTGATAGTTTATCTCTGGAGAGTTTTCGTTTGTTTACAACCAATACCATAGGATTGTCCACACGTATGGAAAAAAAGTTGAAATTCTACAGGAATTCAAACAGGCAAAAGCAATGGAAAATTAATTTGATGAGATAACAACAAGATTTATCACTTTCTGACCTTGTAGTTTTCACTGAAATTTGTGGATTGGACATAAGGCTCTGGGATAGCAACAGTATCACCGACAATTAATCCACAGCCTGTGCGTAAGTTGTACAAGGTTACAGGAAAACATTCATTTTCTTTGTCAATAATGGCAAAAGTACTAGAAAGCAGATGTGTGTAAACTTGAAACAGATATGTCTGTAAGAATAAGATTGAGGGAAATTGAAGTAAAAACTTACAATGGAATTGGTTCATCATATGGAACAATTCCCACAACCTTTCCCACGATTACTTGATTTTCATTCAAACCACATTTCAACATAGGTAATGTGACATGCTTGAGTTTTATATTTTGACCAGAATTACTTGTATAACTTCCACCATTGTACGGACCTAAATCTGCATCTTTGAATCCATGCAACATTGACATTAGACGCTTCGGTTTCAGCTTGCCCTAGGAGGTAAATTCAAATGGTACAATTGCAATATCATAGATGACAAAAAAACATATTTTGTACCTTGTTTTGAATAAGATCAGTTATGTTTCCCAAATAATTAAGAAGTCTTTCTTGAAGTTTTATGGGATCCTCCCAGGTTGGATCATAAAGCAAAGCTTTTTTAAAACCTTCAATTGAAAGTTTATATTCTTCCTGGTACCTATAAACCTAAGGAAAGAAAACCCATGCTGTATGCATTCATATTCAAGTGGGTATTGATGGGAATACTTTGTCTTATTACCACAGCTCTATTGAAGTGCAAGTCAGGATTACATGCTGATACTGAATCCATTTCCTATAAATAAATTGAATAAAATATCTGTACATAGTCTATTTTAATCAAGAAACAATCTTCATGTGTTGCCACATTAGTGATTATGTTTGACTTACTGCACGAGTATAAGCCTTCAAACATTGCTTAAGCATGCCAGGAGACTGGGCACCACTGAAGAAGAGTGATAGATAGGCATTGCCAAGAATATCTACCTGGTATGAAAAATCAAAATTACTGAACTCAATCCACTAAATACATGACGGAATTTGTAATTTAACACAATGAAAATTCAAAGTTTGGGGTCTTCTGAGTTTGAAATCATTCAAAACAAATACCATTTGCTATGATGCTCTCGTCAACAAACCACTAGCTAAAGTATTCAGCTGAACTCATGCAAAAAGAATTTTTTTAAAAAAACAACCCTTACACCATGATACTCCATCAGCAACATCCATTGATACAGCTTCTTTTGCTTTATCAACACTCAAATTGATATTACTCACTTTTTCTTGGGAATCTACAAGAGAAATCTATATTTAATGACCATGACTACATACTTGGGCTAAACATTAGTAAACTACGTACCTTTTCCAAGTTGTCGCAAGACCATCGAGAGATTTCTTAATGACATTTTATTTTTGGACTGGTAAATAAATTAGTTTAAATGGTGGAAAAATTATCAGGGTTGACAGACTTGCTTCATCAACTTGTGCATCTTATCTATGTACTCTCGAAAGTTTGTAAACTCTGCACCAGAGATTCGAAATTTGCATGCATAAAAGCCTACATAGTTTTTTTTTCAAAATTGCACACTTGAAGTGCACAAAGTTTGAATCTTGGATGTACAGTTTACAAACCAAGATCTCGGGTGCACAGAACAAACTTTCTAATCTGGCAATATATACCAAAGAAAATACTTGATTATGTATTTAAAAAAAAATTATTTGGTCATCCATACATGCTCTAACGCCCCAGTGAAACAATTTTTTGCTGCCTCAACATCGCCCTTCTTCCACAAACACTCCCCAAGACAGTTCCAAGCATCGACAAGTTTAGGATTCAATTTCACTGCACGCGATAAAACTTCCTGCGCCTGGGGATCATAATTTGGCATCACATTTAATGTTTTCCCAAGTAGATAGAAATACTCACTTTTCTTGTCACACATTCCTACAGGATGAGATTTAAGCAAGTTATTTTTCTAAAACTACTTCTCTTTTAAAAATGACATTATTCAAATGCAATGTTAGAAAACTTATACGGTTTATATACCAAGCAATCGGTCTAAATTTTCCTTTACTGCAAGCATTTTTTCACCAACGTCTTTCGTCTTCTCTGACGCCTTTTCAACGCCATTTTTCTCAAAATAATGATCCCGAAAATCATACAGCTCGTCCACACATTTCTTGGAAAAAAGCAAAAGTTTGAGCAATTGAGAATTTCGCATTATAATCTGATCAATCTCTAACAAACTTTTGGTTACTTTCGACTTGCTACAGTAAAATTTTCAAAATATACAACAAAATCATATGCTTACTGAAGCTTCCTTTAAAGCAGCTTCATCAACAAATGACTGATCCTCATTCATTCTGCAAATATTCAAAGACAGTAAACATTGTTTACAATTTTCTCAACGAAAGTGGCCATCTTGCTGACAGGGGGGTGAGTCGCACACAAATCGACAGCGTCCGAATCAGTCAATATTACGAACGTTTGTTCATGCATCGAAACATTGAATTTTTGTTCGAAGTGGCACGGATATAATATCAACTCCAAAATTTCAATAGGAAGTAACACTTAACAAATTCGAAAAACAGCACGCACAAAACATTCCCAAAAGAGCACTAGGTGTTCACGTGTTACATTTGGATAATTTCAATAATTCAAGAAGTGCTCTACTTATACAGGGGGGTGCGTTCTTGAGTGTGATTTCTCAACGCGGAACGTCCAAGTACTTTGTCATGTTCGGAAGAGCAAATTCAAACAATGGTTGGCAATTGGCATTTATAAAGCGAGCTTTTAGGCTTTTTTCGTCATAGAACAAGAAAATATTTGAGGCATTCTGGAATTCTGCAGTTGCAATTACTTGGTAGTATATTGGATTCCAGGGTTAGGAAATTACTTGGTCATATAACTAAAGAGCATTTTCAAATCTTGAACAAGTTTGACGAAAGTAACATTAAACATATAATTTCAATATAAGGATGTTGATTAAATCCCGTGAGCTATATACTTGCAGGCTATCAACATGTACGCATTGCGTACCAGTTTTTTTTTAATTTATGCTGTTGTATTTAATAATGCAGTGTTTCGGGAGATATACCCAAAGGCCAAGAAATGAAAAAGAAACGTGAATATTCATGATAGCTACGACAAATGACTTCGCTTGGCCCCAAATGTGGACACTGTTTTTTTTTTCAAAACAAAACGAAATGGGAGGGAAAACCGGTGGTTCCGGTAAAAAACCCTCCAATAAAAGAAAAGATCGAAAACTTAGAAAAATTTCCTCAAATTTTTGTAGTTTTATGATTTTTCAGATTTCTGTAATTTTCAATGATCCCGATGATCTACTTTAACATGCAGCGTAGTCAGATCGTGCTTTACTGTCGTATAAAAAATTTAAATTTACAAAGCGACAAAAAATGGGCTGATTACCCTATTGACACAGCAAATATTTTGCTTTGGAACAAAAGAAACGCAAACTTTGGTAGAGAACAAAAAATTAAGGAGTGCTGAGTATTAACAAAAATTTTAATAAATAGACGAAAAACGAAAACGAATATCAGCCATATTCGAGTAAAATTTACTATTTTGCTTCGTTAAGACTTTCATTAATAGCTGGCTTTCACTCGTGCATTTTGTCAGAAAATTTAACAATTGTAAAAAATCAGTTTTGCGATTGAATTTGAAAATGCGCCATTATGAAAAACTAAAGTCGCAAGTTTGAATCTTTCAAAAAGGACGCTTGTTTCTTGGTGCTTCTGTCCGACTTGGTCGTCCATTCAATGTCCCAGTAAGTAGGTCTGCAGACATAGCTACTCTATAAAAAAAACACGTTATAAATGTCAGCATAATGAATGAACAAAAACAGACATTAAATATACTTAAAAGAACGAATGATTTTACCTGATATCCAAGCGTTGTGCTGGTCAGTCTGATACAGGCGACTTAGTCGGTGTCTTCCTCTCTTTTTTCACCGCGCAGTTTTTATGTGTATATCGTAAAAAATTATTGTAACAAATTTTTATCTTACAAATTCAATGAACCCTACTTGCAGCATTGCAATTTCCTTCATTAACGTTAAATAAAATTAGTAAAAGTAGCGAGTGAAAGCCAGCTATTTGTCTCACAGCAAGTGACATCTAATATTGACAATTTTTTTTAATTTGGGTGTTTTTCATGATTAAGATTCAAATTATAAAAATAGACCATCAGGATCGTTTTTAACTAACTCATGCAGTTATTCGTACAAGTTAATTTTAACACTTATCTACTCAACTTACAAACCACAAGACATGGATCGTGTTTTTCCATTCCCTTGTTTCCCATCTTCGTAGAATATCGTCTGTTTTAAAATCCAATTTCTTTAATGTTTATGATCATACGTGCATATGCCGTTATGCGACGTTCATTTTATACCAATCCCTACACGAAGTAACCAATAATCATTAACCAACAATGTAGATACTGATTTCATGGATCACCATTTCTATAGATCACAATTTTCAAGGCACTCTTATGGAAACTTCAAGCGAAGGAAAAGGGATCACTTCAATACCCCAGTTATATCATCACTCAAAGAATGCTTAGTGTAGAGTTGATCTTCTGCGAGTATCAGCTGACCACCTTTAGGTGGGCTCATATAACAATGGGGCCCATCATCATTATATGAACATACAACTGACATCCACAAAGAATCGAAACTACAAATAAACATTCTTGGCCATGAATCATCATGACACATGAGTAATGACAAACTAGTAAGAGTAATTGAAGTGAATGACATAGGTGGTAAAGGAACTTTCAAAACTCCATCCATGTGGGATCTACAATATAAGAAAATATGAGATTTCATTATGAATAACTTTGCATACGACGTTTAGTTGGCGTTTTTAAATTCTTAATCAGAGAATGAGAAAATTGTAATATGTTTTCTGTTTGACTATCTAAATGGTAGAACGTTCACCTTCATTGCAAGAACAGCTTTAGCCAGTTGAGTTTGAACGATGTAACAAATTTCACAAGATCCAAAGTCTTAACATCGTGATGAAATGAAAGCATTTTACAGTGAAAGCTTTCATATTACGAGAACTACAGTAAGATTGTTCCATGTAACTCATACTTCAGTAATTGGTCAGTAAAAAGATAGAATTTGCCTTTCTTTCTACAACGTTAAAGTGACTAATTTTCTGTTGAAGTGAAAACACACGAATTTAAACATGTGAACATTTCTTTAATTGACGTCATGACTAAAGGTTTTTCTGATGATTGGCTCCTTGGGAGCATGTCCTCTTTCACAAAGACAATAAGTATTCCTTCAATACGTTTGAATAAAAAAATCATTGGAATCTTTAGATTTCTTATCGTTTTAATGTCGTTATGGAAAGTAACGATGAATGATGTTGTAGGTTAAGATTTATGATAATGAATTTAGAAACTAGACTTTAATTTTGTCCAAATATTCGTTGAATTTTGCCGTCATGCTTGCTAAGTTAAGGTTAGGAGAGGGTTTTAGGTCGTTCTGGTTGACGTCACCAACATCTTAATGCCCAAAGTCATAATATTTGCGTTATTTAATTGGCTGAATAAATTTAATTAATTTATGATTTGTGTAATATCACAGAAAAATGGTCAACAGTATATGCATTTTACGTATACTAATGAAGGGAGAGCATAATTCTTTTGTTTGGCAGCAATACGTTTTGTTTTTAAAAATTAGATTTGATAGATATCTGGTAATTTGTTCAAGTACGAACAATGGATATTAAACAATCATGTGGAACAAATACATATAATGACATGCTTAACACCATGTATACAGATACCATTCACTTCAAGTGCTGCAAGATATAAACCACGAGGCGTCATGGAAAGCAGATGTCGTTCATAAGATAGCACGCGGAGAGGAGAAAGCAAGTCAAGTGAGTTTGGAAACAACTGTCAACGAAACCTTCATTCGAACTTTGATACCTATCAACGCAGAGCTGCAACGACGTCAATCATAACTAGTCTAAGGTAGGCCTCGTAATATGAAAGCTTTCTCTGTAGCATGCTTTGTTCACGATGTTAAACCTTTGATCGTGTTAGACTTGTTACATCGTTCAAACTCCTCTCACTAAAGCTATTCGTGCAATGAAGGTGAACGTTCTACCATTTGGATAGTCAAACAGAAAACATATTACAATTTGCTCATTCTCAATATATCTGATTAAGAATTTAAAACGCAAACTAACGTCATATGCAGAGTTATTCATAATGAAATCTCATACATGTGTTTGATATTTTCTTATATTGTAGATCGCACATGGATGGAGTTGTGAAAGTCCCTTTACCACCTGTGTCATTCACTTCAATTACTCTTACTAGTTTGTCATTACTCACGTGTCATGGTGATTCATGGCCAAGAATGCTCATTTGCAGTTTCGATTCTTTGTGGATGTCAGCTGTTTGTTCATATAATGATGATGGGCCCCATTGTTATATGAGCCCACCTAAAGGTGGTCAGCTGATACTCGCAGAAGATCAACTCTACACTAAGCATTCTTTGAGTGATGATATAACTGGGGTATTGAAGTGATCCCTTTTCCTTCGCTTGAAGTTTCCATAAGAGTGCCTTGAAAATTGTGATCTATAGAAATGGTGATCCATGAAATCAGTATCTACATTGTTGGTTAATGATATTGGTTACTTCGTGTAGGGATTGGTATAAAATGAACGTCGCATAACGGCATATGCACGTATGATCATAAACATTAAAGAAATTGGATTTTAAAAACAGACGTTATTCTACGAAAAATGGGAAACAAGGAAATGGAAAAACACGATTCATGTCTTGTGGTTTGTAAGTTGAGTAGATCAGTGTTAAAATTAACTCGCATGAATAACTGCATGAGTTAGTTAAAAACGATCCTGATGGTCTATTTTTATAATTTGAATCTTAATCATGAAAAACACCCAAATTAAAAAAAATTGTCAATATTAGATGTCACTTGCTGTGAGACAAATAGCTGGCTTTCACTCGCTACTTTTACTAATTTTATTTAACGTTAATTAAGGAAATTGCAATGCTGCAAGTAGGGTTCATTGAATTTGTAAGATAAAAATTTGTTACAATAATTTTTTACGATTTACACATAAAAACTGCGCGGTTAAAAAAAAAGAGGAAGAGACCGACTAAGTCGCCTGGATCAGACTGACCAGCACAACGCTTGGATATCAGGTATAAAACATTCGTTCTTTTAAATATATTTAATGTCTGTTTTTGTTCATTCATTATGCTGACATTTATAACATGTTTTTTTATAGAGTAGCTATGTCTGTAGGCCTACTTACTGGGACAATGAATGGACGACCAAGTCGTACAGAAGCACCAAGAAACAAGCGTCCTTTTTGAAAGATTCAAACTTGCGACTTTAGTTTTTCATAATGGCGCATTTTCAAATTCAATCGTAAAACTAATTTTTTACAATTGTTAAATTTTCTGACAAAATGCACGAGTGAAAGCCAGTTATTAATGAAAGTCTTAACGAAGCAACATAGAAAATTTTACTCGAATATGGCTGATATTCGTTTTCGTTTTTCGTCTATTTATTAAAATTTTTGTTAATACTCAGCACTCCTTAATTTTTTGTTCTCTACCAAAGTTTGCGTTTCTTTTGTTCCAAAGCAAAATATTTGCTGTGTCAATAGGATAATCAGCCCATTTTTTGTCGCTCTGTAAATTTACATTTTTTATACGACAGTAACGCACGATCTGACTACACTGCATGTTAAAGTAGATCATCGGGATCATTGAAAACAACAAAAATATGAAAAATCCTAAAACTACAAAAATTTGAGGAAATTTTTCTAAGTTTTCGATCTTTTCTTTCATTGGAGGGTTTTTTACCAGATCCACCGGTTTTCCCTCCCATTTCGTTTTGTTTTGAAAAAAAAATAGTGTCCACATTTGGGGCCAAGCGAAGTCATTTGTCGTAGCTATCATGAATATTCACGTTTCTTTTTCATTTCTTGGTCTTCGGGTATATCTCCCGAAACACTGCATTTATTAAATACATCATAAATTTTTAAAAAACTGGTACGCAATGCGTACATGTTGATAGTCTGCAAGTATATAGCTCACGTGATTTAATCAACATAAATTTTAAAAAACTTGACACGCAATGAGTACACGTTAAAAAAAATAATAAATTGCATAAATTTAAAAACTTGACACGCAATAAACTTTAAAAAACTTGACACGCGATGAGTACACGTTGATAGCCTGCAAGTATATAGCTACAGAATGAAGTACATTTAATCAACATAGTTATAATAAGATTTTATGTTTAAAATTATTTACGTCAAAGTTGTTCAAGATTTGAAAATGCTGTTTAGTTATATGACCAAATAATTTCCTAACCCTGGATTCCAATATACTACCAAGTAATTGCAACTGCTGGAATCTGGTACCATACAATTGTTGAAGATCGAAGGTGCAGAATGCCAGCCAGAATTCCAATCGTACACCGCAGAAAGTCATTCGAATGCTTGATGCATCTCCGCAAAATAACAACTAGCACGTAACGTTAGACCACTTGACAAAATTAATTAAATCTCTTGGAAGTAACGTCATTGCATTTCTTTAGGTAGCTACTGGAGACAGGGTGGTTGTAACACAAATGACGTTAAGATGCCGATGCTCAACAGAAATAAATTAGCATAAATTATCTTCACATTGGCTATGCAATTTTCACCCAACATGGCGACTGATGAAAATCGTTGAACTCATCGATGGCAACACTCTATTGTAAGCTCGGAGTATTAAACTGCTAGCAATTGTGATATAAACTGTATACTTATTGTTTCGTCATTGTTAAATTAAGCAGATAATGTACTGGCGTTAGTTTATGTCGACTTGTGTTCGTGTGCTTCTATTTGTGTTTGTGTGCTTCTATTTGTGTTCGTGTGCTTCTATTTGTGTGATGGAATGATGACATCAGCCATCAAGAATTGCAGTCTTTGGAAATAATTTGACGCAAAATATTAGCATTACCTATAGTTATATAAATTACCAAATTTCACATGCTTGTAAAAATGTTTATATTGCAATCAATGGTAATTAAAGGTTACAGTTTCAACTGTTTAGTACCAACTATTCTCGGCAAACAGGAAATAAATTATCCTGAACTTGAGAAATTATGCTCAATTGGTGGTCTTGGTCACAGGTTTGTGATATAAATCAGTACATTTATCATACATATATTTACATATTCTGTTTATGTTAACTGATTACTAATAAACAATTGTTTATTTGTTGTGTAGATTGCAAGATTCAACTGACGAAGCTCATGAAGAATTCATGAAAAACTACTCTAGAATCCTGAAAGCAGAAGAAAAGTTACCAAAAGTTAAATTTGGGCCACAGTAAGTTGTAAAAGTATTCAAACTCTCTGTTATTATTCACAGCGCACTTTTTATATTCCATATTTTTAATAGAAATCGTATTAAAAGTTCCCAAAATGGAGTAGAAATTGGTACATCACTTATGTTGTGTGATAAAAAAAGTAAAAAATGCTATCAAACCATCTTAATCAGTACTTTGCTATTATTGCTACAGATTATTTTTACAATTTTCCAGATCATCATCAAACTCATCTCTGTAATGATCGTGAATTGTCAGTTATTAATCACAATATCAGCGATCATCTTCGTTTACTCCATAAACCTCGTCCAACATTGAACTGTGTGCAAAACTTTCAGACACTCTCATTGAAGAAATTGTTGCGAAAACTGTAAATATTTTTTTTTGCTTGCTCTGCCCTAAAAACAAACTTGATCTTGAAAGAGTGGTTGGAAACAAAGAACAAGTCGTTATTTTAATTCTTGTAGACCTTTTGAAAGAACACGTATTGAAAAAGACGCCATATATCAACACTTGCAACGCTTTACACATTTAAAGTCGAAGATCCCGTTAAAAATCTTACGTGAACTCTCAGCTGTAATTCAACTAGAGAAATGGGATGGTCCCAATTATACAGGTATCATATCTACCTTTATTCCTTTGCCCTTTGTGTAATAATTAACGTTTTCTGTTTATTAGTTTTCTGTGGTCGGGATCTCTTCCTAATTCTCAAAGGAAGCGTTCGAATGAATCATGAAATTATAAAGCCGGATAATGAAAACATGATCGACTCTTCGACGGTATTGGACACATTTACTTCGTCTTTAATGCTTGATTTAACTTATTTACTTTTCTGCACTTTCATTCACCTATGCGCGATCGATTAGCTAAAAGCTGGTCGTTGTTTTGGAAATATAACAGCCTCGGATTCTGATGAAATGAACGCTATGAACGAGAAGAGCGACAACGGGTATTTTTGATATATTTGTGTTTTAAATACGTGGTTACTCTATAATTTTTGCATACATAGGACAGTTAATACACATTCAAAAAACGCAAAGTCATGAACGTCCAGCCATATGTTCATTATATTCTAGATATCGTAACATGTTTGTAAATGATGATCGTCCAGGTTAATAAAGTCCTGAGAAGGACTGTTTTTGTTGTTGTTGACTGACGTTTCGACAACCTTAGCGGTAGTCATCTTCAGAGTCAAAAAACCTGGACGATCATCATTTACAAACATGTAACGATACTCCCGGGTTCAAACCATTTACTTTAAGATATCGTAACGTTAACAATACATCTCTCCCAGTCTAATATAGAATTTACAAATCCTACCAAACAAGAAAGAGAAAGAATTGATTTTGGTCTAATGCTGCTCTTGGATAATATAAGTCTATGTTTTCTTATGTAGTGCTTTCACTGCAACGACTTTAGAAAGATGTGAACTAGTGAAAATATCTTCACAAGATTATCATAAAATGAAACAGGTACAAAAACGATACGTTTTGGACAGAGATCATTGTTCGTCTTAGAGTTTCTAAAATTTTTGTTACATATGTCTGTTTGTTTTTCAGTTGGTCGACAGTAGAATAAGAAAACAAAACTTGGATGTAATACGGTCATGTCGATTGTTTGAAAATTGTTCAAAACTCGCTTTGGGAAAAATTGCGCAACTTTTGCGTTGGAAGTCTTTTCTTCCTGATACAGGTGAGAAGGAAAACCATCTCGTCGAAAATCTAAATTTCTATGAAGTAATAAATTGGATGTAAAATATTCAACCACGATTTCTCACATGTATTTTTTAGTTCTTGCAATTGAAGGTGACTCGTGTCCATTTATTGGACTTATTAGTAAAGGAAGTTGCTATCTTCGAAAAGCCGTGAATGTTTGTAAAAGCAATGGAAACAGAACGATTGTATGTCGATAAATGAATTTAGAAAATCATTCATGAGTTATAAAGTTGAAATCAATGCTTGGTATTTTGGTCACGTGTGTTCAAACGTAGCTCGCTGCTCTCCTTATAAGACTGACGAGTTTATGTTTTAGTAAGGTAGAAGAAACCCTTGTTTCGCAATGTTGACAAAAAAAAATTCAATTGCTATTTTACCAGTTGAACGTGTGCGCCATTCGTAAATACATACATCGTATTTGTATATGTAATAGCATAGTTTCCAGTGCAACTTGGGAAAAACATGCACAAATGCGCGAGTTTTTCAAAGACTGAGAGAAATTTTTCATGTATATTTTTCGACTTAAAAAATATTCAATAATTTAGGATCGCAGACAAAAACAATTAACAATTGGTTATCTCGGCGTTGGTGACTCCTTTGGTGAATGCAGTGTGGTACATAAACTACCAATATCTTACACAGTTGTAACCTCATCTCATGTTAATCTAGCAGTTATATCCCTTCATGATTACAACGGTATGCTGTGAATGAAAAGAGAATTTCATGAACGTCTTCAAAACTCTTTTTCCTTGCAGATGTTGATGAAGTGACGAAAGGTCTTTTATTACAATGCTACGACGCCAAAAAGAGGATGTTTGAAACCAAAGTAAGAGAGAAAAGGCGCTCGAGGGCATGGTGAAACTGTGTGAAGATTTTTTAAAGGTTTTTAGAGGTTAAAAGCATTTAAATTACTTTTCATCAGACGTTGACGGATGTAAATATTGAAGAAGAGTATATTCGACAACAAAAGCAAAGAGAATGGGCAAAGTTTAAGGTGAGTGAGGCTAGAGTAATCTTAATGTATCCGAATAGTCAATTGAAAAGTACATGTATTTTCCTCTTAGAATGATGTCGTTGAAAAAGTGATCTTCCATCGTTATATCACCCCGGGATACGGGAAATGGGGTAGAAATCCCACTCCAAAAGATGTCATGAATTTGTAACGAAAGCAAACTTAATGAATCCATCCGTAGTTATTGATATTGCTTATTTTTTGCGGGATGGGGGATTAAGGTAAATAAATCAATGTCGTACGGATATTCTGTATGTATAGAAAATAATTAAATATACATTTTACATGCATTATTATTATACAATTAATAAAAATAATCAAATGTATAATATGTAATATGCATAAGAAACAGCACAGTTTATTTCCAAGCCATATGACAAGAAACTGCTATGGCATAAATTAACTAAAACTGCATAAATTGACTAAACTATCTCGCTTTGAGTGTCTTCAACAACTTCGGCATTTTCATCAATGCCAAATTTATTAATCATTTGTATGTGTAGGTGTGTTTATGTATTGTTTATTGTGCATAATACCATGGTTGCCAATTTGTATTGTTTTAGAATTCATCTATTCAAATACAAAAGTCGCATTACCAGTAGTTTAGAGTTTGTATGCCCTCTGTGCTGGTAATGTTTCCTTGCAATCTCGAATTTTGAGGCGAAACAATAAAAATCACCACAGAGTATTCCTAACAACACAGAAAACACTTAATTTGCACCATCGTTGACAGCGTGTGAAGCACTGACTAAAATATTTCGACAATCATAGTAATACAAATTAAGACCCTGTAGCTATAAAAAAAAGTGTGATTGAATTTTTTCGAAAGCCGCAGGAGGTTTGGGGAAAGCCGAGGGGACTTTAACTCGACTTCCTTCGGCTTTCGAGTACATTTAAACACACTACGAGAATAATCACAAGGTTAAATAGTTGAAATGACTTGAATGGTTTACAAGGAAGAGGAGTGGAAGGTTAATTTCTCAAATGTTGTTAGATAAGGTCGTTATTGTTTGTAGTTGTTGGTTATAGCGCTGTACTACGAGAATAATTTCACTACGCAGACAGAATCCCCTTTGTAGTGGTTCTGAATAAATATAATTCAATGATATTAATTGATAAGTTGACGAATATACTTGTTTTTTATGCTTATTTTGCAAAACGGAAAACAATAAAATATAAAACTTATAATTAAAGGCACAGCACATTCTTCTTATGTTTTTATGGTATATATTGTTGTTTTACTCATTCATTCATTAATGTAACCTTGAAATGTAAAAAGCAAACAAACTTTGTATTGAACGTGGGAAGTTTGGCTGTGTGAGTACCTTCATTGAGTTACTTTCCTACTCAGACATAATACAGTAAAGATAAAGTTACTTATAAAGCGCACTTGTTCCCAGTCAGCTTTGTTTCCAAACTCGTGAACACCATGGCCGCAAAAAAATACATAAAAATATATAAAAATACATCAAAATACGAAACGTTAAATTTTAGATATATTTCTATTCAGTAATTTTGCGATGCAGTCAAGTATTGATAAAGTTCGGCATAGCTTTAGAAACGTACTAAACAAAACACAAATGATTAATATTACACCTAGCACAATAATTCAGTTGCTTAGAGTCCTCTTAAGGGTACAATACCGGCTATATATGAAGAGCATACCATTCTACAGTCAGTGTTTTCGTGTAGTCACTATGCAATTGAGCAAATATTTTCCATTGTGAAACAGATTTGTGCATAAGTAGACAAGATTTTTACGATTCACGTTTACGGTGCACAAAAGGGAGTCCCGAATATCATTGATGGTGTAAGTATGTCAAGACTTTGCAGGAATTTTCTCGAAGTGCGAAAAAAAAATCCAACCCTGAACTTATTTTATTTCAGGTCGTAACGATCAACAAGAAGCAAAAATTAAAAGATTTACCTCCAGTAGAGGGTCTTTTGTCTTACAGTAAAGACGTCAAGAAACTTTATCTTTCCAATGGACAAAAATGGAACGGAATAATAACGGACGACCAAGTTACAAAAATTGTAATGAAAAGTTCATTTGTTTTCACTTCTTTCGTGCACGTTGACATTGAAAAATAAGTGAAAATTTTTTAGATCGAATTTAGTCATATTTGAAATGATTTGTGACATGTTTTTCTCTCTTACACTTTAGGACAAATTACTTTCAAATAGAATAAATGAGGACGAAAAGATAATGTTCCGTATGTTCAGCGGTAAGTTTTTGTATAGCAGAGGTCGACATTATACAGAGCTTAGAGAAAATAAGGAAAATGTATGTTTTACATTTTATCTCCATCATAGAGCTTAAGCAAAGGACAAGTGCATTTGAGGCCATGGTTTCGGATTTAGAGGAAAACCTGGAAACGAGTATGTAATATCGATTCAAACCATCGAAACTTTAATTTAATTGATTCAACTTATGTCATAGGTAGTGAGAAAAATTTTCCCAAATCATGTAAGGATATCAAAATTAGCAGTCCTAACTCAACGTCTGGAGTGTATTGGATAAAACCCATACAGCTCGCGACCATAATGCATTTCGAGTTTATTGTGATATGATCACTGAAGGAGGCGGTTGGACGTTAGTTTATAGCTACAGATTCACGAACTTCACGAATTTTTTCTCCATAACAAATGCTGTGACCCCTCGTCCAAACTGGTCCGTTAAGGATGCTAGCGTACCAGTGTCCACATCACCACCTTTAAACGAGTGGTCTCCGGGTGCAATTGATTACAACTTGTGGCATGAAATTGGAAATGATTTTATGGTGAAGTCAACTATCAAGGATTTGATTGTTTGAAAGCCAATAGGAGGTGAACTATAATAAGCTCCAAGAACAATTGTTTGACAAATCTAATGACATAACATTTTTGATTTTTATCCAGGCAGTCTGGTCGTTCCACGCAACGGTTATATCAGTTGTAAGAATATCAAAAATGTTGCTACAAAATGTACTGGAATCGTCCCAATCAAAATAGCATGGCATAAATATGGTCCGTTCTTGTCAGCCTCTTCGGTGTTTTACGATTTTGAACATAACTCGCTGCATGATTGGCCAGCACATGATATAACTCGCAGCATGATTGGCCAGCACATGATATAACTCGCAGCATGATTGGCCAGCGCATGATCCATGTGGGAAGCGTAGACCGGATCACAAGAAGGGAGTGATCACTCCAGGTGGAGCAATTTTCGTCCGCTAGCTGCAGATCATTTATTATAGAAAAGTATTTAAATAACAATTTGTCGAACTGTAACTTATTTGAGTCACGTTCTTATTTTATAACGGTATCCTACATACATTCGCAATACTGTATTTAGGTATAATCCATTTTTTTTGAATTTCGTGCTTTTATCATCGTTGAAATTTAACATAATTGCAAACGGTCGAAGAATTTCAATACAAAGAAAGTCATGGGTTTAATTTTTTGATGTTATTTTTCTCCTTGAATATAGCGTGGTGTGGTCTCTGCTGCGGATGGTTCTAATTCCAAGTAATTCAAGGCTCAATTACAATAGTCCCAACCGGCCCCCAAAAAACTGGTTGTCGTTCAAATACTGTTCCCAATAATGATCCCAGTGGTCCCGTTCATTTTAACCTATTCGTTTTCATAGTCAGAACCTCAGAGGGGTCCGGGGGGGCGTGTTTTAAAAATTGCCTGTTCGCGGGCAATTTTTAGAAGACTTGTTCAAAAATTGAGGCTATTTTCAAATTCTTCACATCCTTCATCTTCATGACAAAATTTTAAAAAGTTAGGGGAAAGGCAAAGCCTTTAATTTTATGACTATTTTCGTTTGAAATGTATGATCTTTATGCAATCTTCAAACAAGCACATCCACCATCTGTCATCGAGCATTGCTTGGTTTGTAACTTCTATTCGTTTAACGAAAGAAATCTCGTGGTTGCTGGCACATCTTTGCTAAGGATTTACCGATTGGCAGTTGATGAGGTGACTTGTACCATCAATGAAAATAGTTTGCCTTTCTAAAAGCAGGGAAATTATTGTTGTGAATGTACATTTGTGTGAACAAGTGAATATGGTTAGCTTTTGACAAAGTTAGACGACATAAAGAAACTTGGATAAGTCTTCAAACTACAAAGTAGAGCTGATTTTAAATAAAATAATCCCCGAGCATATGAATGGATCAATCAGCATAGGTCATTTCACACAGATTAATAACAAAATGTGCATTCAATATAAACGACAAGTTTTTTTAGAATAGACATGTTTCACCATCTCATGAAGCCTCTTCAGTATAAGTGATTAATTACATAAATAATGCAAAGTTTGTATAAAAATAATACAATGCATAAATTATGGCAATAATAAGAAAATGAGATAAATAAATGGGGAGCATTTTACAAACTAAATATTGTGTTGAACATTGTGGTCAGGATTAGTTTTGTTAATGTGGAGTGCTTCTTTCATTTTAATGGAGAATGAGGTGTCTGCAGTGTCGATGATTTTGAGGCTAGTCTATCATAAAAAAAACTTGTTGTCTATATTAAATGCACATTAGCAATAGTGCTTCTATGAAATTATTAATAACAAAATGTTGTAATTCTCTTAAGGATGAAGTGCATCAGAAGTCAGAGGACACAGAAGGTAATTTTTAATCTAATCTATCAGTTTTATTTAATATTTCTTCAGCTATTGATTAACTATTTTGGTATTTACGTTGTATCGTGTCATGTATTCAAGGGGACACTTCCACAACAAAAAAGCTGGAAATGGTTGGACAATTTTCCCTTTTTGGTGCTGTGAAGTCTATAAAATCAGTGAAATTGTCGAGAAATGATAGAGACTCGCTGCTTCTCAGTTTTGATGATGCCAAGGTATGCATAATGTGATGGCAGTCTTATCAGATAGTGTGTTACAAGTTTATACAGATTTTGTTTTTAAATCCAGCTTGCCATTATTGAGTATGATCCATGTATGCATGATCTGAAAACAACATCCCTTCATTATTTTGAAGAAGATGAACTTAAGGTAACGAATCTGTATTTACACCAACTTGTTTTCATTGCATTTAGTAGCAATCAATGGTATTTCATACAAACAATATCATAAAAACATTTTGTATGGGATAGAAATGTAATTGCTCTTTTGTAATTCCTATTTAACTTTAATTACTTTTGTGTATGGTACATGCCAGTGCGTACAAACATATTTCTCAAGATGAGACTGATTATCAACATATCATTTACATTCAGCAGTCAAATTAGTCTTAATGTAATCATAATCAAATGCTTATAATCAACATACACCATCTTGGCTGCCTTTTCTCTGGGGAACAAAGCAGTTGGCAAGTTTATGACAGGGTTACGCTGTTGCAAACACACACACTCCATGGTGGCTGTCATGAAAATATATTAGTCTGTCACATATCATTCAGTGTAAATCTTGGGAAAGACCACAAATTGACATTTTTTCATAGAGGAAGAAATATTTCAAATGACCCCTCCCCCCCAATCATTCATGTTTTGCTACCAGTCCAAGTGCTGGTAACCATAGTGATCACCTCATTTGTATCTATGGTAACAGGTGCATATGTATTGATTCATACAGGGAGGAATGAAGTTTCATTTTAATGATCCCACAGTTCGTGTTGATCCTGCAAACCGTTGTGCGGCCATGTGGATTTATAGTCATTGGTTGGTGGTGTTGCCATTTAAACAAGATGGCATTTATGATGAACACGAGCCAAATCAATCTGTGGGGTATGTTACTTTATTTTGTAAAATATTTATTTCTATTGTGTTGGTCAATGGAGATCAGTGTTTATGAAGATTTCAATCAAATTTACTACAGAAAACCTTAAACTTTAGTTAGCATCATGCATATTTGTGTTGCTAAAAGAAGATTTACTAAATTATATACATTCCTATGTAGTACGCTTACTCCCCCCCTTCTCCTCCTCTTAAATACACAATTCCAAAGCCATCATCAGAGAATATATAATATATAAATCCTAACACGGTTTTTAATATGCACATGAAAAACATGTGACTTGGACGAGATTTGAACTCGCACCTGCGGGATACTAGTCCGCCGCTCTACCTGTTGAGCTACCAAACCCACAGGGATTGGAGACGAGTCAAATCTCTTTTAAACTGCGTATGGACGAGACATTCTCGCCACTATAGCAGTTTGCTGGATGGCACTGTGTTTCGACTTTATTCCAAAGCCATCATCAGAGAATATATATAATATATTAATCCTAATATATTATATATTCTAACAGCTCCTCTCAAACACACCAATGTAACTATTGATTAACCCCCCCCCGAACATCTTCTTAAATAAACAAATGATTTTATTTATTATTGTTTAGAAATAAAGGTCAGGTGTTGCCTAGTTATACTATAAACATGCGAGAGATAAATATGCGATTAAACAACGTCATCGACATTCAGTTCCTTCATGGATATTTTGAGCCCACGTTGCTCATATTATACGAACCTCTTAAGACTTGGCCAGGGTTAGTACTAACATGGCGACCTATATGCTTATATTCTGTGATAATGACGCTATGTTCATTACGTAAAATGCGTCTTGTTTACAGGCGACTTGCTGTTCGTCAAGATACCTGTGCAATGCTGGCGATCTCGTTGAACCTTTCCGAAAAGGTCAATCCTATTATTTGGTCAGTGGAACATCTTCCTTTTGACTGCTGTCAAGTTTTACCAATCCCAAAACCTATTGGTAAGTTTTATTGCTTCTTTTCTCTGTTGGTGAAATTAGTAGCTTTGCAATTTGCGTCCAATCAGTGGCGTGTATATAAGGGTTCAAGATGGTGGGGTTTATTTCTCCGATTGGCCAAAGGACTGCGCTGTGAAAAGATGAATTGCGGTGGAAAATTAAGGGTGGTGATATACATCGGACCACCATTGTTACTATCAAATAATACAAATTTCACCTCTCTAATGAAGGAAGTCGCTATTAAGGGCTGTGTGACCATATATGAATAGCTTATCATCAAAAATGCGTTGATCCGTGCAGAATGCCCCCCCTGTCCTGAATGTTCGAATTATTTTAAGCAGTTGGGGCTGTCTTAGCTCACCAGAGCGGACTTGGTAATAAGTAAGGATCTCTAGGTTTTCCCCGCCCCCTGTCCCGAATGTTCGAATTATTTGAAGCAGTTGGGCTGTCTTAGCTCACCAGAGCGGACTTGGTAATAAGTAAGGATCTCTAGGTTTTCCCCGCCCCCTGTCCCGAATGTTCGAATTATTTGAAGCAGATGGGGCTGTCTTAGCTCACCAGAGCGGACCTTGTAATAAGTAAGGGTCTCTTCCCAGCCCTCCCCCCCCCCAAGGACCCCTATAAAGGCTCAGAGCTTCGGTGTTCGACATTGTGCCCCATTTGCTAATATAGATTGGCTTGTGTTTTGCGTATATAAGTTCAATAGTTCTATGATTATTTAGGTGGAATACTTCTCTTTGCTACAAACTCTTTGCTTTACCTCAATCAAAGCGTTCCCGCCTATGGCGTTTCTCTCAACTCGATTGCAAAGAAATCCTCCTCTTTTCCTTTAAGTAAGTTTGATATTGTTTCGAATGTCTAAATTATTTTATTGGCAGTGTGTACAGGTGTTCAGGCACCGCTGTCGTAGCTATTTAACCCGTTTGTTTAGTTCTGTTATCATAATTTCGTAGAAGCACTATCGCTAATGTGCATTCAATATAAACGACGAGTTTTTTGAATATAGACATGTTGTAGTCCTGGGGCCTGTTGCACGAAGCCTGGATAGCGAATTTTTCTGAACGTTCATAAAATCTCTTATGAGAGAATAATGTACGATTTGAACTGTGCAATCGCTGAAATAAAATAAAGTTTCTAAGATTACACAAATTCTTTGTCGTAAGAAAAATATAAACACCTTTTTTACAAGTTTGAAATTTTCGCTATCCAGGCTTCGTGCAACCTGCCCCTGTTATATTAATTTTACTTTGCTCACTTACTGTGAAAACTATAGATTTCTAAAGAAATTAATGATTGTAATCTTCTGGAATTTACGTAGTAGCACGACTAAAACTTGCGGGTTAGCTACATCACTGAGGCACTATCAACCAATCTGATACAATCTAAACTGATTCATAAATAAGATTGTACTCATAAGAAAGTCTACGTGCAGTAAATGTTCTACCGACAAAATACGAATACGTTGCATATTTTTTAAATGTGGCGGTTATGTTTGACGCTTTTTGTTTTCCCTGTTCGCTTTTAAAATATATATTTTTGTTGAATTTCATATTGATAAGCAACATGTTGAATGTATTATTTCTGCCATCCATATTCTTTTATAACTAGGAGAGCAAGAGAATATTACAATTACACTTGACGATTCGTGTGGTAGCTTTATAGCAAACGATCGAGTTGTGATCTCCTTGAAAGGCGGTGAAATGTACAGTAAAGACTTTGTATGGTCGTGAGTTGTCATTAGGGAGTTTTAGCGGAGCCTACGAGTACGACTACGAGTACGATTTACGTCATTTTGGCGCGAAAACATTGTTGCGACAACAAAAACACGTAGCCGTCATCAATCTGAGTACGATGTTTTGTAAAAAATTCGTAGTCGCGACTACGATGTCTTTTTAAGCAAAGAAAGTAGGTATATGTCTTCATTCTGTAAGAAATTAGTTTACAGTACTATTTTGTACGTTTGTACGTAGTTTACGTACTCAAAGTGAAAGGTAAACAAACAATAAAATAGTACAAATATATCGTACATAAAACTTAAAATAGTGAAGATTTTTCAGTCTAAAGAGTCCTATATTCTTGTAAAACCAGTATCATCGATTCTTTGATATCATTATTGAAAACTAGAGCCGTAGCTGCTTCGCAAACGTCGGTGTTTTACACAATAAAAAGGCTCGTTCTGTTGTTTACAACTAAAGCAAAATTTTGACCAAGCGACAACGACAACAAACCTCCTCGTGCCATTCTCTTACACGGTCAAATTTCGTACTCGTAGTCGTAGTCGTACTCTTGCTAAAACTCCCTATTGTGGTGAAAACATGCAAAAGTGGATGTTTTTTTTTTTAGTTATGTTTTGACTTTGATAACAGACGGCATTAAAAGTGTTCGTGGTTTTAACTTCGATAAAGCCGCGTCAAGCGTACAGACATCGTGCGTAAGCAGGAAATGTGGAATGTCAAATTGATATCACAGTAGAAGGCAGCGCAATTTTTTCGACACAAAACATGAACGTTATTTTTTTTGTTTAGTTGTGTTATTGTGAGGAAGGCTATCTCTTTCTTGGCTCACGTCTTGGCAATTCCCTTCTTTTAAGATACACTCAAAAAGTTGACAAACGTTTTCCGAATGGTGAGCTGTACCCTGTAGAATATCTCTCTTTATGATCTTGTGACTGTCGTATTAAGGTTTGATTATTATATGGCAAGCGTCACTTCCGGCTAAATGGCGCGCTTTGGTTGGCTCAGAAACATTTTTGCCCGTCCATTATTTTCCCGTATTCGACCACGGTCCAAAACGCGTAATTTTACTGTCAAATGTAAACAAACTTCGTAAAGCAAACAGCAAAACGCAAAAATAAACGAAACAAAAAACCATTTACAAATGTGATTCGAAGGAAAAATACTTGGAAAACAGTTTAACTATCTCGACGATACAATTTGAAACGATTTATTTTTTATGGACGAAAACTAGAAAAGTGAAAGCCAACCGGTAAAAAACAGCAAGGACGAGAAAGAAAGCAAGCTTTGTTTTAGGTCGAATAATGCCATATAATAATCCTTTTAATAACTTCGCTTTCTCGGTCTTTACTGAGAAATATCGGACCTCTGTCTTTTTGTAGAAACCTCGTCCTACGAGCTCGGTCTGTACAAAAAAACCTCGGTCTGTTATTTCTCCGTAAAGACCTCGCGCTCGGTTATTAAGGTTTGATTCTTTGCTTATTTTACAGGCGTAAATCCCACCAAGCCAAACGAGGTAATAAATGTAGCCAGTTCATGTTCATGTTTATAACTACTCATGTTCATGTTCATGTTTTTATAACTAAATCCTGGAAGTGATCATTTTTATTTACTGGTGATGAAAGATTGTGGAAGCATGATTTTCTTTCAGGGTTTCCCTCCGCATATGAAACGAAGGAAGCTCGACTCCGAGTGCATGCATGGTTTGACTGGTGAGTGTTGCAAATTATACTTTTAATACACGCATTTGGCAGTGCATGCATGGTTTGACTGGTGAGTGTTGCAAATTATACTTTTAATACACGCATTTGGTAGTACATGCATGGTTTGACTGGTGAGTGTTGCAAATTATACTTTTAATACACGCATTTGGTAGTACATGCATGGTTTGACTGGCGAGTGTTGCAAATTATACTTTTAATACACGCATTTGGTAGTACATGCATGGTTTGACAGGTGAGTGTTGCAAGTTATACTTTTAATACACGCATTAGGTAGTACATGCACGAATTGAATGGTGACTGTCGTAAATTAGTCTCCGCGTCAATGCAATTATTAGCCGACGATGGTTATTGTTAAACAGAAGCTAGATTTCTATAAAATACCTAATGATGATGCAGTTTGGTGTGATTGCAGTGTGGTCATCTATACACTGGACGACTTACACAAGTTTGTGGCATTTTGAAATTTTCTAATTGTTCAGATGAAGTCGATGATCTCGAAGTTTACGGTGCTGATACAAAGAGTGCAGAAGTAACGACCTATACATTTGAGGTTGGTTTTATTCATTTGAGGTTGGTTTTGCAATTATATGAACTATACCATCAGTGTCTGTGCTGTTCCACAATTCAAATGTTATCGTTTTTGTGTGTAACCGCTGCGCATGAGCGGCAAACCACTATGCTATACTGAAAAAGTGTCCGTCTGTGGCTCGCTATCCTCGGGGATAGTCGGACACACGAGGGATGACGGGAATTTTGCCCTTTTGGGACAGAAAATTGATGTCTTTTTTGTTTGGTATAAAGCTATAGGTTTGATGGGAATTTTTAAGCTACGGCGAATTTTACGAAGAAGATTGAATTGATTTTATCGTGTTTTACTTAAGATTGTCTGCTTGTCCTGGTTATTGCTTCTACAAAGATTGCTGAAGCTCTTTTTACGTTATAGAAGTCAATATTTTGCAGGTTTTATCATAACATTCCCAAGTTTGCCTGTGGAAGCAAAAATATTAATTTAGAATCGTGATGAACAACTCTGTTCTAACGTTTTCTCTCTCAAAAGCGTGGCATTCGTTAAATGAGACAGAAAAAATAAATAATACTTGTTTGCCATGAAGCTCTTGGATGGTTTGCTCATAGAGGAGAGACAATTCGTGAAAGACGTGAAAAATATGTAAAACATGTTTATGGTTGCCTTAAATTATAAGAGAAGCTGTTTGAAATTTTATTAATTTATTAGTTAGTTTATTTATCTGTTTAATAAATGAAAAAGATAAAATCCCAAAACAAAAAACCCTGTTTTCGGTCCATGCTTCCCGTTACCTTCTTAAGCGCAAGGCACTAGAACGCCGCATGTTAACGTTTCGGTAGGAGATTTTGGCCCCTCCACGCTATCCTACTTGGAAGATGCAATAGCAAGCTTCCGCCCATCAGAACCCGAGATCACCTGCGATAGCACTGCATACTACATCGCACCCAGCTTCCACTGCTAGTTGACATCTACTATATGAAGTTTGAGATTTATATATATATACAAAAATTCAAAGGCTTAAGAAGTTGTCGTATTATTAGAGTCACAACTGCGCATGCTCAGATGATTTCTTTAATAATTTGCCAGTAAGTGAGCAATTTATCCCAAAAGTAGTGCAAGTAGGTACAGTTGGTTATTACCATTGGTATGAACAATTAGTTTAGTACTGCGCTTGCCCGAGCGCATGCGCAGATATTTTTTAAATAATTTGTTACAAAGTGAGCTATTTACTCCAAAATTGATGCTAATAGATCCAGATTAGAGTTGGTAGCTTCCATAACTATGATCCAGACTACAGTTAGTTGTTGCCATGACTATGAACTCATTTGGTTAAGTGCAATGCGCATGCTCAGATGATTTTTCTAGTAATATGTTACCATGTGAGCCAGTTATTCTGAAAGAAGGTCAAGTTCGTCCAGTTGGTCATTGCCACAACCATGAACATGGACAGTTGGTCCAGTAGACTGCGCATGCTCAGATGATTTCTGTAATAAATTGTGACTAAGTGAGCTCTCTACTCCGAGATTAGCGTTTGCCATGAGTTTGATTAAAATTACGTCAAATAGGTAATGTTTAAATGAAAACTGTGCACTGTCGTTTGTCTCTAGGTTTTGTTATCTATTATTTTTGACACTTTACTTCTAATTAAGACTACATTCCCTTATTTTTGCTATCTCATGGTTAGGTTTGTGATAGTTTAATAAACATTGGACCGTGTTCCTGCGTTGACATGGGAGAGCCGGCGTTCCTCTCGGTAAGGCTGCTATCCGAATAGACTTTAATATACGACACTAGACGTAATTTTCATTTAATTTCTGTTTTTTTATGTCCTGATTATTCATATTGTAATTCAACAGGAGGAGGTATGAAAATTTTCAAGACTTGATTATTCATTCCATTTTATAAAGGATTTGTCGGTACTTTATGTTATTTTTTTTTGCGTGATTTAGTTTGCAGAAACGTCTTTTCCTGACATGGAAATCGTCACGTGTTCTGGTTATGGAAAAAATGGTGCTCTGTCTCTTCTTCAGGTCGGTTGGTTAAGATTACTCTCGACTGTGATATTCTTATTGCTCTATTTAGATCTTTCCTCGTATGTTGACAGTTCTGCTGTACTATTTATAGAAAAGTATTCGTCCACAAGTTGTCACCACCTTTGAGCTTCCTGGTTGTGTAGATATGTGGACGGTGACATCTCATGAACCGAAGGTTGTACCTTCCTTCACAATGTTATGAATTCATTAAATTGTTCAGATAGCATTTTTTTGTGGCGAATGACGATCTTTCTAATCTCCGATAATTTACACGTGTTTTATGATGCCATATCTACTTCATTCTATGACCTCGTACTTCCACCGTGTTTTATAACCACCACTCCACCGTGTTTTATAACCACCACTCCACCGTGTTTTATAACCACCACTCCACCGTGTTTTATAACCACCACTCCACCGTGTTTTATAACCACCACTCCACCGTGTTTTATAACCACCACTCCACCGTGTTTTATAACCACCACTCCACCGTGTTTTATAACCACCACTCCACCGTGTTTTATAACCACCACTCCACCGTGTTTTATAACCACCACTCCACCGTGTTTTATAACCACCACCTCCTCCACCGTGTCCACCCTCCACCATCCACTCCACCGTGTTTTTATAACCACCACTCCACCGTGTTTTATAACCACCACTCCACCGTATTTTATAACCACCACTCCACCGTGTTTTATAACCACCACTCCACCGTGTTTTATAACCAATACTTCACCGTGTTTTATAACTCTTGCTTTCATGCTCACATCTGATGAAATGGTTTCCTTCATGTAGGAAAATGAGAATGAAAGTGATGAAGATGAGTCTGTTAATGATGATGGCTTCGCTAATCATTCATTTCTTATCTTAAGTCGTAAGGATTCTAGTATGGTAGGTATACTGTCACCATAATCCCGTAAGTATGGTCGGTAAACACTCACCATATCTATGTAGTATGGTAGGTATACTGTCACCATAGCCCTGTAAGTATGGTTGGTAAACATTCACCATATCTATGTAGTATGGTAGGTATACTGTCACCATAGCCCTGTAAGTATGGTTGGTAAACATTCACCATATCTATGTAGTATGGTAGGTATACTGTCACCATAGCCCTGTAAGTATGGTCGGTAAACATTCACCATATCTATGTTGTATGGTAGGTATACTGTCACCATAGCCCTGTAAGTATGGTCGGTAAACATTCACCATATCTATGTAGTATGGTAGGTATACTGTCACCATAATCCCGTAAGTATGGTCGGTAAACACTCACCATATCTATGTAGTATGGTAGGTATATTGTCACCATAGCCCTGTAAGTATGGTTGGTAAACATTCACCATATCTATGTAGTATGGTAGGTATACTGTCACCATAATCCCGTAAGTATGGTCGGTAAACACTCACCATATCTATGTAGTATGGTAGGTATACTGTCACCATAACCCTGTAAGTATGGTTGGTAAACATTCACCATATCTATGTAGTATGGTAGGTATACTGTCACCATAACCCTGTAAGTATGGTTGGTAAACATTCACCATATCTATGTAGTATGGTAGGTATACTGTCACCATAGCCTTGTAAGTATGGTTGGTAAACATTCACCATATCTAAGTAGTATGGTAGGTATACTGTCACCATAGCCCTGTAAGTATGGTTGGTAGACATTCACCATATCTATGTAGTATGGTAGGTATACTGTCACCATAACCCTGTAAGTATGGTCGGTAAACATTCACCATATAACTGTGCTATAGTAGACAAATTGTCACCATATCGCAGTCGTAACCTGTAATAGAGTCAAACTAAACCTGTGAACGGGCCAATGTGTGAATCAAAATTCTGTTTTTATGTGTTTATTGTAAATCATAGCCGTTCTTTTCATTATAGTAAAGTTGGTGGCTATTCTCGCGTTGATGTTTAAAATGGTCTCCTTGCATTGTTAATCGTCCGATTTTCTCATAGCTTTCTGTTTGACAGGTTCTGCGCACGGAACAAGAAATAATGGAGCTAGATCATTCCGGTTTCTCCACGCAACATCCCACCGTGTGTGCAGCAAATCTTGGTGAAGGGAGATACATTCTGCAGGCAAAGAAAAAATCATTTAACATTATTGATGTACATCGAAAATCTTAGCGCATGCGTGCATTGTTATTTTTACAGGTGACCCCAATGGGCGTGCGATTATTAGATGGCAGTATGTAAAACAAATCACTTGAATTTGTGTTTATTTCCATTACATGATACGTGGTTTATTTTTATCTTTGAACAACATTTAGTAAATCAAATTCAGCATATTCCTATGGATGCCGATTTTTCATCGATAATTTGGTGTTCGGTCGCAGATCCCTACACGGTCATGATGACCGCCGACGGAACTTTGATGTTACTTACTTTTACATGTGAAAATTCTTCGCCCAATTTAATTGTGGCGAGAGTGAAAATTGATCAGGAAAGTGGAGTCTCTTTTGTTAATTCAAATATCGTAAAGTTTCGAAAGTAGCCTGCTTGAATCAACTGCCTCCTCGAAAGAAACCATTCTCCATGTAGAACTTATAAGAATATTACAACACTTATTCTTATATTCAAATAAGATGTTCATGTATTATTTGCGTAAACTACCACAACCTCACACAACTTTAAACACATTGAAAATACCGTTTATAAAGCGCAGATTAAGAATTTACCCTTGAAGTTAACTGCAGATTAAGAATTAACCATGGGAGCTAACTGCAGATTAAGAATTAACCCTTGAAGTTAACTGCAGATTAAGAATTAATCATGGGAGTTACCTGCAGATTAAGAATTAACTATGGGAGTTAACCGATGCTGAAAATCACATCTCAAAACTAAGCGACTTCGGAACAAGCGCCCCACCCCACCCCGGAAAGTAGCCGTCCCTTGAGCCCGCTAATTTTTGATGTGAAGATTTTTATGCTTTACTATAGTGGTCCAAGGTTTGTGCTTGTTGTGTTTACAAAGATACGAGTGGAATGTTTACCACAGAAAAAATCGTTGAACCTGTTCATCATGTTCAGCAACAACCGATTGTTACTCCAAAGGATCCAATTTTACCATCAACTAACATGTGAGCTTTCATTCATTTGATAGCGATATTTTTGCTTTATGAAATGTTTATGGGCTCTTGTTTATGCTAGAATGACTACAGACGATGAAGAGGAAATGTTGTATGGAGAGTCCGATATATCGAACGTCTTTACAGATACGTCTTCATTTCAGGCTGAAACGAGGTAGGAACTAACGGTACATTCAATGTCTGCTATACATAGGTATAAATAGGTATACATAGGTATACATAGGTGTACATAGGGATATAGGATGGCTATCAAATATTTGATCTTCATATATTGAAGTCATGAAACTAACGGTACATTCAATGTCTGCTATACATAGGTATACATAGGGATATAGGATGGCTATCAAATATTTGATCTTCATATATTGAAGTCATGAAACTAACGGTACATTCAATGTCTGCTATACATAGGTATAAATAGGTATACATAGGTATACATAGGTGTACATAGGGATATAGGATGGCTATCAAATATTTGATCTTCATATATTGAAGTCATGAAACTAACGGTACATTCAATGTCTGCTATACATAGGTATACATAGGTATACATAGGGCTATAGGATGGCTATCAAATATTTGGTCCTCATATATTGAAGTCATGAAACTAACCGTACATTCAATGTCTGCTATACATAGGGATACATAGGGATATAGGATGGCTATCAAATATTTGATCTTCATATATTGAAGTCATGAAACTAACGGTACATTCAATGTCTGCTATACATAGGTATAAATAGGTATACATAGGTATACATAGGTGTACATAAGGATATAGGATGGCTATCAAATATTTGATCTTCATATATTGAAGTCATGAAACTAACCGTACATTCAATGTCTGCTATACATAGGTATACATAGGTATACATAGGGCTATAGGATGGCTATCAAATATTTGATCTTCATATATTGAAGTCATGAAACTAACGGTACATTCAATGTCTGCTATACATAGGTATACATAGGGATACAGGTATACATAGGTATACATAGGTATACATAAGTATACATAGGGATATAGGATGGCTATCAAATATTTGATCTTCATATATTGAAGTCATGAAACTAACGGTACATTCAATGTCTGCTATACATAGGTATACATAGGGATACAGGTATACATAGGTATACATAGGTATACATAAGTATACATAGGGATATAGGATGGCTATCAAATATTTGATCTTCATATATTGAAGTCATGAAACTAACGGTACATTCAATGTCTGCTATACATAGGTATACATGGGTATACATAGGGATACATAGGTATACATAGGTATGCATAGGGATATAGGATGGCTATTAAATATTTGATCTTCATATATTGAAGTCATGTTCTTCAATATATGAAGTCATGCACTGAATGAAATTACGTCTTAGAAAGATGTCATATAGAATTATGTGCAAAAAATTGCTCTTCCGTCAGACTTACCATTTTCTGTGAATATTTATATTTATGTATTGCTCCTTAAATGAACTCATTTAATTTCGTAGTTGTTGTTGAACTACTATAACTTAGTCAACCATATTTGTATCCAAAGGCGTCATGACTGCCTCTGTATATTCATTTCTCATGCTGTTTTGTCAAAACTTTTTTACCTTAGCTTTTCAGTGCCATCTACGAGGACAGACATCAAACCATCCTTCTGGTGTGTTGTATGTCGCCAAAATGGAGCGTTGGAGATTTATTCCGTGCCCGAGTTCAAACTGGTGTTTTGTGTGAGAAATTTTGCTTTTGCGCCTAAAGTTCTCGTGGACAGCGGAAGTATTGGGTGAGCGGTTGTGCTTTATTTCGCATGTTTTATAACAAACGAAATATTTTTCAAGAGTCTGTCCAGGTTACAGAGGTCAAAGAGATGACGAATGACGTATTTTCTAGGATTCCTGTCTCTTCAATTATTTTAAAAATTCTCGTTTAGATCAACTGGGAGCTCTCAAAGTCAGGAAGAAAATCTTTTAGTAAAGGAGATTTTGTTGACGGGATTACCGGACAAGAACCCGAAACCCTTGCTTGCTGCACTAGTTGACCACGATTTGATGCTTTACGAAGCGTTTAGTTACAACGACTCATCTACTGAAGGCCATCTCAATATTCGATTTAAAAAGGTTTCTTTTTTCTGGAAATTGAGCTATACAATGGACTGGAGAGTGTGAAACTTTGTGATTTATTGTTGAATTCTTTTTAGATGCAACACAATGTACTGGTGAGGGAGAAAAAAAGCAAAACGAAGACAAAAGAGACCACTTCAGAAGATGGTATGAAAATGTTGTATAAAATAGGCAAATGTTATAGGTATTGAATTAGATGGTATTCCTGAGCAAACCATCCATATTTCCTGTTATCATGTTTATCATTCAATGTTTTTAGCAAGTTGTTCGCTCTGTCGTCCAAATGATCGTAATAAAGTAAATGGTTTGAACCCGGGAGTATCGTTACATGTTTGTAAATGTAGATCGTCCAGGTTGGTATAGTCCTGAGAAGGACTGTTTTTGTTGTTGTTGACTGACGTTTCGACAACCTTAGCGGTAGTCATCTTCAGAGTCATTTGAGTCTGAAGATGTGACTCATGTGATCAAATGACTCGTTTGACTCTGAACATTACTACCGCTAAAGTTGTCGAAACGTCAGTCAACAACAACAAAAACAGTCCTTCTCAGGACTATACCAACCTGGACGATCTACATCTACAAACATGTAACGATACTCCCGGGTTCAAATCATTTACTTTATTCAATGTTTTGTTATTGCACGGCAATTTATCGCTCTAGATGTGAAAGAGATGGCAGAGCCGATGGTTGGAAGGTTGAGGCCATTTCATGATATTTCAACATATTCTGGAGTGAGTCGGCAATCACTATAAATTTTCATTACATCTATTTGATCAATTTTTTCTATCTCATTCATTTCATTTGTTAATTTGATGTGTCTAACTCATGTGTCTTAACAATAGATCTTTGTTTGTGGTGCAAATCCTTTTTGGTTGTTCAAATCTTCCCGTAATGCACTTCGCTCTCATCCAATGACCATTGACGGTGCGGTGTCGTCATTTGTACCGTTTCGTAACGTTAACTGTCCCAAGGGGTTTTTATATTTCAATAAAGAGGTATTTCTAATGTGAACGACGAAAATTTCTATTTATATCACTAAAAAAATGATCTCAAGTCTGTTTTTCACCCTGCCTATCGTTGTTGAAATACTACAAAAGTCTTAGAAGTATTTATAATAATATCATAATTGACATTCAAAAAGAAGGATTCACAATTACTTTTTGACAAGAGTATGACGAAAAATTACAGATCACTCAATCTACAGCACTAAAAACTATATAAAATTTCAAATATCAATCCAATACACTACTTTAATGTAAAAGTAGAAACCTAGTATGTACTTAAAATGTGTAATTCGCCATTTTTTTTCCATGTTAATATTGGAGCCAATACAACTGCAATTACTTCCATAGCAAAAAGTCAATTTTCACTTCTTATCCACATATTTATCTATCTTAACTTTTTAAACATGTGAACAGGGTGAACTCCGTGTATCCGTGTTACCAACTCATCTCAGTTACGATGCACCTTGGCCCGTTCGCAAGGTTCCACTTCGTTGTACACCTCATTTTATTGCCTACAATAGAGAGAGCAAGGTAAGATGGTTTTTATGAAAGTATTAGCAATCGTGAAACAGCGTATAACATCTTATGAAGTAAATATGTATTTCTTAGCAAGACTGCTATTCAAGAGATGAGAGTTAAATGTGTGTGTGACGTAGTTATGTGTGTTGTGACGTAGTTATGTGTGTTGTGACGTAGTTATGTGTGTTGTGACGTAGTTATGTGTGCTGTGACGTAGTTATGTGTGCTGTGACGTAGTTATGTGTGTCGTGACGTAGGTATGTGTGTTGTGACGTAGTTATGTGTGTTGTGTGACGTAGTTATGTGTGCTGTGACGTAGTTATGTGTGCTGTGACGTAGTTATGTGTGTTGTGACGTACGTGTTGCTATTGTTTGTTCTTGGAAGTAGCCTTTTTTTACCATTTAGTTTCCTATATAGACGCACGCTGTAGTCACGAGTCAAGCGGATCCAGTAAAAGTCATTGCAAGATTAGGAATTGAAGATCGCGAATTCATTCCTACTCCAGACGGTGCTCACAAATGCTCTTTTTTCACCACTTTGTTTTGCAGCTATTTTGTAAATCGTATTTTTCTTTCGTCTTTAGATCCTAGATACGTTTATCCTTTGTTGGATAAGTTTTCTGTCCAGTTAGTGTCGCCGTTCACTTGGGAGATAATACCCAACACGAGGTATGTACAAACCATTGAGCTAAATATAACTGGATGGCTATCTCCCGCCAAAATTTGAAGCCAGCAATTCGAATGTGCCCAATCCTTTCGCGCTCGGCCCAAAGAATTTTCATTTACGAGAATAAGTTAGAATGCGTGATTTGACCCTCAAACCACGCGTGTCTGCAGGTAAAATTTATCTTCATGCAAGTACAGGCATGTTTATATGAAGGTAGAATTCCAGTTAAATATTTAGTTCAGTGGTTATACAAATTGGGAATTTTATATGAAGTATGCAGCTAACGGTGACATAAGTTTTTGAAAATATTTACTTTTGCATTGTTTGTTGAATAACGGTTTTCTGTTTCTTAATGGACACGTTAAATATGGTCATATTATATGGATTGTGATTCAAGCTGATATAGATTTAGTAATATAGATTTAATATAGATTTAATATAGATTTTTCAATAATATAGGTTTGAGTTGGACGATTATGAACGCGTGACAACAATGAAGAATGTGATTTTGAGAAGTGAAGAAACACATTCAGGAATGAAAGGATTTATTGTTCTAGGCACAACGTATGTTTACGGTGAAGATCTTCCTTGTAAAGGACGGGTAAGTTGTGGATTTGTAGGGATAATGTGTATCATATGCACGAGCAAATCATGATCACGTGTGTAAGTAAGGACGGATAAGTTGTGGATTTGCCGGAGTAATGTGTTTGAAAATGCACGATCAAATCATGATCACGTGTGTAATTGAAGGACGAGTAGGTTTAGTTGTGGATTGGTAAGAATGATGTGTACCATATGCATGAGCAAATCATGATCACGTGTGTAAATGAAGGACGAGTAGGTTTAGTTGTGGATTGGTAAGAATGATGTGTACCATATGCATGAGCAAATCATTATGATTACTTGCTGACAATCAATGATTGAAGGGCAATTGAATCGAAATTCAACCTCAGGATTATGGAGTATCGCTCGCTATTACTGTTCGTCTTAGTAGTTTTTGGATGAAGTACACTAAACACTCTTTTGATGTTAGGCTTGTACTTGTTGATATTTCTTTTAACGTAAATGGTTTGAACCCGGGAGTATCGTTACATGTTTGTAAATGTAGATCGTCCAGGTTGGTATAGTCCTGAGAAGGACTGTTTTTGTTGTTGTTGACTGACGTTTCGACAACCTTAGCGGTAGTCATCTTCAGAGTCAAAATTGTCGAAACGTCAGTCAACAACAACAAAAACAGTCCTTCTCAGGACTATACCAACCTGGACGATCTACATTTACAAACATGATATTTCTTTCGTTGTTGATTGCTTCTTTTCTTATTTTCTTCTCTAGATTTTGATATTTGATATAATTGAGGTTGTTCCTGAACCAGGCCAACCGTTAACAAAGAACAAATTCAAGGTAAATGAAACGGTTTTCGGAAAATGATTTTGTGCATAAATTTCACGTATCTAATGATCTGTCCATCTTTCCTTGCTTCAGGCATTGTGTCGTAAGGAACAAAAGGGACCTGTGACTGCAATTTGTGAGATATCTGGAAATTTGTTAACTGCTATTGGACAGAAAGTAAGATAATTTATTTATTACAGAACAAAAAAGGATGGATTTACGATGGTTTTTGTGTATATTGCAGGGGTGGGTGGTTTTGTGTATATCGGGGGTGGGCATGCTTTATGTTGGATTAGATGCCCTTGACTTCTTATTCCCCTCTGATGCCATTGTTATGATTGGGAAATTTTGAAGAGTGTTTCATAAAACTCTAATGACACTTGCTTTTGCTTTTTGTTTGTTACATTAGTATTTTGCTCTTAAATTGACATCCTTACTCTTGCACCCCTACCTCTTGCAGACCCTCTTTTGATCTCCCCCTTCCATCTTGCCCTTCTTCTTCCCTACCTCTTGCACCCCTACCTCTTGCATCCCTACCTCTTGCATCCCTACTTTCTTCCCTACCTCTTCCCTTCTTCCCTCCCACCTTCACATCCACCCCTCTTCTTCCATCCTTCCCCCATCCCCTCCTTGCAATTTCCATCCCCCCATGTAAACCTTGTTTATATTTTTTATTTTTCAGTTTTATTTTCAATTCTTTTTCATTACATTTTGATTTCATGCAATTCAGTCATTTATTTCATGCATTTTAGTTGTATATCATTTTATGTTTTCTAAACAATTTTATGTTTTCATGTATAAACACATTTATGTTTTCATGTATAAATCTTTTATGTTTTCATGTATATACACATTTTTATGTTTTCATGTATAAACACATTTTTATGTTTTCATGTATAAACACATTTTTATGTTTTCATGTATAAACACATTTTTATGTTTTCATGTATAAACACATTTTTATGTTTTCATGTATAAACACATTTTATGTTTTCATGTATAAACATTTTTATGTATTATTTTATGTTTTCATGTATACATATTTTATGTTTTCATGTATATACACATTTTATGTTTTCATGTTAAACACATTTTTATGTTTTCATGTAAAAACACATTTTTATGTTTTCATGTATAAACACATTTTTATGTTTTCATGTATAAACACATTTTTATGTTTTCATGTATAAACACATTTTTATGTTTTCATGTATAAACACGTTTTTATGTCTTTTTCACCCGTTTTATTCTTGTTTATCTAAGCGCAACTTTTTTCCTACAGGAAGGAACGAAAACGCTAGCATTTGTGTCAAGGGTAGGAAACCTTGTATCTTTTCACGAATGTGTCATTTATAAAAACTGTGTAAATGTGTCGATGTTATGTGTAATATATAGGACCCAAGTCCGCTAGAAGTTTATGGAACTGAATATTTTGTTGACGGTTCGCAACTCGGTTTTCTAGGTATGGCGGTTTCTAGTGGTAGTACATGTCCAATTTTCTTCAATTTAAAGTTTTTTTTCTTGTAGTTTCAGACAGTGACATGAATTTGGTCGTGTATCGTTATAAACCTGAAGGTATGTCCTTTAAAAACCAATGCGGCAATTGTTGGCATTAGCTCATTGCTCTCTTTTTTTGTGTTTTTAACTAGATCCGGCCAGTATCGGTGGACAAAAGCTATTGCATACCGCTGACATAAACATCGGTAGCTGTGTGACGTCATTCTTCAGATGTCGTGTAAGGTCTGAGAAGACTGGGGGCGATAAACCGAAAGATCAAAGGCAAGCATCATGGTTTGGTAAGGCATTTTTATGAAGGAGATTTTTTTCTTTAAAGAGCGTTTTTCCCCGACATTATTTATTTGCTTATTTTTTACTTTATTTAGGAACGCTTGATGGCGGTATTGGTTTTGTCTTACCAGTACCTGAGAAAACATTTCGTCGACTTCATATGGTACAAAACATGTTAATTCATTGTATGCCGCATTATGCCGGTCTTAATCCTAAAGCATTCAGGTAAGTTATTTTCACAACATGATTGCTTAGATTTTACTCTCAACTTTTTCTTTGTTAGCTACATTCTTTTTCTCTTTATCTTTGTCTTTCTAACTTTCGGTTTATTCGGAGCCGAAGATCGTGATAAACGCCATAGCAAAAATGCACATGTTTCTTTTATTTAAAAAATTCACGTTTTCTTAAGTAAAATATTAGTTAAATTACTAATTATATTAATTGCGAATAATTTAAGTTGCAAATTGTTACAAATTATTCAAATTACAAATTATTTAAGTTACAAATTGTTACAAATTATTCAAATTACAAATTATTTAAGTAAATCAAAGTTACAATTTATTCTACTCTATATAACTGTAGACAGCTACGATGGAGACATAGACCAATGGATAATCCACAGCATCACATATTAGATTTTGATTTACTAAGTAAATTCGTTCATCTTGGTGCCGTAGAAAGATTAGAGGTTACTCGCAAGATCGGAGTATCACCAGCTCAGGTAAAAAACACTTTCAAAGATTATTTACACAAGTCGCTCTTAAAAGACTAAACTGAGAGAAAGAATGATAATTAAAATGTCTAATATGATTTTTTCTAGATTTTAGATGATCTCATGGAGATTGAAAACGTCACGTCTTATTTCTAGTTGTGTGAAATGGCTGAGCATATGTCAATACTTCATGTACGGTACACAACATTGTGCACTTTTCTTGTGTGAAATTTAATAAAAATATGATGACCAGACGATTTATAAAATGGTTCAGTTTTCATGAAGTAGGAATTGTTTCAGAAGTACAAAGCATAAATTTCTTAAAGTTCAAACAATATTTGTAAAACAAACCCTTCTCACAAAAAATATCAAAATGATGTAAATCGTTTCCTATGATAAACTATACATAATAATATAAATAAATATAAAACAATATAATAAAATAAAAAATCTTCTATTTTTCTTGTATGAGAAATTTGCTTTAAAATTTCACGAGGTCTTTTATCATCATAGTGCTCTAGGAGTTTTCTTCTCATGAGCAATTTCGTTTCGTATTTTTGTCTTTCATCAATCGTTCTCAATTCAATATTTAAATATTCTTCACCAGCATGTGCAATAATGAAACCGGGCTGTTTGCCGAAGAAAGCCCTAAAAATACAACCACAGTTAGAACTTCATTCTTCAAATGTTTTATTTACTTTAAACGTACACATTTTGAGGCTTTGCCCTGTTAATGGGCTTCCTGCACAAGTCAAAATGTTTACGTCAAGTTTACAAGCTGATATGCTCATATGACAAACAAAATTTTTAGGGTTTTTTTCCAAAGCAATCTTTTTACTTGTAAGTTGCCACTTTCACAGTAGTATTGACAAAGTATCTGAGCATGCGCTATATTTACTATAAAAGATTGTATTCTTTTACAAGAGCAGGCTTGTTCTATGTACTATATTAATGTTCTATGTACTATATAACATTCTACCTCAATCTGTTTGGTTTCAGCTTCAAAAAATTCGGCTGCCAGTTGGAAAAAAAGTTTGATGAACCACAAACGAAACTCTCCAAAGTCGAGTTCTCCAGTGTGATATGCTTGAAAGAAATTTGCATCACTTTTATCAATCATGTCAGGACGGAAGAACCGTTCTCTTTGTGTTATACCTGCAAGTTATGATCGTGACCACTGATGTACGCATCTACTTTGTACTGTTTCAATAAATGCAATAGTTTATTATGAAGACATTCTGTGTTGCCATGTTGTCCAGCAGAGTAAAGTGGATGATGACCGATGAATATAAGATAATTTGCACTAGAATGTGAGATAAATTATTGATGTAGTATATTTGATGGCGAGTATTCACATTTGTTCAACGTACTTTGATTTGTTTAGAATTTCATTGATCCATTGCATTTGCGCTTCGCTGTCGGGTGTTTTATGCTTTTTCACAAGTCTAAGGATGTTTTGAATTGGATAAAGTTTGAGATCACGTCACCTCGTGAAAAATTATGAATAGGACAAAAGAGGCTTTTTGTTATTACTTTGGATAGCATAAAATGTTTGTGTCGATCATGACTAACTGCAAAGTCTTGTTCGTCTGTGGGATAGTGAACACTGAAAAAGATAAACGAACAAAAGAAAAAAAGTAAGATCTTCCACATGAAATGGTTTTCAGGTATTGCAAAAGACACAACATCGTTGTACAATGGCTGGTCTTTCGATCAGTTATGTCTGGACTATACACAGCTTCTTTTTAATTTTTACTTGATTATTAAGCACTTTTCAAGCACTTTCTTCGATGTTTGTTTTTTTTTATGAAACATGACTGCCCTTAACATTATTTTTTTAAATTTAAGGGCTTTCTTATTAGGTACCTGCTATAACCCTATCATATATTCGAGTATTAACGTTCTCAAGTGAACTTTTGCCTTTTGTTTTTCAAACCTTTTGTGTGGTAATAATATGGGAATATCCAACGTGGCGATCTTCGACTGTATAGTATTTGTGCTGAGACGTTGCCATGGTAATCATGGTTGCCAGGCGTGATGTACCAATTTTTTTGCAACGTGGGATAACTGTAAACCTTCTCGAAAGTTTCTTGGAAACGAAAGTCTTCCACGTTTTTGACGCCGTTAAAATAAAAGTTGTCCCCTGTGACGACGAAAAAATCCACGTCCGGTATCTGTTATGTAGCAATTAAAATGACGTAATTAGCAACACAACTAACATACCTTTAACGACTTGTTTAAACTATTTAAGTGAGTTTTTGTGCCGTCTATGGTTTAACCATGCTTTGAACAACACTATTTTGAACCGGGGTTATCTAACTTTGGGTTAAAATAAAAGTTGTCCCCTGTGACGACGAAAAAATCCACGTCCGGTATCTGTTATGTAGCAATTAAAATGACGTAATTAACCATGCATTGAACAACACTATTTTGAACCGGGGTTATCTAACTTTGGGTTGAAAAAATCAACTCGATGTTGAATTTGAACTCTAGGGTCAATGTTAAGATAACAGGCTTTACAACAACCGCCTACAGATTACTAAATTCCACAAAATATTAAAATAAATTTGCCAACCACCATTCTTATATTTTGAGTTTGCTTTGCAGCTCGTAAGTGAGTTTCGTTATGTGAGTTTCGATTATTTTCGAGCTTGTGAGCCTGTGTACTTGTGAACTTTTGTTTTTGCATGATGTGTTAATATGAAATGACATCCCATGACGTCTCTCAAAAACGTCGATCGAAGTGCGAGTGCAATATGAGCGGCTATGTTAACGAGCTGTGACGTTTAGATGAGATGAATGAACTTATACTAAACACATAGCTGAACTTCGCGTACTCTACTTGCCATAATTCTTTAAAAATTCGAAGAAAAACGCTGGATTGCTGGAGGATCTAATTAAATTATTTCCCGATGATTAGCATAAAGATAAGAAGACATTGGCAAATACAAAAGAAGAAAAATTTAAATGACTGACCTACGTGACCCAAGCACAAAAAAACTTTGTACTATTAATTAAAATAATCTGGAAAGAAAGATTCCTAAGTGTAAACGTCTGTATCTATAATTTATTTAAACCAAGCTCAAGACAATCCATACGAATATCCTTGCCAGTCATAAGCGCCACTGTACAGACAAATGGAAACGCATTTTTCTTTCCTATAATAAATTTCTTTTGGTGTTAGTAAAATAGGAAAGATTTGGCGTATTTCCAAATTTTCATACTGAGGGGCCACAAATTTCTCATATTATGTGTGACTGTGTGTATTTCTTGTTGGTTATTCTCTTCTTGTAAGTTATTTCTCTGTTTTTTTGTCGATATCCAAATCGATGCAACTCAATTCCTTCAAATCATGTGCAGACAAGTGTATCCAATTCATAAATTTTCTGAACATTCCTAGATTGCCATGCCTTCGTTATGCTTCTTCATATTATTCGGTTATTATTTACGCGTGGGAGAAGATTTAAAGTTAAGACAAATAGAAAAAAACTCAATGGAAACGTCGATTACTATACAGCATGATATTGTGATTGAAGCGAAACGCTTATTAATAGTGGCGAAGGATGCAAGTTCGTTAACAGGAAAGGAAACTGAACGACTTATAAATGATCTTTAGACTTTAGACATTATTTATATGAACGATGTTCTACTGTTTTTAGAATTAAATTCGTTGAAGATGCACCTTAATGGCATACCTTTGAAATCTCCATGCTTACACGTCTCTGACTCCTCAAAGAATACGGTCTTGTTGAAGTACCTCCAAAATCTCCTAGTATAACAAATCTCAGCTCTGCCGTAATCGTGCTAACATAACAAAAGACGATTAGAAAGATGAGAACCAAACGAAAATATTTCATTATCCTACGGAAATTTTATTGTATATAACGATCATCGTCTTTCATTTAAGACATCATTTTATAGAAATCACTGAAGTTCAATCACTAATATTTTTTATATTAAATTTCACTAGCGATGTGAGACCTGCATTGTTTACAATTAAAAACAATAAGACACCTGGTTCGCATTCTAGAGCTATAAATACACCTTTCGTGACAGATCCAGAAAGACCTTTATGTGTCTATGACGTAAACTACAGTCTGGTTTGAGAAAGTTCGACGATTCGTTTCATCCAGATTGGAAAGTACAGTGGCTCACAAGGGCCACCACACAAAATAAAAATATTAATACACACACAAAATAAAAATACACACACAAAATACATTATACACACACAAAATAAAAATACACACACAAAATAAAAATACACACACAAAATACATTATACACACACAAAATAAAATACACACAAAATAAAAATACACACACAAAATACATTATACACAAAATAAAATACACACACAAAATAAAATACACGAATACACACAAAATATGATTGCGGGCGCTTGCAGTGTCGGATGGTCTGACTATCATATTATCAGTTTGTAATCAGATATGTAATTCATTAATTGTGATTTTAACATGTGGTCGACTTGTCGTCGTATTTAACTGTTTCAACTGCGAAACATTTGAAATTACATTTGAAAGGAATCGAAAGCAAGCTCTTGCATAATCCTGGCATAATTATGTTTTGTGCCAACTGTGGTGCACAATCACTTGACGAAGCTTCTTTTTGTCACAAATGCGGTGTGCGTTTGGGAAGATTAACTTCTTTGCCAAAATGTCTGAAGCGTAAATGACGAGTAGCGTCTCTTCAAGCAGTTGCCCTTCGAGCTCTGCAAGTCCGTTAACTTCAACTTCACGTACCCCAAAGCTCTTTATAACTGGTACAGGACAGGCTAGAGAAATAATGTCCTTTCAAAGGACAACACATTAACCTTAATTTTAACCAGAATACGGGGAGCAATATCGTAAGCAACTTTGAAATAATTGATCACAGTGAAATCAGTGAATTTTGTTATGTACTCTGGAAGTTGGAACCATTAGAACTTTGAAAACAAAAGCGATCAATTACGAGCAATTCCGAGTAAGCCGACACTGCAAGCGCCCGCAATCATATTTTGTGTGTGTATTTTTATTTTGCGTGTGTATTTTTATTTTGTGTGTGTATAATGTATTTTGTGTGTGTATTTTTATTTTGTGTGTGTATTAATATTTTTATTTTATGTGGTGGCCCTTGTGAGCCACCGTAGGAAAGGATAAAGACAAGTGTCTGTCAGGAAGTTTAGGACAAAAATAAAAAAATGACTCAGGGTTGTCCCGCTGGCGAGTTGAAAAGCGAACAAATTATGAATTTACTCAATGATACTATGTTGTTGATGTGAAGCTTATTGTCATTCTTTCTGCTAAATAGGTTGGGGAAATGGCTCGAATTTTATGGCTCGACTACAGTTTTCATGTTAGCTACAGTGTGCTTGACTTGGGTACAGAGGCCGCGGAACCGGGGGGGGCATTGGGGCAAGTGCCCCCCACTTTTGAGATACTTCCGCGGCCCCTGCTTGGGTAATGTTAACAGTTGGCTAACAATGCATGCATACCTAAGCGAAACAGCCAACAGTCGCCAACCTCAAGGTCAATATGGTGAACCCATGATTGTTGGACATCGGCGGGAAAATACTTTAAAGCAATTAAGAAAAGCTGAAGTGCTGAGAGCTAGGGAGTAATTTTTACACTTTCTTTTTCTTTCATTATGTTCGTTGTAAACATTCTGGCTGCAATCATTGAGATGATCATAATCATAAATCCTAATCTCAATCTGAGGAAAAGAACTTGTGCCCAAGCCCCTCGCGGTCAAACTACGATAGGATTTAAGTATTTAACCTGTGAGCCAGTAAGTAGAATGAAATGGTGTTAACCAAGCAATGAAAGTCAATACACAAGATGAATATCTTTTATCTTTTGTTCAATAAGTACCATATCGTGTGTACAAACTGACTTGAAACTGGCGTGAACTGTCTGAACGCTGTAATACTGCTTGAATTGAGCCCTGCAGTTACGTAGATTTTATAAATAACGGTCAATGCAGCTTTTCTAGATAATATATACACCTATTGCAACGACAGGATAGAAACATCACTACAACTAATAACTAAATCTATTATTTGCTAAAAGTCTTCTTCGTACGTTGGGAAGCTCCTCGTGTTTTTTTTCGTGTGACGCTTTTTGCGCTTTCTTTCTCCATCGTCCTCTTCATCATCATCGCCACTAATGAAGACGAGCGAAAAATGAAAAAAAAGAGTTGGGCATGAAGCTGATTGAAGTGATTAAGGTTTTGACTTGCCAGTAATAATCCCAGATGTTGTAGTAATAAAGACCAAGGACCATTATAAGAATAGGTGTAACTGTGAGGTAATAAAGTAATTCCATCGTTGAAATCTGAAAATAAAACATTTAGATGATTAAAGTCATAAATCACGTCAGTCTTGTAGCATTGCATCTTTTCTACGAACCTCATACTCCAATGGCTGCCAGTAATCCTGACAACTGATCAGCAAACATGTCTCTTCGATTACTTCATCTAGACTCAGGTATTGTAGCAACGTTAGGTTGATTGCTATTCATAAGCAACAGTTATAGAAAATGTCACTAAAAACATACTGTAAACTTGTTTGTATGACTCAGAATCTCCACTTCTTGGCACACAAGATTTCACTAAATTCTATGGAAAAATATTTCGATTATAATGATGACACAAAAAACAATTGCTAGACCATTTATTTCATTCTCACCAGACACTTCTGCTTGAGTTTAGCCATGTTTTCAGCACTACACAAGGCCTGTCTCCAAAAAAACTTATTTCGGCTTTCTCTTTTCACCACTTCACAACGAAACAACTGACAGTAATCAGCTAGGCAAACTGGTAAAAGCTAAGAAAAATAGAAGAAAATGTCACTTTGGTGCATTGACAAAAAATAGACTTATAGTTATATGTGCCTCTTGCTTAACCAGAAGTTCTTCGTGTTTGTTTTCCATGTGAAGATCTAGAAACTCCTGTCGATAAAATGCTTTTCCACACACATTGCATGTCCATCTAGAAGAGTGTTCAAACAGCTTGTGTTGCTCTTGAACAAGGTATAAGTCTCTTGATTTGCTGAGTGGGCATTCTTTGCTGGTGTCTAATCCATGACTCTCAAATATTGGGTAAAAGTTCTAGGAGAATAATAGAACGATTGTACGAGACCTAAATATCATTGGAATGGCAACGATGAAATTAAGAGGCAAACACATGTTGTATTTGTAATAGAACGTCTGAAAGTGAAAGAGAAATAAACAACCACCAACCTTGTCAAGAACTTTTCTCACAAGTCGTGATCCTTCCCGGGAGCAATCTTGATATGATTTGCACTGTAAGAAGCAGAAAAGTCATCTTTCGATGCAAAAGTCAAATCAACAAAAAGCATCAAATGATATGTCATATATGAAGAAAAGAGTCACCTTATTGGTCAGTAGAAGCACGAAAATAAGACGTGAAATATCTGATGTAGAAATTTTTGTAACATCACATACCATCATATTAACAAAGAATATCTAAAGAGTTATGTTTATTGCTTTCTGGATACAACCATAGCATAAAACCCTAAATATTCGTTCGGTTTTGTCATAATACACTTGTGTGTTGTTACATGTGTTTTTAGTTACTTGGTCCCAGTTCTCTCTCTCCCAAAATTATTTAAAAGCACGTTTTGGCCAAATCAAATTAAACCCAGAAGAATTCTTGTTCTTTTTACCACTAATGCAATGGCTAGAGAGAAAAGGTATGAGTTTTAAATCTTTTATCTGTATCATAAAGTGTTTTTGTAGCCGAGTATACGAAGCTTTGGAAAAATCTCTTTGAACTTTCACGAGTTTCATCACCACGTTGCAACAGGCCCATCGTCCGAATAGTTGTCCAACTTCTCAATACGTCAAAACCTTTTTTATCTGTATCAAAAGGAAACCAAAAAAGAAAATTAAAGTCAATGAGAAGAAAGATAGTGATGTGGAAACTCCCCAGATAGTCCTGATGTGGTATGTTATATTTGCATTTTGTAAATTGTGTTTGCATTGCATGCAACTGTTTTTGTGAAAGAGGGATTGAAATTTGAAAATGGAATTCATATGAAAAATAGAAAAGTGTAAGTATTTTTAACATAATAATATTTTATTTAATTAGAATGCGGAGGATTTCTTTGAAGATGATGTGGATAAATTTCACAGCAATCGAGAAAAAGTAAAATGCTCATTTTCTCCATTTTCTCCTTCAAAGTACATGTAATCAAATGAACTATCGTTGGAACTTCATGGAGCAGAGTATTGTTGCTAATTTTGTAGATTTTTTTGGAAAAATCAAGTTTTACATCAGACGAGGAATCTGTTGGAGAAGAGCAGTTCGAGGAAGTGCTTGGTTTGGATGTTAAATCAGAGAGTGACGAAGAAGAATTTAATGATCAATTTGATGTAAAAATCATGTTTATGTTATATGGGTGCTGCTTCCTCGACAATCCAAGATTCCATATGGTACTAAATATATAAATGTTATATGTTATTTAGGAAGGTTTATCTGACAGTGATGACAATATGGGAAAGGGTATGTTTCTTGATTATTGTTGCACATGGTAATGCAATATTTTATGATTTTTCTTACCAATATTTTAGGTGCAAAAATTCCCAGTGAAAAAGCATGGGGAAAGAAGAAAACTGTGTATTATGATGCGGAGCAGTATAAGGAAAAAGATCTTGGTAAGATGAAATCATTTTTATGGTGTGCTTGTTTTGAAATGTTGATAAATATTGCTTGTTCAGTGTTTATAGGATTTTGATATTCTTTAGATTCTGAACAAGAAGAAATGCTGGAAAAAGAAGAAGAAAATGAGGCACTGATGTTACAACATGCCCTTGCTGATCGTCTTGATGAACATGATTTTGACTTAAAAGAATTTGAGGTAATCTATCTGTTGTTTGAAATATTTGCTGAACTTATTTGTCAGATGATCAAACTTAGTACATAGTAGTATAGTAGTAGGTACATATAAGCTAAAGTTTCTTTGAAATAGGAGGAAACCAATGGACAGATAACCAAACAAGCAAAAAAAGTGAAAAGGTATCATTTTATTAGTGTGCGTTGAAGCTCACAGGTTTTTTTTAATCCATCCACTCTGTTTCCGTTCATGCTTAAACAGAACTCGGAGCATGAAAAAATTGTCATGGATTTGTCGAGGCTGTCCAAAGATGAAAAAATAAAGGTCCGTATATTGATTCAAGTTAAACAATATCAAAGTCTTTTTAGGTTAATGTTTTATGATATATTGTTTACTACATTTCAGTTATTGGCAAAAATTCACCCGAAATGTTCGAGCTTATCAAAGATTTCAAAGAAAAGGTATTTGTAAAGAAACTGCATATCAGTAGTAAGAAATGGACAATCTTACTTTCTAATATGCAATTTTTATTGTAAGCTTTTTGAAGTGACCGAAAAGCTTTATCCGTTGGTAAAGATGGCACGGACAGAAAAAATAGCAAACCCAAAGGTTTTGATGAGATTTTCCCCTAATGTCATGATAAATTACTGGATCTTACATTAACATTAACCTCAATAGGGTGTAGAATATTTGGAAATGAAATATCAACTCATGTTGAAGTATGTTGATCAATGAATTTCACTTTGTCAAAAACTATCTCTTATTGAGTGTGTACCATACTTCAATTTCCCATTTTTTCAACTTTACTAATTGGAGTATGTGCATGTATTGTATTATTTAGTTATCTTGTGAATATATGTTTCTATCTGCTGCTCAAAGCACATCAAATCCCAGTGTTGAACCATCCAGTTATCAAGAGACTGGTTGAGTACAGAGAGGTGTGCTTAACTAGTTGTTGGAAATTTAAATGTTACATTTTTATGAGTTTATAATAAATAGCTATATTAATTTTTCATCCAGCTTCTTCAGCAGTTGAAACCACTTGATTCTAAACTTGAAGAAGATATGAAGTATTTCCTGGATGAAAATACGCAAGATAAAGGTGAAACTATTTATGTAAAAATTCTATGAAATTGATGTATGTTAATCAAAACGTAACATCAATTCCCATTGATGACACCAACTTATAAGTTAAAAGATTGCCATAAAGCAATTACGTATGTTATTGTAGATGAACACGAAGATAATGAACTGCTACAAAACAAAAAAGCAAAAGACAGTGAAAGGGTATGATTGTATTACTGTGTGTTCCTACCCACAGTTTTCTATATGCTATTTCTCCATCTTTTCTTTATTATTTTGATCATAGCCCTACCCACAGTTTTCTATATGCTATTTCTCCATCTTTTCTTTATTATTTTGATCATAGCCCCTACCCACAGTTTTCTATATGCTATTTCTCCATCTTTCTTTATTATTTTGATCATAGCCCTCTACCCACAGTTTTCTATATGCTATTTCTCCATCTTTTCTTTATTATTTTGATCATAGCCCTCTACCCACAAAGTTTCTTTGATACAGTGTTTATTCCTCCACAATAAAATCATAATTCTTTACTAATTTTACCTACGAAACCTTTGCCGGTAGAAAAAACTGTCGAAAAAGATTGTCCACTTCTCCTATTCTGATGTCGAACCAGAAACAGACGGTAAATCTGAGAAAAGAAAACGTTTAGAAGACTTTGATCCTATGAGTTATTATGAAACAATGAGTGACATGAAAATAAAGAAAAAAGAGAAACGAAAAAGAAATCACGAGTGGGTTAAAAAATTGTGCATTTACTTTGCAAAGAATGTCCGTTGTTTTTGGTTTCTTCCATTTACTTTTCACTTTCATTCGAAATGACGCAACTTCAAGACTGAAGATGAACCCCAACGACCATGGTTTCCATGACGATGAAGCTATAAACGCAGACACGGATGGAAAACGTGGAATATCCTATCAGGTATATGCACTGTGTATATCTTGTCATTCCTCATCCATTCATATCGTCCTGTATCATTTATTTTATTGGATACATTAGACAACTTCGCAGTAATGTTATGTGCTGAGCGATTAGTTTGAGAACTATGCATCAGACAACATTAACTTTCGGGGTTAGGTGTCCAACATTTTCGATATATCTGAAAATTTGTGCTTTATGTGCATAGGTATGCTCGCAGTTTTTAATTCTCTGCCTATGGAGCATTCTATAATGGATGTTTTATCTGGCTATATTATTGCTTTATTTCTTTCAGACATGTACATCGTGTCAATTGTATAATTGCGTTTGCTATCAAATAAACGCCTCGTGTGTAATAACCCCCTGTTTGAATCGTGTGTTTATTTGACGCCTTTCTATAATAAATGCTCCGTCCATAACAAACGCTTTTCGCTAAACGAGAGGGTTGAATCAAAAAGATATAAGCCATTCAAAATTGTATAAGACATGTTTAAGGTTGTCTTAAATTAAGTGTCAGAAAAAGGCACACTGTGTGGAAGAAGATAAGTGAAACATTGCTTGGTTCATTTTATGAGAAACAAAAAGATGAAATTCGAAAGCAAAAAACCCGTTTTCGGTCCATGCTTCCCGATATCTTCTTATACGTAAGGCACTAGAACGCCGCATGTTAACGTTTCGTTAGGAGATTTCGGCCCCTCCACGCTATCCTACTTGGGAGATGCAATAGCAAGCTTCCGCCCATCAGACCCCGAGGTCACCAGCGATAGGCTTTTCTCGGGGTACGCAGAGAGAGTGCGGTCGCGACCGAAGTCTGGGCCCCTAAGCCACTGCATACTACATCGCACCCAGCTTCTACTGCTAGTTGACATCTATTATATGAAGTTTTAGCTTTATATATATATATACAAAATTTCAAAGGCTTACGAAAGTTGTGGTATTATCATAGTCACTACTGCGCATGCCCAGATTATCTCTTTGATAATTTCCGATTAAGTAAGCTAATTGCCACAAATGTAGTGCAAGTACATATAGTTAGTCGTTGCCATGACTATGAACACTTAGTCGAGTGGACTGCGCGTGCGCATATGATTTCTTTATTAAATTGTTACTGAGCAAGCTATTTACTTCAAAATCGATGTTAGTAGATGCATTTGGTCGTTGCCATAACCATGAACTTTGGCATCTGGTCAAGCAGACTGCGCATGCGCAGATGAGTTTTCCTAATAATATTTGACTATGTGAACCAGTTATTCCAAAAGGTCAAGTTCGTCCAGTTGGTCATTGCCATGACCATAAATTTGAACAATTGGTCCAGTAGACTGCACATGCCTGAGTGGACTGCGCATGCTCAGATGATTTATCTAATATTTTATGATTGAGCAAGCAAATTACTCCTAAAGTAGTGTGAGTAGATTCAGTTGGTCATTGCCATGACCATAAACATGGACGGTTGGTCCAGTCGACTGCACATGCTCAGATGATTGCTCACGTGTTTTGCAACTGACCTTACTTGTTGCTCCGAAAGCCAAACAAGTAGATCGAGGAGGTTGTGGCTTTAATGACTATAAACTCGTACATTTGGTCCAGTTGACTGTGCATGCTCAAAACGATTTTTGTAATGATTTGTGACATAGATAGCTCGCTACTTCCTGAGCAGAACAAGGAGATCTTGTTGATTTGCTATGAACTCCATTAGTTGGTGGAATGGATTGCCCAAGTTTTCAATCACATATTATTGTCAATGGATTTTCAGACCTTACCTCAATGATATTTCCCGGCCTGGTGTGTTCACACTATGCGTAAATGTAAAGTAGCCAATGTACAACTAGTGAACCACAAACATTACGACGTCGACAAAAAGAAATTTTTTTTTCCATGAAGTCAATGGATCTCTGCTGCGTGATACACGAATCGAAATTAAATGGTGTTAACGGAGAAATGGGATTTTTTCAAATAACAAGAGAAAAGGCAGTGTTTATTTTTCAAACTTTGCGCTCTCCTTGGATGTCTAGTTAAAATAATGAGTTTAATAATGAGCGATCAGAAGCAGGAATGAAATGGGATTCTATAGATTAACTCAATGCTGCTCTATGCAGGTTTTCTGTTATTAAACACTGCTTTAACTCTGTGTATTTTTTTCTCGTAGATATCGAAGAATAAAGGTCTTACTCCCAAACGTAAGAAAGAAGTTCGAAATCCCCGTCTAAAACACAGAAAAAAGTTTGTCAAAGCAAAAATCAAAAGAAAAAGTCGTGTAAGTTGATATATAGCATTATCCATTGCATAGCAATTTTTCTCGAGCTTTTATAAAACTTTTTAAAGCAAAAAAATACGATTCGAACTGAGCAATTACTGAAATAAAATATTGTTTCGAAGATTACAAAATTTCTTTATCGTAAGAAAAATATAAACAGCTTTTTTACAAGTTTGAAAAGTTTTGCTATCCAACGTTATCCAGGCTTTGTGCAACCGGCCCCGGAGGTTTTTTACATGTAGTTCCCTTTTACAGATCAATCCTATTGTCAAAGAGCTCAGTCGTTATGGTGGAGAAAGTACTGGTATCAAGTCACATCTCACCAGAAGCGTTAAGATTAAGTAGATGGTTCATTTTGTCATCTCATTGGTTGTTTTGATTAGAGATTACATCCATTGAGACATTGCCAAGAAACGGCATGAAGAGTTCTCCCATGAAAAATTTTATTTTTTTCATGAAAAAACAAAGGCTAAAACTTTTTGATAGTTTTTCAAATCAATGCAAAATGCGCATTTATACCACTTTAAATCACTAGGTCAGTATTGTATTTCTTCTTGCCACGTAAGCCTGTGCTTATACATTGTTAATGAGAATGACCTTTTCTCGCGTACTTCCGCAATATTCATTATTATTTTGGTAGTAGTTTATTCAAGCGTGCTTTACGAAGCATATTTTGTCGAATGTCTTTACTGAAAAATGGCTGAAAAAGAAGAGACGTTGAAACTTGCCCAGCAGGCATTTAAAAGGCTTCGTAAACGAGCAAGACAACTTGACATCGACAGCAAACACTTTCGAAACATAAAATCGCTGAACAATTTAAAGAACCATCGATATCGATGGTCGATTGTGTTTTTGTTGTGTCTCAGTGTTGTTGCGTTGCCTTTCATTGGTTACCGAGGATTTATGGCGCTTGGTGATGAAAGTCAGACGAAACTGATGAAGCTTTTGGCCGACAAAGTGATGGGCATCGATATAGACACAGATACATGTCTCCTTCCGACGATTGAACTATACCAAGATATGTTTCGACCGCCTGTTGATTGTGGGGTATGTGAAGATGTCGAAACTGTTGACATCGTGAATAATCTCAAAAAAGAAGAGTTTCTTGAAAAGTACGCTTACACTGGTCGACCAGTTATCATACGCAACGGTAGCAAAGATTGGAGCGCTTTGTCACATTTCAGCTTTGCATTCTTCAAGAATGTATATCCCAAAAACAGTCCTGCTCTACAGTCGTCTGACAAAGATTGTCAGTTTTTTCCTTATAGTACAAACTTCCAGTCTTTAGGTGATGTATTCAACATGTCTGATCGCATGGCTCGAATGCAAGGCGATCCATGGTACATTGGCTGGTAAGGCTTTCCCCATTGTTGGGTGTTGTTGACTGACGTGTTACAATTGTCAATGTGAGGGCTTAATGAATTCACAACTAGCTAGCAAGCTGCAATATTTTATTCAATGCATGATCACTAATGCTAATCACATTAGTACATTACTGTGCATGTGTTTTCTGTTAGTGCGCAAGTCATGTTTCAAGTTATGTGTTAAGCTCTTATGTTTGTAAATAAGATATGTAATACATGGCTGACAACACTTCTTGGCATAGTGACTAGGCATTAAAGTCATCACTATGCTCGTCCATTTCAAAGGTCTTTTTATTCACACCATGTATTTATAAATTATATACAACATTTTATTACCGGTGTTCTTCTAGGAGTAATTGTGATTCCCGTGCAGCTAATGTCCTGCGCAAGTACTACCGAAAACCTTACTTTCTTCCGGATGACTCAGAGTCAAGTAAAACAGACTGGATATTCATGGGTTGCCCCGGATACGGTGCAAGTCTTCATGTAAGTTATTACAAGCAATGAAAACTGATGGCAATCTCCATTTGATTTTAGTAAGGGAAATTAAATAGCGACATCTGAAGGGGTTATATTTTGAGCGCAGGTTATAGTGTATGGTTATATTTATTTTGTCATTTTATTTATACGACGATACGACTTTCTTTGAATGAAGGACGGGTTGTCTGTATAATTTCACATGTAAGAACAAATCTAACATATTCATCGATTATGCAGCAATAGTTGCTATTGAAACAACGGTTTGACTCTTCAAATATATTGCAAGTCCGCTCGTACTTGAAATGAGGAAGCTCGCAGTTGAAGACGATCAATTGTTTATTGTTTTAGATTGATGCTGTCGACAAACCTTCATGGCAAGCTCAAATTAAAGGAACGAAACAGTGGATATTGGAACCACCACCGGAATGTTATTTCAAGTGCAAAACTGCCAAACATGTAGTTACCGTACATCCAGGCGACATCAGTAAGTTTGTATTTCAAAATTTCAATGCACAACTGTAGTTTAACGAAGGCTGTGCTACGGGGAGGGGGTAACGGGCACTGACAATAATTTTTTGGTGGGGAAATGACCGCTTTTGAAAACGAAGCGTGCCTACTCGCTACACTAAATACATGGCTCACGAAAAGCATAATTTATTAACCTCAATAAAAATTCATATCTTATATTGGATTCAGTTCCTGTCTTTGGTAAGTTGAAGTGCACTCAATTTCTACTATGAATTGATGAATAAAGCTATTAAAACTTCACTTGATAAAATGTCACAAGTAGTGGCGTACCAGAATCATTGATTGGGAGGGGGGGTGGAGCACACAAATTCTTAGATACATGTCTTAGTTGAAAACAATGGATTTCAAAGGAACGTAATGCAGCAGAACATGAATATTTATATATATATGCCCCCCCCTGCCATACTGTTTTTAAATCTTTTCATGCAGTTGTCCTGGATACAAACAGATGGTTTCATCAAACAGATATCATTGGCCAAGATATGAGCATCACCATCGGATCTGAGTATGATTAACGAAAAGGAAATTTAATGGATAAATCTGTTGAAATAAATGTGAACAACTAGATCTTCTTGATGGATTATTGAGGCGAAGCTTAGAAAATTCATAAATGTATTTAAAGTGCTGTTTGTAATAGCTTATTTATAGTATTAAATGAGTAGAATAGTGTTCCTTTATTAAAGGGAATGTGTCTCTACAACTGTGCAAATTTTATTATTGAAAGTATGATCTGCCTCATGGTGATTGTGATTAAACAGCATGAGATCAAATCTAGTGGTGACAAAGGTTATTTTATCAAATTTGTTATACTGGAAAAATCTATTTTGAGCATGAAGTTAGCACTAGAAAATGTTATATCAAACTAGTTATTTTGACATCAAAATGTAATGTATTCTTTTAAATATGATCAGTTATTCTCTTGCTGTGTGTCAATATCTTCGTGCTGCACAAATCCACTGTCACCAGATGGCCCTGATGAACGACATTCCATGAAATAAAAGAATGTATCGAGCAGAAAGAGCATCAATGCCATGAATGCAAATGCCTAATTGAAAGAATGAAAAAAGTATATACTCGATGATTTCGATTGAGTGGGAAAACTATGGAGTATAATCATACCACAGCAGCTTCAACATTTCGACATGGAGATCCATGTTGGTCATAATGATCACATGTATCGACATATTCACCACGATACCTTATGGCACCACGGCGGTATTTACGAGCTTTATCAGCAACTATAGAGGCAGCCACCAAAAGAAGGAACGATACAATCATGGAGTAAATAGTCATCTAAAAATGAGGAAAGTTAAGAATACCTAGAGATTAATCTGGTGACTGTTTGCTAGCAATCATTCAATTTCAGTTTTTACATACCACTAGCGACCAATTAACAGATATCCTTTGTTGTATACCAAAAAAATACATGAAGAACAATATTATGGTAACTATCCATGCAGTGACAGTTACAAAAAAGAAGTATTTAAAAGATCCATTAGTGTCTGATCTTTCAGCAAAGTCTCCCAAGCACGAAAAGGCAATCAAAAGCGTCAACTAAAGCAAAAGAATATAGTAGATTTAATCTTGCTTGCCTTAAGACTTGAGCTGAATGCAAGTACTTACGAATTCCCCAAGTTTGAACAATCCTGCCCAGCTCTTAACGTAGTCAAATCCTGTCAATTGCGGCATTATGCTAGGAAAAATGAATGCAATTGAAATTCAAACTTAGTTTTATTTGCAAAGTTTACAAAGTTCGATTTAAAATGAAAGAAACACAATCAACCTTTTAAAAGGAAAAAAATTCAAATGCAACAAACTACACAAACACTTCTTTCACTGAAGAAATAGACGGTTAATATCTCTCAAAAAATATACTTCCAATGTCCAAATCAAATTAAATGAGGAAGAATTCGAGAGTGAAAGGATAATATTTTAGACTTTTAAAATAAATAATTCAATCTTCTTACCTATAATTTTATCCTACTCTCATCCAATATGCTCTCAAATACTCGCTCTTATCATGCACCTTCTGAATAACAGCCCCTGGGGACACCATATACCACCTGTGAATCCTACTCCTCGTGTTAGCCAATCAAAACATCTTATTCAAACAAATATGGCGGCAAACGAGAAAAGGAAAAGGCACAAAGGTTTCAAATTCAACTTTTTCATTTTGGATTAAACTCTATTCAAAGATATTTTTATTTCACGGATTGTTTATCTTTCATATTCGTTCGCAATGAGCAATATTAAGGGTGAGTCGTAACACAGTTGAAATATCCTAAAATTTCTTTTTTTTATTGTTTTAAAAAATTTTCAAATTTCTTTTTTAAAATACCCTAAAACGAAATTGCCTAGTAAGAATTTCTGTGTTGTTACACATTTACAAAGGTCTCGAGCTGCCCGTTCTTGTGAATGATTCTGATATGGAAAAGTTTCCCGAGTTTAGAAGTCTGTTGGGAAACTTAACGCAATACATTTGTGAGGATGGTTCAAGGAAAACAGTTAAGCAAAATTTTACCGATGTGAGTATTTTTGTAAAAGATGGAAGTTGAGTATGTATGAGATGAAACAATGAAATGACAATGAAATATGATTTCTTTACAATTTATGAATAACATCAGTCAATTGATAACATTAAATTACTCTGTATGTTGACGACGAATAATTTCGATTTGGTGTCACGCGATGGCCATGTTTATACGTAGATTAAAAACTCTTTGGAACAAGAAAAATTGCATTATCTTCAAACAAGAGTGGTGTATGATGAAATAAAAGAGATTCTTGTTAATGATGAAACCACCAGACTTGGAAAGCATTCAAATAGCATGTCAAAAAAGGTAAATTTTATGCTCCTTGATCAGAGTAAATAAAATGACTCCATTAATCCTCAAATCGCATCCATTTTTTCTAAAGGCTCTAAAGATAATGAAAGATGCAACTGTAGCGGCAGAGTCTGTGGACTATTTGGATTTTAATCCTGATGAAATTAACTCAGATGCATCTCTTTTTGGTTTGAAAATTGAAGATTTATTGCATAACTATACACAAAGGATGGTAATTTTTTTAGTCTTTTGTCTACATGTTGATGGTGTTTATTACGAACAACTAGTGCTGTAGAAGTGGGGGTGCTTGGGGGGAGGAGCCCCTTTCTATCTTTGAAATGGGTAATTTTTCATAATTTCATGGCTCCAGCTTCGTCAAGAGAGCCCCCCCTGATAAATTTAGTTCTACAGCACTGCAAACAACCAATGCTATAGGTATTTAACAACTAAGAAACAGGAGTTGTTTACTGTGCCCAAACATACAGAGAAGAAAGGAGACTTTTTGGGTTTGCATAAGCCTATGCAAACACGAAAAACATCTTTTATTTCTTTTTTGAAATGACAACAATTCTAAACATGTAAATTCAAAACAATTGTTTCAATTTTTCTTTTAACATGTGTTCATGGTTGATTTGCAAATTCTTTTTGATTCATTCAATTGATTCAGGGTAGATCGTTTAGCCTAGGCTAACACAGAAACTCAGCTATAGATTAAACAGAGCACATGTTGTGTTGTTTTTATTTTATAATAAAGATGACCCAGTATTTATTTCTTTTTTTCACTTAGTATTCGTGTCATCGAGAAATTGTTGAATTAGTGGAGAATAACTTGAAAAAGAAGTGCGAACAAATGGCTGAGTACTATCATGCTTCCAACTCAAAAGGTTAGCAATTCTATTCATTTCCTGAAAAGCCTGTCATCTTTGATTAGGAGGACTGGTACCCACTCAACTGTTGCCATTAATCCTTGATCAGGAGGACTGGTAACAGCTCAACTGTCACCATTCATTCTTGATCAGGAGGACTGGTAACAACTCCACTGTTGCCATTCATCCTTGATCAGGAGGACTGGTAACCACTCAACTGTCATCATTCATTCTTGGTCAGGAGGACTGGTAACAAGTCAACTGTTGCCATTCATTCTTGATCAGGAGGACTGGTAACAACTCAACTGTCATCATTCATTCTTGGTCAGGAGGACTGGTAACAAGTCAACTGTTGCCATTCATTCTTGATCAGGAGGACTGGTAACAACTCAACTATCATCATTCATTCTTGGTCAGGAGGACTGGTAACAAGTCAACTGTTGCCATTAATCCTTGATCAGGAGGACTGGTAACAGCTCAACTGTCACCATTCATTCTTGATCAGGAGGACTGGTAACAACTCCACTGTTGCCATTCATCCTTGATCAGGAGGACTGGTAACCACTCAACTGTCGCCATTAATCCTTGATCAGGAGGACTGGTAACAACTCAACTGTCATCATTCATTCTTGGTCAGGAGGACTGGTAACAAGTCAACTGTTGCCATTCATTCTTGATCAGGAGGACTGGTAACAACTCAACTGTACTCACTGCTCTTTCGCTGATAATTTATAGAAAGTATTTCAAAGTTTGCTTTTGCCAAAGCAACGCAACTTCCTGCATTGATTGAGAATGAGATGTCGACCATATTACAAGGAAAGGAGCAATGTTGGAGAGAAAAGATAACAAGGAGTGAACAGAATGTACATTATTACGAGGTGAGCAAGAACTTAAATATCTACGGCCAAAATGAGATGACTGGAGTATCCTCTTGATTTTCTTAAAGTTCAGGTCGGTGATAGATTTCAAGAAGGGTTGATGCAGGGGTGAAAATTTCACTTCAAAATACTTTACAAGTTTTAAGGAAATGGCATAGTATAGTAACTTTTTAAGCTACATAATTATTTACGTGACCGATGTTCTTACTATCTTGTTAAAATCACATGTTATGTAATAACTTTTTAAGCTACATAATTATTTACGTGACCGATGTTCTTACTATCTTGTTAAAATCACATGTTATGTAATAACTTTTTAAGCTACATAATTATTTACGTGACCGATGTTCTTACTATCTTGTTAAAATCACATGTTATGTTAAAATTTGATTCTATTCTTCTTTTCAAGGTTGAACCTTTTGTATTATTTTATCAATGTTTGATGAGACCACAAAATTTAATTAACCAAATAATTTCAAGCGATTATCTTTAGTGTTAGCTAAATGGAGCACTCTTCCAAAGGTCTCCCCATCATAATGATAATAAAACAACAAGGGAATGAAGCAAAGCAGTCTGACATGCATGCCAAAGAACAATTGACCCCCGAAATCAGTGCTGCCACTCGTAGGGGAAATCCCCTACAGTAGGAGGATTTAGTGGTTTGTAGGTGGTAGGTGAAACCTACCGGAAAACTGTAAAATGTGGGGGGATTATAGGGAGAAAAGAAAATTGTTTATAAATGAGAATGTCTATTCTCATTTTTGCCCCAAATTCTCTATTCTACCTGTGTTCTCACTATTTAAGAAGTGATTGTAACAAAAACTTTCTGTTGGAACATTTTGTGACCATATATGGCAATAGAAGATTAGCAATTTAGCATAAACACAATGTGTCATTTCCGTCACTTGCATGTCATTACGTCACAACGTCTTACGCCAAATTACTAACTTTGCAGTCCAGATGTTTTTCAATTTTTTGTGTATTCACTTTTTTACAAACAGACTAAAAAATTCAGTGGTCTGACCCGACATAGGTATATAACAGGGGATATGTTGTTGTGTAGGGGGAAAGTAGGGGAAAACAAGGAAAATGGTCCTAGGGGGAGGTAGGGGAAAATAAAGTTTTGGTAGGTGAAATGTGCATACACAGAGTGGCAGCACTGCCCGAAATCTAAACCAATCAAGAGCACTCCCCTTACCAAACCATTGTGGATACATCACTAGTTCAGATCAGCGTAAGATGGGATTGATTTGTCATACAGCACTCCTACCAGTTAGCAATCGTCATGGAAGACAATACATAAACCATTCTTCCCTGAGCATTCTGATAGCTTGAGTTTATCTTTCTTTAAGGTGCTAGTTAGTTCTCTGGATCTTTGTGAAAAGCTTATCACTGAATATAAACTTGAATGGCAAAAGAAATGTGATGTTATCACATGTGATTGGCTGGTTGCTAAATGCCAAGCCTTGTGTTTGAAAATAAGGTAAAAGTCCAACAAATATTCTTTTATTATTTATACATACATTTCATAGCCAGCTCGATTTTTGTTTTGGGGGGGGGCAGGTATTCATAATTGCATTTTGTGTCACATTAATTTCCTTCACTTAACGCCCAAGGCAGCTCCATCCCTCTTACGCTTTTCTAGTTTCAACACCTCACCCTAAATATACATCACATCACACTTACACAGCCACAGTAATATGATACCTCAAACTTTGTAAATAACTCTATATATATCTATAATTCTTGTTAACTTCTATATTAGTCTGAAGATGTCTTGAGTCAAGACAAAACGTCACTATTTTAATAAATTTCACAAAACCAAATTGTTTATGTCTATGTTCAAAATTATTTGTTGGGCTCTAATATTTATATTGAGAATCCGTTTCCCGCCTGGCAATTCGTTGGCAACAATATCAATTTACTTTGAAATAAATTGTTTTTTATGGATTATACAATGCACATATAATAGCCGTAAATATTCCCCCCCCCCTCCTACTCCCTCCCTCCCCAATTATCAACCAGGCTATGTCACTGGTTTTGTGACTTTTTATAGTTTTGACGACAGGGCTTGCATTGTAGAGTTTGTAGCATTTATATACACACAAATGTATGATGTTCGTTATTGACTATAACATAGTTTGTCGCTTGTTGTGGGGCTATTTGGCTTGCAAAATCAATTGAAATTATTCTTTAGAAAAAGGCATTTGCTGTAAGTTATGACGAAGAATTTGTGTGGTACTTTTAGTTGATGTGTTTTTTATTGTTTTGCAGAGTATTACAAAATCAATTGCTTTGCGATACGTACACATCAGAATCCGTTCCTGCCCTGGAGAGGATACGGTAAGTGTAAGACTTTGTATAAATGATAAAACCCACTCCAAAAAACATCCAAAAAACTCAAGATTCGACTTATGACAGCAAGAAGACAAGATTCAAAGCAATATTTTGACTTTATTTCAAAGTCGTTATCAAAATAACTGAAATCAATATCGAAGTCAACATCATTGTAGTAAAGTCGAAATATTGCTTTATATCTTGTCTCTTGAATCCTGTCTCTTTAAGCTCAAATCTTGAGTTGACAAGATGATGTTTTTTGGAGTGTGTTTTATCTTTTATTTTTTTCAAATTGTCTGCTGGAAAAAGAGTTTAAGACCTTGTATGTTAAACGGCAGTTTTTAATGTAAATGGTTCGAACCCGGGAGTATCGTTACATGTTTGTAGATGTAGATCGTCCAGGTTGGTATAGGATGTTGCGATAACTGTTGACGTAACGAATACAGCCAATCGGATGTTGCGATAACTGTTGACGTAACGAATACAGCCAATCGGATGTTGCGATAACTGTTGACGTAACGAATACAGCCAATCGGATGTTATACAGTTTCACTGCATCGTCATAATCTACACCATGAAAATAGTTTGAAAAGAAATTTTTCATTTGAAAATTACTCTCTGTCTGTTTTAGGAACAGTCTGAAGATGAAAGAAAGTGAAATAAAGAATGAATTACATCATGTTCTACAGTCGCTGACTGCATATAAATCGTTAGGAATGGGATTTGATGACCTAGTTCAACGTTATGGTGATATGCTTGCTGAGATTGATAACAAAAAATGGGCTTTAACTGAGCTTAGACAATCTGCCAGTAAACACTGAAATTTTTTGACGTAATGGGCTTTAACTAAACTTAAACAATCCGGTTGCTAACACTAAAATTTTTGGACGTAATGGGCTTTAACTGAACTTAAACAGTCCGCTAGTAAACACTAAAATTTTTGGACGTAATGGGCTTTAACTGAACTTAAACAGTCCGCTAGTAAACACTAAAATTTTTGGACGTAATGGGCTTTAACTGAACTTAAACTGTCCGCTAGTAAACACTAAAATTTTTGGACGTAATGGGCTTTAACTAAACTTAAACAGTCCGCTAGTAAACACTAAAATTTTTTGACGTAAAGGGCTTTAACCGAACTTAGGCAGTCCGCTAGCAAACACTAAAATTTTTTGACGTTCAGTGTCCTGTTTGTTCAAACCGTCTCCTCTTACAACTACATTATATTTGTATATTTATTTAGGCGTGGGGTAAAGTGAAATTTACTTTTTTTATTGGTATGTTTTATGTCCAAGTAAACAATCATTTTTTCATTGTGATAACTGCAGGCCAGTTTATTGAGACTTTATGGTTGTAAACTTACGTCGACGTTGAAAAAATTAATACTAATGTATTTTTTCTCCTTGATGATAGATTGCTAGTGTCTAGGATATACAAAAGTTTCTTCATCTTATATTCTAGATTTTAATAACCTGCTTTAGCCATCTGCTTAACGGATTACATTGTGTTAGCCAAGCTGCCCTCTCGGCTGACATTGCATGTAAAGTATAAAAGATAATGCAGATTGCTAGGAAATATAGATCCTATAGGATGGTCTTTGGCAAAAAAGCCAAAACACAAAGTATAGGCTGGCAAAATGATTGTTTACAGACACTGTATACTAACCATGCATGATTATGTAATACCTTCGCACATTTTGTATGCATGATAAGTTTCAATGATTTAAATATTTTCAGGCTGTAAGGACAGACAGAATAATAAAACTCATAACAGTCGTTCTGTAATGATGTTCTTTGTAAAAATATCTCAGGTTCTTTTGATTTGTCTTCTCATCATGTTGTGTTATGGTGAGGATAACGAGTACAGCTCACGCTATGCTTACAATTTATCATCTTTGATGTTTAATGGACTAAGCGAGAAATGTAACAGAACATTGGAAAATATGAGTGCAGATACAAGATTGCGATGTAAGTGTATTTGATTAGAAGAGATTTTGTACTGATTTTTCCATATCATACTTTTTATAAATTTCATTTCATCCAAGTAACTAGCTCCATACGTTGGACGGTCTTCCGAAGCCTGGAAGCACTTGATAACCACACGCAGCTTTCATAAGGGAAAGTCTAAGATGTCCCACCAGCGCTTAGTAGAATTTTCGTGATGAATTGGTTATAGGGGAATCTCTATCCATAAGAGAATATGTTATTACTTGTTAAAGTAACTACATTGTCCATTCTTTCAGATCTCGACAGTTGGGGCAAACCTGGAGCAGGTATTTTGAGCGGCAACGTGAAATGGTTTGGGGCGTTTGATCAATGCATCGCTATCTCGGGTGGAAAATATTGCCTCGTTACTTTAATAGGAAATATTACGAACAAGGTTAATCAGTTGTATTCATTTGAAAATGCCCTCTGGGTAGGTCATGCGCGTAATTTAATTAATATATTTTTTAGACGATTCCAATATGGTACGGAATGTGTCTACCTAATGTTTGTGTCAACGCTGATTCTTACATTGTCGTTCAAAACTTCCTAAATAACAGTAGGTTATCTTACGATTTTTTTAAATCGACTGTTTAGTACAACATGACAATCAAAAACTACGAAGCACGGCTTATCGCTAACCAACAAACACTGACCGACTACTAGACCAATCATCTTACAACCTTACATTACACAAAGCCACCACAATGAGAACATTAACAAGACGTGCACAAATCATATGTGATACACCCGACGCTCTACACAACGAAAATAACCATCTCAAACGTGTTTTTGATAAAAAAAAACTATAACTCTGATTTCATCAAACGCAACACTTACAAGCGCAATGAACCGAACGAAACGAACAACTCAACGACAATAGCAAAGATACTTTATATCAAAGGTACGTCTGAGACTATCTCGCGTATCTTACGACCATACAACATACGTGTCGCACATAAACCAATCACAACGCTACGACAAGTACTAACGAACATCAAGGACAAAGAACAACCCAACAAACGACAAGGTGCAGATTACAAAATAGACTGCTCCGACTGCCACGCTTCCTACATAGGGGAAACTGGCAGGAACATAAGACTTACTGAACACAAACGAGCTACAATGAATGGAGACAAAACCAATCATATTGCCGAACATCACCGACTGACAAAGCACAACATTGACTGCGACCCGGCAAAATGTATCACTTACAGCACTAACTATAGACAAAGGCTTACATTAGAAAGTTGGTATACCAACTTGGAACAAACCCCCCTGAACAGATCACAACAATTTCCGGCTCCTTACAAACAACTCATTCACAATACAAACAAACAAGCAACTAACACATGACTAACCACGATGACAATTTACAATTGACACCCACACATTTCCTGTACACACAATACAATGACGTAAGAAACAGATAAAAAATACGGTTAACCTGACGTTTACTCCTCGCTTGACTGAGAAGATGACTACCGCGAAGGTTGTCGAAACGTCAGTCAACATCAATACGAACAGTCCTTCTCAGGACTTTACTAACCTGGACGATCTTCATCCACAAACATGTTACAATTTTTTTTATTGAGAATGAAATAACCATGGGCTAGCTTTGCACAATCAACAAAGATCTATGAATTTTTACAATTTACATCCGTTTTTTGTTGCCTGTTTGCAGGTGACTTACTTTTTTCACATTGAACATTTATCATCAGTGTCAATATTACATGTTTGTAGATGTAGATCGTCCAGGTTGGTATAGTCCTGAGAAGAACTGTTTTTGTTGTTCTTTATCTGGTTGATTTGATGGAGCATAAACTCGTTTTATTTAATGTAATACTTCGTGTTTTGATGTAAACACTTCGTATTTTTTTCTTCTAATTCACGATACTGGAGGTGGTTCGTGGGGGCTTGGGTTCAATATTCATACATACGTGTTATTAATTTTTAATTTTTAACTCCGTCGATTTCGACGTATGAGGGTTCCACGAAGTGGAACATCCTGGTTACTGAAATTATAGTGAAGGCAGCTGACCAGACTACAATCACTCGTACCCTTCACGAACCAACAACGCTGATATCAGCGTGACACAGTGTGACAAGGCTGCAACATTGCAGATGCAGGTACAGTCCATCCGAGGACATAGTTTCCTCTACCAAATTTCCCTCACATGGCTTTGGTCAACCCGGGCTAGGTTTACAGACACATTGCCAAATGTGCCACGATCCGGGATTGAACCCGCGCCGTCTGGCTTACAGCTCACGCCATTAACCATTCAGCCACTCACCCTTTTATACGTGTTAAAATCCCAATAAAACAGCTGATTTCAAAGGAACTTAGTGATGGGCGATACCAGCTTTTTCGAAGCGATACGATACTTGTCCGATATCAAACATTTTTAGTGGTAACGATATCAAATTTCGATAGCGATAGCAACAAATTAGATTGAATTAGATTACCAAATAGTATAACTAAAAGACCATTTATCAAAACTTTTCTTGAAGCACCAAGAAGTAAATATTGAAGTGTACAAATAGCCCATGTGATAACTTATTAAATTTATTTAATACTGAAGTCTTTGATGTTTACAACTTACATCAATTACATAAAATTGATGCAGCTATAGGATGTTGTTGTTTTCTACAACTGACAGCACATTTACTATTTGGATTGGCCGTATAAACGGTGATTTTCTCTAGATTTACGAAGTGGCCGTATTGACCGGGTAACTTTATTATAAAATACATTAGTGTTTCGCAGGAATAGTAAAAATTGACTGTATTATCTGGTTGATCGTAAAGCGGCAATTCACTGTATTCCAACTAAACGACACTAGGTGTTATTGTGAGTGAGTGACGTATTTTTTGTTATAAATACGTTCTGTGTGTAATGGCGTATCTTTTCTTCTTATTTTTTCCGAATAGTTGGCAGTCAATTTTTTCCGACCGTTAAAATCATCGATCTAAACTGCTATGAAGAACCGAAGTACACTTGGTCAGTGATATTAACAATGTAAGAAAAATTAAGTTCAAGTCCACAGTCTGTCTTACCTCGCTGTACAAATTGGTTATATATATTTGGTTGGATTACTGTCTGCTGCGGTTAGCTATCTAGTTTTGCTATTGGTCAGAAAATGCAGTTTTTACTGGCTGTCGTTATAATTATCACATGCTTAAATATAATAAGATTTACGCTGCACAAAAATTTACAATATAGTGAGACTACTGCATGTTTCTTTACTGTGTTTAAGTCCACATGTGTCTGATTTATTGGACAAAACTCACTGAAATAAACTTGACCGTATGTTTTTTCTTTTACAGAATACTGTGCGGTATTATTTTGTCATGTTGTTTAATTGGGACCTGTATAGATGTATATAAAGAAACAATACAAGCGAACTGTGTGGAGTATATGTATTTGGGTAGAGAGTATAGTGTGATTAAACCACAAGAAATTCATTTCCCAGCTGAAACTACACCGTTGGTCTCTAAGAAAAATGGCATGACGGTTTATCGTAATGGTGGGTTGGACTATCATAATGGTAGGTTGGACTATTATAATGGTAGGTTGGACCATCATAATGGTAGGTTGGACCATCATAATGGTAGGTTGGACTATCATAATGGTAGGTTGGACTGTCATAATGGTAGGTTGGACTAGGTTAGAATACAGCAAGGATTATGGAAGATGATGTAGGTATAGGGGTATTGATATTGAATTATAATTTAATACTCGAATACGAAAAAAATAGATTAAATCGAGTCTTCTTTAAAGATATTAAGTAACAGATATACTTAAAAATAGTATCTTATTTAAATTTAAAATAGCGTTCGAAGAGAGTTTTAAATTGGAAACAAGTGAAAAACAAAATGAAATCACAAAGAACAAAAGTTCAAATGATACAAGAGGTATTTAAGATAAACATACTTTTCAATGCATCGTTTATAATTAAAATGTTGTATATCAATCTACAGATTTCATCGTTGATATATTTCTTTGCTTCTCGCTGTTACGAAATTCTCGGAATATTATGAAAACCGATGCAGCTGCTGATAATTTACTTTCTTTGAATGGTATAAGAGTTATAACAATGCTTTGGATCATACTTGATCATACCTATGGTGTTGCGCGCTATCCACAAGGAATCCTTGGTAGGTCTTTGGAATTGCACGTTAAAGTGTTCTGTATTTTGTAAACAGAGTTATTTAATAGTATAGCATTAAAACGCATTCTTTTTTGTCATATGTAGAGAACTTGTTGGATTTTTATGACGAGACTAGAAAGTTTACAGAAATGATAATCGTAAATTCGTTTGTTACTGTCGATACGTTTTTCTTTCTTTCGTAAGTTAAACATGTTATATGTTTTGTTTACATGCAGTTTCATTCATGTTTCAACGTATTAAAACTATACACTCATTGACAGCGGTTTCTTGGTTATGTATAAAGTCATGAAGATTTTGGAGCAAAATAAAGGCAACTTTCAATGGAGTATGTTGTATGTTCATCGATATTTCAGGTACGTAATCCTGTTCTGCTTAATGTGCTTATATCAGGGTTAGGTAGCTAAATAACTTTTTGGGATTTTCAATTGATTTTTTGAAGTGTATTTGATATTTTGAATATTTTGTCGTAATGCGATATTTTGCGCATAGAATATAGTGACTCCGCGGACAGACTCTTTAAGGAGAAAACGTAGTTTTATTTTTTGTGCGTGTTGTTTGATTATTCGTGGCAATGCTATCAAACCATACAAATACACCTACATATTAAATTTTGTTCCTCTTATAGTGTTTTTCTGTATAGTAAAGCCATATCTTCAATGTATGAGTTCTTTTTATGTCATGTCCAGCACAAAGTCACCTACTTCCGGGTAAATAAAGCCCGGTACGGTGGAATTTTCGTCCTATCAAATATATTGCAAATGTTTTTAATTTCCATTGAACTATCTAAAGAAGTTGTTTCCCTAGCCCTGATATAGTCACTTTAAATTGAGAAATGGCGATTAGAAATGTTTTGAATCAACAATTAAACTTCAATGTAGAGTATCATTTGTTAGGCACGTGTCAAAAAGATGATCAATGCAATATTTAACGTTGTACTTTTAGACTGACGCCTGCGTTGATGTTTTTCATACTGTTCAATGTAAAGTTAAAACCGTTCGTTAGTAAAGGCCCTCTTTGGGAGCAACATCTGAAAGAAGATGAGGGATGTCGTAAATATTGGTGGACAAATCTTTTGTATCTGAATAACTTTTATCCAGCAGATACAACACGAGGGGTAAGGCATAATAGAAGTTGTGCTTTACTTTTAGGAGTTAGTACTGTCTGCAGTTCATCCACTGTTTTTCTCCGTATGTGTGTTTCGAAGTCGAAGACTGAAAAAAGATAGAGAGGCTCTATGCTTAACAGTTAGGTTTTCATTTGAAAGGTTCCACACTCTCCTATTGAACTTATAGCTTTAGCATTTAACCTTCAAACTTGTTTGACGCTTAATGTGTGTATATAGCTAGGTTATTTTGCAAAAAAACACATCGTAGTGCCTTAATTTATTCACTCATATCCAATTGCTCAAACTGTTTGGTCGGTAAAAATTACAAAATGTTTTTGGAGAAATTTTATGTATTTCTTCTCTGTGCATAAGTGCTTTTGACCAAAATTTGCTCTTAGCTTTAAGTACTTGCAGAGGGTAGGCTTAGAATGACGTAAATTACGAAAAGGAATCGATGATCTGCCCGAATTCAGAATATTAAACCAGTTTAATGATCTACTTTACCGAATTACAGCGTCGTTGACCTACTGATTTAGTGTAATTTCAATAATTTTGTATCATTTATATAGTGTAATGGTCATTTGTGGTATCTTTCTGTGGATATGCAGTTCTTTATCTTAGCGCCTTTCATCATTTGTTTCTTTTACCGGTGGGTATAATAAAACTATACACTGTAGATAGATATATGGTATATATTCTCGATGATGGTGTCATTTTTGAATTGTTGTGCAAAACAAGATCGTCCGTACCTAAAAAATAAAAAGTTTTCAATGTTGTAATGAAGCTGCATCTTGATCAGTACTAAATATATCTCTCAACTGACCTTCCACTTTCCCCTTTTTACATCAATTTTTAACCTTTGCTCATTTCAACCTACTTTAAACTAACTTTCTGTATTATCAACGATATGTTTCGACTTTTAACGCAAGGTCTCTATTGATTATGTATAGATATGGTTATCGTGCTGTGGTTGCAACCTCCTTAGTTCTTGGTGGTGGCTCGATTGTTTACATTGCTGTCATGACAGAACATTACAATCTTCATCCATTAACTTTGGTTTTAAGACATGTTACTTTGTAAGTTATTCAATATCCCTTTCTCTTATGTGTATTCAATATTTTTTATCTTACATCCTATATCTTACATCCCTTTATCGTGTGTCGTATCGTATATCGTATATCATATCTTATTAGATCTTGTACCATATTATAGATTTTAACATCCTTTCTTGTGTTTCTTATAATTAATGTGTTATAACTCTTTTGTATCATATCTTATAAGATCATGTATCGTGTCTTATTTCTTGCATGCTTTGTTTTTCTTTTTATAATTTATGTGTTATAACTCCTTTGATATGTGCTTATATTTATTTATTTCACTGGTTAAATTTTTTGTACAGAACCTTCATTTCTAATTCTGTTGCTTTTTTCTTCATGTTGATGAACTTTGCAGGAAAGAGTACGTTAACTATCTTAATTATTTGTATGACAAACCATATGCTCGATTTCCTCCTTGTTTGGTTGGTCTGGTATTTGGTTATCTTTTGCATAAAGGAGCGCTGAGAAAAAATCAATTAAATTGGGTAAGATAGAAGGCCTTAGTGTGAGATGATTGATTTCGTGTTATCAAGGGTTTATGATGTATCACATACTTGTTTTTATTCACCAAAAATAAAAACTTTTTTCCAGACTAAAGCTTCGTTACTTTGGTTCTTATCAACTGCCGTCGCATTGTCTTTAATATACGGACCTTACACGGCAATAAAGAAAGACCCCAGAGCGTGGACGATGTTTGAAAAAATTTTCTACGCTTCTACATTCCATCTTGTGTGGCCGTTTGTGTTGTCTTGGGTTGTCTATGCTTGCGAATTTGGCTATGGAGGTTTGTAAAACATACATGTTTACGTTCTTTTCTAAGTCTGGTATTTCTTTGTGAATTGGGTAATATAATTAATGTCCCCTCCCCTCCCCCCCCCCGTTAGAAATAATAGCTCCTGTACGACAATGGTTTTTTGTACCAACGTAATGTTGTTTTATCTAGTGAGACTGTGTGCTGTGTATTTGTCAATTAAACTATATCGATGCTTATGTAATTTTATGTAATGACATACTCCCATTTCAGGTTATGTTAAGGACTTTCTGTCTGCAAGTTTCTGGATTCCTCTTGGTCGTCTTACGTATTCAACATATTTAGTACATTTGTTAGTGCTTAAAGTTATGATAAATGGTTCAAGAACTGGACTCGTTTTCACAACACAGTGGTGGGTAAGTGATAAAGGCTTGATAATGAGTTTTCACAACACAGTGGTGGGTAAGTGATAAAGACTTGGTAATGAGTTTTCAGAACACAGTAGTGGGTAAGTGATAAAGGCTTGGTAATGAGTTTTCACAACACAGTGGTGGGTAAGTGATAAAGGCTTGGTAATGAGTTTTCACAACACAGTGGTGGGTAAGTGATAAAGGCTTGGTAATGAGTTTTCACAACACAGTGGTGGGTAAGTGATAAAGGCTTGGTAATGAGTTTTCACAACACACTGGTGGGTAAGTGATAAAGGCTTGGTAATGATATTAACGTGGGTTGCATTCACTCTGTGTTGTTAATTAAATGAGACCTTTGATTTACTGTAGTGATTTCATGAAAGTTATGGTAAAGGCAGTAAGATTTAAAACATAAAATATGGTTGATTGATTATGCCACAAAGTGAACAATGCTGTGTTGAATGAGAAGATGGGGGGAGGGAGAATAGGAGGGGCTCACTTCTTGTAATAACATGCTGAAGTCATATTGCGGAAGATATCTTCATTTTCCTATGCATTTCTAAGAATGTTATTTATCCATGATTTGGTGCTCTTCGCGTTAAATCAAACTACTTTAAATGCTAACCCCTCTTTCATTGCATGTTTGATTTTCTTAACCACTTTCCCCACAGATTAAAAAACTGTGAACAGCCCATCTTTGAAAAAAAACACAAATGAGAAATGTATCTTTTCTCCAGGCGTACATCTACTGTGGTACCGTACTTTTATCGCATGCCCTTGCATTCTTATTGGCTATCACCGTCGAATATCCTGTTTTCAATCTCGAGAAACTTGTTTTTGGCGGTCTTAGAGGGAAGGCAAAATAGACTTAAAGAAAACCAGGGATGGCAATGAAGGTTTATGATGACGGTATTTCTTGTGAACTTCAAAATATCCTTGTCTTAAACGAACCCATCATTATGTGTCTACCATCATACTTACATTGTTATTTCTACAAGAAAATCATTTGGAGAAGGACTTTTCATTTTGATTTCAATAATTTTTTTATTTTGATTTTTAGTGTAAGATTTTGAATCTAAGATTTTGACTTATAAGCTTATGCAATATTAACTCACGTTATGTTTTCCTGCAATATTTTTTACCTATTTTTGCCTGTGTTTGTTCTATATGGAATTTGTGTGTCAAATCTATCAAATATTACTGTTATGTTACACCCTCTGTCATAAAAAATTTCTTAAAAAGGAAAAACATAAGGTTTGTACTGAGCAATTGCTCAAATAGAATATTACTTCCAAGATTACAAAATTTCTTTGTCGTAATGAAAGTATAAACATCTTTTTTAGAAGTTTGAAAATTTTTCCATTCAATGGATAGTGTTATCCAAGCTTTTTGCAACCAGCGCCTTGTTTGCTACGACTTTTACGATTTACAAGAAATTTGGTTGTATTGGTATGTCTGTGTCCAAGTAAACAATCGTTTTTGCATTGTGACAACTTTAGGCCAGTTCAATGAGGTTTGATGGTTGTAAACTTACGTCGATGTTGAGAAACTAAAAGCTAATGGTATTTTTCTCCGTGATGATAGAGTTTCTAGTGTCTAGGATATACAAAAGTTTCTTCATCTTATTTTCTAAATTACAATGAAAAATGCAAGGTGAGAGTGTTAGGTTTTGTGATGCAGCCTTATTTAGTATATATTGACTTACACCAACAAATAGAGATATCACAGATAACTATTATGATCACATTTAATGTTCAACGTCAATGTGTATGGTCTACCATCTGTCTTACAATGGTTAAGCTACTTCTATTTATACACGATATTACGTATGGATATATTTGTTTCTTTACTAAATATTGTTAATTTACAATCAACGGAAATCTATTAGGAACTATAAAAAATATTGTGTTATTGCTCATAAGTATCTCTTAAAATATTCATTTAGTTAGCTACACTTGAATTAATTATTCACTAATTACAGGAAGAATATGAGAGCATATCTTAACACCCCCACTTGCTCTTGAATGTTCTGAGAATACTACATTTTTTTTGAGCCATCTTTTCTTCACCAAGTTGCCCTCTCGGCTGGCATTGCATGTAAAGTATAAAGATAATGCAGATTGTTAGGAAATATAGATCCTATAGGATGGTCTTTGGTAAAAAAGCCAAAATACAAAGTATAGGCTGGCAAAATGATTGTTTACACACACTGATATACTAACCATGCATGAGAATGTAATACCTTCGCCAGAGGCTTTGGAAGCTTTCAAAAGTTGTGGGTGTTCCATGTTCGCAATTTGATAATGCGAGAAACTTAGAATAGTAATGAAACTGTTTCATATTAGTTATTTTTGATAGTTTTTTCTTCCTCTTTCGGCCTATATGCATTACATACAAATGATTTGCATATATTTGCATAATGCTCAAACAATTTGAAATTTCCAGCTTGCTGTGCCAGTTCCTTCATTAGAAAATTCAGTGTGCTTGCAAAAACTCAACATGCAACATGTCATATATTTTCATGCAAGAAGCTAAATTTGTGCGTGTCCTCCCTATATAGAACACCCACACTCTAAAAGTTGTGGGTGCAGTGGCACCCGGACACCCATGGCTTCCCAAGCCCCTGACCTTCGCACAATTTGTATGCATGATAAGTTTCAAAGATTTAAATATTTTCAGGGAAGGCTGTAAGGACAGGCAGAGTAATATAACTCATAACAGCAGTTCTGTAATGATGTTTTTTGTTAAAATATCTCAGGTTCTTTTGCTTTGTCTTCTCATCATGTTGTGTTATGGTGAGCATAACGAGTACAGCTCACGCTATGCTTACAATTTATCATCATTGATGTTTAATGGACTAAGCGAGAAATGTAATAGAACATTGGAAAATATGAGTGCAGATACAAGATTGCGATGTAAGTGTATTTGATTAGAAGAGATTTTGTACTGATCTTTCCATATCATACTTTTTATAAATTTCATTTCAACCAAGTAACTAGCTCCATACGTTGGACGGTCTTCCGAAGCCGGGAAGCACTTTATAACCACGCGTAGCTTTCATAAGGGAAAGTCTAAGATGTCCCACCAGCGCTTAGTAGAATTTTCGTGATGAATCGGTTATAGGGGAATCTCTATCCATAAGAGAATATGTTATTACTTGTTAAAGTAACTACTTTGTTGTTTCTTTCAGATTTCGACAGTTGGGGCAAACCTGGAGCAGGTATTTTGAGCGGCAACGTGAAATGGTTTGGGGCGTTTGATCAATGCATCGCTATCTCGGGTGGAAAATATTGCCTCGTTACTTTGATAGGAAATATCACGAATAAGGTACAACTAGTTGTATTCATGGAAAATTGCCCACTGGGTATTTCATGCGCGTAATTTTATGTATTTTTATAGACCATTCCAATATGGTATGGAATTTGTCTGCCTAATGTTTGTGTCAACGCTGATTCTTACATTGTCGTTCAAAACCTCCTCAACAACAGTAGGTTATCTGACAATTTTTTATTGAGAATGAAATAATGAAATAACCTAGAGCTAGCTTTAGTGATTTTGTTGTACAAATTCTTCAAAATGATCTTCACAATTCAACAAAGATCTTTGAATTTTTACATCCGTTTTTGTTGCCTGTTTGTAGAAACTAGCCCGGGCTTAACCCAGGTTAATTTTTTTTCGTGTAATCACTACTAACCCTGGTCTAACCTGGGTTAAACTCAACCCATCTCAAGAGGTAGGTGTTAGTGTTTACATAAAGATTGAACCTGGTTTGAACCTGGGTTAGTTTGTGAAAGGGCCAACGTTTTTTCATTAGAGTCAATATTGTTGATCTTTATGTCGTTGATTTGATGGAGCATAGACTCGTTTTGTTTGATGTGAAATGCTTCGTGTTTTTTTGTTTCTGTAATCAGTGAATTTGAAATTCACGGTACTATGGGCGAAGGCTTGGGTCCAAAATTTCTAAATACATGTTATGTGTTAAAATGACGTGTACAACTTACATCAACTACATATAATTGATTGTCGATTTTATGTTATTAAGTTTGTAAGATGTCGTTCATCTCAAACTTTATTTTATGATGTATATCTCTCGTGTCATTGAAATGAACGTTGTAAACATCGAAAAACATCGATACCTGGTATTGGCTCATCACTAAAGGAACTTTATATGGCCGAATGTGCACATACGAATATTGACCCACTCCTTATTATCGAGCATTTGTTGCCAAATTTGTCTTTAATAATTTTATTAAAATTAACGTTGTAAAAATTGGGCTTTATTTATATATAAATATTGTGCCTCTCAACTATCGTGTTTGTTGCAGTAACATGCAAGCTGTAAAATTGCTGTGTTACTTAAAATTTCCACTATTTGATTAACAACAACAGAGCGTGAAATCAACATAAATTTTCTTCTCCATCGGGATTTTTCGACCAATTTGGCGATTCTGGTTTCACAGTGGAACCCCGTTAATACGGCCACCAACGGGACAAAAAAAAACGGCCGTAACAGGGTGGCCATATCAAAGGGAATGAAACATGAAATATTCAAGCGTGAGGTCATCAGAGAAACTTTATTTTAAATGTTACAATGAAACATCCCTCACTATGATATCTATTAATAAATACACAAAATCAAGACTTCATAAACTCCTTTTTTGTATGCAAATGCGTTATGTGTGTAATGGCGAACCTCTTTCTATTTTTTTCAAAATAGTTGGCAGTCAATTTTTTCCGACCGTTAAAGTTATCGATCTAAACTGCTATGAAGAACCGAAGTACACTTGGTCAGTGATATTAACAATGTAAGCAAAATTAGGTTCAAGTCCACAGTCTGTCTTACCTCGCTGTACAAATTGGTTATGTATATTTGGTTGGATTACTGTCTGCCGCGTTTAGCCATCTAGTTTTTCTATTGGTCAGAAAATGCAGTTTACCAGCTGTCTTTATAATTATCGCATGCTTAAATATAATAAGATTTACGCTGCACAAAAATTTACAATATAGTGAGAAATTTACTGTGTTTGAGTCCACATGTGTCTGATTTATTCGACAAAACTCACTGAAATAAACTTGACCGTATGTTTTTTCTTTTACAGAATACTGTGCGGTATTATTTTGTCATGTTGTTTAATTGGGACCTGTATAGATGTATATAAAGAAACAATACAAACAAACTGTGTGGAGTATATGTATTTGGGTAAAGAGTATAGTGTGATTAAACCACAAGAAATTCATTTCCCAGCTGAAACTACACCGTTGGTCTCTAAAAAAAATGGCATGACGGGTTCTCATGAAGGTGGGTTAGGATATCATAATGGTAGGTTGTACTATCATATGGTAGGTTGGATTATCATAATGGTGGGTTGGACTATCATAGTGGTAGGTTGGAATATCATAATGGTAGGTTGGACTGTCATAGTGGTAGGTTGTACTATCATAATGGTAGGTTGGACTGTCATGATGGTAGGTTGGACTATCATATTGGTAGGTTGGACTGTCATAATGGTAGGGATAAGAAGGAAGGCTATTATGGGAAATATCTTTACAAAATTAGAAAGATGTTTGAAGGATTTTATCAGAATATTTAAAGTCAATATTTTATACATCCTTATTATATTGGATACCCAAGGGATATAGCTAAGAATATAAAGGGATAGAATATTGCAAGGATTATGGAAGATGATGAAGGTTTGATATTGAATTATAATGTTGTACTCGAATACGAAAAAAACAGATTAAATCGAGTCTACTTTAACGATATCAAGTAACAGATATACTTAAAAATAGTATCTTATTTAATTATCAAATAGCGTTCGAAGAGAGTTTTAAATTCGAAACAAGTGAAAAACAAAATGAAATCCCAAAGAACAAAAACTCAAATGATAAAAAAGGTATTTAAGATAAACATACTTTTCAATGCATCGTTTATAATTAAAATGTTGAATATCAATCTACAGATTTCATCGTTGATATATTTATTTGCTTCTCGCTGTTACGAAATACTCGAAATATTATGAAAACCGATGCAGCTGCTGATAATTTACTGTCTTTGAATGGTATAAGAGTTATAACAATGCTTTGGATCATACTTGATCATACCTATTTTATTGCGCGCCATCCAAACGGAATCCTTGGTAGGTCTTTGAAATTGCACGTTAAAGTGTTCTATATTTTCTAAACAGAGTTATTTAATAGTACAGCATTAAAAATGCATTCTTTTTTGTCATATGTAGAGAACTTGTTGGATTTTTATGATGAGACGAGAAAGTTTACAGAAATGATAATCGTAAATTCGTTTGTTACTGTCGATACGTTT